ATTATAATAAATGTTCTTTTATATATTTTGCATATTATATAACGATACGTATACAAATAAAAAGTAAGTATACATGTTTTTATTGTACAATGAATTCTAAATTAAAACATAATAATTATAGCTGTAATTATAAATTTAATCATTATAATAAAATAAAATATTATGTAAAAAACATTCAAAATAGTTAAAATTGAATAATATTTGGCAAAAAAATTAAGTGAATTTTAAAACAAAATGAAAAATGAAAAAATATTATTTTAAATTATTTGAATGTTTAAGGGCTTACTTCACATTTTGAAATTCGATTTGTACACTATATATTATCAATATTCTGTATAATGTATTATTCGCTTATATAATTATTAATAAGTTATATTGCAGTAATTTGAAAAACTTTCTACAATAATTAAATAAATCAAATTAATGCTTTCAATTAAAATATTATTATAATTTAATTGAGATAAAATGAACGTTATAAATAAAAATAATAAAGTAATAAATCAAATATAGAAACAATTATTATAGATATATTTTCAATTAATATAAGAATGAAGAAAGGCGCGTTTATTGATAAAAATATTTTTTTTTTTAAATTTCATACAATTAAAACAATATATTGCTAACTTGTTATACAAATTTAAAGCAATTTACACTATCCGAATATAAAAATATTTGAAAGTTTTTAATTTAAAAATCAGCACTCGTGAATTTATTTTATAATAATGTATGATTTATCATCTTATTGAATATTTATACAATGTTTTCATATTATTATTAAGAATATTGATATATTATACAATTTAATTAACTTATACTATGTTGACCAACTGTAGTTCCAAGATTACATTTTCTAAACAAAAATTTATAAAAAATATAGAAAAAAGCATAGTTAGTTATAGATTTTTACAATGCAAAAAATGTATATTCAATATATATATTATTTATATGATTTATTTTTATCCGATTGTATATAACGTTATTGAAGTAAACTATGGATTATTTTTATAATTACGACTTAAATATTTCATCATGATTTTATAGAATTAAACTAAAATTAGATATTTATAAATTAAATGAAAATGCATAGACATGCAATTTGACAAGTTTACAAATTGAAAAGCATTATATTCGTAACTCATTTAAATTGAATTAATTTGTATAGATATAAATAGACATTTAACATCTTAAAAATAGAAAAAAAAGGTCAATTAAATAAGTGTTTAAGATGATAGCTTCAGAAGATAATATAAAAATAAATAATTTTCTTTTTTACCGACGGTAATAAAAACATTAAAATATACACTTGTATTATCTCGTATATGTTTGATATATATATTCTGTTATATGGTATAAACTTAAATTATATAGAATTGTTTTTGTATATATTAAAGATAATTTATATTAATAAAAATAAGTGTTCACTTCTAGTAAGTTATAGATTGGTTAATTAATAATATTGCAAGCTTCATTAATACATTAAGATGATAGATAATTTTACTATTTTATAATTAAAAATTCTTTGTATATATATACCAAGTATAAATTAAGATATATAAAATTATATTTAATAAAGATAGATATATTCCTAAATTAAATAAAATAAAATTGATTTATCAAATTATTAAAATAGTTTTTATGTTAGCTCATATACATGAACAAATAATTATTTTAACACTATTTGAAAACCATATTTATGTTCTAAATGAAATAGAATATAATTAAATGAATTAAATTATATAAATATCTATAATTATCAATATACATTAATAACTGTCATAACTATTTTTTTGGGTATAACTTTATTTATTTTTTAACATTTATTAAATAAACTAATAAAATAAAATAATTTAAAAAATAAACTAATGTAATACTATAAATGTTATAGTTCAACTATATACATTTAATTCGATATTTTGTAAAGGCATTAAATGAAATACTTATATTTTGAAGAATTTTGTTTATTTTTCTATCCTAAATACGAGCAAAGAAAATTTAGTCATTTAATCTATACACAATAACAGCGGTACAAAAAATAAACTTAGTTATAAAATAGAAATAAAAATAATTTTGTTTTATATAACATCATATACAAATTTTTGAGTTCATAATTTAAATAAATATCGGGTCATTTATTGAAAGTCTGAAATTTGAATTAAAAATGGCAATAGAACGTTTTATTTTTCAATTGGAAAATGAAAATTCAGTTATAAAAAATTAATTGTAATCATCATGATAATCTTTATTTTTACTGTTAATTATTTTCTTTAAGAATAGTTCTTAGATTTAAAAATGATTTTAATCATATTTGTATACCATTTTGTAATCATATTTAATAACTAAATAATTTTTACAAGTCTGTTTAATTTTTCGTTAAATGAATGAATAGATACAAGATCAAGAAAAACTATGATAAAAATAGGTATTCCATACATCGAGCAGTTTAGTATCTTCGTACAAAATAACGATTTTCAAACATCAATCCCCAACTATTGACGAAAACATTAAATGGATGATATGAAGGTGATGATGCCATATGATGTCGTGAAAGTCAGCCGGAGAAAGAGGCCATTCCATCGTTATTAGACGCTAGAATTCAATATTATTAAGATTAGTAAATGGGAGTCCATAGCAAGTCTTGAACGATTAGTTGATTCTTGTTAAGGGAATCTTTTATATGGTAGCTCAGTTCGACGTGTCACATGAAGTAGCAGCGACGGATTTTACAATTTTATTACTCTGCTCTATTCATTAAATATTTGTGTATACAAATTAAAAAATTCTACAAGGCTTGAAAATAAATATACATTTACACAGAATTTACGAATTATTTTATGAAATTCGTGAAATAAATAAAAATTAAAACATGGAAAATTGAATAATATTAAAACGACGATAGATCGCATTCATTTCTTAAATAAAAATCATAAGTGCGTGTAAAAAACGAATTTTAGAGTTATGTACATGCCTTAAAGTTTAGAAATTTTGTTATCTACTTTTATATAATTTAGAAATTAGGTGTCTTAAAACATGAATATCTCTAATTAATAATTACTATTTATATGTATGAAGCTAATTAAAAATATTTTATATTAATCAGAATGATTATACCATGCAATTGTTCCGTTATTCGGCACAAAAACAAATCTTCGTTAGTTACACGCACTTTAAAATGATTTACGGAATACAAACCAAGAATATCACTGCCTCTTAAGTACAAAGAATTAAAAAATATCCTCTACAATCTACAGCTAGCGACTCTACACCATACTACCGATTCAGTCTTAAATTACTTTCACTAAAAATTGTTAGAAAATGTAAAAAAAGAAAAGCATATAAAATAATGATGAGAAACATATGCTGAGTAAAGAAATTTGTTGTAAATACATATGAAGAAAAATTAAATTTATTTGGCACAGAGTACATTGATTATAGTATACTCCAACTCTGAGATTCCTTAGCCTATTTTTAAATTTTCGTCTTGCTCATATTTATTATCAAAACAAAATGAAGTTGGGGAAAATTTTCAAACCCACACTAACATGCGATACTCGAAGTTAAAAAATATGGACAAATAATTTACAGCGAATGACAAGTTCGATCATCCCGAAGATTACTACTAGTCTCTTACAAGCTAAAAAAAATATATTCGGATTAACTTAGCCACTCAACATTTTAAAAAACATTCCTTATTTCTTAATTATAATTTGACCTCATACTTTGGTTGTCAAACAAAAAATACAAGCTCAATTAAAATATAAATATCAACAACTTCTATTAATTATCTAATGTACCGAACATTAGAATAAATAATAAAAAATACGTTAATTTTCCATACAATAAATAAGTATAGTTTGATTACTAAATTAAAAACCATTTCAATTTTGTTAAATGAGTATTTTATAAAAACCGAATAGTATTCCAGATGGTTTCGATCAATCTATTGTACTAATAGTTAGGAATTTTAATGGAATATATTATTTTAAGAAGCACCTTTAGAATATCATAAATTCTACAGTATTATTCAGAATTACTGATTATTTCAATCCTTTCTTTAATGTTAATTCACTTAACTTTATTTTTATTTTGTATCGATAATGTTATATATGTTAAAATAGTAGCTCCAATTTCTAGTTTGTTTAAAAACCTTGGTAAGGCAAAACGAGAATATGAAAATTTTATAAGTATGTAATTTGTAGAAAACTATCAAGTCATTTCATATCGTATTCTGATTTATTTAGTAATGTTATTTAAGCTAGGCTAATTATAGAATGTATGTCATATTAGGAAAAAAATTTTTTTTATTAAATACTCAGGAAATTACACTCTACCGCCATTCTCCTATTTGATTTTTAGTTTCAAATTTCAGCATTATTGTCAAAAATAATATGTAGATTAAATTTATATTCGCATTTAAAATAGACGTTCAAAGCTGACTTTTAATGTAAACGTAGTGTCAACAAATTAGACTCACATTGACAATGCGTGAAAGAATACTAAAACACTGATACTAACGAATGGAAATATCAATTTTCTGTCAATTTAAAATACTTGTATATTATTGAGCTGCATAGAAAAAACCTAATTTCTCAATTTCTCTTGTTTAGTGGTAAAAATATACTGATAATGGGTCAGAAAAAAATGACTTGGTAGTTGACTCTATTTTATATTTACCGATAGCAATACATTTTATGATATTAATTAATGCTATTTATTGAGGTAGGCACAACATGTTATTAGATAAGAAACCGGAAGACTTTAAGAATATAAATATAAAAACCGATATGTGTGAAACCTAACTGAGTTACCATTACCGATAATAAATAGTAGAGTGCAAATAATCACAGAGATGAATCGATAAACACCATTAATGATATATCTTAGACAGGATAATTTTACAAAGCAAATATTAATTCATATAAGATTGCTACTGTATTTACTTTATAGGATTATTTCTTAATAATAATTATTCATTCATAATATTATTAAACATAATCAATAAGTCAATTATAATAATGGCTGTATCTAATCAAACATAAAGTCTAGTAAATAATTTATTGCTGAATTTAGGATATATGCTCCTATAAAGAGATTAATAATCGCTTTAAATTAAGATATGAAAATTAAAATTATCAATATTGTAAATTTATAAATAGTATAACTGAACAAAAATATTTATAAGAAATATTTTGTCTTGAATATAGGATTTTACGAACTACTGCTTTGAAATTATTGTATAATAAAAAATACATGCACTTTTGTTTGATGGTAGAAACATTTTAAATTGGCAATTGCTACCGCACAACCAATGCTTTACAAATCCAAAGGACAACCGAATCTGAAACACGCTGTATGCTCTCTCTCTCTCTCTCTCTCTTTCTCTCTGTTCATCACTATATCTTTGTCAAAGGAACAATAATTCTATTTAAAAAGTGTCACGTAAAAGCTATTATCGTTTTGTAAAAAACGTTTTATAAATTAAACTGTAAAATGAAAATGGAATCCTACGAGAGAGTTTAATGGCGGGCAATTATAATTATTTCAAGCCGGGCAATATTTTTAAAATTCATATCGTAAATTTTACTAACTTAAATCAATTCATCTTATCTAAAAACATTTACCTTTTCTATAAAATTATAAAAGATATGTTTTTATAAACATACATTTTTTTGTATAATTTAACAAAAAAGTAAATAAAATTAAACAATAACGTATACATTAACAATGATGCAGCGCAGATAAACTAAAGTATGTTTATCGTCGAAAATAACATATTTACCCGGCTATAATACAAAGGGTTTGAGGGAAACACCAGATCTTCCTATCATACTTTTAAGATAATTGTCAAGGATTAAGGGAGCAGTGGGATTATGTGTGAAGAACTTCTTAAAAAATGAACGATGAAGATCTCCTATCGAGATTAGGACATTGCTGTAAGCACTGGAGAATTAATGACGTCAGGTTCACCAGCGCCATCCGCTACTGCCTTCTTCATTTTAGTAGACTCTTCAGCATCTCTATTCGCTTTCGTTTTTTCTGATTCCTTGCTAACTCCATTACTATGTAATTTCTCATCTATAACATTTTTTATAGAGTCGCTATTTGTCGTTGTTCCGTTCAATTTTGTACTCTCTACATCTTTTGGTACCTCATCTTCAAGATTTACTTTATTGTCCGCCTCTTTTTCATTATCAATTATTTTATCTTTTCCTGCATTTTCTAGTTCTTTATTATCATGTAACTCATTAACTTTTTCAATATCTGTTTCAATTTTTGTTTCTATCTTTGCTGCTTCTTCAATGCGTTGTACATTTTCTTTATTTTCGCTTTCATCGCTTTTATTTTCTATGGATTTAAAAATCTTAGCTTCACCATTTTCTTTTATGTTTTCTGTAGATTTCTTCTCTACTGTATTAGCTTGTTTTTCCTCTAACTCTGGTTCTTCTTCGATTTTCGTAACTTCTAATGTTTTGTCGGTAATTTCTTCAACTGCTTTTTCTGATATTTCTTCAGTAACCGTTTGAACTATCTTTTCTGTAATTTTTTTTATTGGAATTTCTGTGCTTTTTTCTATCATAGATTCAATAACTTTTACCATTACTGTTTCACACATCTTTTCTTTTTCTAATATATTTTCTTTTGTTGTAGAATCTTCAATTTTATTTTTAATCACGATATTAATTTCTTCCAATGTCTTTTCTGTTACTTTTTCTAATTTTGCAGATTTATGTTCTGTGTCATATAATTTGTTCTCTATTTCTGCTGATTTATTGTCTACAATAAAAATATCAATTTTTGATTTGTCTTTAAAAATCTCCGTTTCTGTCTTTTCCACTCGTTTATTTATATCTTTTTCTACAATTTCTTTTGATTTATCAGATTCCATCTTCATATCTGTAACAGTCTTTTCCTCTGATATTGCTTCTTGTACCAATTTGTTCTCATTTTCTATAGTTTTTTCTAACTCTTTAAGTACCTTTTTTTCTTCTGTTACATTATCTAATTTTACTTCGATTTGCGAATCATTTTTTATTTCTTTAATAGGCGTTTTTAAATTGTCCGTTGTGTCCATAGGTTCGTTTCCAAATTCACTGAAAGCTAACTTTCCCTCCAAGGAATTACTATCTTTTTTTTCTGTTATATTATTAGCATCTTCTACTTTTTGACGCTTGCTGGAGGTTTGAAAGGTTAATTCTGAAAACGATTCAATTGTTTTAAATGAACCTTTTTCCAAAGTACTTAATTCTGCATTTTCTTTTCTTATAACAATGATGGTGGAAAGACCTGCCCCCTTTGCGGCTTCAGCTTCTGTAAATTTAATATCCACAAAAATGTCAATTTATCTAAATCAAAATAAAATATTTAAATCCTTAGAACAAATTATTGATATTAATAAAAATTAATAAATAAATGGAAAATTTACAAGAGTCAGGATATAAAAATAGTTATATATTTTCCTCAAATGGTATAATTATACAAATTATTCTCCATCGTAATTATATATATATATGTGTATGAATATTTGCAAATAAATACTAATTATTAAATGTACCATTATTATTACAAAGATCATATATTCAAGTATTCAAGTTTTCTTTTTTATAAATTTTGTTTATAATTAGATTATATTCATAAATTTTAATAGTGATACTTATGTGATATAAATTTTTGTAATTTAAGACATTTAAGATAAAATTAAACATAACAGTATTCTTATTTATAATTTAAAAACTAATCAAATTTATTATGAGTAAAATAAAATAATAAAAATAATAAAATAAAAACAAAATTTAATATTAGTTTGCATATATATTAAAATTAAATATAAATTTATAAAAATTTGCAATAAAAACTATATTCTTAGTGATTATTATATTTACTGTTTAAATTTTAAATATAATATTAAAAATATGGAATTTATATGTAATTGTCAACTTTATTAATCAGTGATAAATTAATAAAATTTATATTACCTTTTATAACATCGGTAAGAAATAGTATATCTGACGATTCAAGACCAATGCTTTTAAAAATATTTTTGTAACTTTCTATATCTTGTTTTGAGCCTATATTAGTATCAAAATGACCACTAATATACTGAAAGAAAAATGATTTTTTGTTTACAATAAAATATATTTATCTAATATTTTAGAAAGTCTTTAATACCTTTAATAAATTTCCATGTATTGAATTTTCAAATAATAGTTTTTGTGCCTCCACACTTCCACTCGAGTATATATAAAGTTTTTTACCATTATTTGTCCATTCTTCAAATGCTTTTGGAACATCGTCATAAACACTTTAAACAATACAAGGTATTAAATTTAAATATTAGAAGAAAAGATATTTTTTCAAAGGAAAAATACTAATATTTATTGTGTTTTTGATATAAATATTTATTAAATAAACGAATTAGTCTTAACTTAACTGAATTTAACAGAGTTAAATAGAAATAATAAATTATTTAAAAACTATATGTAGCAATCTTCTTTATACAGCAAACTCATTAAACAGAAACACTTATTAAAATTATTTCATAAAACTAATAATTTAAAAACAATTTACCTCTAATTTTTTGTCAAAAGTTACTTATATACAATTGCATATTTATTGAAAAATGATTGATAAAATTTGCTATATATTCATTCAAATTAATAAATTAACATTTTTATAAAAACGTAGTTGAACTATTAACAGTACTTTATTTTATTTTATGAAAAATACATTTTCAAACAATTATTTTATTGTTGAAATTTTGAAGTTATAAATATTTTATTATTGTCTCTTATATTCCAATACCAATAACTAAACTAATAAAAATTGTGTATTTTAAAATCATAGGAAACAAGAAAAAGGAATATGTTATTAATATTCGTACATTAATTATCATTATTTAGTTTAGAGTTTACTGTAATCCAGTTTCTGCAGTTTTTGCTTTATATTATAAACATACTAAATGTAATTATTCTTTTAAATAAGTTTTTAATATGATACAATTTTCTTAAATTAGTAAAATTGACATAATACATTTTTTAAATATATAATTCTCATGAATAATTTTCTTTTGTTCATTAAAATAAGAAGGTTATTATTATTAATTCTTTTAGTTTTAAATTAGATCATTGGGTATATAAAGCTTTATTAAATATTATAATTTAATATATTAATATATTAATTATTTGATACTATTATTTCCAATGGTCAGTATAAAACCTATATTATTAGGAATAATTAATAAATTATCTACAAATAACCTTATGCACTTATAAATTATTGAATATGATGAATTATTTATGTTAAACTATTTTATTACGAACATAAACATTTTAAAAATATATCACCAAAGTATATTATTTTTTAATGCTATTTTTAATTTTTACAATCAAATAAATTTTCTCCAATTTTCCTAAATATATTTAATAGTATTTATAAACTATAATTTATTAAGATTATAAAAAGTTTATAATGATTATTAATATTATTTAAATAAAAATAAATATTTTTATAAATGATAATGAAGTGAGGCGCTTAAAAAAATATTCTCTTTGCACATCAAAGAATATATATAATATACATATAATATAAATAATTATATATATATAGAGAAATATAAGCACATACAGTATCCTATACTTATTTAATATTATTTATGTACTTAGTATTTTCAAACCTGTTTTCCATTATCCTTAACTTTCAAACAAAAGAAATTAAATAAACAATTATATATTTTTAAAAAATATTACAAAAATTAAAAAATAGTAATAATATTCTAAGATGCTATTTACAAAAAGAATTAAACAATTTAAGAATAAGTGTTTTTAGTTGATACAATTAAAAATAAGTTGTTCAAGAAAAATTTATTACGTTGTGAAACCTATAAACAAAGTAAAAAATTCTTATTTATCTTGACTTTCCAATATATGTATCAATTAATCAAAAATAATTTTATTAAAAAGAAACTTTTAAACAAAATACAAAAAGTGCTCTAGAAAATACAGAATATGATAATAGATGATAAATACAATAAAGAAAACAAATTTATTAAAACAAAGATTATAATGATAATTATTGTACTAAAAATAAACAATAATATAAAATCTTTATTAAATAGTGAACAATTTTTATATATCATATTACAGTTGTAGTTAACTTTTATAAAATATTAACATTGTATTGTTAAAAAAATTGTTTTTAAAAATGTTTAAAAATATTTATTTTTTACACAAAACTGAGAAATGAAATATCATGAAAAAATACACATACTAGTACATTCCTATGTGTAGCATTACAAAGTTTCAATATATAATTTTAAACTTTACTTACATTAAAAATATAACGATTTTTCCTTATGCATTATAACTACAGTTTAGTTTAAAATATATATTTCAATTTCAATTTTTTAGCAACAATATTTTACTTATTTAGAAATCTTATTTTGTTTGATTTCAATTAATTTATTTCCTGTAAATTTGCGACATAAATGAAAATATTAATAATATTAAATGTCTGCTTTTCATTTTATAATGTAGAATCAAGTATTGCATTTATTTATATTATTTTAAACATTTTGTTAAAATATTGTTATGAAATTTTCATGTTTTGAATGTTATTATAATAAATAGACCATAATTCTTGAGCAATAGTATTTTGGAAAATAGTATATGACTATTATTAGATTCATTATATAGAATTAACAAAATAATATATCCAATAATTGTTCACTGAAAATGCATCTAACCTACTGTTAAATAAATATCATAAATTCGTTACTTTTTATTCCAGAAATACTTTATTAGAATATATAATGATATTTCATTTTATTTAATTAATTAATCAAATTAATTAAATATATGGTCTTTAATATGTTTCAACTTACTGTCCCTTAATTGGCTTGTATGCTGCTTTCCATATATGTCCTTGTAATTGCTTCAATGCATCAGTTTTACGATCATTATTCATTTGCCAAAGAACATATTGTACAATAGATTCTTTTGTTTCGTGTTCTGTACCTTCTTTAATTGGTATAAATCCATCAACTTTCTGCTTCTCATCTTCTTTAGCCTAATAAGAATAATAATTTAAAAAATTAATAGTTTATTCAGAGTTAAATATTGCATTTAACAATACGATATAATATTTAATTATATTATTGCAAGTAACCAACATCATTTTATCTTAGATAAATTTTTTTTTATTATTATATTCTAAATATTTAACAATATTTAAAAGTAGTAAAACATTGAATGCTTACATAATTATAAAGAATTGAAAGGAATATTATAGTTTTAAAAATATCAAACCATGAAATTTTCACAAATAAATATTTTTTTATAATATAGTCTGATTGAAAGCTGTAAACAGATATTATTTACAAAACATAAATACTGACAGCAGAATATTTTGTTGTAATATGTATATTATTTTTAAATAATTTAATAATTTTGTATAACACATAAAGAAATTACAACAATTTTAATAGCAAATATAGTTTATGATTTATAAAAATGTTATTTTTAATTTAATATTACATTTATTGAAAATCTGAGAATATTATCAGCAACTGTTATTCATATAATTATTATACAATATAAATATATTTTGTATATAGACTTAAAATTACTATAAAATTTATTTTAAATTTTCTCATATTGAAAACATTTGTATTAAGTAAAATAAACATTGAGATTAACAATACAGCTAACTTTGTTTTATATTGAACAGTGTTTGCAATTAGGTATACCATTAAAAAATATTGTAATATGTGGGATCTAAATTATGAATATTTTACATTAATTTTAGACTCATATCTGTTTTTTATATTTCATTGTGTATGTGTGTGTGTGCGTTTTTCAAGCATAGTTTTCATGGAATTTTGAGCGCATGTTTTTGAGATTTATTTTGAAAAATTCGAATATATTTATATTATTTATTTACTCTTGTTGTGACAGTAACTTTAACACTGCTAAAATTATACAAATTTTTGGTTACCTGTTCTTTCAATTTAGAAAAATCTGCTTTGAATTCTTCGTCATTCCATTTTTCGTCGACATGTTTTTTTAAGAACTCTCGCACGTATGGGAAAAGTGTATCCTGCAAATTCAATATATTGCAATAAAATTAACTAATCTTGTAATATAAAAAACTTAATTAATATACTTTTTATTTTTCAATTTAAAATATTACAATTAATCGATGTATTAATATTATTTCGCTAATAATGAAAATTATATATAAAAAATAATAATTGTTTATTTTGGCAAGTTTTAATATGGATGTGTCAAAAATGAAAGTATATAGAATTATACAAATGAAATTCAATACAAATCTAAATTGATCTAGAAGCGAGCAGCCCTTTTTGAATTCTTTCATTCCTCCTCAGAATACGAAAGATATAACTATTCGATTTTTGATGTTCATAGGCAAAATAGTGTATTACAAACATGTGACCATTAAATTTTACTGAACATTGAAAACCAATTACATTTTATTCTTACGAATGAACGCCATCATGGCTCAAAATTACTCTTTGTTCTACGTACGAACAATGAAATGGAATTATAGGGAATCAAAAGATGGCTTTATCAAAATCAATCAAATTTAATCAACCGTTTCAACATAAGCAAAATAAAAGGTAAAAGTCAAAATTAAAATGTTGAATTACAGAATATAAACTATAGGTAAATATAGGTATACCCCCACATTATTATTATATATATATATATATATAAGGAGAGAGAGAGAGAGAGAGGGAGAGAGAATGAGATGAAGTACAGGAACGGCTTATGTATTGAAACCGTTAGATGCAGAAATGGCTTCTCGATTTTTTTACTTTTATACTTTAGTTACAAAGTTACACTGTAATATGAATAAGACAGAGTTAAAATTCAGAAATGGCATAGCAATATTGCTGTAATGATATGCAGTTTGTTCGTAATAAACAGAGCACAACGGTCGATCCCGTCATCAACCGGCATCAATGCTGCGCGCTTGCAGAAAACCACACTTGTCCGTGAAAATGTTTAAAAGAAAATATTAGAAAAGTGGCGACATTTTCCTGACTTTCCCTTTTAAAATTCTTACAAGGTTAAATCTGTTCTTATATCATACTATCAGAGTATTTTGCGAAAAACAAGGTAAAACCGGGCGGCTCTTTTCGCTTTAAAGCCGTCATTAAGAGTGTGATAGGGCGTAGTGAGGCGCCATGAAGCAAATACGAAAACGTCCATCTCTTACTTTATCGTTCATCAATATAAAAAATAATCACCCATTTACCTGGACAAAACTGATGCTGGATGTAGTACCCTCGATATCCAGAATGATCGCAGACTCCTTAAGCGCCAGATCCACGGCCTGTGTAGCACTGCGCTTCTCACCAGCCATATTTAAGCGCACTATCTCTTCACTCTTGGTTAAATGTGTAATGAATGTCTGAAGTTTCAAGTCTTAATTATAAATTCTTACAACCTTATATTTTTCTTTACTTATTATTAAAGTACAAATAAAGAAATACGTCTGAAATAATAATGAGGACGATTAGGAATCTTCCGTTTCGTTCACAACTAGATTGTCAAAGAAGTAAGGAAAGATAAGCGAGTCCGCGTACTAAAGCGCCAAAGAACGAAGGAAAAAAGTAAAGATGGAATAAGTACAACCACAATAGCGCTCTGTTTTATTCAGTTTTGCTTTGCTCTGCTCTGTTCTTCTCTGCTCTATTCTGCTCTGCTCTGCTCTGTTTTGCTCTGCTCTGCTCTTTGCTCTACTGTCTGCTCTTTGATCTGCTCTTTAAATTTCTACGAAGTTTTTGTATGTACTATATTCATTTCACTTTCAATAATGACATTATCAATACGAATATGCTACATATAATTAATTTATATAACATAGTTTAAAAATATTAATTTTTTTTATTTTTATAAATTAATAGTTAAAATGTTTTATTATTTTTATTATGTAAAATTAACTTTTAATTTTTTGTTGATGTCATGCAATGTACTGCAAAAGTAATTTCAATTATTCAAAATAAAGTTTATACTCTTGTCTAATGAAAATATACAAAGGCGATCTACAACAGATGGTTTCTTTATCATCAATTCTAATTCATAATTCTTTTCCAAACTTTTAATCTATTTTTATTACTCAGTCATATTATATAAATGTAATTTTGTTAATTCAACAAATTGACGTATTGAATAAAGCTGAATATGCTTTTAAAAAAGACATTCAAGGTTTATGATTCTTGTGTAAATAAATAAAAAGTTCATTTTTATTTCAAATATTCAATAAATAACACATTCATTGTCTTATGGAATAAATCCAATTTTATTCTTGTAAAAATTTTTAATTACAAAAAATTTTAATATTTCAATAACTTCTCAAAATGTTTTTCATATTTTGAATACATTAAATTTTTATAAACTGTGGAATTTGTATTATATATATATATATATATATATATATATATATATATATATATATATATATATATATATATATATGACAAATAAATGAAAATTTGTACAGTAATTTAATCAGTTTAAAATTATACATTTATTAATAATAGCAATTAAGTAATTGTTATATTGTGTATAATACAAGGTTTATTAAAATTAATAATATTTCAAATATAATCCAAATTCAAATTTCTTAATTTGTCTCATTAAAACTATGATTACCTAACATAAGAATTCTATAAGCAAAAAATGGACTGTACTAGATAATATATTTAAAAATTATATTACTATAATGAATATTACCATTTTGTCATTTATTTGTCATATATTTATATATATATATATATATATATATATATATATATATATATATATATATATATATAAATATATGACAAATAAATGACAAAATGGTAATATTCATTATAGTAATATAATTTTTAAATATATTATCTAGTACAGTCCATTTTTTGCTTATAGAATTCTTATGTTAGGTAATCATAGTTTTAATGAGACAAATTAAGAAATTTGAATTTGGATTATATTTGAAATATTATTAATTTTAATAAACCTTGTATTATACACAATATAACAATTACTTAATTGCTATTATTAATAAATGTATAATTTTAAACTGATTAAATTACTGTACAAAATATTATCAAGGTAATAACTTTTACTTACTACAGTAACATCTCATTTAGAATATTAAATTAAAATAAATATATCAATTAAAATATTAGCCTATTTATAGAGTATGCAAAAAATCTTGCATTACAAAAATTACCTCTATCATTCCTTAACTTATACCTTAACTATTTTAGAAATTTGTTTAAAGATTATGTCACTATCAATGAATATATAATTTTATTTTATTATTAATACAAGATATTATAATTAACTTATAATTTTTTATCAATCATTGTAAGCCATTTTTTTATTTACGATTTTTTATATTGCATAAATTTAATGTAAAATAAAATTAAAATTAACATTTAACATGACTTGTGTCCAAACAAATTTAATTCAAATAATTCATAAACATATACACACTCATACGCTTACGCAAGTTGATTAAACTTATTTCCTTACACTATTGCATACTGTTCATATAATAATTCTCGTACTCTGTAATAGTCTTCAGAAAGACAGCCTTCTAAAATAATTTTACCTGCTTCGTGCTAAAATATAATATTTAGATATATTAATAACATATTTATTCTAATAAAAAGGTTTAAAAAATTACATACTCTTCTTACTGCAATTGTATTATTACAACACCATAAAACGCCACCACTAAACTCGGATGGAATATTAGATTTATTTAAAATTTGTTTAAAATCCGATAATTTTAACTCATTAATAAATGCGGTTTGATGGCTTGGAATCTATGTATAAAATACATTAAATTTATTAATTAAAAAAAATTCATTAAAACTATTTAAAAATCAAATTACTTCATTAAGTGGTAATGGTTCTAAAGTAAGTATTTTTTCTGCTCTGCTAATAAAATCTTCATTTTCCTTATTCATAAAAACATCACGGCATACTTGTTCACGCGCTGTTACTAAAGCATCTACCCATGCTACTTCTGAGTCACCTTTTCCTCGAGAAAAATTTAATCCAGTTACTAAAGCATCTGTTAAACGAACCTATATTTAAAGTGTTAATAATTTTTTTGAGTGATGTACAATAAGTAATTTTGTATCTGTTAATCATATTGATTACTTGATAAATATGTGTTTCAGTTGTAGCATCCAAAGTTTCACCTCTAGCTGGAATAAATACGCGTGCACCAACATTTTGAGCCTGTTGAGCGAGTAATTCTGTATCCTTAGGAGAACCCCTGACTAAAACAATTCTTCTGGGTCGTAATTGTGCCAGAATTTTTTGTAAAGATTCACCATCAGACCTTCCCTCAAAGTCTATATAAGTTACTGATGCATTTACGGCAATAGTACGTGTAGATTGAATACATTTAGTTGGAACATCACTAGTATTTTCTGGATGTTGAATTTGTTCTTCAGTTTTCACTTCAATATTCTCTTTATTGTCTTCAGTTTCTGGTAATACTTCTGCTATTTTATAGTCCTCAGATCTAAATTGCATTAATCAAAGAATCTTTTTTTTTATAATAAATATAATTTTTATAATAAATACTGTTTAATTTTTTGTTAATTGAAACTTACCTAATTATTTCTCCATATTCATCTACTTTTATCTTATCTTCTAAAAAAGGAAACATTGGATGTTGTTTTTTACTTTGTTTAAAGAAACCTGGTTTATGTTCTTGTTTAACTAATAAATCATGTTTTCCTCTTGTACCACCTACTTCTATCTCATCTTCAGATTCTGAACTTATATCCGCAGTTTCCCTGTAATAAATATTTTACTAATGATCAAATTAGTTTCTTAAACATCAACTTAATTTATAGTTTAATCTTACATTTTTTCTTGTTTTATTTGTTCTTGTTTCAATTTTTCTCTTTTCTGATATTCTTCTAATTCAGTTCCTTCTAACCTCACTTTTTTTTTTATTTCTAAAGTAATATTTCTATTTCCACCATTTTCTACAAGATCTCTGGCAAGTGTACCTGGGGATGTTCTACATGTTATTATAATACTATTTTGTGGATTACTGCACCATTGTAAAAAGAGGTCACGAGAAAAACCACATTCCATATCTGGAGTACTAGCTAATACAACCTATTTAGATATAAATAATTGGTTAAAAATCTTATTAAATATATTATGCCTGAAATTCAACTTATTTTTTAATATATTAAATATGAAATAAAAAAAAAATTTACATAATTGAACATTGATATTGATATATAAAAAGTTAAAAAACTGTAATAATTATTATACATATATTTTTATTTTTACGTAATTATAATAATCATTAGTAGTATTATTAATAATTGAATTTTATTAGAAATTGTAGAATCAAATTTTATTAAATTTTTACCTTTGGACTAGGAACTTGATTTAATTCAGCCATACTATGACACAATTGTAAATGTTTAAATTGAAAAGGATTATTTCTTGCACCTTCAAAACTCTTCATTAATTTATCACTCATCCATTCAATTTGAGATTTTGCAAATTCAACAACATTATAACTAACATTATTTAATAATGCTAATGAATAAGCAAGTAAACCAGATTCTTTATTGCGCCACAGTTGATCCAGCATATGAGCTAATTCTAAAACTCGACCAGCAGTATCAACACCTACAAGAACATTTCCACCACCACGAAGAGTTTGAAGAATGTTTGCTAAAAATATAAATAAATTATACTTATTTAATTAAATATAAATAATGTTGTGATTTATCTTTCCAATACTATTTTTTCAAGGTTCAATTTAGTCAGAATTTTCTTTATTGTTAGAAACTAAAATAATTAATTAACTAGAAACTATTTTAAGTCAATAGTATTATTTTTATTATATAAATAAATACATGAATAATATATTCTACACTTTATATACTAAAAATTATTATTTAACTAATAAGACTGTAAATATTATTTAATTATACTGACTCATTAATTTTTCATCCCTCGTTCGACGTCTGGCCTGTTGATATGTAGCATTAAAGCTATCTGTTATCAACAATGATGGTCTTTGTAATCTTTCTAATTCACAACCATTTAAATGCCTCTCTTTTTTGTGATTAAAATCAACTGCATATATAATGTCTTCTTCACCAACTTTGACAATTTTCCATATTGTTCCACCTATCATATGACCAGCTGGTAACGGAGTTAATGTTACACCATAACCTTTACCTTTCATTGATATGCTTTGATTATATTTTAACTGAACAATTTTGTCAAAAGCTGCATCAACGTCATCCAATGTAAATAAGGTAAAATCTTCCATATTATGGCGAGACTACAAAACAATTAAAAATCAAAACCATGTACCATTTTTCAAGATTTAAAGTAGATAACAATAAATACACCTGATAAATGTCATACATAAACATTTGACCCATTTTATAAACAGGTATTGTTGCATATATAGGACAACTTAAGCCACATTTTCCAACTAAATAAGGTAAAGCTCCTAAGTGTGATGGATCTGGATAAGATAATAATACAGCATCAATTTGATTAACATGTCTATAAATTAACATATGAATTAATAATAAGTTATTCCAATTAAAACATAAATAAGTAACTTAAATGAAAATATACCTTTTTAATTCTTTAATAAAATCCTGATCAAAATTTTCATTCCAACCACAATCTAATAAAATATGTAATTCATCGACTTGTAAAATATAGCAAGGAGGTGATTCATCTAATGCTCCCGATATAGCATGTAATTTAATAATTGAAGTCATTGTTTATAAATCTGTAAATAAGAAAAGAAAAATTACTCAATTGTTTTATAATCAATAGTATTAAAAAATTATTCAAAATTTACATTTAAATATGTCAAATTTATAGGAATTATTTTTTTAAATATAAATTTAATAATATATTATGAGATGGCAAGTTATTTATAATATAAAAAATGATATATTTGAAGTTTTTAATGAAGATTATATTTTTTAAATAAAAATAATTTATAAAAAGATTAGCAATAATTTAGCAATAAATAAAATATATAAGTTTATATTTCTATAAATATATAAAAATATCTATTAACATTTAATTTAGAATATAGAATAAAAACCAGTAATTGCAGTTTTTTAAATACGTCTCAAATAAATACAAATATCAATATATTTATAAACGTAAATATTTCATTCAACTAAATTTTAAAAACAGAAACGCGATATTTTAATATTGCCAGCTATTCTAAATAAAATCAGAACCAATGCATCGTATTTTTAAATTTAAAATAGCTCATAAAACAAATAAATTTCTGAGTTTTTAATATAACAATAATTTACCATACTAAAAGCAACATTAATCTATATTCATTAATACGAAAATATATACAAATAAATAAAATATCTAAACGTTTCTTCAATATAAAAAATTAACATGACAACGGTAGCTTATAGATTTATCATTCCAGTCGTTTCTCGAGCGGCGTTCCGGCGCTAGTTTCGCTAGTATAATTCTAAAATCTAAAAACTGTCTTAAAATAAAAATTGAACAAAGTAAATATGAAAAATTGTATTTTAAAACAATCTGAAAAAACTATAACTAAGAATTATTTAACTTTTATATTGATTAAATACATCTATCTTAATTTGAATTTAATTTTACTATTTCCGATATGCGCAGGAATATAAAATAGCCATTGGCTTGAACATTCTCAATAATGTATTTGACTGTCACAGATTTTCAAAATAAGTGCAGAGAGAAAGAATGTATGGTAAAATAAATATTTGTTTCAATTTTATATTTACATTTTATATTTTATATAAAATTATATTGCTATATATTATTTATATTCGATTATAATCAATACTTATTCATAAGGTAATTGTTATGATTGTCATGTTTGGTCAATAAACGTTTGGATACGTTGCCTCTTTTTACTCCCTCTCTTATACCTTTAGGAAATACAATGAAAAGGAATAGGAATATCGGAGAATATACTAAAGAGCGAGACAAAGTTAGGTAGACTTCCGGTAACGCCATTTGTCTATTTCTCCGGCGGTTGCGGTTCGGTTCTCTTTTCTACGTAAGATTGTGTATGCTTCACCGGAATCTTTTGTTCATAGAATATTATATTGGGCATAAGGGTAATTGTTCCTTAACATTAAATCAATACGTAAGTACATTTCTTTTTATAATTGATTATTATTAATGCATTTACAAGAAATGTATATTAATGTAAGTAGATGTTAATTTTCTGGTGGCACTTTGTCAGCGGTCAATTGTGCCAAATTTTAGTCGAGTGGGGGAGGGTTAAGAGGAAAAGAAAGTGATCCAATTGTTATGACTCAAAATCGTATAATTCTAATTTTGTTTATAAAGTTATTTTAATTTTATTATTATAAATTATTTTAAGATAAAATAAGATACAACTTTTCTATATTTCATATAATTAACAAAAATTAAGGTAAAGTTTCATTAAGAAATGGTGATAACTATCGACGCGTCGTGCAACGCTCTTTTTTCCCCACTCCTCTCGTCCACTCGTCTTTCTACGTATGCGTTAGCGTCGCGTCGCTCTCAAAGTCTTGTTCTCTGTCTCGTATCTCAAGGCCTCATTCACCGTAAAGGAAAATCATCCGCCTGGATTTACCCGACTTAATTATTCGTGTGAGAATTTCAAGCATATTTTGTTTTCGATCCACTCGAAAATGAATAATCTGGTTAGTACATATACTTTTTATATTCTATTCTTGATCGATATATCACAATTATTAATTTGAAAGTATATACCTTTTAAAATTATTGTATTGATACCAATCAATATAATGATGGGCTACATAATTTAAAAATAAAATCTTACATTCTATTGCTTATAATAATTGGATTAGAAAATTATAATTGTTTTTAAATGGTTTATACTATTTTATTAAAAATTAGTATCTTAAGTAAGATAGATATATTGTCTTTTATCTATACAGTACCATGTTTAAAGGTTTCGTACAAAATATAAGTTTTTGAAGAAAAATTTTCATAATATAACAACAAATTTTATATATATCGTTTTTGGAATTTAGAAAATTTTTAATAATTTTAGATGAGAAAAAAACTTTATACAACAGCTCTATAATAAACTCGACAACGCGTCACACAGTTCTAACCTAACATAAAATTGTATTTTAAAATCGGTTAATATATCAGTCTATTTTATAGTAAAAAAAAATTTTTTGACTGATTGTTTTTAATCTGATTACACATAAATAAATATCGAATATTTTAATTTTCCAAGTTTTCTGTTTTGTTTAAATATGTGATACATAGAATATCAATCCGAATTCATGTTTGTATATCTTTAGATGCATTTGTAAGGATGCATGAATTTTTGAAGAAATTCATTTAAATTTAAGCGCTCTATGCAAATTTTGCAATATGAATTTGATTTACGTATTTCATAAAATACAACATACTATAATTTTAAAGTTTATATATAATAAAACAAGATTTGAATTGAATTATGAATTTAAATCAGCTATTTTATTGATAAATTGTTATTGTATAGTTATAATAAATCTCATAATTGCTTTTTCCCTACATGAACTGTTTTTAAAATGGATTGAAATATTCTGTTAAATTATAAATATAAAGTATAAAAACTTTATACCTAAATAACTAATTAGTATAAGATGATAACGAAAAGTATTACCGAAGAAGAAATTTAACCATTCATGTATTTAGATGTAAATTATAGACATTTATAAAAAGTATATTTTGTTTAAAAATAAATAAAAATAATTTGGGAAATTGATCCCTTAAACAAACATTACAACTAAAAATGATTAACCATGCATGCACGATATAGATTTTTAAGTTTTGAATATAAAATTGCCTGTGAAAAAATTAAATTTTAAAAATTTAAATTATTTACAAAAATTAATTTAGGAATGCTCTAATAATATGAATGCACAGGACAGTTCAAACCAAAGATTATGATTTGTAAATATGTAAATGATAATTATTATTTTTAAAATCACATGAAAGTAATAGATATATTTATACAATGTAAAATTATTTTTCATAAAATACTATTTATGTAAATTTTATGATTAATTGTAAATAAATACAATATTTGTAATTTCGATTACTAATTAATTTGTTTATTTTTTTTTATTTTTTTTTTTACAGAAAATGGTATCACCAAGTTCACCGGTAAGAGTTCAGATAAACATGTTTTAATTATTTATATTTTCTATATATAATAATTTTGTTCTGATAAGTTAATTTAAGTAAATTGTTTTAAAATATATAAAGGTAAGTTTAAAGTTAAGTTGTTAATTAAAAATTTATTAGTTTTATATATTTTTAATTCAAGTATAATTTGTGTTTTGATATTAAAAGATCAATAAGTTTTATAGGAAATGAATTAGTCCATTAGAGAATTTTGAAGGAATTAAATCTATAAAAATTTTTGTCGAAAATTAACTAAGTGTAAATTTATAGTTTTTAAGGTTTTGGTTACAATTTGAGTTAGAGTTTTGTTATTAACATAATCATACTCTGTAAGTTCTTAATGGTAATTATTTTATATAATGAAATTGTATTCAAAGATTTTGAGATTTATATTTTTTATAATTCATTAAATTTATAAACTACAATTATAATGAATTGTTTTTAAATACAAATAAAGATTTTCTATCTTGTTTTTAATATTAAAAGCAAACAATTTAATTTAATTTAAATTAAATTAATTTTAAAAGTAGTAGATTTTCTCAATCTGATACAACAAATATTATAAAATGAATTGATTAATAATAACTCTTAAAATATATTAAAATAGTAACAATATATTTACATAATATAGTATATGTTGAACATTATATAAAGAATATAAATATTATATTTATAATTTATAATTGTAAATTCAATTTTTTGCAAGATAGTAATAAAAATAATTGTTTGCATTATTAATGATAATTACTTTTAAATAATTAAATAAGTTTTAGCTCAATATTTTTTATTTATCTTTTCCATTATGGATGACATAAATAAATAAGAACAGTTGAGCAAGATTAAGCATCTTGAACAGACACCATGCTTTGGCAACCTTGTAAGCATGATCAATTTTAAAAGAAACAAATTACACTAAGATAGGAAAAGTAAAATTATTCTTAAAAATTGGTAACTTATAAATTTTTGTCTTGTTATTGTTTAGAGGAAAACAAAGATCTTCGTTGGCAGATTACCAGAGAATTGTAAGAGTGAGGAACTGCGCCACCTATTTCTCCGTTTCGGCGAAGTGACCGAGTGCGATGTGATGAACCGCTACGGCTTTGTACACATGGCTCGTGAGGAGGATGCTGCAGAAGCGATCAGATCTCTCCACAACACAGTGTTCAAAGGGGCTACCATTAACGTTGAGCAGTCTACCGGCAAATCGCGAGGGCGTCGAGATGACAGGCGCGGCGGCCCTATGCGCGGTGGCAGAGGAGGACGAGATGGAGGCCGCGATACTCGTCCCGGTCCGTATAACGACAGGAGAGGTTTGTTGAAATACACCGCGTCGTTCGTAACTTCTGAAAGAAAAAATAAATATTTTTACGAAAATCGAATCGAATATAAAGTCGTTTACCGTAATTTTTGACGAGCCTTATCGCGTATTTCGAAAATAGAATTGTACAACGCGTCATAATTACGATTATTACCTTGTGTTTAAGCGTTTGTACTTATGAAACTAATATTATGCAACTAAAACAATTTGTGTATGTGTGTGTAAATAGTATTGAAACGTTTTAAATAAGCTAATGGAATGTGTAGTAACCGGATGAATTTATACAAAAAGGAAGAAATATTATTTACTATGAATATATGGAAAAACTTATTTTTTACAATTTAAAAATATTAATTAAATTATTATTGTTGTTTAACCCTTCAAACAGAATATCTCATTTTATCATTAATTTCTGAAATAATTTTATAAAATCTAAAATTTTAATTAAATATTTGTTTCTTGATATAAATTATTTATATACTAGAATAGTATATAAACTATATATATATATATATATATATAATATACTAATTTAATTAAATAGATTTGAATTATATAATATTTACAAAATTTGATTATGATACATTTTATTATATTTGTAGTATATTTGTGAGAAGTGAAGCATATCTATATTTTGATACGTATATCTATATTTGATGCATATGAAATACAAATAAAAATATTGATTCATACACTAAATTTACCCATATTAATCACTACAGTAGTTAGAGTATATTTGAGAACCAATTTTAATTTGAAAAAATTTGATATATAACAAATTAATAGTTGTAATATTAATTTTAATTCTGATGTACTTGATTATGTATATTTTGTATTTCAATTAATTTTTTTTTCTACAGTTATCAAGTATTGCTTAATATTGCTTTTTAACATGCATCAGTTTTGCTTATAACTTTATCTGTCTTTTTCTCTTCATGTATTATAATTTTATTACTAATATTACTAACTTACGATAAATAATGAAAAATAAGTAAAAATGGTATATAGTGCATACAAATTAGATTGATGTACACTCGTATAAAAAAGGTGTAATGTACAATTTTTTGATAACCTAATATAATAAATTAACTTGTATGGCTCTTGGTAATGACTAATTTTCAAATTTTTATATAGTGATTTCTTTTATTAATAGAAAGAAAATTTAACCTCAATAACTTTCAACCTAATACTTGATTTACTACTCACATCTTTCAAAACTTAGATAAAAATTTATTATATTATATTAATTTTAAATGTAAATTAAGGATTTTATTTTAAGAAATTGATCACTAACATAAAATTTATTTCTTTTTCCCTCATTTTATGTAAAATGTAAATAATCCAATTTTATGACAGTTTATAGAAAATATTAACATTTAATTTACAAACGTTTAGACTCAAGTAATAATCTATCTTTCAGTTAATTAACTCGAAATAAATAAAAACTGTTCGTTGTCCGTAAACCAGTAAATAAAAATCTCATTAAAGCAAAACTTAAAAAAAAATAGAAAACACAATGAGCGACGAAATAAAAGTAAAAGCGAGACGATAGATAGTTAGGGGCTTCAATGTAATTCGAAAACCTAACTGCATCTCTCCTATTGATAATCAAAAAGCAATGAAGAATTCCCTCTTTTTTTTTGTTTCTCGGATGGTTCATATTTGCAACTGCAGTACTCCCAATACATAACGTTGGCTATGATGGGTCGGCCGCTGGTGGCGGCGGATATACAGATTATAATAGAGGCGGTGGTGACTTCAGCGGTCGGGGTGATTTCAGCGGGGGATACAATGATCGAGGAGGTTACGGACAAAATGTTGGCGGCGCCGCAATGGGATATACATCAACAGCACCAATGGGTGGATATGGACCAGCTGGTGGTGCAGTTGGAGGCTATGGACCCACAGGTGCTGTAGATTACGGCAGGACCGACTACGGCAGAACGGCTGATTTCGGTGCGCGAACAGACTATGAAAATCAAGGAGATTTTCCAAGTACCGTATCTCTATTTCCACATTTTTTATTCTTCAAGACTAGAAATGTGCTTGTGAACCTTACTCTATATTTTTTGTAAAATGCACATTTATTAAGATGGTATTCTGAAATTTTTATTTTTATTTATCATTTATTTCATAAGTACGTAAATATAATTTGAATTACAATTTTGTAATTTTGCAGTAATTACATTAAATATTTATTTTTAAAATATTAGAAATAATATTTGTTAAATATTGTAAATATTAAAATTGTAATTATATTTCAAATGATTCTACAAATTATTTGTATAAAATTGTATTCAAATCTTAGTTAAGAATCTGTAACAGTTTTTAAGGCATTTATATATTTAATGAAACAGTTTATTATTCAGTAAAAATATAATACTTGTAATATATGTATTTTAAATTTATAGAACTGTTAAAAACCATTATATTTATTTATATATAATATTTTTAGAATATAAATTAATTTTAAATATATAGAAATAAATTAGAAAGATACCACTTGATATTTACAGGTTTTTATTTTTATTTTATATGTAAATATAATATTGTATCAGTATCTGTATAGTTTCATTCGATTTAAAATTAAAACATTTACATCGATATTAGTTTCTTTTAAGGTTTGGAATGAAATATAAAATTTTTATTTAATGTTATTACAGTATTGCAATATAAATTACAATGTAAGTGTATATCACTCAAATGTTAGATTTTGAAGTCTTGAAGCATGAAGAATCCTTAACCTGTAAATTCTAAATTTCTATTTTCTGATACTTTCCTGTAAATTTACTTTTTATCTACCAAAAAAATAGTAAAACTCAAGTCATTATTTTTGAAAATTACAAGATTATATATATTTTGTTTGATATAATACATATATTATATCTTGATGAAATTTTAAAATACAATGAAAAGATTACCACTTACTGTAGTTGTAAGATATAAGATATTGAATTTTCAAATAATATATCATTTATTAAATATAATCTTATAATTTGTTTAACGATAAATGTTATTAAGTACTAAATATGTATGAAAAACAATGGTTTTAATTTTTGAAAAATTGAAAGTTATAATGTTTAATTACTTTTTTTTTTGCAAAATAGTTTTAGAATTGTCAATGGATCTATCAATACAGAATTTATTTTTAATATTTTTAAGTTAAATACTACTTCGTTCATGTACATATGACAAATTTTTTAATTAACTATCAATATAATTTAGTATTTATGGTATTTAGATAAAAAATATTGAAATATAAAATATGCATGCAACAATATCATTTGAAAAATTTAAATCAATAACCACGTATTTCTTCTTTCATATTTACACATTTTTAAATTAAGCAATAAATAAATTACTTGTTATATTAAAGCATGTTCTGATATTCAACAAATTTACAAATTATTCAACAAGTACATAAAATAATACTTTGATAGTATTGTTAGAATTATTTTTTTTAATAAATACGAGTTTAATGTTATATTGATGGATGGCGTCAATTTGATCTTGAAATAAAACTTTTATAAATAAGTTAGTACGTGTTGAATGATTTGCAGTTTCTAAGATTTAGATCTCCCAGTTTCAAGAAATTCATCGCCAGTTATTGAATTGTATTCCTTGTGTGTACTAAAGCGGAGTATTCTTGGCAAACAGTGTGCGACTACTCGGTGGCAGGTGGCGGCATGGCAGGTGACTTTAACAGAGCAGCACCAGGACCTGTCGACTATGGCCGAACAGATAACTTTGCTGCCGGTAGGGCTGACGCGTATGCTCCACGTGCGGAGTACGACCGCACGGCGGCTGGGCCGATGAGAAATGGAAGTGGTGGTGTTGCTGCAGGTGGCTACGGGGCTGGATATGGTGATGTTGGGTAAGTCCTTATATTATGATTATATCCTTATCTGATCAAACTTGAATTATTTTCTTTAACATATTCATAAATAAAAGAATGCTTAAGATTATTTTAAATTTTATTGAATTTCAATTATTAATTTATAATTTGATTCATGTTATATATCCAGTTATAGTGAATAATTTTGAATGGCATGATTTTGTTATTTTAATAAATACATAATATTTCAATAAAAATATTTTTATGTAATTCTTCAAACTGTAAATACTTAATTCCATATTTTTCTTGAAAATATTGTGCTATCATGTATCGTTTTCTTTTTTTATATATATTCTGTTGATTCATATATTTTTTTTAATAAGTATTTATATTCTATTCTGCTTTTCTTTGATGTATATATATATTTTTTTTATACTTTCACAATTTATTTTATTACTTTGTAAGCTACACTTCCTTCATATTCTAATGTTTGTATAAATCTGCTAAAATAATAAGGCAATTTTAAAACAGTTTGTAGCTTGGTACTCCCAGGCTAGATTCAATAAATTGATAAGTATCAATTTATTTATTATTTATTTATTTATTTACAATAGAGTATTATTGATACTTTTGAAGAATAATAATTTGTTTTAATAGATGTTACTGGTCTTTTGAAACTAGCTAAATTTCATTTAAATCTTGTCAATGCATTTTAAATTAAAAAAATCAAATTTAATGTTAAATAGACCAATCAGTGGAGCACCTAGCTACAGTACTGGTGGACCTAGCTACAACACTGGTCCTGGACCACAAGCAGACATGTTCAGCCGAAGAGCTGGAGGAACTGTTCCCAGTGGTGGATATCAAGTTGGAGGGTGCGTTAATTTTAGAAATTATTATTGCCCTTCTGCTTAGCTCTTCATTATAATTATTTCCTTTATTTTTGTCATTCAAAAAAATTGATTGTATATACTTCAAATAATTTAGTACATATTTAATACTAATGAAAAGATTTGTGTTAAAAAGTTGATAGAATTTAAGTATGAATTTTAACGGTTTTTTTTTAGCATTACTCTATAATGCTTGTGTTAACAGGATAAATCTTTGCTGCTTATTTTAAACACAATGTTATTTAACTTTAATTATATTTAGAATGAAATACATTAACTGTGATGTAAATAAATATTCAAATTTGTATCTATATTGTTGTTTGTTTTCTATTTGTTTCAACATATTTTATGAATTAAAAATATATCTCATGCAGTAGAGTTTTTTATATGAATAAATCCATGAATGATATTTTATTTACTTATAATTTAAATTTTATCAAAACACTCATTTTAAAATGATAATCAAATCTAAGTATTTTTTGAGAAAAATTTATAAATTAAATTTTTAATGGAGTTTAGATAAGCAAAATCTATTAAAAAGTCAACTTATTACTGAACACAATTTGTATACTCATTTAAATATAATTTCAGAATTGTAGTATTCGCGAATAATATTTTTTTTTTTTTTTTTTCATTACAGATACACAGAAGGATATGACAGAGCAGATCCCTATGGTCCTCCTCGTGGAGGTGGTCGGTAAGTAACAAATTTTCGTTAATTCATCGTTGAAAATATTTGGCGATTTACGAATATTGCAGAATATTTTAAGTAATTAAAGAAATAAAAGAATAATAAAAGGAACATTGAGCTAAGTAAATGACCTTGCGCTCTCGTTCTTTTGCGTTTCGTCCATTTTATGCTTCTACGAACTGTTTTGCTCCGAATAAGCGTAAAATAAAGATTCAAAATGCGCAGAGCGACACTAAAAGTTATACTGTATAAAAGTATAAGATGTAATGAAACTCAAATTTATTTATAGCAACACTAAACGATATATCTGTATTAATATTACGGTTGGACTTATTTAATAAATCTTTAAATTTTATGTATATACATTGATCATCTAAAATAAAACAGTTTATTGTTGCAATTTGTTCATAAATTTTAACAATCTGACATGCGTATAGCGCGAGCGCGCGTCATTCAATAATAAAATATTAACTGCGACTTTAAATACGCGAATCTTTGTATCTTGCGAATGCGACCACTTAAGCGATCCACAAAGTATGCTGCAAAGCGAGAGAAGAACTACAGATTCGCTAGTTTTCTATGTTTAAGTTTTGTTTTTTTTTGCATTTAATAAAACAAAATATTTAAACAAATCCTGCATACGATTTTAGCAGTTTTCGGTGTTCTAGAGTAATTTTTGGCTGCTTTTTTTAGCGAAAAAACTAAGATATTTTCGTACAATTGCAAATCGAATTGCATTTTATACCGAAATGGCTTTTTCCTTTTTTATTCATTTCAACGATTTACATGTGCTTGCGAATTACATATCTTTAATGTGCTATGCAGTAAATTCATAGAATGTAACTTCATTAAATTAAAAATCTTTAAATTTATGCATTCGTAAGTAAAATTTTAATTTAACTTTAATATTGTTTTTAGTTTTATTTCCATTTTTAACTTTACTTTTTAAATTTGAATTTGTCTAGAATTTCATATTAAACTAATATTTAATTGATTTTTCTAATTTAAAAAAATTCGTTTAAATTAAAAAAAATAGATATTATAAAACGAAAATTGTAATATAAGAAATACCTTTTTTTTCAAACATAAAATTAGAAAAATGTCGTTCTGTTCAATTGAACATCGAATTTATATAAGCTCTTCTTGAATATGAAACTAATTCCAAAATATATTGAAATATAAATTTCTAATCTATTCTTTAAGCTTTTACTGCATAGTCACATCATTGATACATACTTCTAATTTTAATAGAACTATTCTAATCACTCTTTTAATTGACATGATAATGTATATGACTATATAAATGATAATTACATCTTATACTTTAAACTGCGCTGTAAAAAAAGCAATAACAAAAACAATTTTTTAAACGATTAATCCTGCGACTTCTTATTTTTTTTAAACTTTTAGCTTCCCAGGTCCGGCAGACGCGATGCCACCGAGGTACTAATTAACCGAAAGTACCTACGAATCAAAGCGAATAATAACATGCAAAATGGCAAATAAAAAAGTTTGATTGCCGATGAGAATACAGCGGTTTAAGTGCGCAAACTTACGTCTACATACCAACGCCCCTCTCAAACTCAACCCACTTACCTTATAAATGCAGTTTCATTCGTGTAAACATAATTACATAATTACTAGATTATAAAATTTGAAAACAAATACAAGTAAACGAAGCCGATCGAATTAAAGCTATGTATCAAGGTTAAGTGTGGAATATAAAGGTAATACGAAAGGATAAATGCAAAACTTTGTAAAGAGAATTCGAGTCTGCGCAGGAGCGAGATTTGGACGAGCACAGAAGCCATTCGACAACTAAAAATTGTAATAGAAATTTAACATTTTTATACTGTTGATTTTGTCGAAAAAATCTTGACAAACCTACTTACAAATATTACATACATTTGAAAAAAGAAAGCAAAGTGAGCATTCGTTTCGATGAACGTAGCTTAACGATTGAAGAATTGTAAAGGGCAAGAATTAAGACTTGCAATTTTAGGACACACCAATTTACTTAGGCTATAAACAGAAATAAAAAAGGTGAATTATTTCTTCCTAGTTTAGTGTTACTTGATATTATAATGGACACACTAGTGATTTGTTTAGACTTACTGTATAATTTTCTTCTTTCCTTTTTTATATATGTAAGAATCTGGAAAAAGTGTTTTAGAGGATATTCATTAATAAAACGAGAGGAAATGCTTAAAGCTGCTTTCATTAAACAATCGTGTATTTTTTCTGTTTCAATAAATGTAACTAATCATTCCTTATCCTTATCATAATAAATTTACACCTTGTAACATAAAAGAAAGTTTTTATCAAACAAATTAAAAAGAAAAAAAAGAACATTAATTGGAAATTTTTTTAACCCATTGCAAGTTATATCCCTATTATTAAATTCCTTATTTTATTATTCAACACTAGCAAACTATATCGAAATAATAGTAATAAAAAAACTTGGGTTGTATAAAAAGCTTTGGGAAAGTGTAGAATTATTAATGGTAAATTATTTCATTTATTTTATGCTGCGTAATAATGGTTAAACATAATTATATGATTATTTTTAAAAAGTTTTGTTATATTTGTATTTTCATCTAAACATGAAATTTTCTCTCGGATTAATCCAAGACAAACGTTTTCAAAATATAAAAATGAAGGTGATTGACAAGAGAGCATCGCATTGGAGACCGAATATCGAACGTCGCTGTTATGCATAATTGCGCTTTCGTGTAACGACTTTTTGAAGATTCTGCGCTCCGTCTCTCCTGAAAATGCGAAAATGCGAAGCGAGAGAGAAAATCAGCGTCTACCTAGCGCAAATTAATCATCTTGGCGTCATATTCGAGCTCCACTTTTATAATAGAGAAGAAAGAGAAAGTACAGTCGTTGAAAAAACTATGTCCGCCAATGCGTGCGGCGTTTTTTAACGAAAGAGAGATTGAGAGAGAGAGAGAGAGAGAGAGAAAAAAGAAAGAAATAGAGGTGAAGCCGGCGATGAGAATGCGTTTTGCGCCCCCAGCGGCTTTGCGATTATGAAGGTATGTTTATTACAAACAAAAAGAACGCGTGCGTCCTTTATAATTCTATCTGTTAATATGATCGTATCATGAGTGGATATTTTCCTGTTGGACGTATCTATTTTAGACAGTAATTTATTGTCGAAGAATAGTAAAAAAGCATTTTAATCATTGCTTTTGTCGTACAATTTGAATTTAGTGTTCTTATCAGAAATGTTTTATTTGCACAATCTTTATTCGGAGTCATTTATAACTAGATAAAAATATAAAATACTCGTTATCATGTTTCAATTGTTTTAATATACAATTAAAAAATACATATACAATTGTTTTAATTTTCATTACAGAAGTGAAACTTACTGGTAACATTTATAAATTTAATTTATTTCAATTTTTGATTAGAACACAAAAATGCTTATAAATTTTAATTTATTTTCTTCCAATTTTAAATTTTCAAGATTTATTTTTACTTAATTTTTTTTTTTGTTGATATTTGCACATTTTAGAAAAATTTTTATATAATTTATTTCAATTTATAATTCGAGATGAATTTTGAAATGTGTAAATTATAAATATTAAGGATTGCAATGAAATTAAGGGAATGTCAGTTTATCTTTATAAAATAAAACGTTTTATAGCATGTATGCAGTTTTTACATATTCATGTATACTGATCAAGCCTTGGGGGACTTGATCATACAGTTTAGAAAATTCTTAATCTGTCCTCGACATTTCATAATTGTGCGCGACTACAATTTTATTTAATGAACATTAACATTTTAAGCTATATCATTGTAAATACACCAATTTTTACCACTACATAAAAAATTTATTTTTGTAATAATTAATTATAAAAAGGTACTAATAAAATACATACAAATTTCATTACAAAAGTAAATAAATTTCGCGTAATTTGATCATTCAGGTCAGTTTTCGATCGCGTAATTATTCATGTTTTTCTCATAGAATTTATGAAATTGTTCATGAAAATTGTCTTGTGCGATGTATACATTACAATTTTATTAATCAGTCACTTAATATATGCTTTTTCTTTTTTGGTCTTAGACTTTAAGATCTATTTTTCTCTTTAAAATTCTTAATATATCCTTATTATTAAATAACATTAGCATGTAAGAGAATAATAATTTTTATTTTTTATACCATTTACTCATAAAACTTTTTGTAATAGATGGCAACCTGGATGAATATGACCATGGGACACTAGTTGAGATGAACTCTAAATCCTGACTATCTTAAGGTGTAAAGGTGTGATTCTTACAATACTTCCCAAATAATTAAGAAATTTCATCTATAAGGAAGTATTTATAATTGATATAAAATGCTGATTTATAAGCGGATTATTTACAAGAAAAATCTGTATTTCAACAAGGAAGAAAAATATATAACATCTTATATATATATATATATATATATATATATATATATATATATATATATATATAAGAAAAATAATAATAAAATTGTACCTAAAAAAATATAATAAATTATAAAAAGTCATATTCTATCATTTATTTGCAAATCAAGATTATATTAGTATTTAATTAACATATACTTCATGAACTCATTTCGATTTTTACAATCAGTGATTTATTAAAATTCTAATTGATACAATGTTGAATTTAATTTTTAAAATATAGATAGTTAATTTTGTAGTTATCAAATATTTCAGGATAAAATTAATTTTGTTGTGATTATATAATAATTAGATAATATTAAACAGTGAAAATATTACGCGAAAATAAAATTTAAAAAACCAGCTATAAATTATATTTTTTGCATTGTTCATAAAAATTAATTTTTATTTATAATTATTTTATATTTAAAATAGCGGCATTTTGTTTTAAAAAATACTAAATATATAATTAATTTTATAATTTTAATTTAATCGAAATATTGTATATATCCAAATGAATTAAATAAATATTGGTACAAGTTTAAATTTCAATACAGTTCATGATTTACTTAATGTACTCAATTAAGTACTAAGAACATTATTAACTTATAGAAAGAACTATACTCTCAGCTAACTTCAAAATAATATAAATTTTTTTAATTGGGTCAAAAATTAACCCAAGGTTTATACTATTGAATAACATAACCTAAATGAATATAATCATTCGTTCAAAATAATAGGTCTGTTTAACAAAAGATAATATTGACAGAGGTAGGTTGTAATTAAATAATAATTATAATGAAAAAATCGATAGAAGCAATTGTAGAAGAGGTGATAATTAATCCTCAAAAGATTCAGCCGATATTAGGTATGTATATGTATTTAAAAATTAATCTTTTTAAAAAATAACAAACATTAAATTTTTATAGTAAACTTTCAAAATGGTAAGCTTAAAGAAGAAGAATCAAAGAAAATCAAAATTGGCTTATTTAACGATAAAACAAATAAAATTATTTTAGCATTATCTAATGGTCAAACCATTTATAGAGGTTTTAGGCCAGATTTTACTAATGATTTAACATATACTATGTTAGCCATTCGTAATAAAAAAACTGGCAAAATTAAATTAATACAAGCTGAAAGATGGAATGTTGCTCCTGTACTTAATAAATACATTAACACTACCACTGATAATGAAACAAATCAAGTAGTTGCTTTGAATAAGCAGTTTGGTTCTAAAAAAGTAAAGCGTAGAACAGAGCAATACGAAAAAATGAAAATAAATGTTGAAAATGTAAAAGATCAATTAGAAAAGACAGTGTCACGTAAGTTTAATTATAAGAACAAATTTAATTTATATTTTGAATATACTATATTAACAAAAATTAATAGCAATTAAAATTAAAAATATTTTTTAACCTTTATTAAATTAATTAATATTACTTAAATGGATAATTTTAATAATATTCATTATTTCATTTCAGACATTGAGATACAGAGAGATGAGCTTGAATTTACTATAAAGGATGACTTGGAAGATAATTTAATTTTACCACCAATTAATAAAAATGCAAATCAATTATGTGAAATTTATAATATTAATGATATTGTGCCAGATAATATTTTAAAGACATTGTACAGTAAAATTAATGAAGCTTTAAATGAAATAGAAGAGTAAATATTTAATCTTTTTTTTTTTTTAATATAATTTTAACAAAAATTAAAAAAGATCTTTCTTTTCTTTAGCAAAGCAGAATTTTTTTCAAAAACTGTAAAATATTGTAAAGATGATCAGCAATATACTATGAAAATGGCATTATTGTTATATATTGAAGGAGTAATTTTGTGGTTAAATAATCCTATTAAATTTGGTAAAAAATCCGACATAGTTGTATGTCCTTATTCACCTGAAGTTAATAATTATATAATTGATACCTATAGTATTGCGAGCAATAATGGAAGGTAAATTTTTAAAAATGTTAAGAGTTTTTTTAATCATTATATAATAAGTATTACAAATAATTTTTTAAAATTCTTTTCAATTATTTTTTTAGACAACGCCCAGGTAGAATGAAAGATAAAGGGATTATTCATTGTATAATATTAGGTCTTATAATTTGGAATTTTAAGTTAGATTTGGAACTCTTTTCTAGTATGTTCAAAATTCGAATAGGTATTAAAAAATTATTTGAACTTGCAAAATGGACTCATGCAGTGCAACATAAAGATGATAAAAAATGTGTAATTTATAAATTACCACTACCTTCGCACTCAATTAAAAGCAAAAAAAAATAAATTAAACTCTTTTTAAATTATAAATGATATGTATTTCAAATAAATTTTTAAAATCCTAAAATAGAAATTGTATTTTCAGTTATGTTATTTCACTATGGATAGTGTGATATCTTCTTATTTTCACCAATTAGAAGCAAATAAACGTTTCATTAATACCTTACGTATAATAATTAATTCATACTTTTGAATATAAGGCTGTCTGAGTTTTTAAAAATAATTTTTAATCAGTAATCAATTCATATTTCAAAAAAGGGCAAAAAATACAGTCAATATAGGTTAGGATCATGACAGCCATATTTAAAAAATTAGGAATCGAAGTATTCGGTCGATTTTCCTTATTTTTTTATCAGACAGCTGAATTTCAACGAACAATTACTGTAATAAAAATGGTTAGTTCTTTGTATTTATTAAAATGATGTTAGAGGTTGAGTATGTTTAAAATACGATTAAAATATTTTAATTAATATATTCATTTCTGAATTTACATTAAGTATATAGTAATATTTACTTTCCAATTTTTGAACAAGTGGTCGCAATTACTTTATTTCAGTTCCTCGTTCGAAAACAGGTAAAAAGCGAATGATAATTCACACTTCTAATTTGAGAATAAAAATACTATTGATTATATTTTTTCCTAGTCATTACCATATTTTTTTATATATTTTTTACAAGTTTAATCATATAATTAATTATTTTCTAATTAATTAAAAATCAAAATTCAAATATCTATCAATTAACTTGAAAAATAAATTAAACTAACATAAAATTTAATAATTCTAATCAAAAGACACTTTTTTTTTAAAAAGAATATGTAAACTCATATTAACAAAAACTGAATAAAAATCATAATATTTGAATTCAAATTAAAAATAAATATTTTAAATTAATTTGTGATGTTTGTTTTAATACTATAATAAATTATGGTTTAAAAAGTATTACATATTTAAAAGTTTAATTTGTTTGTTGAGATATATTTATAATAATATAAATTTTAATTTGTTTAAATAGTTTGGGATATATTCTTTATTTATTTTTAATTTGAATTAAAATGTTATGATTTTTATTCAGTTTTTGTTAATATAAGTTTATATATTCTTTTAAAAAAAAAGTGTCTTAATTAGATTTATTAAATTTTGTGTTAGTTTAATTTATTTTCCAAGTTCATTGATAGATATTTGAATTTTGATTTTTAATTAATTAGAAAATAATTAATTATATGATTAAACTTGTAAAAAGTCTTGAACTTTCATGTATATATTCTTATCCTTTGTCATTACATAATATTATAGTCTTATATATAAATATTAAAAACTAAAATTTTATAAATAATGGTACATTTAATTGTTTTATTTGAAGTACTTGCAAAAATTATTTCAAAATAAGAAATGATATTTTAAATATTTATAATATAATTAATGATATAATATGAGTAATAATTAAATATATGAAAATGTATTAAATTTAATTTAATGATGAATTCTATTATATTGTAGACCAAATTAACAGAAGTTGAAAGGCAAAAAAATTTAAATCCACTACTTACTAATGGTTGGATTGTTCAAAAGGATAGAGACGCCATTCATAAAGAATTTACTTTTAAAAATTTCAATCAGGTAATGTAAAAAACTAAATTTTGTTAACAATATATTTTAATATGTTATATACAGTTTAATATGAATTATTATTCATTATTGTCAGGCATTTGGTTTTATGATGCGAATTGCAATGCAGGCTGAGAAAATGGATCATCACCCCGAATGGTGCAATGTATATAATAGAGTTAACATAACATTATCGACTCATGATGTAAATGGATTATCTATGAAAGATGTCAAACTTGCAACTTTTATTGATAATATTCTTAAATCTGACAACATATAATTTTAATGGAATAATCAACTATTATAGTGAAAACTGTAATTTATATTGATTTTTCTTTTACTTTCTTTATGAGAATAGTATATCCATTTTATTCAAAAAATAAAAAATTTAATAAATAAAATTATTTTCCTAATCTTTTTCACAACTTACCTAATTAAAATGTTTATGTGCATTGTTATGAATTGAAAAAATATATCAGAATGATTGGATTAATAATAAATAATATATTAGAAAATCAAAATGTAATTTTTTAGAATAATGAATAATATTTTTTTAATTATTGTTTAAAATTATTTTAAATAACAATAAAGAAAATATACGTTTTGACATTAAAATTAAATAATCATTCATAAAGTATCTATAAATTAGATAGTTCAGTGTATTAATTAAATGGTCTATAAATTAGATTTTTTGCAAGTATTTTATATTAATTTATCAATAAATAAATGACAAGTGAATAGTTGAAATTAATATTTTCTAAAGGCGAAATTATATTGTTAATATGAACACATTAACTATATGTTTATTATATAATTTCAACTTTTATTTTAAGATGTCTTAATTTGTTCAATAACAATTATTCACGTTTTACGAGATATTTTATCTAAAATATATTTGTTTAATAATCTATATATATTTCTATAATTTTTATCAAGACAGCTATTCAGATTTTTTAAATCTGACTTAATACATAGGTCCATCAATTCAGATTTCACTCTTTTAACTATTAGGTAAAAAACCAAACAAGTCTTTAGCCTAAAAAGAACTTTTACAATAAATTTATTATAATGTTTACTATCGAGCGTTTATTCTATAAGTTAACATTTAGAAAACTTCCTTTTTATAAAAATTTTATATCTAAATATGAGTTCATTATTATACAAGCATTTCATATGCTAGGATTTGTAGAAGCAAATAAAATTATAAGCTAAGAAAATTCGATATTCGTTATATTCTTAAGTATACAGACATTTAAAATCTATACAAAAAGAAAATGTTAAACACTAATAAAAAGACGAATAAAATAATATTTTAATAAAATAATTAGTTTTTATTAAAGATAGATGATATATATATTTAATGACCGATTATGGAATGACTTCGAAAACAATAAAATATACTAATTTTTAAATGTTTATATCAAATTTAGTATTCGTAATATTTTATAATTTTTTAAAATTGTATTTATTAAATATTGTTATATGGCAGTATATTTTATTGCAAACTTTTTTAAAATTTTCATTTTTTTCATGTTTATAAAGTTCTGCAAAAACTTGATAAATTTAGATAAATTAATATTTTTATTGGAACTTTATGTACAAATATTATTTTGAAAATTGATTAAATATATACTTATAACAATTATTAATTAAGGATATTTGATATACTAATTAAAGAATACTATTAAGTATTACATCAACTGCATGATTTTATTTTTATTTGATTTATTTAACTTATTTACTCAGAAAAAATTCTGAAAGTAGCTTCACGACAATATATAAACAATAATTGTATTTTTCTTAATTATGCTGAAATGAACAAATATTGTTTTAGCTTCTAGGCTTCCTATGTTTTCTCAATATTTTACACTAGAGTTCTTTTAGTCTTTACTTAGCTGTCCTATTTTATGTGATAAAAAATTGAATGAACTCTATATTACGTAATCACCATTATAATTTTTTTCATAAACTATGTATATTCATGGACTTTTCTTTAGCTAAATAATGTTGATTTTTGTTATTGAAATATTTGAAAGAAATATAATTTTTTCTTTCAAGAAAATATTATTTTCGAAGAAGCAAGATTCAAAGTAACTTATGTACTAAACACAACTATCAAAAAATTACTATTCATATCATTAACTTTAAAAATTAATCATTAGTTTGATAATATTATATAGTAACTTGAATTCATTAATTATAATTTTTATGAACTATTACATTTAAATAAATATATATTATAAATAAATATATATTGATTTATTTATTTTAAAAGTTTATTGACTGTATAAGCAGATTTTAGTTTGAAGTGTTTAATTAGTTTTGTACTTATGCACGCATAAATGTACACAAAATTACAAAGTATATTAAATGAGATCATAAAATGAGATCATAATCCTAAAGAAATTATTCTATATATAATTCCACAAGTTGGAAGTTTAATTACCATAAGATAGCATTAATCCACTTTACATGATAATATTAAATCAGACTTAATATCAATTCAATAAAAAAAAACTTGAGTTTCTTATGATGTTTATTGAGATAGCTCGTTTTATTATGATAATAAAAGTCTATATTACGTATGTTTTGCAGAACACAATGGCAACATAGAATTTTAAAACTTTTATCAGAGTTAAAATATTAATAAGTGTATAGGTGAAATGCAAAAATTGCTGTGATTAAAAAAAAATTCAGGTTTGCACAAATAATTAAAAAATTTTTAAGATGTAAACAGTCCTGAAATAGCATTTGTACGCTAAAATTATCAATATTTCATTGTATATATTTGTTTAATTCTTCTACTTTTATGTTTATTACGTTTATACTTACATACTTTTATTATGACACTTACTTAATCAATATTTCTCTATAATTCTGTTGAAGAATTATTTCCCTAAAATTATCAAATAATTTGAAGATTTATTAGTAATTCCTTTTAAAAAATAGTTCTGAAATGTTTGATAAAACTTAAATATATTATAGATAAAAATAAAATTGGTTTTAAGTATTAAAATGTATACAGCACATCTATTATAAATCTATCTATTATATATGCTGTCTATTATAAAATATTCAATTAAGAAAATAAAACTTTGATATTAAATTAGTTACACTACTGTACATCGATAGTTAATCTACAAGGCAAGGATAAATATAAAAATATATACTTTCATCAAAGTAAAATTTAGATTTATAAATGAAAAAATTGTAAATATTCCTTAGTAATGGTAATTATTACAGTGAACTCCTGTGAAGTGGTGTTTGTTGGGTCTGTGCCCTTGCCAATTAGAGATGAAGGCAGAAGGAGACGCATACATGATTGACCTACCTGAATGGTACCTGATCAACATGGTTGTACAAAGTGTGATAACCTATATGTGTTACTCATTTCTCTAGTTTTCGTAATTTTTCTATTTTCTACATTTTTATATTATATTATTTAATGGACTATTTTCCACACTGCAATTGTTTTATATACAGTTGTGATTAACTGTCAAACATTTGTATGCATTGCCAATCAATAAATAGATAAAATTAAATTATTCATAACTGAATTGAGACGAATATATATTTTAAAGTTATAAAAAAATTGAGTTAGAAAATAATGTTATTAACCACATTAATAATTAATTATGCTTTTTCTAAATTTCAAATGAAACTTAACAGAAAATAAAAAAATATTCAGAAATTAAATGAATTTATTCTTTTTCAATTTTAATATATTTAATATATTTTAGATTAATTTAAAATATTAAAGGCAATTTTATAAAATTGTTACTAATTTAAAGATAAAAGCTAAAATTTATGACAGGGATTTATGTAGCCTAGTCATATGAATTTAATATAAAAGTTTCAATTTAATATAAAGGTTTCAATTATTGTATATTAACCTTAAAAATTACTCAAATATAAATATTTAATATAACAAAAGCATAATTGTTTTTGTTAAATTCAAAATTATTTAAATTATTTGTTTTCTAATGAAAAGAGAAAAATGTGGTATTTTTAGAAAAATAAAAAGTATTAGGTATTTTAATCTTTTGTTAAAATTATAAATTATATGATTTTTTACTACTTTAAATTGTTGAAATATTTGCACTTAATATGAAATTAAGAGTTTACTGTCACTATCTTCAATTATATTTTCTTTAAAAGTTTTTATCTTAAACAACACAGTCAAAATCAGAAAATTTAATAGAGAATTATTATTCAATTTATGATTAGATATTCTATATATTTAATAATCGTCAATTTTTCTTAGAATTTGTAATTTAAAAATTAAAAATATTCTTTATTCTGAATATATATTTGAATACATAATATAAAATAATATTAAATACTGTAATTATTTTAACAAATGGATTCAAAGTATTTTACTTGATATTTTTCATACAATTTTTTATACAAATATATGCACAATAAATACGCAGTTTAATCAATGAAAAATCTAAGAAAAATCTTGTTAAAATTTATGAGATAAATAGAAATAATATATGAATTGACACACCTGCAAGGTGCGCGCGCACACATGTGCACACAAAATATATATTCGGACTATTCATATTTACAATACCGTTTATGTGATAATATAAATAATACCCTTGTTGATCTTATAATATAAATATACCATTAATATAATTTAAAAAGTTATCAAATGAAGTTAAAAAAATGAAATTGAATAATACGGTGACAGAAATAAAAGGAGGTTAATATAATTCGATGTAGGTTATGTATTGTTTCATTTTCATTAACCAAACTAGAAATAATTATATACAAATTTATTAATGACAACTGATTAATATTATGTTATAACAATATTAATATGTTGTTTGTGCGTTATGTATGCGAAACAGAAAAGCTATACAGCATTACGCACTGCAACATCCACGTGCGCGAGTCATTTTAATTTAGACTTTAAACAATATTTACCTTCTATGTACCGTTTCAAAATAGCAACTACATTTGAATGACGACCAGAATAAGTAGAGAGAACGAAGGGAAGATTATTATACTACCTCTCTTAGTACAGTAATAAGTGATAAAAAAGGATTATGATACATTATTATGTCGATACATGAATTCTCTCGCTCTAGCGCTATTGCTTCCAAGTTCTTTATACGTAAATCAATATATACAAAAAGAAAAATAGGATAGAAAGAGCCGGTAACACATGTTGCAAAAAAGCCACGTTTAATCTGAGCAAGAGAGAAAAAAGGTAAAGTTTAAGCAGCACTTGATTTACTCCATCGTCAATTGTAAGTGAAAAAAAGAGAGACATGAAGAAAGACAGATATATGGCTACATAAAGAAAGAGACAGAGTAAGAGTGCGAGAGAGGGAGGAGCTTGTTTTCCTGCTTGAAAGATAACTGTAAATGTCATCGACAACGAATGTGTGTCACAGTGAGCTAGTTTTGAAAGCTGACGTTCTGCGATCACCGGATTTCATTGATATCTCCTTTTACCTTTATTTTCTATCTCTTATGTGTTTTTAATACGTTATGTTCACATTTTTCCAAAATTAATTTTTCTATCCATACAATCCTCATTCTTTAAGTTATCTATGAATTAGTGTAGTGTATTCATAAACTGATTAAAAAAAAAACATTTTAGCCATTAAACTTTTATTCTCACCTAATTTGTGTTTATATTTCATGAGTGTTTATATTGTTTATGTTCTTTTCATTTAGATGCTCTTTATTACAGGATAAACGGTAACATTTATATCACATTTAATATTGAATAGATACAAAGTACACAGTCTTATTTATATAAAATTCATTTATTAATATATTAATTATATTGAAGACTGTTGGTACTTTACAGTTTCTGTTTTAATTTATTTTTTAAATTTAGTAATAATTTCAAAATATTTATGTTTGATTATGCTATTTGTAAAAAATTTTAAATATATATAGAAATAAATTTTAATCAATTATTTATCCTTGATATATATTTCAATAATATACTACTGAAATCAATAAAAATATTTAACCCTTCTAAAATACAATTTATGTATAAATAAAACTGCTTTTTTTATTATAATACTAATCTTTTAAATAAAAAATGTTAATTTTTATATATGTAACATTTAAATTGATAAATTTATTTTAGAGTTGTATAAAAAATATTTTTAAATTTTCATTACATTTATTTCTTGAAACATTTCTTAAATTAAAAAAAAACCTAAGTACGTTAAGATAAATAATTTTATTAGATCATGTTAAAATTTCATCATGTTAAATATAAAAATAATGTTTGAATATATTTTATATTATATTAAATTGTCTAAATTACAATTTATATTTAGTAAATAAATCATCTATTTTTTTTTCTCAGTATATAGATAAAGATGGAAGGATTAGAAATCACCTTTCTTTTTCAATTTGGATTAACTCGAGATACTGTTACAGTAGAATCTGGTAGTCTGACATTAAAGTCTCTAAAGGAATTTGCCTGTGATTTTATAAATAGCAAATGCCCAGATCATGGCTTAAGTCAACTTTTTGAAAGACTGCTGCTTTTTAAACATGACTATAATTCTGTTAATGTATTACAACTAATTACAAATACAACTGAAGTTGTTGATGAAACATTAGTTGAAATTATAATATCAGGCAAATTATTTGTATTTAGTACATTGATAATATAAATTTTATCAATTTATTTGATACTAATGTTTTTCATACCTTAGGTCAGATGTTAATTGAAGAAATTCCAATTCGACCTCATGCTTTATCGGTACACTCCTTTAAAGCACCTACATTTTGCGATTTTTGTGGTGAAATGCTGTTTGGCCTTGTTCGTCAAGGACTCAAATGTGAAGGTGAGTTTATTATTAGGTATTGTGTAAGGTTATTTGATTTTGTAAATTTTATGATATGCAACCATTGTAAATTGTTTGTTGCAAAACTAGAAAAATATGTTTTCTTCAAACTTTATTTCAATATTTTTCTATTTTAATATAGGATGTGGTATGAATTTTCATAAAAGATGTGTGATAAAAACTGCAAACAATTGTTCACAAGATATAAATCAAAGGCGACAGAGTTCCACGTTTTTAAATATTCCAAGATCACCAAGTCAAGGCTCTACTAGTAGTTTAACTAGTGTTAGTGACGATAATCACAGTGTTACAATAACCCCAAGTTCCAGTCAAAATAACAGTACTCTGGTACATATATATGTGCAACTAATAATGACATTACTGTATTAAAAGTTTTATAATTTTATAGTATAATAATATATTTTAAAATGAAATCAATAATTATACTAGAAATCGGTATTGAATAATACTAATTAATTATTGTATTATTTAACATTTTGTTAATAACAGATTATATTTAAAAAACTAAAATAATATATTATTAATAATGTGCACATTATTTTTTTGTCTATAATTTAATTTTAATATTATTTTTCAATATTGATATTATTTTTAGGGTATACCAAGTATTATAACTCCAAAACAATCTCGTTTACCCTCTTTAAGTGGACGGTCAGCTTGGGTAGAACGAGAATTGGCAACACGTGTAAAAATTCCACATACCTTTGTAGTGCATACGTATACACGCCCAACAGTCTGTGGATTTTGTAAAAAATTATTACGAGGATTATTTAAACAAGGTCTACAATGTAAAGATTGTCAATATAATTCTCATAAAAAATGTATAGAAAATATTCCCAAAGACTGTACAGGAGAAAATTCTATAGATTTTGCAGGTAAATATTTTATTGTATATAATTGTAAAATCTGATAATTGATCCCTAAAAATAAGTTATTTTTATGAAAATTATGTGTCTTATGATTCAAAATCTATTTAATAAGTAAAAATAATGTTGCTATATTTTAATACAATCGATAAACTTTAATATAATTTATATTTATTACAAAACACAATATATATTCTAATAGAATACTTATATTTAATGTTTTTTAAATATATTATAAAAATAAATTATTAAATTTATGAGTTTCTTATTTTTATAATTTGACTGTATGTGAAATCATGGTTTAGTTGTTTACAAAGCATTTCTGATTTAAACTTTCTTATTATTAATATTATTAGGTAATGAATACCCTGATAGTGGAGTTGGAAGTGAGCCAGAGGGTAGATGTGATGGTCGCAATGAAGAGGGAGATAATGATAGTGACACAGAATCTCTTGCACCACGTACTCATATATCGATTATACTAGATGATAATAAAATTAATGGTGATTATATTGTAAGTTATTTATATTTATTAATTACTTCTCGAATTAATGTAGAATTGTAGAAACTGCAAATATGTATATTTATTGGATTTTTAGGTTCATACACCAAATGGAGATAAATTTTCTGAAAACTTCGATAGATTTAGACCAGCAAGGTGAATTAAATAATATTAAATGTAGCATATTATATTAGGTAACTAAACTCTTAATAATAATGCATATTCTGCAGTTCAACTCCTAGCAATAATATTCCATTGATGAGAATTGTTCAGAGTGTAAAACATACAAAAAAACGAGGTTCTAAAATTTTAAAAGAAGGTTGGATGGTACACTTTACAAATCGAGATTCTACTGTAAGTTTTTATTTCAATATAAAATATTTATTAAACTATAATTAACTATTAATTTCTATATATTGTTCAGAGTAAAAGGCATTATTGGAGACTTGATACAAAAGCAATTACATTATTTCAAAATGATATTGGATCAAAATATTATAAAGAAATTCCATTATCTGAAATTTTAACAATTGAAAGTGCCAAAACACCCTACGCTCGTAAGTCTATCATACTTATTTTAATTTATATCTTATTAGCTTATTTTACTTTTTATTCACTTTATATTCATTTATATTTTAGAAACAATGCATTGTTTTGAATTAAAAACAGGGAATGTAGACTATTATGTTGGAGAAAATTTATCGTATAGCAATGAAAGAGGACAATTTCCACTATTAGACAAGGGTATTGATGTTCATTTAGCTAGATCTTGGGAAATAAATATTCGGCAGGCATTGATGCCTGTTACTAGTGGTTCTTCTAGTATGTGTAATCATTATTCTTTGTTTATTCTTTCGTTTTCTTCATATTTAGTGCATCTAATTATTATTATTATTTTATTAGATCATGAATCTGAAGCTAAAGAATTAGAAGAAAATGTTATGGATATGTCACAGCTCTATCAGATTTTTCCAGATGAAGTTTTAGGGTCTGGACAATTTGGTATTGTATATGGTGGAGTTCATCGTAAAACTTCAAGAAAGGTTGCTATAAAAGTCATAGATAAATTGCGATTTCCCACAAAACAAGAGGCTCAACTAAAAAATGAAGTGGCTATTTTGCAAAATCTTTCACATATGGGTGTTGTAAATTTGGAAAGAATGTTTGAAACTCCAGAGAGAATTTTTGTCGTAATGGAGAAATTAAAAGGTGATATGTTGGAAATGATACTTAGTTCTAAGAAAGGTCGATTAAGTGAGAGAGTTACAAAATTTTTGATAACACAAATTCTTATCGCCTTGAAACATTTACATAGTAAGAATATAGTGCATTGTGATTTAAAACCTGAAAATGTTTTATTAAGTAGCAATAGCGAGTTCACTCAAGTAAAATTATGTGATTTTGGTTTTGCAAGAATTATTGGAGAAAAGAGTTTTCGTAGAAGTGTTGTTGGTACACCAGCATATTTAGCACCAGAGGTCTTAAGAAATAAAGGTTACAATCGTTCCTTAGACATGTGGAGTGTTGGAGTTATAGTGTATGTTTCTTTAAGTGGAACTTTTCCATTCAATGAAGACGAAGATATTAATGAACAGATTAAAAATGCTGCCTTTATGTATCCTCCAAATCCATGGAAAGAAATTTCAACTAATGGTAAATTAATTTTTTTTCGCAATTTCATATTTAATATTTAATACAGAAAAATATTAGTTTTAATTTTAAAAAATATATTCAATTTAATATCTGTTAATTAGTTATATACATTTTGACTATAAATTATAAAAATTATATTTATTTTTATTTTAATTTTATATTTTATATTAATTTTATATTAATTTTTATTTTCAGCTATAGATTTAATTAATAATTTACTTCAAGTTAAGCAGCGAAAGCGATTTTCAGTTGACAAAAGTTTAATGCACATTTGGTTGCAAGTAAGTTAATAAAATAATAAAAAACAATAAATATATAAAACTATATATTACAAAACGTTAAAACGATTAATTATTAATCATTTTTAATTTATTTTTTATTTTTTATTAATTCATAATTGTGTATATATTTATAATTCAAATTATATGTATTTGAATAAAAAGAATAAATGAAACTAATTTATTATTTAATTTGAATAGTATTGCAAAAACTATAAAAAATTATTTTTATTTAGTCTTTGATTTATAAAGATAAATAAGTATTTTTAAATTTTGAATAGTTTTCAATATTCATGTAAATAGATATAATATAATTGAATAAAATTTTGTTATAAATACATGTAATACAAAATTATTATTAGTAAAATATTTTGTTTATAATAATTTAGATGTAAATAGCAATATAAATTGAATAACGTAAATATAATGATAGAAAATAAAGACAATAAAGCAAAATCGTATAAAATTTTGTACGATAAATAATACTCACCTTTTGAACTTGCATGAGAAGCTGATTGATAACAATTAAGAATTAATGAGAAATTTTTTTTATTTCAATTATAAAAGGATTACCAGACATGGCGTGATCTGCGCGAACTTGAAAATCGTGTGGGTTGCCGCTATCTGACACACGAGAGCGACGATGCGCATTGGCAGGGACATGCCAATAATGTTGAAATCGCATGACATAGCAGTAACTGTGGACCAGTGCTGGACATATCTGAGCCTATTACTAAGGGCTGGGTTCGCACCGCTCGCGACACACTTCGACGATTCATTCGTGTTTGACTAAACGGATAATATTAACAAAAAGGAACAATCTCTGGATCTCAATTAGAGATCAGTTAATGAAACCCAATTTCGTCTTTCTCATCATCATCTTCATTCTCCCATCGTTTTTTTGCTTTCTTTCTTTGAATAATAAAGTTTATTTTATTAAAAAATAAAAAATGCTTGATTATTGATGCATTGTAATAATATTGGCTGTAAGACATTTTTATCCTGGAATCTTTAAAATTACTTCGTTAATTGTTTTTAATATAATATAAACAGATTTAAGTACAAAATATTAAATTCAAGCACTTTAAGTTGTATGCAACAGAGATTTTGTTTAGTACATTATTTTCTTTTAAAATTCAAAACTAATTTAAATAATATTTATAAGTAGTATTTATATTTTGTCTTTACTTATATTTTTCTTATAAATTTTAGTAACTATAATATTATGATTAAGTTAATCATCGTTATTTGTTATTTATAAACAAAATTTTTACAGTTTATTTTTCCAATATCTAAAGTACGTACTATTTAATACAATATCATACAAGTAGTTTTTCATTTTATATATTGTTTAAGGTAAGAAAACCATTGTTTCAGTTTATCTATAATAAACTGTTTGATTTTATTTATCTTAATTATTATCATAAGTTTATATAATTTTATTATTAATGCAAGTGATAACTTGAAAACAGAAGTATAATTATAAACTACAAATTTATATTTTTTAAAAAATTGTTGAAACTTTTGTTGAAAATAATTTTTCGTAAAAATTTTCATGAAAATAAAAAGTTGTACATTTTTGCACAGTACTTAATATTGATAGAATGAAATTTAATGGTCCCAATTATTAATAGCGTATTACTGATAAATTTGTTAAAAATTTACATTTTAAAGGTTTTATATAGATTATCAAATGTTTAAATCAACTACATAATCGATAATACTTTTTAAATATAGTACTCTACTAATGCTATGAAAAAATACAAAGGACAATGTGTAATAAAGAAATTGCATAATAATTTTTTGGAATTATATCATGCTAGTTGTGCCATGAATTAGAGTAAATTTATTAATCTAATATAATTGTGAAAAAATACTAAAACATAAATTAAATATAACGTATTGTATAATCTGATATTGATAAGTTTTTATACTATTAATGGATTGATTGATCAAATTCAGTGTTCATGATTGATTGTTATTAGTAAAAGAGATAAGAAAATTAATATTTAATTCATTTTTAAAATAGAGCATTTGGGAAATATATGTCATAATAAATTGTTTACAATGTAAAAAGATGATGATGTAATATTTTAAATATCTATATTCGTTTTACTCAAATGATTTTTTTTATTTAATGAATAAATATATAATAGATTTTAATATATAAATGTTGATGAACAAATATGAAACATTCCACATTTTAAGCTGATTCTGACAATAGCATAATATTATTCGTTAATATTAATTGTTCAATTTTTCCTTAAACCGAATTTTACGTACACGCTTTCCCAAGTATTGAATTCAAATATAGGACATATAAACAGCATTTATCAACGCCTATACGTACTGTATATTATTGTTGAAATTAAAAATTGATTTATAGCTCAAACTATTTTATTAGTAAATAATTAAGATTTTATTATCAATAAAGCATTCAAATGTGTTTGTAAACACTTTAAAAATAAAAGAGTTAATATAAAATAATAGGTATAAAATAATAAATATCAATAGGTTTTATTTTATATATTTAAGAGTAAAAAAAATGTTTTAGTTGTTTCCAATTAGTGGCTGTAATGATTAAAGTTCAACATCTTTTTTTACATATGCTGCACAGTTGTTATAGCAATAAAAAATGTTATTCAAATAAATATTAAAGTGTTTTTTTTAATAGTGTGAATTAAACAATAATTTTTCTATTCGAAAGTTGTTAAAACAAATGGTCAATAATTTAATAAATTACAAGTATTTAAAAATTATATAATTCATATACACTTTATTAAAAAATTTAATTTTACAGATGACTATTAAATAACAGACTTTTGTTTTAGGATCAGACTTATTTTGTTTTAACCTCATATGTTGTAAAAAAGGAATTAATTTAATTTTTTTAATTAATTTGTTAATATTTACATAAATATTCGATATATAATTAATGGTATTTTTCCAACAAATACTTTGAAAATGGTCATATTTAATATTCTTGCAACATTATAGTTAAATTAAATTATCTTAAATTGTACTTCTCTATAATAGTTATACTACCTACTATTTTAATTATTATTTTAATAATTAGAAACACAATATGTAAGTATATGTTAATTCTTATAAATTATAATGTTTATATTTATTAAATGCTTTAAACAACGTTAAAATTTTAATATATTAGGTAAATAAATAACATTTTATGCTTTTGTATTTCATTAGAATTTATATATTTTTATATATTTATATATTTATATATTTATATATTTATATAAGATCTCAAAAAGGTAGAAAAAATCTGATGATATCAAGTACTTAAAAAAAATAATAAATTTTTAAATAATTATAAGCATTCATAATATTCTGTATGTTTCTTAACAAATTTAGTTAACATGAATGTATTATTCATTAATGTTTAAATATTTTAAATTGTTAAAGAATATAAGATTTTTTAACAATATTTAAATAATTTATATTTTTCTTTATAATTTTATTAGACATTCATTTGTCTAAATATTGCATGCTTTTATTATAAATCTGAATTATTGACTAAATATTTAAAAATTATAAATTGAGTTTATTAAAGTAGTTTTTAATTAATAATTTAAATTAACAAATTGATATTTAATAAAAATACAATATATTTTATGTATATGATATTGTATGTATTATGTATTATCATAATTAATACTCTAACTACTTCTAATTATTAGTCTCTATAACATATTATACTTATAGATTAAAAATTAATTAAAGGTTGAATTATATATATTCTATTTAATCAAATTTTGAGTAAATATTAATACAGCCAACTAATTAATATACTTATTCGTTATAAAAAATAGTAATATTAAATTATTTAGATTTGAATATTTTTTATATTCATACATGATTTACAATCACAATTTATTGATACTTTTAATCTTTTTATTTTTATATTTAACTTTTTACTTAACTAAATTGAAAATATATGTATAATAATGTATATATTTATCAATAATTAGGAAAGTTAGATTTGAAATAGATATTAAATTGATTGTATAATAATATTTATTTTTAAGAGCTATATGTTACATATTGAAATCAAATAATAAAAAAAATCATAAAATATTGAAATCTCATATTTATAGTAATAAATGAAAAAACTACAAATTGTAGTATACTGTAAAATTTAAATGTAGACAATAAAATCATTGTGAAACATGTATAAGAAATAATAATCTACTGAATGTGAGTTTAATATATTGTTAATTTAATATATTGTACTACATATTTTTATATAAGATTGCCTAATTAGGAAAATTATTTATCAATTATTAATTAAAAATTATATATATATATATATATATTACATATATATTATATTATATATATAAATTATATATAAATTATAAATTATATATATACATAATTGAAGTTTAACATAGGTGAGAATTTTTCATTCGTTTTTGACATCGAAACATTATATTATAGGTTTATTGAATATAAATTTAGTAGTATTATTTAAAGTTATTCGGATAAATATAATAACTATAACTATATATAAAATAATAATAAATATATATAACTACAAATGTATTTTTATATCTGTAAAAAGAATATAAATAAAGCATTTTTTATTCTTGAAAGGGAAAATATTTTAGGAGATTCTTATGTTTTTTAAATTTATCATTATTTTTATCTTATTTTTCAATACACTTTTTACTCTTGAACATATTTTGAATATAATTTAATAGGATATACTCATATAATGATTTTATTTAAATATATATTTATATTAATAAAATATGTATACATATATAATTTTTTTAATGTAGGCGTTTTAAATATAGAATTTAATTATACTAATATTAAAAAATTATACTTTTTATACTACTTAATAATATAAATTTGTTAATAATAATATATAATTTAAGCAGTGTTTACATAATACCTATACACATGAACATAAAATGTTGATTGTGAATAGAGAATTATATAGACCACCATTTTTTATTTAAAGTGAATTACTGATTAGTAATTGTATTAGATTTCATGAGATGATTGATTAATTTTATTGAATTAACAGTCTTTTTCTTTGTGCTTATTGAAAATTTACAATAAAAACGTTTTCATTAGATTATATCTCAGAACGAACTACCTGTACCTGTACATTTGAAAAACTTCAACTTATTTTATCAGTTGTAGAAAAGTAGGCATTCTATATTTGAAAAAATGTTATATGCATATATTCATTGCAGTATATATTGGGTCATCGTACTGTATTATAAACCACTAGAGATAAAAGATTTCAAATCTAAATTTCATTTTAAAAATTTATATGAGATACTAAACACTTCATGAGAATTTTCTTTCTTCTATCTTTGTTCTAATAAAATAATAATAATAATATTTTTTAAATGACAAAAAACGTATTTATATGAAATGTTAGATATGAATGAATTAATAATAATATTGATGTAAAAATATATATTTATAACATACAGCATTTAAACATATTCTAATGAAAGGCTGAATATATAACTGTTAAGAAGAAATTGGTTTAGTTTAATTGTTTATAAAAAATTATTTTTTTAAATAGTATAAACAATTTTGTGAAAACGATTATTTATTTAAATAGGTGATCAGTTATTTAAAATTTAGCAGAAATTCATTCATGTCATTTTGAGGGTTTATCCAGTAGTGTTATAAAATTAATTAAGCTTTAGTTAAAATATACTAGCGAATAATCCTAATTACTTTACGTTATATTAGTTGTCATAAAAATAAAAAGGTATAAAAGGTTGTTAAAAAATATTATATAATAAACTTTGCATGCTATGTTTGTATTGATTAATAATTTATATTAATTAATATTTTGCTTTACTTTACTTATATAATAATTATAAATTCTGTAATATAATAATATTTTCTTATTGTTACTCATTAACTTAACGATATTCTTTTAAAATAGATGTTGGGTACTTGATTTCGTTTCAAATTCTTTTTATATTTTATGTAATATAGTTTTTTTTAAAGAGATGGCATTCCTTTAAAATATTTTCTTTGTGAATATTAACTTTATTATTTAAATATTATATTATAAAATAATTATAATACATTATTCCAAATATTTATCAATATTCTTATCTTATTTGTCATAAAAAAAGATATATATATTTTAGAAACTCCTATTAACACATCATTTATGTATAATATAACACTTTCATTTTGTTTTTTTGTGTGGTCATTTCTTTTTCAATGCAATATTTATTAATTTTATACCACAATTAATAAAAAATGTTATAAAAATTATTAAGAACTGCCTGAATATTTTTTTTATATTTTATGACTTAGATCCAGTATAAAAAGGTATATATAGCTACCACTACAATTATAGCAAGAATTATTTGTAGTTCCAATTATATGATTTGATTCATTCATTTGGTTTTATTATCTTAATACCTGCAGTTCATATTCTTATTTATAATTTAATTTTAGCCCAGAGAAACCAAAAATTTTATTAAATTTTGCTTTTAGTAAATTTTGTAAATTATTATTCAATTGAAGTGTACAAAACTTATTTCATTTTATGAAATCTATTTACTTTACTTTTACAGTTTAAGTCAATAATTAATTTAATTACTAAAATACTGCTTTAATAAAGTTAATCACAATAAACAATGGTTTTTTAATTTAATTTTTATTAATTTGTTTTATTATTCATCAAATTTATAGATTTTGACTATAGAATTGCATTATAAACTTTGAAAAATAATCATTGATTACTTTACTCTCAGATACCATTATTTGAATTTTAATATACAGTATTTAATTTTCTTACTTCTTTTTCTATTAATAATTACAATAAATTATAATGAAATGTATGTCAGTAGTCAATTTATAGATTACAGTTACGTATGAAAATATATGCTTCTCTCGTTGCTTATTTGAGAAACGTTGTGTTCTGTATTTGTCACAGCATCATCCGTGTTATTAAAATTTTTATATCGTAACCAAATATCAAACAAATGACCTTCCGATTCCACTTACTAGTATTGTTAAGTGTTAGCAAAACAATAATTTAAAAAATTACGAATAAATATGAGTATTTGTAAAAAGTTTACATTTTAATTTATTTTATAATCATAATTTATTCAGTTATTTATTTGTGACAATTTAGTTAAAATATTTAAAATATGTTTTTCAATACTTTTCTTTAACAATTAATTAATTATTTTTAATCAAATAAGCGATTTAATAAAATGTTTCATTATTATAAAACTACGTCTAAATGTAAATTCAGAAAAGTCTGAATGTATGATTTAGATCATTGGATTTAATATATAGATCTATAGATCATTGCATATAATATTTGTGCATTAAATATATATATATATAAATATTTTCATTACTTAGATGATTAATTAAAACTATACTTATTTTTATTTACGTTGGTTCTTTCGGTGTAAATAAACTATATTGTTAAACAATAATTATTTAGAACGAAAGTGAAAATTTGACTCTGAAATAATTTAAACTGATATTTCTATATCGAAACGTTTTTAACTCCGATTTAAAAAAATATTTTATATTTCAAATAATAATAGATTAAATAATACAAACACGTTAAAATTAATAACAATTAACCTAAATCAACTTTTATAAATTTTTTATTAAAATTTTATTTATTAACGGAATTATAAGTAGAAGCTCAAATTAAAAATAATTTTAGATGTGACTATCAGCAAAAGCAGCAAAAATTAAATCTATAGACAAATAAATAATAAAAATAATTAACTATTAATCTATTCAAAGGTTGTACATAATACTATTACATATACTTAGCCTAAGTATGATTCGTTTCTCAATTTTGTAAATAAATTTAGAATTAATGGTACTGAGAACATAGTTATAATGGAATAATACTGCTTTCGATGAAAAAAAAACATCATAGGGTGAAAAATCTTGATTAAATTAGTTTCTTGTTTTATTTCACGTAATTCCTAATGTATACAAAAAAATATTACAAGGTTAAATACAAGAAAAAAAGGAATAAACAGAATAAGAGTATGAAAGTTTTCAGATACAAGATTCAAGGCACAAGATTATAGAAAAAGGGTTTACGCTTATTAGCTTTCTAGTGCTCGTCCACAGTGGACCGCTTGGCGTGAATAATAAGCGTCACATTGTCCCAAAAATCGCTTCATGATAAGCTTTTTTGTCAGTTTCTGCTAAAACTGGCAACGTGCATCATAATCGAGTATGGCTTGGCTCCCAGCTATCGCCATTACAAGCTTTGGTTTCCTTGTTATAAGCTCTGCTACGTGGATCGAAATTCCTCAGTTCTCGGATCAACGTAAGATCTACAAAGACCCAGTTTCTCATGGATTTGTTTTTAAAGAAGTATGAGATCATTCATTCGGCAACTAATTTTTCGACTTCTATTCTATTCTATATTATTCTATTCTATTCTTTATATTCTAACTATTCGTCTATTTCAAGGTGAAAACTGAATTTTTAATTCATTACAGATAGCATAACATAAAAATTGCACTTAAATAATCAAGTTTTCCATAAAAAAATCTTTATACTATGACAAAACGCGTTTTAGTTCCGATTTACGATCCTACGTTGGAATTACATTTTGGTAACATCAAAATTATAAGCTTTACATTATATTAAATTTATTTAAATTATAAGTTTTTTATAATTTATAAGATAGGTTTCCATAAAATAAAAAATATAAAATGGAACTCCATTAACTTTTTTATATTATCTCATAATTTAAAATATTTTAAAAATCAATTTGTTAATACTGATATTATTAAGAATCTTATTCATTTGATTTTTTACCTACATTTTAATAAACTTTAATCAATCAGAAATAACATAATAACAAAATATATTTATTACCAAAGGGTTACTCACTGTTTCATAATATGTATTATTTCTAATAATATATAATAATCGAATGAATTATAATTGATTGAATATATTTCAGTTTAACGAGCTATTAACTATAAACGATGCAAATGGCGAACTAACTACAACTATAGATTCAATGGAACCTGAAATAATTTCATTATCAACAAATTCATCAAATTCATCGCAATATTTAAATGAGCATATAGATAAGGAACTCCTTCATTATCTGCCGATTAATCTTTTTAAACAAGTACATAAAACACTCCAATCTCAACCACCTACATTGAAAGGAAAAATACGGTTTTTAAAAGTCTTTGAACATGCTTTATTAAATAAAATAGGTACTTCAATTTACTAAATTGTTAATCGTACATAGTGTCTTAAAAAATTTTATGATCTCTTTTTAATCGCTCCAATTGAATTAAGTTTTATATTTTGCATTGCTATAGTTTATATTGATTTACTTACTTTTTGTATGAGTATTTAATTATGTTATACTATTATTACCATCATTGGTATTAGCATCACAGTCATCAACTTCATTATTAATTAATGTTTTAAACATTATTTAAAATATGTTTTATTACGAATAAATAAACTTGATTTATATTTTGATTATATAAATATTAATGGTTAGTTAATAATAAAATTAATGTTTATAGAATTTGATATATAGATGTATACTGTATGGTAAAAAATTGATAATTAAAACAGCATTAGTCAGATTTATAATACCTTTTTTACTTTCTTGCTCCCTTCAGTAGCTTTTATGCTTTACATGTCATTTCTTTAAGAGAAAACGCTTACGATCTAACTCTAGCCTTTCTTTGTTCGAATTCCATTATTATTGTTAATTTTATCCTAGTAAGTTAATTTCTATTTAATACTCTAGTTCTTGACAATCATTCGCAGTTTTTTTGCATTGCAATTTAGTAATGTTTCTAATTAATAATAAATTAATATGAATCTTTAAATTCTGATCATAAGACTTACTCATATCTGTATTTCAATGTATTTCTTCATTATTTTAAAAGCTCTTTGTATTTTATTCAGCGTATATATAAAATAATAATTTTTTACACGCGATAAAGGATATGATTTACGCTTTAAAATTTTGTTCATTATATAAAAATATTTTTTATTACTAATATAATCATATTACTAACAAATTTCTATATTTATTTTAGTTTGCAATAATCGTTTGGTATAATTTTTAATTATTTGTACAGGAACTCGCTTAAATGCTGTTCTCACACCTTCGCGAATTTCTAGAGAAACAAGAGACCACTACGACATTGATGATCGTGATGAAAAAATAGGATTCCCTTCTCTAGAAGGAGCATTAATGGCCATTTCTTTTTTAACATTTGCCGTTTATTTAATTAGATTAGTTATGGTGAGTTTAATAATCATCCTACTTTTTTTCAATTTTTTATATTAGAATTTAAATTATTCGAATATTTTATTTCTTGTTGTATATGATTTTCTCAATTTTTATAGAATTCTACAATTTTAATTTATATATATTTTTATATATTTATCATAAAATGTAAATCGTAACTGTTAAATATTATTAATTTTTCTATTAATAGGTATTTTTTAAAACTTTCTTATAATTTTATGTCAGAATAATCTTATCGTTAATATATTTTTATTTTAATAATTAAAAATACAAGATAGTCACTTTCCTTTCATTAATCAATATGAATAATTTCTTAATTTTTATTGTTTTATAAGAAATGTTTTATAATTTGTTTAATATATTTTTATAAACAAATATTGTAGTAAGTGATATTGTAAACTTTAAATTTTCTTATAAATTTAATGTAATTACTATAAAAATCAATTAATATATTCAAATAAGTTATATTTGCTAACAAAAAAATATTTATTTTTGCAAATCAAAAATAGTGATCGATTATGTAAAGCTGAAATTTAATTCAGAACGTATTAATACATGATAAAAATTGTTTTAAAATATTAATATAAACAATTTGTGTATTATGATAATTTATAATTCTATAAATATACTAATAAGAATTAATAATATTACAATAGAATATATTTTATATTTATATTTACATTTATATTTAGATGCTGTTTAAACATGCTGGTACAATTGGGATTGCACCAATTATCATTGGTAGAAAAAAAAGATCAAACGATGATGTTAATGAAGAAAGAATTAGAATTCTTAGTTATTTGGATTAATATTTATTACATTATTATTGATAGAGTATGGTTGTATTTGTAATATTTAAATCTATTAATAATTTATTGTATGAAAGAAGAAATTATTGTATATTAAAAGTAAAAATGTTCGACTTTTTAAGCTTACCAATTGTTAATATAAATAATTTAAAAAACGTGTATAAATTATTGTAATTTATGTTAAAAAATCTTTTGGTTTGAATGTCATTAAAAATACGTTTAAAAGTTTAAATACTATATTCGATGGAATTTACAAATGACGAAAAATAATCGATTGAAATAATAGTATATTATTAATAAATTATTTTTTAAATTATTACGATATTTGAAAATTAATTTCAACTTTAGATACTTAGTTAAAAACAGGAAAAATTAAATTTACTAGTAGTTATATAATTATAATTTATAATATTTTTAATACTAAATTAAATTACGTCTTAAAAATAAAAATTTTAAGAAGTTCCTATCTTTATGATATAAAATAAAGAAAATATTAACAATTTTATTTTGGTATTAAACATCGCTGTCATTAATGATTTAATTTTTTGTTTATATTCATAAATGTAAAATACGTTAGTGCCTTAAATGTATATATTTGAATGAAGTCGTCATAAAAGTTATTGAATATTTCATAAATATAATAATCATTTTATTCAATTTTAGTCTGTTAAATTAATAGAGTTGTTATATTACAGCAAATATACTGCATTGAACACAATTATAGTAAAATATAAGCGTTTTTATTTTTTAATATTTCCAATACTTTAAAATAATCCATATATTTAGTATTTTACTATTAAATAAATTAAGAATATATAATTAATCGAATGTTATATATTACGTAACGATTATTAACATAATTATATAATTTATTAACTTAGAAAATATGCTCACAGATTTAACAGCTGTACAAAAATTATGTTCATGAATATTACATGAGAAGACGATACTTGAATGCTTTATTTATAGAAATTTATTTTTTTTGCAGTTGCTTTTATTTATGAATTGACTTCCTAAATTATCGATCTAATATAATAATGTAGTAAATTTCAATTAATAACTTATTTTATAATTTTTATTTTGCAATTTTGTTTTGCTAAATAAGGAAGTTGTACACATTGATTTAGGTGCATACACTGTGCGCTTGCGCGCAGTCCTATTGGGTCTCGCTCTATATATGTGATTTCAGTATGCAACTTTATAGATGAAAAAGTAATAAAAATAATATAGATTTTATTTTTATCTTATTCAAATGTTGGAGCTGTAAAATAAATACAATACAGAGGATAAATAAAAACTTTTTTCAATCTCTTAATAAATAAAGAAAAAATGCAACAAAATGAAATAAAATCTTTCGATTTTTCATTTATTAATAATCTAGCAAAAAATAAACACAAAAAAGCATATCAAGGAATTGTACAATATGGAACAGCGGGTTTTAGAACAAGGTATACTTACATTTTGTGTTAGAATTATTATTTAATGAATAAATATTTACAGATAGAGTACATATACACTATATTATTATTAAATAATTGTTTTATTTTAATATAAAGGTTTTAAAAATTATTTGTTATTTTTTATAACATTGAAGAAATCAAAGATTTAAACATATTTTTCAGAGCAACAAGCCTTGATCATGTGTTATTTCGAATGGGTTTGTTAACTGTTTTACGTTCACAAGTTAAAAAGGGTAATTTTATTTAAAATATAAATTATCATAAATTATAATCTTTTACTTATTTACTTTTTTAATTATAATTTTTATGTTAAATATTTATTCATATACATATATATTTCAGCAACAATTGGATTAATGATAACTGCAAGTCATAATTTAGAAATAGATAATGGAGTCAAAGTTGTTGATCCCAATGGTGAAATGTTAGAAACTTCATGGGAAATTATTGCTACAAAACTTGCCAATGTTGAAGATGATAAAGTTATATCAATATTACAAGAAATTATTAAAGAACAGAATATTGATACAAGTCTTTCTGCATCGGTTATAATTGGTAGAGATACGAGAAGTAGCAGTTTAAATTTATCTCAAGCTGCTGTAAGTGGTATCAAAGCTATGAATAGTAAATTTATAGATGTTGGAGTTGTTACTACACCACAGCTTCATTACTTCGTTGTATCCATGAACAAAAACAGAGATTATGGTATTCCTGCATTAGAAGGGTACTATAAGAAGATTAGTGAAGCATATAAAAAAATTATAGAAACCACAATAAATAATGGTAAATATTCAAATAAGGTACAACTTGATGCTGCTAATGGAGTTGGTGCTCTTGCAATCAAAGAATTAAAAAAATATTTGAATGGTGCACTTAATATTGAAATTTATAATAGTGGAGAAGGGCAGCTTAATTATATGGTATAGAATATATTTGTAAAATCTTTTAATTACAATTATTTAAAACTGAAAAATTAAAGTACTGCAAAAGTATTTTATAAATAATTATATACTATCAAAATCTATATTTAAATTAGAATCTATTTATATTTTTATGATTATTAAGAAGAAAAATACATAGCATTACTTTTAATTAGATATTATATTAAAAATATTCAAGTTCAACAAAATTAAATTTTTAGTGTGGAGCAGATTATGTGAAACAAAAAAAAATTTCTCCCCTTAACATTCCAATAAATCCATATGTAAAATGTGTTAGTATTGATGGAGATGCAGATCGCATTGTTTATTATTATATTGATAAATATAATCAATTTCATCTATTGGATGGAGACAGAATAGCTATTTTAGTAGCTGATTATTTAAAGGAATTACTTCAACAAAGTCACTTAAATCTACAATTAGGTTTAGTACAAACAGCATATGCAAATGGGAATTCAACAGTATATATTTCTGATACTTTGGTAAGAATAAATTATTTTTATATGCAGCTATCAAAGTTTTATTTTAATAATAATTAATAATAAAATAATAACTAAAGTATAATAAAATAAAAAAATCAAAGGATAAAAAAATAAAATAATTATTGAATCATAAAAGTAATATTAATTATATTTATAATTATATACATACAGATATTTGTAGAACAGCCATACAAAGGTTTATAGTACAATTTTTTTATTCTACATATAATATATACAAAAATCAATATAAAATATATTTCATGTCATGAATGTAAATTCGTTAGTTTGAGGTTGGTTATTCCAAGTTCTAACTTCCAAATTCTAATTTTTACATAATAGAAGTAATACTAACAACTATCTGAAAGATGAAAGCTATAATGGAATGGCGTAACAGTTCTTTCTCGATAGGTTAAGTTTAACGTGATTGTTATATTGAAAAGTAATAAAGTTTTTGGACATTTCATACAAAGTATCTTAAAATATAGAATAAAGTAACTATGTAATATCTTATTAATAAAATAATAAGTTACATAGTTTTTATAAAGCTTTTTAAATTTATGCCTTCTACATTATGTACCTATTGAAAAATTTATAAAACTAGAGTCATATTTTATAAATCTTGACGTGTATATGTTAATAGTTTAATGTCACTAAAATTTTTGGATAATCAGTATCAGTTAAAAGACAAATGTTACCAATTTAAAAAAATATATTTATGTATTAATATCTCAAATATTAAATATAAAAATTTACATATACAGTATAATTACTATTATGAAATAATGACAATATTAAAAAAATATTAATATATCAAGTTATAAATGTTTTTTAGAAACTTAAAAAAAGTATGTATATAAATAAATTTTATACTTCATAATAGTAAATATGGAATCAAAAACTCTATTTCGAGCTAAGTCACATGCAAACTCAAATTTAAAGGAAACTGTACTGTCTTACTTTCCACACTATCTTATTGCTAATCATAATAAAAATCAATCAAGTTCAAATTTGAATTTAGAATTTGACGCAAATTATATGTCGAAAATATTCCAACGTCATCCATATCATAGTGATTTTCCAAAACCGCTTTTACCACCATGTAAAATTCAACGTGACTGTTTCAGTAGAGATGATATAACTATGCAACTTATTCATACAAAATCTAAAATCCAAGATGATATAAACCGTTATTTAGAACTATCCAAAAACCATTCAAGTACTTTAGATAAATATAAAAATAATGCTATGTGGAAAAAGAATAAAAGTAAATGTATAGCATTACCAAAATATGTTGCTTCAACAGCTGAAATTTTAGAGTATGACCCAGATCCTAATTTTAGTGGAACTTATAATTGGTACTACAGTGGTGGTACATTAAATGGTATTTTAAATAATTCAAGAAATATTTTAATATTTCCTTTTTTGAATGAGCTAATTCTACTGCCAATACAATCAAAAGAGAAGTCATTATTTATACCAGATTATAAAAATGGCACAAAAGTATCTTATAAAGAAAATATTTTCCAAATTACTTGTTCTACATTAAATAATAATGGAAGAATTTTAACTAGACATAAAAATAATTGTTGTATATATAATATTTTTAATTTAAATAAAAATATAGTTCAATTACTAGAAATTGAAAAACAGCCATCAGCTTCTCCATATATTTCAGCTGACCTTGATTCATTAAATATAAACAATTATTGTACGACAACTATAGATAGAACGGTAAAAGTATGGGATATAAATAAATCAAAATTTATTTTAAGTGGAAATATTCCAGTTACAAGGTTTTCTGAAGATGGTTGGGCCTTTATTAAATATGATAGGTATGATAACAATATTCTAAAATATACCGATAGACATTGTGTACAATATTATGATATTAGATTACCAATTGAACGATCCGTTTTAGTCATGTATCCTAAACAGAATTTGGAAACTTGTGAAAGTCTTTGTTCATATGTTACTAGTGCAAAAAGCAATTATTTTTCATATGTTGGTTCTAATCATAGCTTATGTTTATTGGATAGTAGAATTCCTAATAATGCTGTAGTTAAAAAATGGACCCATCAATTTAAAAGTAGTCCACTTTTTATTGATGTTTGTTTTAAAAATAACAAAGAATTTGTTATTATTGCTAGTCAATTTTCTGGAGAAACAGCAATAATATTAAATTGTTGGAATTCAAACGAAAAATCACCTGATTCATATAGTACACCATTTTCTCCACCCAATAATATAGAAACTTTAATGGCATTAAAGTTTCAAGGCAAGTGTCTTAATCCACATATACAAAATAGATTATATCTTTGTAATACAGGATGTATGACAATGGTAGACAAACAAAATGCAGAAATTTTTCTTTTAACACAAAATTCTCTTAATGATATTTTTTATCAGGGTATAGCACATCAAGAATCATTAGACGTTTTTTCTTTGAAAAATTTTAAAGCTTTATACAATCTGGAAATATGGGAAAGACAAATTTCAAAAAGCAATCATTATAATATTACCTCTCCTATTGTAGTTACAAAAAGAACAAGTGCTTGTAATATTTTTCAAAATTTTACCAATCAAAAACATCAATTTAACGATAAGAATGTAGATAATAAAGAACTAGAATATGTACCAAACTGGAGAAGATCAATAGCAGAACTAGATTCGTTTTTAGATATTTTTGCACCAGAATTATTGTCTTCTTGGGAGATTTTACACGAAATTCCATTAATTCCAGAAACAGCAGCACCACATGAAAAAGTTCTTTCATGGCTTGGAATAACTGATCAAAATAAAGTTGCTTCAAAAGAAACAATTGAGTCACAATTGACTACTCAAATACAAATTCAAGAAACTAGCAATAATCCAGATTCATGTATTATAAAAGATAATCAATTTACTGAACAATTCTTTTTGCCGAAAGTTAAATCTCACATAAAATTAAACAGTAATAGAAATAAAAAAGAGAAATATAAAAATCAAACAAATTATATCCCAGGATTTTAATATCATAAATTTGCAATTATTATTTTTATAATATTAATATAAATATAATTATGAATTAAAAACTTATAAATTATTTTAACTTTTATATAAAAAATTTTATACATTATTTATATCTCATAATTTTTACAATTTTTATTAGAATATTCCTGTTGCATGTGTACGTACGGGAGTGAAATACTTACACCATAAAGCTCTTGAATTTGATATAGGGGTTTACTTTGAATCAAATGGCCATGGTACTGTAGTGTTCAATGAATCTGCTATTAACACAATTTATATGACTGCTAATAATAATAGGTAAAAAATATAAAAGAAATTGCATTAATATTGTACAGTTAAAAATTAAAATTACAATTAAATCCTTGTTTTAAATAGAATATTTTAATCCAGTTTTTTAAAAATATTTATTCATAAATTCTATACTTAAATAAAAATTGCTAAAAGTTTACTTTTACAATTTTGTATATTATTATTCCTAAAATTTGAAGAATTCATTTGAACTTTTATATGTAACTCACTAATTTTAAGATCATTAAATTCTATTATCTTATATTAATTTTATACTTGGCAATAAATAAATTATTATTTGGCTTAATCTATAATTTATTTAAAAAGTAAAATTTTTAACGATAAAAATATTAACTGCTGCAATGTATAGTAAATTATAGTATTATTTTCAGGACGATCTTGTTTTTGATTAAGTATTACAATAAATATTCTTAAATTTTAAATAATTTTACAGTTTATCATCAATTCAACGAAAAGCAGCTCAGACTTTAAGCTATGTAATTGATGTAGTCAATCAAACGGTAGGAGATGCTATTAGTGATATGCTATTAGTTGAACTTATTTTACATGCTAAAGGATGGGATATAGTTACTTGGAAAAAAAGTTATAGTGATCTTCCAAATAAGCAGGTAAAAATTGAAGTTCAAGACAGAAATGCTATTATAACTACAAATGAAGAAAGATGTTGTATAAAACCTAAAGAGTTACAGAAAGAAATTGATAAAATTGTAACTAAATATGAAAAAGGAAGATCTTTTGTTAGGTATTTTTTTTTTCAAACAGAAAATTATAATTTTTATTTTATTACTGCTTTGATTAATTTTTTTATAGATCGTCAGGAACAGAAGATGTAGTACGTATATATGTAGAGTGTGAAAATGACTCTGATATTGATAAAATGGCTGCAGAGGTATCACTAGCAGTTTATGAATTAGCTGGAGGTATTGGAATAAAACCTATTATACCAGAATCAAATAAACAAATTTAACTTATTTCCGTGCTTTAAGAAAAATTAAAATATCTTTAATTTCTAATAAATTTATTCTTATGTATTTAATTATTTTATGATTATTTAAACAAGTTTTAGATAATATATAATAGTTTTGTAAACGATAATTATGGATTATTATTATAAATATAGGTGCTTCATTTATAATATTAGTAAATATTTAATTACATAATATACATATCTAAAAATATTTTGTACACATCCCTTTTATTTGTAATTTTATAAAATAAAATTTTATATTACAATTATATAATTTTTTTAATGGTCCCTCTTGCTATTACTTGGTAGGTATGACAACCATATTGATTTTTTCATACAGCTATGTATGGAAAAATGTAATATATTTTCTAAAGGATTTTTACTACAAAAAATGTGGCAAGATAATCAAGTTAAATTTGATGTTCCTTTTTCGTGCGTATATTTTTTAATATAAATAAAAGTTATGCATAATTAAAAAAAAATATATTATTGGTAAACATTTATCAATAAAATTATAAAATATATTAATTTTTAGACAAATGGAATTAAGATTAGGGGAATACTTAATCGACAAATTAGAATTAGTAGAAGATACTAAAGGTAATGCAGGTGATCGTGGTTGTCTCTTGGTAACTAATCTAAGAGTCATGTGGCATTCTATATCTTATCCACGTATTAATTTAAGTAATTTAATTTAAAATCATTAATTAATATAAATTAATATTCATTTTAAAATAGAATTATTCAATTTTTTAAATATTACAGGTATTGGATTTAATACATTAGTAACCATTACAATAAAAATTATAAATACAGTTTGTATACAAATTTTTCATATTAAAATTTTAGAAAGAAGCAAAATATTTATCATATGCAATTTTTAGATATATAGAAGTAGCACTCAAGCTTTATATATTTTAACTTCGTATAAAAATTGTCGATACGAGTTTATATTCAGTAATTTAGATATTCGAAATTCTCGACACTATACGTCTGTAATAGGTGTTCATAAAGCTTATATGTCATCAAAAATATATAGGGAAATCAAATTAAGAGTTGGTATCATAAAAGATAAACAACTAATCTTACTACCTCAAGAAATAATACATGAAACCTTACCTGGAGTTTGGAATTTATCAACAGAGCAAGTAATATATTTTTTTAAATACAAATTATAAAGTATTGTATTGAATACAATTCACCGTTAGCATAATAATAATATATTTTAAATTTTTTTTTAGGGAAATATTGGAATTTTCATTGTTACTAATATAAGAATTGTTTGGTACGCTGAAATGAATCAGCAATTCAATGTGTCTATTCCTTACTTAACAGTAGCTAATGTAAGTGTTTTATAAAATTTAAAAAATTATTAAATGTATCTTTTTTATCTTGCATTTAAAATTTGAAAATGATTATTATTTATTTTAGATAAATATAAGATCTTCTAAATTTGGACCTACTTTAATAATAACAAGTAATGAAACATCTGGTTCTTATATCTTAGGATTTAAAGTTGACCCTATAGCTAAACTTAATTTTTTACACAAGGAATTAACTTTTCTTCAAGTGGCATACATTAAGACACCAATTTTCGGTATAGAATATGCGTTTGAACATCAGGTAATAAAATTAGATTATAAATTGAATCTTTTTAATAAATATGTTTATACGTAAATTCTAAATACATTTTTTTACATATTTTCATTACAGTCAATTTGTCAACCCCACGCTATAACAGAAAAATTTACAGAATTTGAACCATCCGAAGATGAAATATCAAATATTTTTAATATATATTTTTTGGAAGGTGGAACCAATCAACGAAAACCAATTTTAACTAATAACTTAGGTCTAGCAACTGAAGAACCAAGAGAAGGAAATACTTTGGAAATGCTATGGGAATTACTTCCATCTACTACACAGTAAGAAGAATAATACGAAATAAAAAATGTATATAAAATTTTTGTTTTATCAATAAAATTAAAGATAAAATAGTACATGATGTTATTAATTTCAATACTCTCTTCCCTTTAGGGTAAACTTTTTGATGTACACATATACATGTGTATGTGCATGCGCGCGCGTGTGTATGCATTATGTACATGTGTATATAAGTTTATCTTAGGAAAACTTAACTTGGCCTACAGTTTAGTGGCTGAGTATTTGAAGAATCTTGATTATCTTCATGAGTACTCCTGGAATTCTGTCCACGTAATCTGTATCCCATATTAAAAAGCATTAAATCTAGATCAAAGCGTTCATCAGTATTCATTCGTATATAATTAGCTGTTGCTGCTTCATGCTGATTTTTAATTTCCCAGGCATTCACTCTTCCATCCTAAAATAGATAATGAATTTTGTAAAGTAAATTTATTTAATCAGTTTTTTCTAATTCATTTATTAATATTTTAAATAGTTATTTAATACAATTACCTCAGGCATTGGACTCCATAGTTTTATAAATGGATCAATACCACTAGTTGCTAACAAACATATAGATGGATGTGGCTGTAAGCAGTTAACTATTCGTGGATCTCCTTTTAAGATTCGAGCTATATTAGTTGTAGATCTATCCCAGATAAAAAAGGACCCTTCATCTGATCCAGCGATGATATATTGCCCATTACTGAAATGTACATTTTTATTTAATATCTTTTTAGTAAATATTTTTATATTACATATTATGACTGATTCACTTTTTTGTTTTTAAATTGAAATTGAAAGGTATTTTGATTAAATCATTTTACATACTCAATATATTATAATTTGTTAATTTTTATGTTTCACAATTTTAAACAATTTCATAATGTATCATTAGATATTGCAAAACATAGGCCACAATAAATATTAAACAATTAAATTAGCTTACTAATCTTGCTTAAAATTAAAAATTTTGTTATACTTGTAGGTAATTAATAATAAACTCTTTGTTAAATGTGTAATTTATAAAATGGAATTTTAAGTCTTTTAAGTCTAAATTTTAAGTCTAAGTTTAAAAAATAAATTGTAAGACTTAACATTTAATTAATTATCATAAATTATAATAAACAATTTACAAAAATATTGAAATATTTAAAATAATATACAATTTAATAAAAACATTGATACTATAATATTTATCAATAATTTAATTATAAAATAAATAAAGACTACCGATAGGTTTTTATCTAAGTTTGCTTATTAATTCCACAATACTAAACTGCTGCATAGTTAAGTCTCATATTTTATGAAATTATAAAATTTATTATAGTGAAAATGTTATACTGATAGTTAAGTAAAAAAAAAATTAAATGAAAAAGATTTCAGAATTAGAAAATATATTTATAAATTTAGTATATCAGTTTCTTTCAAATTATATCAATTAATAAAGTTTATGAGTTAATTAAATCAATAAAAAATAACTCACTCTCCAAAGAAGTTGGCTTCTTTTATGTCTGTATTATTATTGCAGTGGCCACACAATCTAATTTTATAATCAATTGCTTTTTGACGCCATTCTTTCTCATGCTCAGAAATATTTGTTTCATAAGCTTTTTTGGTTGTTGCTAACTGTTTATTGATTCTAATTTCTTCTTTTATGGAGCTTTTTAATTTGTTACAGGCAGAATTATTAATATATTCTGGAAATTTTTCTCGAAAATTTTTCATGACAATATAGGCTTCATTCACCTTTTTTAAATCAAATAAACATTTTGCTAATCTTAAAATATTTATTAAAAAGATATTAAAACATTGCAATAAAAATATTTTTTAATTGATACATTAATAAATAGTACCTATAGTGAGCTTTGACATGTTCTGGATCTAGAGCTAAAGTTATTCGACAGTCTCTTAAGGCAGCATAACAATCTCCATCCCTTAAATCATTTGAAGAATATTTTACATATAAATGCAATAAATATTTTTGATGATTTTAAATTTTTTAATGTAAAAATTAAGACTTACCATAATCTTTTCATGTAAGTACCAGCTCTATTACCATAAAGTACAGCAGCATTTGGGCATAAACTGATTGCTTTGTTGTATAAAGTAATGGCATGAGCATATCGATATTCATCAAAAGCTTGATTTGCCTAAAATAATATATAAAATATTGTATTTATATACTTTGGAAAAATTATAAAAACTTACTTGTTGTCGTAATTCTTCAACTTCAGGAGTTAATTGAGTAATATTTAAAGCTGATAAATCTTCTAGTACAATTGAAGAATTATTGCTATCAATTACATAAGAATCTTTGCAGTCTTGATCTCCACTGTTCGTTACTAAACAGATTTAATGACATTATAATTCCAATAAGTAACAAAGATCATGCAGACTTTAATTTAAATCATTTATTACTAAATTCAACAGGAACAACAAAATTTTTCGAATTTCCATGATTGTTGATATCAAACAAATAAATTTGTTCTTCCCCCATATTGACTAATAATTCAGTTCCATCATCATTAAAAGTCAAATAAGTCGTGGAAAATCTTTTGCGGTTATCCCGACATTTTAAATGACCTAATTAAGAAACATAAAAAAATAGTAAACAAAGATATTTTTGAATATTTAAAATAAGTATTATCAAAAATTCATTAAAAAAACATTCAATTCAAATATTTACTGTATTTATAAATTTTAATGTTGTTAAATAAAGTTTTGTAACAATGTAAATTATCAAATTCAACCAAAACAATATAGTACGTTTTTATTTTTACACATATTACATAGGTTAAGAAATTAAAATTATAAATATTATTTATGCATATATTTTGGTAATTTTTTAGTTAATTTGAATATTTGAACATTTTATACAGAAATAGTAATATGAATTAATTTCCTATAGCAAATTTTGTTAAAAAGATTTATTTCTTACAATTCTTTTTTTAATTTATGAACAACAGCTAATCAAATATTAAAACTATTCATTTTATCATTTTTTAATGGATAACGTTTAAAAAATTAAGCTTAAATAAAAAAATTACAAACAAAAAATAAAATTTTATTTCAATTAAAAAAATATTTTTATTAGTATAACTATTTTACATGTGCAATATTTAACTCCTAACATTTTATAAAATTTTTTAAAATCTTTAATAATTACATAAGTATTACTAATATATTTTAGAAAGCGATAATATATATATGTTTTATTATTAGTTTAATTATAAATTTTAATCATATTTTGCAGAGTATTGTTTTATTTAATAATTAATTTTATCCATAAACTATAAATAGCTTTAAAATCAACTAAGCCAATGAATTAGTATCACTAAATAAGCGAATAAAAGTATTAATTGAATATAGTACATATAATGAGATTAAAATATTTACCTGCAACAAAGTATTGTGCACAACCTAGAGGAATATTATTATCAGGATCTCCTTTTCCAAGAGCCAAGGAAAGATTATTTGAGGCTGCTGAAATTGGTATCTGTAAAAATATGTATAAATGTATTTTTTTTATATTAAGTATTTATATTCTTTCTATACATATTTATACATATTTATGCATAAATCTGTGTATAATAAAATAACTGATATATGATAAATTGAGTTAACAAATTATAACGTTTATTTCATCAGCATAATTAAAATAAATGTAACACGTTGACTATCTGAATAAACTGTTATAAATATTGTATTTGACAATGTTTTGAAATTTTGTAGAATACATAATATTTTCTTGGTTCGATTTAACTATATTATATAGTACTAATTCGATGTATAAAAATGATTTTCAATTATACATTGTACAACTTGTCATTGTTGAAATATATTAATTTAAGTAAAATCAAATCAATATGTCCTAATTTTTCAGAAAGTTTTTAATTCTGAGTAAATATATATTTAAATAGAGTGTGGTATGGTATAAAACATTTTTTTTAAACGGTATTCAGTGCATTTTATTTTAAATTATTTTATATATTTATTGTCTCAATAAAGTATAAATAATTAGCCAAGAATTATTTTAATTATAAGAAAGAAATTTTTATACATGCAAAAAACATAATTTTAAAGTTTTTTAATGAAAATACGATTATTATTTCATTAAAGTGTTAATTGTTCGATAATAAATTTATTTAGCTAGATCAACAAAAATGGAATTACATGTGATGGCTTGATCATCCGGCGATCATACATTCTGACATAAGCATCATTAGCCCCAACGGCAACGAGTTCGGGCCTTCTAGGGTTAATACTAATGCACTTGGCTTCAACGATGCCATTCATGTGATTTGAGAGGTTGACCAGCAATCTCCTTTGGTCACCGCTCTTGCATGAGTGTGGCTGACGCAAGTCATGCTGAATTATAAGTCCATCTTCAGCTGCGCTCCAAAAAAGAAATGGCAAATTCGGTACCGTCGCTACGCGCTTTACCCGACCGAAATGACAGTTACACACAAGCAGCGTATCAGAGATTGCAATGTCGTGAACACGTATCTTAAAATCGCCTGCGCCCGTAACCAGGATTGAGTCATTTGACTTTGGCATAAACTAGATATTACAAACGACTTTCATTATTTATCATAAATCCATAGAATGTTTGTTTTAAAAGAAACTGCACTCAATGCATTATATATGATGACAAAAATTATAGATTAATTTTGATAATTGTATATAATAAAACTTTATTTTTTCTCATTGATGTTAAATTTTGAAAATTAATTATTTACTACTGAATATTAATATATTTGTAATTTGATTCTTTAATACCAATAAAAATTTGTTAATTGTTACTACTGTGTTGAATAACAAAAATTAAATTCATGTAGATATTCATTATCTTTTTAAAAGTAACAATTTTTTTGTTATATTTTTTTTAATTTTATCCTTACTTATACAAAATGACATCATTTTATAAAGTATTTTAATTTTGTAAATAAAAAACTATAAATTATTTTTTATTTTTAAAATGTGTTGATAATAAAAAAATTAACAATGCCAATGTGTAAAAAAATCTGTAACCAAATCTAATTATAATTTCATAACAATTGTAAATTGTAATTTATTATAGCTTATAGCTTAGAATCCTAATCTCATAATTATTGAAAAATATATAGTTGTGTAAAATTTTATAGTGATTTATTTTTATATTTCTTTAATATACTTAATTTGTATTAATTAGTAAAATAGTAAAATATTTTGTTTAAATACACAAGAATATCAAATTAACTTTTTACTCCAAATTTAAATATTTCTAAAATTTTTATTAGCTAAAAAAAGTAATATTGGAATTTTTAATTTTAAATACATATTTTAACAATTTTTAATCGAAAATACCTTAACAGTAAAAATATTTCCTCCATGCTTAGTATGAAGAGTTAGTTTCTTTTCATAACGAAAAGGATCCCATAATATAACATGCATATCATCAGAAGCTGAAGCTAATATTCTATAAATGTATATAATTAATTAATATTCTCTATGATTTAAATTTAAATTTATTTAAACAATTGAATTATTTACGTTCCACTTTCATTCCATTCTAAACAATTAACACATCCATCATGACCATCAAGTTTTGCTTCTAATCCTAAACGGCTTATAAAATTTGGTGTGACTTTGAGCTTACGATCAATGTGTCTTGAAATTGATTCCTATATACAAATATAAAAACATATAATTACATATATTAAAATAATATTTCCTAATATTAAAAAAATATCGAACTCTTACTTGTATTTGTCTTTGATAGAGCAGATCTATAGCTCTGTAATCGTACCTTTTCTTTGTAACAATTTCCATTATCAAGTTATAGATATATCACTGTTTATTAATTGCATTTAATATCCTATAAAAAAAATAATAAAATTAATACATATACAATATATATTAAAAAAATTAATATTAATCAAAATTGAAGCATATGGCTAGAACAAACATATTGTATTAAGGTGCTAACCTAATTTAAAAATATGCAAATAAAATTATCATTTACAAAATATATAAAAAAATCATGGTATTTATAGTATTTTTAAAATAAGGTTCTAAAAATCCGACATTTCTTAGATGGTACAAAAGAGTTAAAATCATATAAAAATGTCCAAAGAATCAAAATTCGTTCTAGTACTATATAAAAATGTAGTATAATAGAAAAATGAAATTATAGAGAACTCAATAATTTATGGAAGATTTTCTGTCTTACTTGAATTTCTTCTTTTTTTTTTTGTGTATTACATTCAAACCGTGTATCAACTGATTTTTTAAAAATTCTGCGGAACAGTTAAAAATTTATAGTTGTATAATAACACGTTTTTTATTATTATCATTATATATAACGATGAGACAAAATGACAACGTCGTTGGAATAATCAAGTAGCTATACTTTATAATTATATTTTTATCATTTATAACAGTTGTCCTGTCTAGTTTTTTAATATTCTGGGTACAAAATAATACAGATGTTTTTTTATCATATAATCCAGTTTTTAATACAGTTTGTTGTTATTTATTCGTTACAGAGTACCCTTAAGCATATCTGGTGTAGAAAGATCTAAGTAGAAATAGAGAATTAATAGAGATTACGATTAATTATATTCTTTGTACTTTCACTAGTAGGTGGCGCAGAGATCTCTTTTTAACTTTAAATGTAGTGAATCGCTATTAGCTGTTAATAGCTACATAAAACAAAAATTCACTAAAATATTTTGATTTCTTAATTCATTTATTAAAGAATCAATTAAATTTTGTATACGCCTATACAAAAGTTTACATTTCCTTTACTATTATTTTGAAAAGATTATTATATAAAAAATTGTGTAACGTGTACATGATGAGCAACCGTAAACTCAATATTTTCTATTTATTATGGTTGTAATATTTTTATATGATAATCAGATATTTAGGAAATAATTAAAAAATCATGATTACAATAACATTTTTTCACATGAGTAGTCTCCTGCGCTTAATTATTCATTTGTACATGAACGTATAAATAATCCTCCGAATGTATATGTAAGATAATAATTACAGTTGTTTGGAATAAGTTAAAACAATCTACTAAGGTATAAATATAAATAAGAATACACTAACCGATTACAATATTATATATATGTATATGTAAGATAATAATTACAGTTGTTTGGAATAAGTTAAAACAATCTACTAAGGTATAAATATAAATAAGAATACACTAACCGATTACAATATTATATATATGTATATTTATTAATGTAAAAATCTAGTGAAGAAATAGTTCAATTATCTTTAAGAAATCTTTAAAGGTTTGAAGTATAATGATAAAAAAATAATTGATATATTTTATTTAAAAAAAAAACAATTAAAAATCATTTAATTTTCAAGTACTGATTGTGCTTTGATAAAATTTTTGTTGTTCGAGATTGCGAGAACCTTTCCCTTATCATTCAAGGAATCTGTTGAGGTCCTCGGCGATTCTCACAGCACTACCCATCGATGTCTGCTAAATTTATCAGCAATTCTAGCAACAATTCATGACGGAATATGAAGAAGTCAAACACATAATGAGGACTTCTCCATAGTCCCACAATAAAACTCAATACTATCTACCACATCACGGCATACTTAACCAGATAGCGCTACCACAAAATTAAGATGAAATATCAGGATACTGGATCAATGATCTTATGCATACGGGAACCAATCTGAATCCAGAAATTCAGACGTGTTAATCTGGATACGCCGGCATCTACATCATTTTTTCTACAGATATCAAAAAATATGTACGCAGATTAAAGTTGGCAAAAAGAACTAGGAGAAACAAGGAATCCCTTTGAATTGACGAGCAAACCAAGGAAGTGTCATATTACCTAACAACAGTTACCTGTGGCATAAGAGCCACTTCGGTTTGAGCAATCAAAATATTGCTACAACTGCTGGAAGACGAAGGAAGTAAAGTGCCCCTTGGCACTGCTACTCATGACTTCTTTGGAGGTGTGAACACGCCACAACCATTAACTGAAACCTCGATACAACTACAGAATCTCCGCATGGCGGGCGGTTTCCCATCGACAAAATGACATTGAACAAAACTAGTGGCCCGCACCGCTATCCACGTAGTTATAAAACAGGAATTATCAATTGCATTCTAGAATTGCACAACCAAATTACTCGATTACAATGGAGTGAATTGACTGAGATTCAAGCCTTCTCAGCAGACCCGCCATAGAAAGAACACGCGTTCACTTTCGTGGACGTTTTCAGAAAGCTAATGGCAGCGAAAATGTGTTGGAAGAATAACTCAAACGGTAGCGGTGAGTTAAAATTCTGTTCGAGAAATATTCAAGTAAGGTGATAGCAGGGAGAGATTAGCAAGTTTCGCATCCACGAGTCAGCATATGGAAACCCCACTCAATGCCTCAATATCATTGAGATATCATATACAGATTTTCATCACTCAACAAATTACTGAGAACTCTGCTTCATATTCATCGAACGGCTAAAGAAACATAATGAAACGTCGTTTATCCTCCAGAGAAACATAAAAACGCGGAAAGAGCGATAAGCGACAATTTACAGTGCAACGATTGCATTTTGTATTTTGCTACATCTGTGGGAGCTCGCTCGCAACCATTTCAGAACCCTCTCCCAAGGAGTTATCAGAGTTGGAGGAAGACTTATGAGATTACCTGGCATATACCAGACAACAGTATTAGATTCTTAGTGTACGATCGTCAGTAAAATCGGACTTTTTCGATGCATTAATGTACGGCAAAGGGAGTCCATGCTTGTCAATTAATGGAACAACCACCTCTCTATCAAATAACATCATCAACACCAATCTCAAACACGGGTGTTGACTATGTTGGCCCCTTACCCATAAAAAACTGGAAGAGCCAAGGTGCAAAAACCCAAATGACATGGATTTGTGTTTTTGTGTGGTTTACCAAATCTGCTGTGCATCTTGAAGTATACAGCGACTATACAACCGAAGGATTCATGATTGACTTATCGGAGACTCTCCTCTCGCAGAGGTATTCCCCATGCATTGTACTCAGATTGTGGTACAACCTTCATCTGAGCGGATAAAAAATTGTTCTCCCAAGGTTCCGAAGAATATAATCAAATTGCAACAATACTCTCCAAGATAGCTCTCGATGAGAATTCAATCCTCCCAAAGCGTCTCACATGAGAGGAAAATGAGAAGCGGTGGTAAAGTCCACGAAATTTCATCTGAGACGCATAATCGAAAAAACTTTGCTTACATTTGAAGAATTCACGACTCTACTATCTCAGATTGGGACCATTTAAACACCCGACTTTTGGAGCCGTTAAGCTATGATCCAGATGACTGCTGTGCGCTAACACCAGGTCATTATCTTATCAGAAATCCACTGACAACTATTCTTAAACCATTTTTCGAGGGATTGTCAATGTCTGGTTTGCCTCGCTGGCAATCAATTCATACAACGTGTGCAGTAATTATGCTCACAATGGCAAGCCCACTATATACAACGGCAACAATCAATTTCCAAGTGGCATCATCCACAAAATGACATTAAGATTGGTTCGTTAGCACTTATCAATGACCAACGTTTCCCAACGTGCAAGTGACCCCTCGCTCGAGCAATTAATATTCATCCAGGCACGGATGGGCTCATCAGAGTAATCACATTAAAAATAGCGTCGATAACCATGTAAAACCTATACATAAGCTGGCAGTAAGGCGGACAGAATGTTCGAGATTACGAGAACCGTTCCCAGCTCACTAAACATCCGCATAACAAGTCGTTAGACTTCGGGAAAAGCCCAGCTCATTAGGTATCTAGAAATAGTCGTTACACCAAAAAATTTTAAATCTAACGGTATACTATTGCCTTTGTTGTCAAATCTGGCAATGCTGCCGCTAGAGGCGCTTCAAAGACGGTACAAAGAAGGACACTTCAGTCAGGAGCTTCTTGAGAAGACTGAGCTTCCTGATTGAAGGTGCTGCCGGCAGAGCCGCTAATGGAGCGCTTCATGTACGCTCCATGTAGAGATGCCTAAGTCGTAAGCGCTCCGATTGGATACACAAAAAGAGTAGGGGTCCTAAGAGAACGCCGTGGTCAGCGGAATGCATTTAAGGAAGATAACCACAATTCACTCACTAACTCCCAAGGCTTAAGCTCTCACTAGTGAGTCGTCCAGAATGGAAGAAGCCTGCGCTTTTACGAGGGACGCCGCGGAGGACAAACTCTCAAACTCAAGTTGAAGTTCTCAAGGAAGAAGAAAGAAAGAGAAAGGAAGCTCCTTTAGTGGAGTCTGCAGCCAAGTCTTCGTTTGTAGCCGCATCGCAACTCAAAGGCGCCACAGCCACCAATTCCAAACTAAGGTTTCTCCAAGATCCAGTATCAACAAGCTTACTTCAAAGATCAAGGCTAGACTGACTAATTCTATGCGTCATTAAGCACATACACTGCAGATCCAATACTGCAGAATAGAAGGAGAACTGATCGTGCCCCAAGCGCACGAAGCAGACACCGGCAAGTTAATTTTACGCGCCATTCACCGCATACACTGCAGACCCACTACTGTAGAATTGAACAAGAACTGCTAGTGCCCCAAGCGCACCAAACAGTAGCAGATTCAGCACGTAGCACTCGAAGAAGTGGTAAAAGCTTTACAACCTCTCACTTCTTAGGGTAATCTACCACCAAGTGCACTATGTCACAAGGATCCGGAAACTTACAACCTCCTATCACCGCATGAAGTGCATGCTAACGCCAAGTGTCAACCGCCAATGAACTCCAAGAATTCAATTATTGTCTTCATCAATAAGAATCATTCTTGTATTTGGAAATTCAACGGAATAAAGAGCACAAAAAACGAATGTGTTAAATATTTAATTAATACGCTATCCCTTCCACTTGTCCGTACATTTCCCTCACTAACATCTCGTGGTCTTTTAGTTAATTCTAAACATTTTTGTATTTCAAAAATTAGTTGGAATTATAAAATTACTTTCGAATTATTTTTATAAAAATATGGAAAAGATTTTGTTTACCAATTAAATTTGTATTTTATTAAAATTGTCCAATATATTGTACAACTGATAAACATTAAAATATTTATGTCTAAATTTTTCGAATGTTATTGCTTATAATATTGTTTTTAAAATGTAATAAAAACACATTAATACCAATATATATGAATATCATATATTAGATTAATTTTTAATTAAATATGTACATATTCAATAAAGCTAGCACAAAATTTAATACTCTCAAAATACAATTTAAATTGATATTCAATATATTGTTGTATAGAATACAATTTGTAGTTAAATTTAAAGAAACTAATTTATTTAGGAAATAATTTGGTATGCTGTTACAGTATTCTAAACACGTATTAATATGCGAATTGCTCTGATCGAAACAAGAATTTCGACCTTAAAATTAAAAGTAGACGATTTTTAGGCATTCAATTTGTGTATTTATAATTGCTCCTAAAATAAACTTTAAACAATAATAATTAAATCATAGGGTTACTCCTTATAAATAGTGAACATATCGATGAATGTTTGTGGGGAATGTTTGGATGACATGATGTATAGTTGCCAGCGTTCCTTCACGAGGGAATGGCTTCCTGTAAATTCTTTTTGCTTAGGGAATGTAACTATTGGTAATCAAACAATGAAAAAGATAAGTTAAGGACAAATAGGAAATCGTGGAAAGTGTATCGGATGCATTTTTATTTCATAATTTCATTTATAATTCTTTGTTGTTTATAAATATAAATTTTATGTGAACAAAGTAATACTAAAAATATAAATGAATAATTGAAATTGTGTATAATAATATTAAAACCATAATCATATTAAATAAGTATGAAAATGAAAAGCAAAGTAAGTTAAGTATATTATGAGAATGGAAAAACTATATTTAAAAATAATTAATTTACATAGGTCTCAAGAAATGTTTGTTATTAAAAAATTTTTTCTGTTTAAATGTAAAAAAGAATTCAACTAGAATTGTATTTGTTTTCTTGTAGGTTAGTCAGTTTTCACATGTAGTGTAACGGCTAATTTTTAAATATCAAAAAAAGAATATGTAACATCTAATATAACATAATGAAAAAAGGACTTGATGTTTTATTAGATTCATAAAATATTATTTTTTTATCATTAAATACAAGTAACTTTTAATAATTTAATAATGAAATTAATATGCAATGTAGATGTTTATAATAGGTTATCATCACTTGCAATAAATATTAGACAAAGAAAACCTCAAAAATCATGTTTAATCATAGGAAAGCAATCAAAAGAAAATGACGAAGTTTATCTTATATTGCAAACTAAATCAAATAAAATTGGTGTAAAGTACAAAGTATGATTTAATTTTAGTAATTTATATATGTTATTTAAAAAAAAAACATCTAAACCATAAATTTCTTTTACCAGATAAATAATAATATTAAAAAAATCTTTACAAAATTTGTTGATGAAGGAAAAGCATCATTTAGAATTATAGAACCATCTCATGATATAAACATACAATGTGATCCAATCCAATTAAAAAGTTTTCTTCACGTATTAAAACTTATTCTGTTAAAAAAATTTACTTCTCCACTTTCGACGTTGTCTGACTATAATAAAAAATCTATAAATATTGTTCCCAAAACAAAAATTATCATATCCAAAGTTTTAGATTATCCAACACTTAAAGGATTTCCAAAAATTACTGAACAACTATATCTTTGTGGTCTTCAAAGAAAATCTTTTGATTGTCAAATTCTTAAATTGCATAATTTAAAAATTTTAAATTTATCACAAAATCAATTGACAAATTTACCTCAAGAATTAGGAATGCTTCCAAACTTACAAGAATTAAGTTTATCAGATAATCAGTTTGGAAAATGTCCAATATCTAAATGGTCATGGATGAATGGTTCTAATATTACAAAAACTCTACGTTCATTAAATTTAAGCTGTAACAAAGTAAATAATTTTTTATTTAATTTATGAAATATTACAAAAAATTTTAATTATATTAATATTAATTATTTTTACAGTTAACTAAAATTCCTGATGAAATTAGCAAGTTACATGCTTTACTTTCATTAAATATTAATAATAATTTAATTTCTAGTTTACCAGAAGGCATAGGTAATTTAAAAAAACTTAAATATTTAAATATATCTAAGAATAATATAACAAATTTACCCGGAAGTATGACAAATTTACGTTTGTATGAATTGGATATATCAGAAAATTCATTTCAAATTAATAATGATAATACAATATCTGTGTGTGATATTAAAATATCTTGTCTTGTTGACCTTGCTGCACAAGTAGTAATAAAAACAAGGTTTGTAAATATTTAAGTGCTTATACTTAATTTTTATTAAATTAACATAAAAATAAATTGTTATAGGATATATTATGATGCAAGTATAATTCCATTTACTTTAATTCAATATTTAGATAAAGCACATTATTGCATGTGTGGTGTACCATGCTTCAATAGTTTTATGAGAAAATTTATGCCAATGAATTTATCAACAATTACTAATAGTATTAGATTTTCTGGTATATCAGGAAACAATATCCTGTTTGACTGTTACTTTTGTTCATTTAAGTGTTTACGTAGATATTTTTTATGTGTCTAAAGTTATTAATATATTGTTTTTAATTTTTTTTAAATTTATCTACATTTTAGTAATAAAATTTATCTCAAATATAATTTTATATCAAATAATACTTCTATGTAATAAGCAAAACTGCATTGTAATAGATAATTTAGTTTTAATTTTGTAAATACAATAAATATGTATTTTGTACAATTATTTTTATAATCTAATATGTATATTATAAAATGAATAAAAGAATTTGTAATGTTATGAAACTTGAAAATTGCATTTTTAAAAGTGTTTTATTAATTTATATCAACTTATTTCAAAGGTATGAGTGATATAAAATTTTAAATATTTGAATTGTTCTAAATAAAAATATTTTCGTTAATAAAGTTGAAGGATTAAGATTCATTCAACAACATAAGAAGTAAAAACTGTAGAGAACTTAATTAGGAACTTGAATATTAAGTTATATTATTATAAGTATTATAAGAAAAAAGGGATTATTATTATTGAATTAATATCTTTATAGGATGTATCTAAATGTTCAAAAAACTTATTGTATCAACTTGTAATTTCATACAAATATCAGTTATATTTGTCTAATTTTAAATTTTATATAAAATTTTAATAAATCTATAATAAAATTTAGTGTAGTAAGTATTTAGAAAGAATGTTTATAGTTCAAAGCTTTAATGAATAAACTTATTGTAAACAAATTTTTGGTAATTCGATAAGATTAAATATTATGTACGGTTATTATTATACATTAACTACTATAAATTTTTGTCTATTTGAAATATATATAAATATATATATATATATCAGAACGGCATCAAATTATTGTTGTAGATCTATTATAATCATGAATATCATCTTCAAAATGTATTTGTACTAAAATGATTTTAACTCAATTAATTGCTCTGAAATACTTACATAAATTAAAAACGTATAAACGTATAAACACTTTCAAATAAATAAATATGTTTTAATACATCAATATTTCTTTTATAGAAATAAATAACATAAAAGTATTTAAATTTTATGTCTAAGATTAATTGTTTATATATTAAATTTACATTTTTTTTTTTTTTTTTATATAAATATTTTTTTACAATTCTTTTATATAAAAATTCTTTTAATATATTTATATATGGTCGAATAATAAAAAATTAATATTAAAAATAAATTATAATTATTTATGTTTAATGCATATTTCTATATTTTTGGACAATTTCATTGTCTTGTTCATCTTCCGGTGCAATTTTTTCCACCAATGATCGTTAGCTTACCTTTATAAAGTAAATCAATAGAAAATTAGGATTTATCTTCAAACCGGAAACTATTGGTCGTAAGTTTCTTTCTGTGTCGTATGGTGTATGAGTAGGTATGTTTAATAATAATTTTCTTTATTTTAATAATATAATACATTTAAACTAGACTTGTAAATAAATGTTTCATTTGTAAGTTTACAGAAAATTTCTTATTTTTAAGAGTTATATTTAACTGTTATCTATTATTGTTTTTCTAAAAATTCATATTGGCACATGGCACGTTTTTTTGCTTGAAACATTCTTATAACCTACAGTTAAGTGCTACCGAATGAAGTTTTATAGTGTTTTATGTTACTTCGTTATTTATTTATGGGTATTTTGTATTTACGCCATTTTGAAGTCTTCCGAGTTATATATTTTTATTTTCTTGTTCATTTAAACTTCATTGAACATTGCAAATTTAAAGCAAATACATTGTACACGATTCAAGATATTTCTCGAACTTTCGAAATATAATTTCAAACTGACATAAATTAGCTATTTATGATTATAATCGAAAACGAGCAATAAATATTTTTTTTAACCAAAATTATAACCATTTAATACTCAGAAACTTCAAAATTGCTATGCTAAAAGTTTCTTCTCAATTTATATCAACTTGTTTCTAAGGTATGCATAATCCCAACTTTTATTTATAAACTTTAAGTTTTGAAAGTTTAGAGAAGGTAAGTGATTTGTATAGTGTACAATGTAATAAAAATATATTAATCGTCAAAATTTAATTATGACATTCTGATTCATTTTTAGATTCAAAAATAGTTTGGTTATTAAGAATAAAATAAAATGCCACAGAATGAATATATTGAGCGTCATCGGAAATTATATGGACGAAGATTGGATTATGAAGAACGTAAAAGAAAGAGAGAAGCTAGAGTACCTCATAAACTTTCCGAAAAAGCTAAAAACCTTAGAGGTATAAAAGCTAAACTTTTTAATAAAGAACGTCATAATGAAAAGATACAAATGAAAAAGAAAATTAAAGCATATGAGGAAACAAATATTAAAAAGAGTGAACAACTCGTTCCTGAAGGTGCATTACCAGTTTACTTACTAGATCGAAATATTAGATCAAGAGCTAAAGTTTTATCTAATATGGTAAAACAAAAAAGAAAAGAGAAGGCTGGTAAATGGGATGTACCTATACCAAAAGTGAAAGCGCAATCTGACTTAGAAGTATTTAAAGTATTTAAGAGTGGAAAGTCTAAACGAAAATCATGGAAGAGGATAGTTACAAAAGTTACATTTGTAGGAGAAAATTTTACAAGAAAACCACCAAAATTTGAAAGATTTATTAGGCCAATGGCATTGAGATTTAAAAAATGTCATGTAACTCATCCAGAACTAAAAGCTACCTTTTGTCTTCCAATTATAGGGGTTAAGAGAAATCCTAATTCACAAATGTATACTACGTTAGGGGTAATTACAAAAGGTACAATTATCGAAGTGAATATTTCAGAATTAGGTTTGGTTACACAATCTGGTAAAATTGTTTGGGGAAAATATGCTCAAGTAACAAATAATCCTGAAAATGATGGGTGTATTAATGCTGTACTACTGATCTAATCTAAATTTTTATAATCATAAAATTCTTGTCAAATTTTTCTAATAAAACAATGTTAATAAATATATTTGTTTGTTTCATTATATATCCTTTATAGTATTTTATTTACTACTTATATTATAAAAAAATTACAATCTTACTAATAATATAAAATTTATTTTATAGTATATTTCCATCATGCAGTTATTTGTGAAAACTTTAACTAATAGAACCATTACTCTTGAAGCTGAATCTTCTGAGACTGTTGAGAATATCAAAAATGTAATTCAAGACAGAGAAGGTTGGATAATTAATTTATTTCATATTCTTTAAAAGATACAAATAATTATAATTTAGTTTTTTAAATACTATAATTTTTTATTTTACTGACGTATACTAATTGTTATAATTCAAAGAATATCTTTGAAATGATTATTTTTATGTATTTATAAAATATATTAATTTATTATAAGTATAAAATTGTCAAAAGTTTATTATTAATTACAATTAAAATTTGTTTCTTTGAAGGAATCCCTTTGTATGAGCAAAGATTATACTTTGCTGGTAGACAATTAGAAAATGAAAAAATACTTTCTGATTATAATATTCAGAAAGAATGTTCACTTGATCTACAATTACGTTTGTATGGTGGCGCCAAGAAACGCAAGAAGAAGAATTATTCTACTCCAAAAAAAATTAAGCATAAGAAGAAGAAAGTTAAGCTTGCAGTTCTCAAGTTTTACAAGGTTTATAATATCTATTATATTTATAATAATTATATATCTATTTACAATACATTTAATTTATATCATGTTTATTTGTATAAAATAAAATATATCTATTAAAATTGTAGGTTGACGAAAATGGTAAAATTCATCGTTTAAGACGAGAATGTCCTTCAGAACAATGTGGAGCTGGAGTTTTTATGGCTGCAATGGAAGATAGACATTATTGTGGCAAATGTGGATATACTCTTGTATTTAATAAACCTGAAGACAAATAAATGCAAAATAATTAATTTGTATTTATTTTATATAATAATAAATTCTTAAAACTATATAAAAATTTGTGATTACTTCATTTAAATTATATTTAAAAATAAATAATTTAACACGATTGTTCAAATAAAATTTAAATTTTATTAAAATTCAAAAAATATTTATAAACTGGAGCTACCAGTAAGAACTCACAATTACACTGTATTCATATAAATCAATTATCTATGATTCGAGACTGTGAGATTTGCAACATATGCGCATGCTTAATATACTACAATACTTCTATTATACATAACACAGCAACTTTAACGGCTTAATGGTAGGTTTTTAATAACTTAATATTCACATAATTTTAATAATAGCATAATATGCAATAATCGCTAAATGTTTTAATTCTTTTAATGCAAACATTTTGAGCAATTTTTTAAATTTGTTTTTAAGTTATTTTCATTAAAAACAAAGAGATAAATCCAATATATATATATATATATATATATATGTATACACATACAAATTCTTTACTATAAATATGTAAACTAACAAAAAATTTATTTAATCATGAAAACAAAAACTTAAAGTACAAAAATATTTCTTTTTTAAAATTAAAATTATGAACTTCAATTCACATAAATTATTTTATAAATAATTATTTTATAAAATTATATATAAATATATAAATTTTTAAAAGTCTGAAAACAAATTTTAAAACGTATTGGACTAATTTTTAAATGAAAATAATATAGTATCTAAGATTCTTAATTTTTGAAACATAATTACAAATAGTTAATTTGTTATAAGCTCTTACAAGCTTTTACAATGCATGTAAACATTTTATTGAATAAAAATTTTGATAATTATGATAATGGGAAATAGCCTTTTGCAAATTTTTAAAATATTCAATATCATTAAAGCTCATAAAAGATCTTTTATAGTTCTGAGTTACGATGTTGCTCATTTTGTTGATTAAGAGTTTTCAATCCTGGTTTTAATACTGAGAACATTTTTTCAGTTGTTGTTGGATGAATACTCATTTGCAGTTGTGTTAGTGATTCCTCTGTCTTTGTAGTCATAAGATAAAAGATTATTTGAAAATTATAATTTGAAACTTTCAGATAGATTTTTTTATTTTTTCATATAAATTAATTACCTGTCTAAGTAGTTGTGCAGCGGTATGTAATACCCTTTGCCATTTTTTAACTTCTATATTGTGTAGACTCTCTTGTTGTTGAAGCAAATTTATCCAATCTTCTTCAGTTTTAGGTGTATTCCTGCAAATAATGTAAAACTATTTTTATTACAACACAAGTTATTCATATAAAATTTTTAATCTTTATAAAAATCTTAATTGCTTGTTACAAATGAAGAATTTTGTATAATAATCCACATTGTAGCAAAATTTGTAAACAATTATTAACAAGACAAACTTTACTATATATTTACAAAAAATTTAAGCTAGGTTCAGATTATTATGGTTATTATGATGAATGAATAAATTTGAATGAATAAAAAATGAATAAAAAAATAAATAAATAAAAAAATAAATAAATAAACAAATAAATGAATGAATAACAAAATAAATCAATAAACAAATAAATGAATGAATAAAAAACATATTATTATTATGAAAAATAAAAAATTAGCAACACTAAAGAATTATTAATTATTAAAATTATTTTTTATACTGCAAACATATTTACATAGTTGTGAAGATTTGTAAATGAGTAATTAGTATTAAACGAGTAATATATTAACTGTAAACATCAATAATATACTTGAAAAAAGTCTTTATATAATATTAATTATATAAGTATGTTTTATAGTTTTCAACAAATTTTTAAAATATTTTCATAAATACAAACTTTAGACAAATATTACGATATAATTACAATTTGAAGAAAGATAAATATATTAATAATTATAACAAAAGTTTGCTATTCACAAATGAAAGGAAAAGTTCAATAGTTGACAATTTTGAAGTCTTTCTATTGATTTTGTTATTAATATAAACAATGATATTCTTATTGAACTATTACCGAAATTTTAATATTTTTATTTATCCTAATATAAATATTTTATTATATGTCATTAAAATCTTTCATTTTTACTTTAGATCGATATTTCAATATATTATGTTTTTAAAAAATTTAATTTATTTAATTATGTTAAAAAAACCTACTTAAGAACATGCAAATCCATTATTGTATAAGTAGCTGCTTCTTCTAAACCCCATAATTTGTAGTAAAGTAGACCATTAATAAACATTAAGCAAAGAACAGCTACAAGAAGAACCCAACTGAGTATAGTACTATTATCGCCTCGTAAATCTGGAGCTAAAAAATGTTGTGAACAATATAAATATAATAAAAATATTTCTAAAAAATTTAATGCAATTTTAACTTATGAGTGAAATATTTTGTATTTTACTTTTATAAATATTACCATTAATAGTATGACTGTGAGGTAGATCCACGACAGGTGATTGATGATTAAAGGCTGTGTGATCTGGCGAATGTGTTTGTATGGTAACTCCAGCAGCTGTCACACGTCGTCGTCGTCTAGCTTTTCGTTTTAAACCACCAGCTACAACGCTACTTTCTTCGCATTCAACAGCTAACGCTTTAATCAGACTATTAAAATATTCTTGCATACCAGCCCAACAATTTTTATCTATAAAACCTGTATAATACAATTTATTTATTTTTATTATTATCTTATATTATTTCTGTTAAATATATTTTAAGTAAAACTTACTTTTAACAAACCCCCATACATTTTTTTTGTATCTGATTTGAGAAAACACGGCAAAACTAGATTCATTTTCAGAAATGCTTGTCATACAATAATGTGATAAAACACTGAATGAATCAGCATATGGTATACCAGCATTTGTGGTTTCTACATCAATGCAGTAAAGATGACCAGGTGTAGTGCATGGAAGCATTATCTAAAATTTATTGAATATTATAACGATTAATAATTAATTACTATTTAGTTTTTTTTTTTATAAACTATTAAATTTTAATAAAATATTTATTAAAAATTTGTTTTTTTTTATTCAACTCTAAAATATATACAAATAGAAATAAAAAATAAACATAACGATAAAATAACCCTTTATATATATTTAATAGAAATTTTTTTAAACATTTTAATGTTTAACCTGTGTTTCTGTAACTTGTGAAGATCTAGGGCCAACTGCTTGTGTAAGTGAAACAGTTAAAGAAACTGTTCTCATCTTTATTGATGTTGTATTATCTTGTGTCCAGGCTGGTTGAATTAAATCTTAAAAAATACACGGTTATTTAAAACTATTTTTACATATAATAATTAATTATATATAAAGTAATGTATACATCATAAGTAAATAAAGTATACATTGTAAATATATAGTATAAATTTTAAAAAATAATGGATGATGAGTAATGAGTTTTGATAAATAATTCGTAAAAATAATTATTTATCAATTAATTTTGTTATAAATTTTAAATGAAAACAAATATTTTCAAAATATTCTATCCACTTTTTACATTTTATAGTGTGTATTAAAAAAAATAATAAATTTGTTTAACTTATAAATATACTCTAAATTGTGAATAAATTAATATAATTACCTGTTGTTTTCCGAGCAGTATGAAAATCCAGAAAAAATTTAGAATTAGTAAATAAAAGTGTAAACAGTTGATCTATGTGTATTGGTAAAGTAGCTTTTATCAATAGTCGTCCACTATGTGAAGCACTGCATACTGGAATACTTGTTCTTATGCCCATTCGAACTATAAAATATAATTAATTTTCATGAATCTATTATTTAAAGTAAATTATATTTATTATCATTTAACCTAATTACTTAGTATAAATTATCATAGTAATCAAAGCAATAATTACAGTAAATTCTGGTTTTAATTTTAAATAATATCCTAACTTTTTTATTTTAAATAATTTTATTTTATCTTAATTATTTTTTTATCATTTGTAATAGTTAAAGTAGTTAATAATAAAATTCGTTATGATTTTTAACATTTATTTCTACCAAATAATTATTTATAGTTTATAATTGTTATAAATTATAATTACATTATCGAAGGAAAAATAAGTAAAAAAATCATTAGTACTATATAAAATTATTAATAACCAATTTTATAATGATTTAATTATTACCACACGGTTTTTTTTCTTCTTCACTTTCACTTGAATCACTTACATCTGTAGGATCTATTAATTCTTCCGTTTTATTACCAGTAGCTGAATGTATTGCAGAGGATTGTGTTAATGGTAATTGTACAACATCTGATGCTGGAGGATTTCCAGATTTAACATCTCCCTACAATTATAGTTATAATTTAAAAATGAAATTAGTTTATTTAATAATTTAAAGTAGAAACTAAAATTTTATAAATTTATTTGCCACCTCAGAAAATGAATCTAAAGATAATCGTGCAGACAATTTTTCTTCATGAGGAACAGTCAATGGGCGTGTAATATAATCTTCATCATCTGATGTTAAACCTAATTCTTCACCATAACAATGATGAACAAGCTGCCACATCTCAGTAATACTCATTGACTTAAACAAATATAATGAAATTCTTCAAATAGGTTTTATTTTTTCTTATTATAATTTATAGACTATAACTCCTTCAATTTATTCATTAGAATATTGATATAAATAAAAAAACTAAGGAAATAATATAATATTGCATATATACTTTTATGTTGCAATTATTTTTAATATAATTAAATAATAAAGTTAAAAAAGTAATTTATTAAATAATTTATGTTTAGATGTATATATTATTTTGTATTTAGATGGTTGTATTATTATATATTATATAAAATATAATTTAATGTTATGTACAAAAGCTCACCTGTTCCATAAGAGCATTTTGCCAAACTTTAAATAACATCATAAATGTTTTATCTCTTGAGCCAAAAGACGTTAAAAAAAACTTATCAGTAACAGTAGCAATCAATATAGCGTTTGGAATAACAAGGGCTGTTTTTTCTTTAGTAATTGATGTTACATCTTTCCAACGTAAGGAAACAAGAGTTTCCCACTTAAATATAGTAGCATGGAAACATACATAATTTTGAGAAACATACAGTCTTCCATGAACTATAATTTCTCTTTGTAATGCACAAGAATAATCTAGAAATAAATCATATTGATTATGATATACATAATTTAAAAAATTAGTATATACTTAAATCCATTTAACTTTGAAACAAACCAACAACAAGTCTTTCTTCATCTGGTACCTCTTTAAAAATTCTTTTAAAATCGTCAGAACGTGATTTATATGTGGGATAAAGAATATTAGAATACCAAGATTTTTTTTTAGTACGATGGTCACTTCCTCTTGTTTCTTTTCTGCTTTCAGAAGCAGTATGTTTACTAACTTCTGTAGAATCTGAAGAGCGATTTGTAATGTCCTGTAAGATTAATTTAAAAACTGAATAAAAACTATATTTTAAAACAAAAGCATATAAGTTATATATAATTTATACTAATTGTTTTCTTTAATATAAAGTTTATAAAATTTTAATACTTAGTACCTATTTTTAAGAATTAGTGCTATATTTAATAAAATTAATCAATTAATTTGTATTTTTTAGTTTATGTATAGTTAAAATAGTTAATAGAGTACCTGTTTTAAATAAAATTATTTGATCTAATACTAACATTATGGATTTTAATTTTTGAACTTTCAACATTTCTTCATTATAAAATAAAATAAAAATATGAACTTCTTTGATTATTTTGAATTATATCCTATATTGTAAAATATACTTAACATTTAATGTAATACAAATACTGATTAATTAAAATATTTGATTGAGATATCCTGTATATTTTCAAAATATTTTTATAAATATATAAAATTTAAAGCTTTACCCAACAAATTTTGTGATTTAATAATTGTAAGTAATCAAAATGTTATATAAAAAGAATACCTGAATTTGATGGTCATTCAATTTGCTTGAAATAACTGTTTCCTTTTGAGAATGACTTGTGGCGTCTAAACAACTTTTTATGGAATGATCTCTATGATCTTTCTCATCCTTATGTGATTTATCTTTATGATCTTTTTTACTCGAAAATCGTGGACTTGGTTTAGGAGATAAATTTGGAGATTGGATTGGACTTCCACGTTCATTTTCTCCCCCAGATGATACATCTTGTATAGATTCATTATATGCTCCATTTGTTAAGTTAGACGATAAACTATGGCCAGCCAAAGATGAGGAGTTAATGCTAGTAATTAAATCATGACTAGATATCAGAAGATTTTCCACAGATTTGTTCCTACAAATTAAATAAAAATTGAGCAAATTTTATTGATAAAATTCTACAAAATACAATACAAAGATATTCATATAACATAAGATTTCATAAAGAAAAGCAATGAATTATAACTTGACAAACTCACATGTTTGTTATTGGGCGCTCTGGTACAGGATCTTCGAAATACATAACTGCAGTGGGTTGTTGCAGTGGAAAATTTAATTTTATACTCAATCAAAGGCTGCATTATCTGCTTGCTTGTATTAAATTGTTTTGAAGTGAACTAATTTCTAGGTACATTTTGGCATCTCAGACATTTAAGTCTCTTATATCCGTCTTTCTTTGAGTATAAAGTAAGGTAAGTTTGCTTTTTTTTTTTTTTTTTTTTTGGAAAAGTGAAGAGGCTAAGAGTAACAATCGCAAAAATACGGATATAAATTTAAACAAGGATACCTGCAAATTGCTTGCTGGTGCACAAACATAATATTCGGGCAAGAATGTTGACCTCAAATTATACTATACAGTACAACAACAAAAAATTAATATTGCTAATAAACTAATACTGTTGATTGCACCTTATTTTTTGTCGTTGACTTCGTCGTTCGCCACCACATGTGCAATTATAAAAATTATAATGTCCTCACAGACGATTTATAAAACATTTGATGTTCTCTGTAGAGACTGCAGAACATAAATGTAATTACAACTTTGCTGTATAAACGTGTTAAGTTCAGTTGAGCAAAACGATAATAAATAATGACAATGATTACTACTTTTTACCTTTCAATTAGACTGGTGCTATGATTTCTATCTATGTAATCTATTTTGTGTTTAGTTCCTTTTATTACCACACACAGTAGTTAATGCGCCAGTTGCGGTATATTTGCAAAGTTTATGCTGATTGGCAGCAATCACAATTTTTCTGTGTAAAAATTGTAATTATTTTCCGTTCTTTTTTTTATTATTACAATAAATTTTTATACGATATATTACATTTTCATTATGTTGGACTTATTTTATCAATTTATAAACTTACTCAATAAATAGCCTTTATAAGTTAGCATGTTAAGCGAAATATATTACGGCCACTCAATAGTTTTGTAGTGACAATTAACATAATATACACAACTATTTTTTTATTTAAATTAAAGTTATCGCTTATAGATAGGCACACATGTAGTATAATTTACATGCCAAACTCACCAAAAATTTTTGAATATTACTAATTATTTCTGAATTAATTTTTGAATATAATTTAACTTGTTGCCGTCTTTGATAGTAATTAAATTAAAGGATATAGATGAAAAATATAAATATGGGTATGGTAAGAAAAACAATGCAAAATAAAATCGATGAATCAAAAGTCAAACAAGCCGACAGTAAAATGGAATTTCATCCTCCACGTTCAGATTATTAGCAATAATGACAAAAAATGTATGTATTTTAAACAGATCCATTTTTCAGTATTTCTAAATATAGATAAATTTACGTTAATTTAATTATACATGTATTTTATGTGCAATAATTTTAATAATTAAAAAAAATTTGAACAAAAGTAATAATGTTTTATAAAATACTGCATTATTATATACTTTAAAATTTCTTTATATATATAAAGAATTAAAAAATAATCGCGATATGAAATTATAAATACATATATATATATATATATATATATATATATATATATATATATATATATATATATATAATTGAAATTAATTAATTAGAATTATTTTCTAGATAATTTATTTTAAATAAACTTCAATATTTAATGTTATATGGTAAATGAAATGATGATGCATGGAAGTTATAAGTTATTTTTAAAATATGAAAAATATTTACTATTTTGAATTACACTAATTGTGTTCAATGCTATTTAAGCTTCTGAAAATGAATAAATTAATTGGATTTAACTGTAATCCATTATATTTAATTCTACTAATTGTGATAATATTTTACTAATTAAATGATATATTTTAAACGTGAATTTTAAAAATCTATATTGTTAATATATTGTTATACATTATATTATAAATAACGAATTATTTATAAAAATTTTGAATCGAAACTTATTTATTTTTGAAAAGGTAATTGAATTGTTTTTTGTACCCTAAAATAAAGTTTAATTACTCTAGATTTAAAAAGAATTAAATCCATTTAAAAATTTCATTATAAATTACTTAAAAATATTTTTATCATAGATTTTTAAAAATATAATTATAATAAGGCGGAATAACAATATTACATAATCCAAATTGTATGTAATGGTAAATCAAGATAAACTAGTCAATGCAATATTTTTACACTATTTTTATAATTAAATTTAGTTATTAATTCATTATGACGTTTAGTTGAATAAAAATAATTTGTATAAGATTAATATAGCTGTATGATAACTTTTTTATTGCTAGGAAATAAAAGGACACTAAATACTAAAATCAATAATGTTAATATATTTGAAGATACTTTCTTTAATTAATGGTTAAATCAAGTGTAAATGGTAAATGATTTTAAAACCTTCCCAAAATAATTTATTTCTATATAATCCAATTTTAATTAATAAGACATGTGTAATTAAATAATTTTATGATTTATTAATTAAAAGAATGTCATTATTTAAATTAATATAAAATATTAAGATATATATAAAGAGTCGATAATAAAATAATAAAAATTTAAGAAAAAAGCAAATTAAATTTGTAAATATAGAAAATATTATATATTAACAACTTTTTTAAATTATTATAGGAATAGGAAAAATTTGAATATTTCTTTTAACATAATTGAAAGTATTACGTTTCATTTAAAAAATGTGTTGTAACCTTATAATATATGAAAAGGAAACTGATTAAATAATTTTATCTGATTTTGATATTTTTATTATTAAAAGCAGTTTTACTATTAACATAAACATTTTATATTTTATTGAATAAGGTACAAAATTAAAAATTTTTGTTTGCAATCGCGATTTTAAAAAGGTATATATTTTTTTACAGTCATTTAATCATTTAAACGTTATTATTTATCTAATATATTACATACATATAACATTATTATATTAGCTAATACTTATTATTTATCCTTCAAATAATTTTTCTTTATAAACATCAATATAATAGATTGTTCATTAATTATTATATTTATTAATAATAAACGTGTATAATATATTAGATATTTCATTGTATTGATTAAACATTATGTTTAATGGTTTAATATATATTTCCTTAATTTAATATTAACAAGATACGTGTAAAATTATGAATATAAATTTATTTTTAATTAAATTTGAAAATTAATAAATAAACCAAATATCAATGAACTGTATGATGAATTTATGAATTGTATAATATTTTACATATTAAAATTAGTCACATATTATACAGTATTATTGTTAACATCTTTATAAAATTTTATTGCTGTTTTGAATGATAAGCTTATTAAAAAAACATTGAATAATAAATTTATAAATACTTTTATTGCAACATTTAAAGCTAATAATAAAACAAAAATTATTCTTTAATAATTCTTATCAAATTACAAAATAAATTTGCTTGTTAATACACAATTATTGGTTTCACAAAATTTGGTATCGTATATTTTATTGAAATTGATAATTTTATTTCATAAAATTATTTAGAATAAAATAATAATTCTGTCAATTGTATTTAAGATTTAACCAATAGCATTCTATTTAAAATTTTATTATGAATTTTGTATTGTTTCATATTTCATACAAATTGATTGACGTTTAATTATTTGTTTTTGCCTTTTCTATTGTTTATAGTATAATATTAAGTCATATTTATTACAAATATATTTGTTTACCAAAATAGTTATCAATATTTGGCTTGGTATAATATTTTGTAAGAAATTGAATAAATTTATCAAATTAAAAAAATTTATAATTATTATAAATATTAATATTATTAATGTAACTATTATTTCATTTCATTTTAATAACAAATAAATATCGTCTGAATTAGTATGTTGTATAGTTTTCATTAATTTTAGTAATAAATTTTAAGTTACATAATTTATTTTATTCTGTAATAATTAATAAGTAATTTCAATATACATATCAATATATGAACTATAATTTACTTTAGTATATATGTTATAATATTGATTATTAAGTTTTATTTATGTATAATCATTTTAAATTCTCTTTGTTTTTCCTTTTTTCTTTATCATAATTACTTGTAAATCTTTTAAAAATTACAAAATATATTCTTTAGTAAATATTATTTTTTTAATTCGTCAATTTTGTTGGAATATCAAGAATTTATACTTAATTTTGTGTATATATATATATCATACAAACTATATATATATATATATATATTTATTTATTTATTTATTCATTTGTGAAAAAGTTGAATTTGTACATTTGCTGATAAAAATTTATTTTGTACTTAATTCATAAGTATGAAATCATATTATTATGTCTAAAATTTTAAAGTTGCATATATTAAATATTTAAATATTTTCGGAAATGTTTTTCTTCCATTGAATTTTACATATTAATATTTTTTAATGATACGAAATGTGGTAAAAATATTCATAAATGTTAAAAATAAAATTTTAGCAGTCTATAAATATTTTTTAAAATATGAAAAAATGATTTTTAATATTCAATAAATTCATGATATTAGATTAATGGAAAACACTTCTCCAAATATATATATTAATCAATTTAAAGTTCAAGTGTATTTATTCATATATTTATTTTAAAGTAAATATTATTATGTATAATAATTATAATAGTATAATTTTGTTTATTACATTACGTTTTTGGAAATATTAAAATTACAAAAAATTTTTTAAAATTATACTTTTTTGAAATTATTAAAATTGTGCAATTTTATATTTATCACTTGAATTTCTATATAAATATTTTATATTTAAATACACAAAAAAGAAATTGTATTGTATTTAGTATAATTTACATTGTAAACATAATATTTAAAGTTTATATGAATATAAGCTATTTAATGAGTAAAAAAAGTATTTTAATACAAACGAAGATGTCGAAACATAAATGTAGCTAATACTTAATTATTTAATATTCTTATATATAAAAAGAACTTTTTTTTAAATATATAAAATTTTGAAATCAGACATATTCCGAATATATTCTTATAGATGGAATGAATATTTTATAAAAAATTTTTTAATGTTTTCAAAATAATAGTTGCTTCTAAATGTAATTTAAGCGATGCATTTATAAACGAAAATCAAATTGTATGAATATTAATCGAATATATAAAATAGTTAATTAAGCTAATTCGAAAAAAGAAATAATTACAAAATATGTTTGAGGTATTAAAAATTTACTTATAAAAATTTTATTCTTTTTCTGATAAAACATATTCATTAATCATTTTTTTATTATTTTTAATCAGGGATTGTTAGAAAGAAATTGAAACTATACAATACAAACACGCTTTAAGAATAATAATACTCAACAAATAAAAGCATATTAAAAATGAAATTAATATTATGTTTTTTAATTATGATTATTGATTATTTGAAAACTATACAAATTAATCCTTATTACATAGACTTGTATATTTAAAAATAATTTTAGTAAATCAAAATTTTTAAATATTAATTTATATAATTCAGTTGATTAATATAAAAAAAAAATATATATATATATATATATGTATATTATAATTGTAAAAAATCAAATAATTTAAATATGAATAATACTTTGGAGTATATGAACTTTGTCATGCTACTTAGTAATGATTTTGGCTTTCGGAAGTTAAATATGTTTGTTGGTTATTTAACCTATAATTAAAAAATAAAGTTTTATAGTAAGACACATGCATTGAAAAATTTTGTAAATATATTATTAAAGTAAATTATTATTTTATCCAGTAAATAATTTAAAAAGATAATAGTTTTTATTAAATAACTAATTGTAGAAATATAAGTGTAATAATAATTACAATAAATTTATTAACATTTAATTGATTATTTATTTTATGTTATTTTAAAAAAAAAGTACAAAATCTTGTGGTAAATGTAAAATGATGATGTCTTCAAATGGCTCAAATATACCTTCTGAATATAATCCTAATATAAAGATTAAAGAAGAAATTGGAACAGTATCTACACCTTCTACATCAACTTCACCAATTACATTGAATGCAATGAAAACCGTTAAAACGGAATTTAGTTTTCCTTCTACATTAACACCAACTAGATTACCTTCATTTCGGGTCCCAAGAGATTTAACTTTAGGTGGAAATGTTAAATTTGAGAGGTCTAAAAAAGTATATGTACCAAACTTAAATGCTCAGAGAAATAAAAATAGAGAGTATATAATCATTCAAATTAAAATGGTAAAATTTTTATAAATTAAGAAACTTTATCTTTTTTATAATTATTTTAGAGATCAAAATATAGCTAATAAAAATGAATCTAATCCTAAAGTTAATAAAGGACGTCATGATAGAGGAAAATCGTATACAAGCAAAGGAATAGAAAGAAATAATTTATATCAAGTAATTTTTTACTATAGAAATTTACATAATTAATATAATATTTTTCTATTATCCTAAAAATATTTATTATTGTAAAAAAGTATTGACATATATTTATATATTAAATACATTTTTTCATTAATAATTTCATTAAATATTAATTATTGATTCTATATAGTCAACTGGAATATTTTCTGAAGGTATTTCTGATAAATCTACTAAAAGACATATTGGCGTTGTTAGTAGTATTTTTAGAGATAAAAGTTTTGGAAATGGTAAAGAAGCTGGAATAACTCTAGAAAGACCAAAGTTATGTATACCACAAAAAATTAATAAAGCTGAAGAAGCAGAAAAGTTAAAAGAATTATTAAGAGATGATTTTATAGATGATCGAGTAGATTTCGATTTAGAAAATGCTCCTGTAGGATTACCTATGATTAATGAAGGTTTAAGTTAAAATATAAATGTATGTACAATATAAATGCAATACATAAATTTTAATACATTCAATTACTTTATTAGGCAAAGTATTTAAAACTGAATCCAATCAATCAGTTTCGATATCTAAATATCAAAATAGTATTAATTTACAAAATGGAGGTTAGTATGCAGTTTAATTATGAAAATATTTTTAAAAAATGTTTTAAAATAATTTGATAATTGAGTTATTTAAAATTATTTTTAATTTATTACTTTTGTATTATGTACATTAAATATGGGATGAAATATAAAATCTATCATGTCTTGAATCTATCATATCTATGAATCATGTTGGAATTTTTTGTTTTAATTTTATATTGATATTATTAAAAAAATTTTTTTGAATATACACATTAATACACATTTTCTTAGTAAAGACAGGTAACAAAATAAAATTAATTACACCCAAACGACATATAAATGAAGGGCAAGTGCCTCTTAATGTAGTTCAAGTAATGGAAAATAAATCAAGTACCTTTATTTTGATGCAGGTTATTCAATTATTATTTGTATCATTTAATAAATCCTTATTAATATTTTTTATGATATTGATTATCAATGCTTTTCTAGTTACCAGATTGTTTACCTGGATTACAAACTGATAAACAAAATAATTCAAGATTGAAGGGAGTACCTGAATCCAATTCAAAAAGTGAGATGGAGAAATCAAATAAATTTTGTACTTTAAATAATTTAAAAGAAGGAATACTTGGTAAACTACAAGTTTTAAGATCTGGCAAAACAAGACTATTATTAGGTGAAAATGATCTTATAATTGATGTTGGCTCAAATCTTAGTTTTAGACAGGTAGAATTATATTATATGAGCAATAATTGTAATTAAATAAAACGTCAAAATTTTAAATTTAATTTAAAATAATTTACAGGATTTAATTGCTGTAAAAATAAGTGGTGATAAACAAAGTGGAAATTTAGTAAATCTGGGACCAGTAAATAGCACGTTAATTTGTTCTCCTGATTGGGAAAATATGTTAAAAAATATATAATTATAAATATTGTACAAAGATAGATGTGCATCATTTTAATTTTTTTCCAGATTTATAATTTATTTTTTTATATTTTATTTAATATAAATCTTACATTGAAGAATGAATATTATTTTATTGGTTGATGTAATTACATAGTATTGTGTATTGAAAATGTTTTAATTACAAAGCTAAATCCTTTTTTAAATTTTATATACAATTTCCAAATTCTTAAAATTACAAATTATTTTTTAAAAGGCATTTAGTTAATAAAACATGTTTTACTAGAGGTAAAAGTAAATTTAAATTTTATTATTTAATTTTAGTTATAAAAAATTAAATTTCAGCAATCTATTGTTCTAAGAAAAATTAAGTAAAAATCCAAGTTATTTTTGTGGTGTGAATAGATATAAATGTAGTAAATATATTTATGATTAAATTGTTTTCTATTTTAGTGAGCATTTTACTTTAAGGTAAACTATTATAATAATATATTTATAATTATAACTCAATTTGAATTTTTTAGTTGGAAAATATGTGTATTTATGTTTAAATTACAAAAAAAAACTAAAATTTGTTTGAAATTTTAAAATTACATCTTAAAAATTTAATAAAAATTGAATTTACTTTTTAATTCTTAAATATATTTATTTTATAGTATTTTTAAAATTTCTTTAGAAAAAAAGAAATGATAATTCTATCTTACAATAGTGGGCTTCCTTGAAAAAACAATTTTCCCTTTAATATCTAAATTTAACAATAGGTGCAGTTCTACATTTGTTTATTACAGAAATTATCAAATTTCAATTAAGTCTGTATTGAATTCTGTTTAATTTTTTAAAGTTTTAAATGTATTTTGAATCAAGATATTATTAAATATAAAATTTAATTTTTATTTCAATTGACCTTTTTCTGTATCTTTAATTTGTTTTCAAATCTGTATTTGAATTGAATGTGGTCTTTTTTTGTAATTAAATTATTACAGGTATAAATATTTTAATGAAAATAAAATTTATATAATATATATAATCTTTATAAAATATATATTTTATCATAATTACTTAAAATCTTTATTTTTAATTTAATAAAGTAAAACAATTGTAAAAATTGACTTTATAAAAGTATTAATATGAAAAATTTATAATTTTTATTTTGAGCAAAATTTTTAAATAAAAGTAAAAAACTGAAAAGATAATATTGAATGAAGAAATACCCTAATTTCAAAGTAAGAAGTGAAGTAAGGGTGAGGAATCAGTAAACTAAGAAGTATTGAAGAAATAAACTCTACATTTATTTTTATTACTACTAAATAAAAGCATTTACTCATTTGTGTATTTACGAGTAGTTACAGAAAAAAATTCATGTTTCGCACACAAGTCACATGTTTCTATGAAGCTACAATCATTTGTACAAAGCTTTAAACTTTGTATATCTGTCAGTAATAATAGATATCAAAGTATTAGTTATACACTTACAGAACTTTAGAGTAAATTACATATTCGAGTTAAATTTTTTTACAATTCAATTGTGTAAAACTTTAATCACTTCGTTCAACACTGTGTCCTTTTTTCATAGATTTAAGTGCTTTTTCTCTAAGTTTTTTTTCTAATTCTTCTGTATTTCCTTCACTAGCATCAGACTCTTCTGATTCAATTACTTTTTTTTTCTTATGTTTCCTATGCTTCTTGTGTTTTTTATGTTTTTTATGTTTTTTATCTTTTTTCTTCTTCTTTTCTTCGACTTCGCTTTCCTGAAAAAATTGATTTTTAGTTAAGAAATTATATTTTTAATAGATCTAATTAATCAATACCTCTGATTCACTTGTACTTGTCTTAGTTTTCTTTTTTCGTTTCTTTTTTATTTTCTCTTCATCAGTACTATCATCATTTTTTCTCTTTCGTCTTACTTCTTTTTCTCTTTCAGTTTCGTCCTCATCCGAACTTGAATCTCGTTTAGATTTTTTGGCCTTCACTTTTCCTTCATCATCGCTACTTGATTCTTTTTTTGATCTTTTTCCTCTAGGACGTTCATCTTCTGAAGAACTATCTTTTCGTTTACGAGACTTCTTTGGTTCTTCATCAGAACTGGAATCCCTCTTGACTTTTTTTGATCGTAATTTATCTTCATCTGTTTTACTTGATTTTTTAGATCTTAACTCATCGTCTGGTGAAGAAGATGGTTTTCGAGATTTCCGCAATTTCTTAGAGTCGTCTTCCTTTTGATCTTTTGATCGTTTCTTTAAATCATTTTCATTATAATCTCGTTTTTTCAGATCTTTTGAACGATCTTTTAATCGAATATCTTTAGAAGCTGTACCAATTTATAAAGTAAAAATTTCATTATTCATGATAAATGCAGTGATTACATTTTATTATGATTTAATATAAATATAATTAATGATACCTGAACGACTAGAGTCTCTAGCTTTTTTATTTTTATCTCCATTTTTTTTTTCATCCTCGGATCCAGAAGTTGATTCTATTCTACTCTTTTCTGATTTATCATCATCTGTAGAAGTTTTTCTGGATTTTCTCATTTTTTCAATCTTTTTAGTTTTTTTTTTATCTACACATATATATTTTTTTATAATAAAAATTTGTTAATGTATAAAACTTATTCAAGAAATTAAAAATTTTTATGCACATACCATCATTACTTTCATCAGAATCCGAAGATTCATTTCGTTTATCACGTTTTATTTTCTTATTGCTATCAGCAGCTTTTTTTACTGAAATGATTTCCGTATTTTTTTGCGGATTAATTTTTTTATCTTCTGTTACAGATTTAGTGGTGGATTTTGTAATTTTCTCATCTTTTTTTAACGGAAAAATTTCTGATGGTGCAACTGTAATTTCATTGCTTTTCGGAGATGCTATTTTATCATCTCTAAATATTGTTCAGTTTTTGTTATTGATACTTTTATTAATTATTATATGAATTTTTTTTATTTTAAACAATGTTTTACCTTATAGTATTCGGATGTTTAAGTTTATCTGCAATGATATCCTCAGTTTTTTTGAATGGAGATGGAGTACGAGATAAGCTTCGAGAAAACTAAAAATTCATTTATTAAATATTAAAAAAAAAATATATATATATATTTATTGAAATTTATTATTATAAATTATTATAAACGAAAATTAATGTAAATAATTTATTATTACTCTGTGTCTAGAAATAGGAAGAGCAGAAGTTGGAATTTTTTTGGGTGAAATAATACTCTCAGTCTTCTTTGAAACTAGAATCTCAGATTTTTTAATTTCTTTCTCAATGGTAGTTCGTTTAGAAGTTTCTTCTTTAGCTAATCTTTCTTTTTCTTTACGCTTCAATTCTTCAGCTAATTCACGTTCTTTTTTCTCTTGCATTAACTTCTGTTCAAGTGCTTTCCTGCAAATGTAGCGAAATATGCCACAATTTTTGTTATTATTATTAACACATTAATCTTGATTTTATAATTTTAAAATAACATTGAAACAGATTCTATATGTTAATATTTATAAATTATAATATTAATTTTATATTAGTTAGAAGATAATGATATCAATACAAATTTTGAAAAAAAATATTTTAATAAATTGTTAATTGATCACTTATAAAAGTTAATTAACAATTTTATATTTTTTTGAGAAATAATATCCTTACTTTACTTTTTTATAAAAAAATATTTTTTTATAAACATACATGCTACACTTACCCTACTGTATTAAAATGATTCGAATGGTACAGCAATAGCACATTTCTATTCGAAACATTAAAACAAATTTTTAATTTGACATTTTTAATTTATCTTAATTGAAACAGTGCAGAACTACTAATTACATTGTTTATATAATAAATATAAAGATTTTAATTATAAATATATTATATTGTTAATATATATTCTTGGTTGTTTTCAATAAATAGATTAGTTTTATATCCAATTAAAATTGATTTACAATTTACAAATTAAAAATTTATAGAAATAAGAAAACACAATTATTTATTTATTTTAGCTTTATATTTAAATTAATAAACGTTAAATTTATAGTTCAAAAATATTTTCAAATCGAATTTGAATCTGGTAATTCAGATATCGAACAATGTCAAGCAATTTCTTCACGGTTTCAAATAAGGTAAACAAAAAGAGGAGTATAAAAATTAGAATTTCCAACTAGAAATTTACAAAAGTAGAATTTTAAAATTACAATGCCCTTTTTATTTTTCATATTTTATACCCAGTTTTTAATTAATATGTACAATATAACTTCTTTTTGAAATTTGTCAAAATTTAAATGTTTTTAAATTAGTAATTGAACATAATATATACTACACATTATATATTATACCTTTGTGGAATAAAAACATATGTAACTTTATGGTTGAACAAAAAAGGAGAGAACAAAAAAGAATTTCAAAAATTAGAAAACAAAAATTTCGAAAAATAAAATTCATATAAAAAATTTGCCTCAATATAAATAATTTTACCAAAAATACGGTTTCGAAATTTAGGTTAACAAGGCGTATGCCCTAACTTTTGAAATTCTTATTTTTGACCTTTTTAAAATTTAAATAAATTAGAATTTATTTATATTTTACATAATTCCAATTATTAAAATTAATTTTTAATAATTACTAGATTTATTAAATATACAATTTATTGATTAGAATATACTTCTAAATGGTTACTCTAATATGTTATACTCGCCCACAAAAATTGTCGAATTAAAAATTGAAACGAACGATCAATCTAGATTATTGATGTAATAAATATAGATTTAATTGTATGCTTTAAAATTATTCCGATTGCAGCACTTTTATCTTAAGTTATATGTGACTCTGCGATCTCAAATTTCAATAACAACATGAAAGAAAGGTCAAAAATTAGAACATAAAATTTATATTTTATTTTTAATAAAAATGAATTAAAACTTAAAGACCAAAAATTTCGAAAAGACCAAATAAAAATAAAATTTATTTAAACAGATATTTAAAACATTAAAATTTTGAGTTTTCGAAATACTGGTCATTCCAAATTTTGATGGATTTTTATTTCATACATAAATAATATTTTACAATTTATTGTGGCATCGAAAGTTTAAAATTTTAGAAAAGTAAATACATTAATTTTTATTTTTATTACAGAAAACATTAATTTTTTAAAAACAACATTATATTTTAATGAATTATTAACCAACATGATTAATTACAATATATATATATATATATATATATATATATATATATATATACACACACACACACACATACACATTATATATACATTATTTAAATAAATAATTTTTTAACTACATTATTATTCATCAAAATTTATTTTTAAAATGATTACTTTTTATTATATATATATATATATAATATACATAGTATAACACAAATAAGTAAAAGTATTAATCAGTAATGGAAAATAATAAAATAAAATTATTAGCTTTATATCATAAATAAAATGTTTTTTATGAATATTAATTACAAAATATTAACATGACATTAAAAATTGGTATTTTCAAACATGCTAATACAATTTCAATAATTGAATATATCATTTTTAATTATATGTTCATTAAAGATATAAAAATTATGATTTGTTAAACTGATTTCTTTTAATTAATTATAAATTTTGAATGAATAAAAACATTAAAAATTATATTAATAAAATATTTTAAATTCTATAACAGAAATAATTTAAATTCAAGTAAGTTGACTCAGCCAATAATTGGTTAATCAAATATTTCTTAAACAGATAAATACGTATAGTATTTATAAATAATACTACTTGTTATCAATATTGAATCAAAATAAATTATATATTTTACTACAAATTGTTTTTTTGAACATTCAAAAGTTTAGCTCATAAATATCCATAAGTTCATTATGTCTAGATTCGCTTATATGTAATTATAATAAAATAATGTATGTATCATTATATAAATATAACATATTCATTTTATATAAAACTGAAATTTAGTTAATTGATTGTTAATTCAAATAATGAAAATTATTAATTACTTTTACTACGTAGGTACATTATACTTAGTGTTAATTGAAAAACATGATTGTAGACATTAAAAGAAAATACAAAAGATATAAAAAATACCCTAAGCTCTTTAAATTATTGTGTATTAAAATTGTTCTAGTTTGGCAACATTTTGAAAAAATTAGAATCCTATACAAATTTTTTATAACTTTTAATTTGTATTCTTAAAAGAATATAAAATATATTAACAAATCGTAAGATAATATCAATTTTTAAACTTTCTAAAGTGTGAGAGTTGGATGTTACATTGTTATTATATGATTAAATCTATTACAAATTGTGGATTTTTTTAATTGAATTTTTGATTTTCTAAATAGATAGTTTAATAAAGAGATTTAAATTAATAATTGAACTTATTTGAAATCTTCACTATTTGATAGACAACTTATTATTAGAGCTAGTGGAGACTCCAATACTTCAAATAATCAATTGGATCACTCGCATGCATATAAGCTTCAAGAAATCTTACCTAGCTATTTCGTCATCGTCATCAGTAGAGGAGGAGTCGCCGCTGCTGTGTTCGAATATAAAGCGTGAGCTGCTATTGGACCTTGACCTACCATTTCTGGCATCCTTCCTCTGAAGTTGTCCTGCTGCAGCCTGTGCTGCGGCAACTACAACCTGAGCGGCTGCCTGTGGAGGCATGGACAATATATTCGAACCTGGAGGCACGACCATGTCTATTAAACTTGATGATTTTTTGGGTTTGTCCTCCGAGTCAGCACGTTGCCGTTTATCTCTTGATGATGACGTTTCTTTATTGCTACTGCGTGAGCGCCGCCGACGATCTCGGGAGCGAGCACGGCGACTAGAACGATCCCGCGATGAAGATCTATCACGGTAGCGAGATCGGTCTCGATCAGACGAACGTCGTCGGGAATTCCGTCGGCTATCGCGTTCTCTATCACGATCACGGTCTCGGTCTGGTGAACGTCGCCGAGAGCGACGCTCGGATGATCGACGGCGACGATCAAGGGAACGACGACGCCGGCGATCACTTGGACTTGGTGAGCGTCTACGATAACGAACTGGTGATCTGCGTGCAGGACTCCTATAGATAAAAATTAGAATATAGATAGACCAATTTTGTTATAACAAAGAAATAAATTAATTTAATGATTAATAGTTTGAAAGCCGGCTGTGATTACTAAATATTGACATTTTTGATATTTTGCTATTAATATACTATACCATTTTATTTATTCAATTGTTATTTGATTGTTGGTCAAATGAAACAACGAAGTTCTTATTTACTTACAGATTACTAAATGTATATAAAATGTTTTTTATGTTAATGGCTATTGAATACTATAATAATTCAATTACATTAAAAAAAAATATATTTCTACACTTTTCAAAATTAATTATTTTATACCATATATATATTCTATTGTACTATATATTTTTATATGATTAAATAATTTGATTTTTCAAATTAATCTGAATTTGATATTAGATGAGAAACTAACGAGACTATACATCAAATGTAACGATTATAATATACACATTTAATTTAGATATTAAGACTTTTAATTTTATTTTTTAAAGTAACTCGTTCATTAAATAAACAAAAATTTTAAAATACCTTCGCCTACTAGGGGCTCTACGCACTGATGGCGGTCTCATACTACGACTACCGCTGTATCTGTCTCGACGATCACGATCTCTGTCTCTGTCTCTATCCCGATCTCGCCTTCTATCACGATCTCTATCCAAAGATCGCCTTTAAGAGAATAATTAGTGTTATATATAAATTGCACTAAAATATTAAAAATTGTTTTATATGCTTTGTATATTTAACGAAAATATAATTTGAAAATGATTTGTAATTTCCATAATTAAATCAATACAATTTATTTAAATATTTTTTGAAAAATAAATTTTTACTTTTAAATATTTCGTATCTAATATGTAATAAAGATTATAATACCTCCTATGTCTATCACGAGATCTTTCGCGTGATCTATCTCTGTCTCTGTCTTTTGATCGATCCCTGTCTTTTCTTGGAGAAGGGCTACCGCGCCTCTTAATTGTTGATTTTCTCTCTCTGCTTGAATCACTATCACTTGCACTATCGTTCTTGTTTGTCTTTCGATATGACCTTTTCGATTGAACACTATCCTTCTTTTTTCTAATCTCAAAGTCATTCTTATCTTTTTCTCTTTTATCTTCATCTGACTCCGAACTACTACTGCTTCCACTGCTTGCACTTAGAACTTTTCTATTCGTTTCTAAATCGATTTTGATTTTATCCAAAGATTTTGAACGCGATTTGCTTTTAGAATGACTCTTAGAAATGGACTTAGAACGTGACTTAGATGATCTTGAATCGCTGGATAACGTTCTCGATTTTCTCGATTTGCTTCTATCAATGCTCTTAGATCTTGATTTTTTTAGACGTGAGCAAGAAGTGGAACGAGATGAACGTTTTCCCGATTTTAGTGATCTTGATTTCGATCTTCGTGATCTCGAACGATCCAATGATCTCGTCTTCGATCTTCTTAATTTAGATTTAGATCTAGACCTTCGTAACTTTGATTTAGATCTTGATCTTCGACACTTGGATTTAGACCTCGATCTTCGTGATTTGGATCGCGATCTCCTTAATTTCGGGTTAGAATTAGATCTTGATCGCCTAGACTTTGATCGTGATCTTCGAGATTTTGAATTGGATCTCGATCTCCGTGATTTTGACTTTGATCTAGAGCGTCTCGTCGATTTTGAAGTAGATCGTGAACGACGTGATTTGGATCTAGATCTGCGAGATCTGGACTTGGAACGTGAACGTCGAGATTTGGAAGCAGGTGAACGCGAACGATGCTTATAAGATGGAGACTTGGAACGCGATTTCTTTGAACGCACGGAAGGGGACTTTGATCTTGACTTTTTTGTAACTTTATTATTAGTTTCCAGCGTTACTGCGATTTCAGGCGAAGGTGAACGATTATTTTTCTTCTTTCCATCTGCGATGCTCATCAGCTTTGCTTGTAACCGGGATATTGCTACTACGGCTTCTCTGTTTGGAAATTCAAACAATGCATGTGTAAATGCATGCCTATATTTATTTTATTAGTAAGTGTCGACACCATGGTTGTTTAGAAAAACTATTAAAACAATTAAAATACAATTAAGAAAATTGAAGATTAAAATTTTTGTATTTATTTATGCAAACATATTCGAGATCTGCATATGCAAATATTTGAATATCTGCATCAAATAAAGTATGACTATAGATTATATTTAGTTAGAAAAATGAGTTGCTTCGGATAATTGTATTTTCTTTAATAAAATTAATACAAACAATACAATACATCCATAATAAAAAATATTTTGCTTGACTTACGGTTTAGTTTTTAAAGGCATCATTGCAATTGTATTGTCAATTTGTGGTGTATCGTCACACTCAGTTTTCATTTCAATCATATCTTTGCTGTCTTTTACTGAACCTTTGCTTGGCGATCTTGAAGTAGATCTGCGTTTTCGATTAGATCGATCACGATCTCTATGTCGATCTCTTGATCTGCTTCTTTTTCTTAAACAAATTTTTAACAACTTTAATAAAAATTTAATAATCTTAATGATTAACTTAGAATTGTAATTTATTATTAATATAAATTTAAAAGCATTATAAATACCTATTTATACAAAACAATTTCAAGTACAAATTTGTACATTAATTTTTTTTTTAATTGTTATAAATGAAAATTTTTTTTTTCATTCATATAAAAATATCAAATAATATCAGGTTCAAAATTATTTATTATGTTATATAAGAACTAACCGATCTCTTTCGCGCTCTCTGCTGCGTTCTCTTCGATTTTCTTTGAAAGAGGTACAGTCTTTTTCTTCTTTTTTCATTTTGTTATCACTCTCATTATTGTCTTTATCTTTATCCTTATCCTTTTCTTTTTCTGCTAAAGATGCCTGAAGTTTTTCTTGTTCTTCCTATTTTGAAAAATTAAAAGTTCAAATGAATAATTATCGACTATTTTTAGTTGAAACACATTTAAAGTTCACGTAAACCATAGAATATTATAATAGTAAAACATTTTGTTAAATATTAATAAATTAAGTGTCTTGTTTAAAAGAATTGGCTTGTAAACACATATAAGTATCAATTTATTTTGTTTTTATTTAGTCCTTATTATTTACGTAATTAATTTACAAACTTTTAACCTTTTCTCATTTTCATAGGATTTATAAATAAAAATTATAATTCAATAAAATATTTACCAAACGTTTTTTAATTTGGTCTTTCTTTTGTTGTAAAAAAGCTTCTGGGATTCCAGTATCATTATCTTGTGCAGATACGAGTAAGTCCCACAATTCGCCCATAAATGAACGGGCATTTCTCCCATTTAAAAATCCCGTAAGATTGATCTGCATTTTTCGAGGATCAGGAAACTGTAAAAAAGGTTTAAAAACTAATTTGTAGTGAATAAGGACACGGTAATATTGTTGATTTCAAATGCGGTAGAATATCTCATGCAATTTATTCTGCTATTGCTTATTTAACTCAATTTTTTATAAAAATAATTAAATTTTATTTCGTTAACTGCTTTTCCCCCTCGAAAAGACAGTTTTTTTTATAATCATCTTATCAATAACAAGATCATAACTTACTGTGAAAACTGATCAAATACATAATCTCACTACAAATATTTGGCAGTGAATAAGGCATTGTTGACAAATTTGTTTTGTCTCCAGTTTACTGATTACCTTAATCACTGCATCATTAAATGTTGATTTGCTGTGCAATGCAAGAAGAGCAAACTACTTGCCTAATCGCACTCTGAAACCAAGGCATTAGTATAAAAAAAAGAAAAAATAATTTAATAAGATAGAGTGTAGTCAAGTTCCGTTGTCTTCATTGAATCATAAATAAGTAAGCGAACGATTATTGTCGTTCAGGAGCCAATAATCACGCAAAGTTTAACAGTACCTCCTGTTACGAAAAGTGTTTCCATTGCTCTTTCCCCGCGTTTAGCCAACTTCCCGATCACGGCGAAAGCCACGACAGTCTGTGTTCCCCCGGTAACAAGTTGCTGCACGGCTGCTCATGTGCGAGTCTGACAAGATGTATTGAAGGTAATCTCCAACTCTAATCCATGACCGCTACACTGGCTGATCACGGTCATCCGGTGTCGAAGCTTGCTGCCGCTGATTAAAGCAGCATTGGAACTGCCATGGGTGTTGAGAAACAGCATACCAATGATTTGGCATGCTGTTGCATGCACTGCTTTTGCAGTTAATTAGCAATGACGAAGCAGCCAATGTAGCTAGTGTAGCTACGAACTCGATGCAAAGTTGAAGTGATGCAGGAGCCTCACATGAGACTGTAGTTGTAGTAGCAGTATATGATGTGGTCGATGCAACGCGAATCACGTTTGAAGGTGACAGAAGTCGACGAAGAGCAGGAAACAGGTGAAATCGCGAGCACGGCGAGGAGTCGAAGCAGCGGCAGCTGGAGGAAGATGATTCGACGGCACGAATTGCTGACAGCTGATAGAAAGGCGGCCAATCGGATGTAGAGGAGTGCACATCCGAATGCCATTTGGACAAAAGGGTCGAGAACCAACAGCCACCAATGGTCTCTACTTATACTAACGGGGAATTCAAATACATAAGATAAGATTTTGCTGACATTAGATGTCAATATTGACAGGATCACTTTTCACATTATTGTCTATTTTGTGTAGTGTAATTTAGAAACATTGTACAAACTTTTGTTCATGTAAATTAAAAAAAAAACAAAAAACAAAATTTAAATGATAAAAATATCAACAAATTGTAATTGAAAAATATTCTTAAATCGTGTTGTTTCAGTGATCAAAATTCTAGAGTCAAGGTTTGCTACTCTTATTACACAACACTGAATGTGTATTGTAACAATATAATTTATTAAATCTACTCTTACTTACCATGTAATTGATCTAATTTTATACATTGTAAATTAAAAAAAATTACCTAATATTCGCCATTAAAACCAGCTAAACATTGAGTGATTTATATATTACAATAAATCGAAAAATTTTAAGGAAATTAACAAAAATATGATTTCAGAAATAAAATATAAGAAAGTTAACAAATTTAGATATTTCTTCCAAAATATTTGTTATGGTTCATGAGCAGTATAAGAAAAATTAGGCAAATTTACCATTTTACATTTCCTTGTTTCTTTTCCATTATGCAAATTCATGGCAAATTGCACAAATTTTTCTTGCTAAGTAATGCTAGTTGAACTAGGCGTTGTAAGCTGAAATAACAGGTATTTAACAAAGTAGTATAATGAGGGGAAAAAGCTGAGTGAACGTAAATTTGTTTTATCAACAATATTGATACCAGCATACATAACATTAATCTTAGTTAATACCATAATAAATTCTGCAATTATTAATTTTATTTCCTTACCTTTTCTTCTAGTTGATTAATAACAAATGCCACTACAACATCATCTTCCATTCCAAGGATTTGAGTAATTTTTGTTGTAATCCATGGTTTAATAACATCCAATTTTACTTTCTGCATGTCTACCTATAAGTTTCACATAGTGATAGTTTTTGCTTAAAAAAAATCACAATGTATAATTCAATACATCTTAAATATTATAATACAACATTAGCTCCTATATTTTTTTATATATTCTAAATGAATTTGTTAAATAATTTTAATTTTACTACTTTTTAATAAAACGAATAACAGACATGAACTGAAAAAAAATAAAAAAATCTTTGTAATGATTTTAATTTTATATAAAAATTATTGTCTTAAAGAAATGTCTTTATAATATAATTTTGTTACATATACTTTTAAAGGAAAAATTTAAACTTATTACTCCGGTTGAAGAGTTACTTTGATTGAGTACTTAGATTGTCCTTACTAATATTTTTTTAATTGTCTTTATATCATAATTATAAGAAAAAATCAAGCATCTTCAAATTTTTAATTTTTTACTCAAATAATTCATATAATTTCACAAAGCATAACCAAGGGATTGTAGAAGCAAATAATTTAAATATATTATTATTAAGTTTTGAATACTTAAAATTTATAAATTAATAAATAATAATTTAATTTTTATATAATTTATCTTTCATCAATATAATTTATCAAGTATAACGTTTTTCAAAAGCTCTAAGCATAAAAATTGATACTTAAATTTTATCATACCAAAATCTTAATATCAACAATATCTTTCAATATTATTAAATATGATATCTCTGTAAGATATCTGAAATTCTGTTTTCATATATATTTTTTTATACATTTGTTACAATAATATGCAATGCACATGTTTTGTAAGTACTTAATAAAAATTGAAAATAAATTTAATTTCTTTATTAAATTATATAATTTATAAAATCATATTTCATGGATGTTATTCTTAATTTAAATAATTTTATATAAAAAATAAACTTTTATTAGGATATGTTAATACAAAAATTATCACAGAATTTATATGTAGATTTAATTTTAACTTAATTTCATTTATTTTATAATACTCCTTAATAAAAATAATAATAAACCTTAATATTTAAAACAAATTTAATGGAAATGCGTTTAGAATAAATTGGTAAATAATGATACCTTTTGTGTCAATGAATCTCCGAATTTCATTTGCTTGAGTAACTTCTTTTCCTTATCACTAAATCTTGTATCCTGTGTAGTAGTGGTCCCCTACAATTACATGAGTAAAAATCCTTTACGAGGAAATATGACTACAAGCTATGCATATATTAAACTAAAGCATACTCAATAAATGACTAAACAATAAAAATTTAATAAAAATAACAGAACAATTTTTAAAAAAAGCAATTGTAATTAAAATTTGTAAGTTAAAAAGTTAGCTATTACCGTATACATCATCTTGAATGGCGTGGCTTTACAGCAACCGTTTATACGAAATTCTACTTTAGCAACAAATATTCTTCATCGGTCTTTTAGGTTGTTTTAACAATTGAAGTGTGTGGAACAATGTCCAGTCAGTTGTTTAGCTTCTTTAAAGAAGCAAAAAGAACGTCGATAACAGCAGGACTTTAAAGTTTGCCGGAACGCATAAAGAAGCAACGGCAACAGCGGCAGTGGCGGCGACGGTGGCGGTTGTGACTTATAAGATCGATAAAAGTGTATGTGCGTCCAAGCGTACCAAGCAGCTCGTATGTTTTCTGATAAGTCTCTTCCGTTCTTGTATGGCTGGAAAAAATAGCGCCACAATTTGACGTGGCAAAATTTAAGAGTTTCTATTGCAGTGTGATAAACTCCTACAGAGATGTTGTAACATAAAATAAAAAGCACGTTCTCTGCTCGACTACACTATTCTGTATTTACTAGTTGATTACTTCTCTTTCATGGAGAAGTGAAAAAATGAAAATAAAAAAAACAGTAGTTATCTCTTGTTGTACCAGAAGCTTATATCTGTCTTTTTCTACACTCTCTTTCTCTGTTAGTTCCTACGTTAGCATACACGTGAATGCGCATTTGTATTCATACAAATGCATTTATGAGCATGCAAATAAGAATAAACGATGAATAACGCGTTATTTTTTAAATTAATTTTTTAATTTATAAAAATATTTTATTTGAATTCAATATTATTTAAGATGCTATATTCACTTGAACCTACGTTTTATTTGCTCGTTATTACGAAATCTTCACGAAAGTAATACAATTACTATGATTTTTAACAACAGTGCACATACACGTTTGCATCGGCCATTTTTTAAATCATAAGACACACCTATCATAACCTTAAATTTTGTAGTTGCTATCGCTACTGCCATAAATTATTATTACAAATACACCACCGGTGTTACCACTGTAAAGAGCGAAAATTAGGCGCTTGAACGTACATGGCCTTACTGCTTTTAACAGCTTTTTTCAAATCCTACTTATATCAAAATAAGGCTGTTAAAAATTTGTACATTCTTCACTCTATGGTTTACAAATTGTAATAATTAAATTTCTTTTAAATATAAAAGTACCATAGAAGTTACAATTGTGCACAGCAAAAATAACGAATTGATAGAATTATTTTAGATACGACACCTTCCGTGTACAGTACGTTTTTCACAAAAATCAGCGAAAAGTGCAATCGTTAACACTTAAAATTCAAATGAATTTCTCCATAATTTGTTTAAAGAAAAAAATCAACAAATATTTTCAAAGTTTTAGATCAATTTAAATGAGTTTAAAACATAGAATATTTGGTTATATGATTGACAGTGTCGGATGATCGCGATTATTAAATTGCATTTCAAAGTGACGTGAACAGAGCTTAAAATTTTATTAAAAATAAAATGTTTAAAAATATATGTTTAATTTAGATATATTTTTATAATTAATAAATTAAACACCAGAAAAGCATTTTTGTTTAATGATTAATTTTTTACATGATTTTACCACTTTGTAAATTAAACATTATTTAAATTTTTTTATAAATACTGTTAATTAATTTAAATACTAGTTCATTTCATAGAAATAAAATATTAAAAAGTTAAAATGGTTAAACTTTGAAGAATAAAATTTGAACAAGATAGTATGGTTGATTAGTTTTTAATTGCTATATTAGCTCAATAATTTGAATTAGGACATTCTTTAGAATTATTCTTAATTGATAAATTGATTAGACATTAGGGTGATAATATTGAAATCATTAAAAGTCATTTTATGATAAAATAGTAGTAGTATAAAAGTAGTTTTTAATTTTAAAAGTCATTTTATGATAAAATAGTAAAATATTTCTAACTAGTATGATATTGAGGGCTTTTTTTTCTTATCTGAATTTTGTATATATATCAGATTATTTTTAATTTTAAAGGAGTAATTTATACGGGAAAACATAATTATGAATATGTTTACAAAATAAAGTAATCAGTTATACTTAAATACTACTGATTTTAATTTGATTATATCATTTTTTGTTAATTTAGTTAAATCTCATTTGGAATAGAACGTTAATTAATCAATAGCTTATATTATTAAAGACACTAAAAAAGAATATATTCAAAACAAATATGTTCTAAAACACTTGTTGATTATAAATAAGTCAAATACAAAATATTCTATCATTAAACCTTTATTTAAAGTATAATAAACATATCAAGTTACGCTAATATTATTGATATTACGAAGTAATATATAGATTTTACATAATAAATTATATTTTATAAAGGTAAGATGTAACTTTTTTTTTAATTTTAAATATTTTTAAATACAAGAAAACTTGCAAAAATTAATTTGTTTGAATTTTTTATTAAATTTTCTCATTACGTTACTTATCAAAAATTTGTTTGTAATTTTTATTAAAACTGAAATTTTTACTTATATATAAATTTTTATAACTATACACAATTTATAATTATATAAATATTTTATTATTAGTTAAATATTATTTTCATTTTACAAAAATTTTTTAAAATTATTTTTATTTTAAAAATTGTATAGATTAAATTCTGTACTATTATTACGTATTATTACGTAACAAATATAATTTGAAATTGAGTAAAGAATGTTTATATCTCTTTTTCAATACGTAATAAAATAATATATTACATTATACATAATAATGTATACTATAAGATTATTTGTAGAATTGCATAAGAATATTATTATAAATGTAAAATGTTTTTATCGTCATATTACATATACTTACATTAGAAAAATATTTACAGTTTATATTTATATTATAAAAATTTAGAAAACATTTTTACCAACTAAAGTAAATCTTGCTAATATTAGATAGAGATTACATTTACTCAACATACTACATTTTTTAAAATAATTGTATATGACGTATTTTAAGGTAATGATTTAATGAAACCTTCAGTAAAATTTTTAACACACAGATTGTCATATTATCAAGAATTATAATATAGATAATTTTTATTTGAGATTGCATTTTAATGAACATGATGAAAACTAGTTTATTTAATATAAATATATATAGAAAAGATATAGTAAATAAAGCACTGTTATGAATTATTTATTTATTTTTCTTTCTGTTTTTATAGTTGGTCTTGCAAATTTCATTTTTAAAGACTAATCTATATATATAAAATGAAGAAGTTTTTTGAAATTTGAATATAAATAGACTAGATTTTTCGATCCGTGCTTCCTAGCTTTATGGTAATTTGTAGTTAAATAAAATAAATGGATATTACTCTGAAATGAATCATGATTATCGATAATCCGCCTATATTTGTTTACTTACTACTGAGAAGAAAGCTAAAATAAATATCAGCCAACAGTAAGGATGTTAAAGTGTTAATAAGATTTAGATTATGAAGAATACTAGCTATAGAAATCGGAGTAACAAGATCTCAGTGAAGCAACACGACTGGAGAACACGAGAGATTGGTATAAATAAATTAACTGTGCGAACTTTGAATTTTTGAAAACACAATGGAATGCAATTTCATATAAGGTTTGAAAAGCATATACGAAGACTATCATGACTATTAGATAAAGATACAAATAAAGGCGACTGTCGTAAACGTAGCTTTTCTATAAAAACAGCTTATTTTCTTTGAGCATACATATGATTACACGTACACCGCACTTGACAAATAATTCCCTAACAAAATAACGGTATATCACACTCATTGGAATTCGCACTTGAACAGCAACCAGTTTATTGGGTAAGCGTCCGTCTATATATGTATTTATACGGGCGTTCAAAGGTAGTCCCCTATTTTATATAGTTCCTGTCTTTTAGATAGTCATGAGACTGACCAAGTTATTTCCATTTTTAATCAAAAATGATGTAAAAGATTTGAAGTAAAAGACAACTAATGATTGTTCATTACACAACGTAAGGGGGATAATGTTTTGTAATATTTGCATATTTAAATTGATATCTATTATGGTTACTTTAGAAATTACTTTAAATTTTTAACATTTATTGTATGTTACAATTAAAAGTCAAGTTGTACATAAAGGTTCAAATGAATTATGCTGCCTTATATGTACAAATAATGTAAAGTAATATTTTAGAATTTGATAGTAATAATTTAAATATTATTGAATTATGTTTTAACTTAGATTATTTAAATTAAATTTATTATTTATTTATGTATTCTTTATTAATCAACATTATGTTCACATTATAAGGCATTTATAAAATTATTTGGTTGTTTACTTGTTTAATTGTTAATTGACTTAATTATTCCATTTAATATATGTGAGGCTAATTTTGCTTATACAGTTTTATATTATATATAATATAAAAACGTCAATATACATGTTTTTACGATTAAACACAATGAAATTGTAGGTCAGAATACACAGATAAATAAGTAGTAAAATTGTCAATACTCTTCGTCGATTTTGTAATTATTTATAAAATAATGATATCTAGACAATAATAAAATAGATAATACTTTGTAATTTGCTTATGCAGTTTCAGAACCGTTTATCTTGTATTTAAATGTAACTTTATTTTAAAAACTTATTAAAATTACAAATTTATTAGAATAAATTTTCTTTTCTATCAGTAATAAAGATGTAATGATTGTCAGTTACATCGTGTTCATATATTATCAATTTATGTGAGTGAAAATATAAAGCTCTTGATTTTAATAAACTGCTAGGCTATATTTATTTCAATTTTTATTTTTAAAATATTAACGATAGTAATAAAGTAATAAAAAAATGTGGGCTATTAACCATTTTATTACTAAATTTGTTTTAAGCATTAAAATCTGTAACTAGTTTTTATATTGTTTAATAAAATATAAACTTCGATTACAGGTTATACAGCTTGTGCACGTATACGAGAGAAATAGAGAGGGAGAGAGAGAAGAGAAGAGAGACGTATACTTGAAGAAATGCTATAAAATAAAGAAAGTAAACGGATCAAATGGGGTCAATGACTCAGAAGTACTTGAAAAGTTTTTAGGTTGTCGACATCTATAAATATATATACATCAATTGTACGTAATATATAAATTTAGCAATTTATGAAACAATTGATTTTTTTGTATATTTTTATATTATAAGATATCTAGAATATTATTTTAATTGTGTCAGTATTTAAATCATTGTATTTTAAATTCAATATATTAAGTAATTCATTAATTGAATAATTATATATATCAAGAGTATATTATCAACTATTAAAAAACCATTAAAAAATTTTATTTAAACAATTAAAAATATTTAAATAAATTTAATTAATTTAAAATATTTATTAATATCATATTATTTCCTAATAATTTGTTGTATTAAATACGTCTAAATCATGATATAATGTTCTGCAAATACTTACGCTACACTTTACATCAATATTGAAGTCAGTTTATTGATTATAATTATTTAAATGGTAATATAATTTAACAATTATTTAAGTAAATTGAAAAGTCCAAAAATTTGATAATTCAATAAATACATGGAAATAAATATATATATGTAATTTATATATCACGAAATTCTTTTGAATATACCCTGAAAAATTGAAAAAGTATTTAAACTATGAAATATGTTTTTAATTACGTTATATAATGTTTAATTATAAAAAGATAATTCATACATATATAAATAAAGTATAAATAGACATTTTATAATTTACGTAACTATTAAAATTTTAAATTTATAAAACAATATTTTTTAAATTTAAATGAAGAAATTAAAAAAGAGAAAAAAGAGAAATTAGAAAATTTTCTTATAATATTACGTTACTGTATATTTTAATATTTATGTTTGTAAAATTTTTAAATGGTAGTAAACTTGTAACTAATAAAATATATGCTTATCATAGAATTTTTCTTGTATGAATTTTTGAGTTATCAAGTATTTATTATTTATTTATTTATTTCTGAAATTAAAATATAGTTTTTAAATGAGATATATGTAATCAATGTAATCAATGATATTTTTGTAAACACCAAATTGTTTAAAATTATATAATGTATTAAATATATTAAATCAATAAAATATAATGTTTATTCAATATACATTCTAGGAACTAAATTAATATTAAAAAAAATGTATGTGCAATTATTACATCTTAGAAAAGCTTCTTCATTTAGTTATGTTGGTTTCTCAAAGAAATTTTATTACTAAGAAGAGTGATTTCTTCAGTTAATGTATTGTTAAGAACTTAATCAAATTAAGTTCTTTCTAATCGTTATATTGACAACCGATAAAACTAGCTAAGAATATTCGTACATATTAGCACATACGATCGCGCTTTGATTTATTTGAGTTTTCCATTTATTCTTTTTTTTTATCATATATTTGATTGTTTATAGCACCTTTTTTTTCCATTTTTATTAAATTATGTACTTGTTCTGTTGTTTTATATTTGTTCTTCATATTTATCTCTTTTTTTAGTTTTTGCATTTTTTATTTAGAAATCTTATATGAATGACGCACTTTAATTTTTTTTACATAAACAATATTATTCATATACCTTGATTGGATTATTTATAAATTTTAATAGATATTATATTGAAATTTGAAATACAAATATTTGTTAATACAATTATAATTCTAATTAAATCAATAAAATATATTGTTAATATATATATATATATATATATATATATATATATATAGCATTATAATTAAATATATTAATATTTGTATCATAGGATTTATATTAATTAAATAATGTACTGCACTGAAAATAAATTATTATATCTAAAATTTCTTTAAGTGATGGAAATCAAAGTAATTTATTTTGTAGATAAATAATGATAACAATTTTAGATTTGAATTCTAAAAGGGTCATCATTTTTATCATTTTATAACAATACTTAAAATTTTGGTGGAAATAAAAAATCACACACAATGCGCACGAGTGCATTCACATATACGCACACAATTTTTTACTAACTTGTAAATAATCGGTTCTAGTTAGAAATTGACGTTTGTCAATTTGACAAAAAAATGAGAAATAATCAACTTTGTTAATTATATCACCAAATTTAATCTCTTCTTGCAATTGGTGTTGATGAAGAGTACAGTTCATATGTCATAATTGATATATTTATTCTTCGTCAAAGTCCCTCAATGTGATTACAGATGTATTCTTTCTTCTAAGTAATACTAATAATTCAAAGTAATATAAGCATCACTAATATGAACAGAAACGTGAAACATCAAATTCGAATTCATGTCGAACAGCGTTTGATTAGTTCTGTCCATAGATATGGCCAAAAGGAAGTATATAGCAAATAAAAAAGTTATGTACTTTGAATATAGAAGATTGGATAACAAAATTATCTAGTAGATTGGTACTGAAACACTTTCGGATAATGATGAATCCTCCAAACTATTCTTGGGTTTACAAACGCAACCGCTTTCAACAAGTACGTAGTCTTGTCCCGTAAGTGTTACGGGTCCAAGCGGAATCACCAAGAACAGGTACGGTACATACGTTTGTGTACACTCACCATGAACAATATCGCACTCCTTTGATCTGAAGCATATAATATGAATTTACAAAATTATTTATTTGTACTTTTAAAACATTCTATATCCTGCTATTTCTTCTTAAAATTATTATTATAACAATATTATAAACTAATATTAATATTGGTTTATTTTTATATTAGTTTATATTAGTTTTATTATTATAATAATTATATAATTATAATAATATAATATATATAATAATTAGGCTAAATATAATATATAGTATATAATAAATATAATAATTATAATAATAAAAATTAATATCAGTTTATAATTAATAATAAAATAACATTAATATTATAACAATATTATAAACTAATATTAATTTCGAATGGAAGTACACTTGAAATTTTCAAATTTTTATATTTACGCAATTAAATAAATATTTATTCATATATTTGAAATGTCATATCGAAAATAATAAATTTAAAGGCTATAGTTTTATTTTTAATATATACATGATATATAATTTCTGATAAAATTATTCGATAAATATATTTATATACAGTAAATATTTAGCTTTATAAATCATAATCTTTTGTAATCTATATGAAATGCATCAAAACATTAATAAGTTTCTTGAATGTCTGTTAAAAATTATGAAAGTGATTCCATATAAAATTTTTGCTACAATTTCCGTGCAATCTTTTAAATATACATATTTTATATATTATACATATATACAGAAAATATTTTATTTTAATAATTTTTATGAAAATTAAATAAAATTGAATCTATACATTCATCGAAATTTAATTAATTATAATAAAATATTAAAGTAAATTCTTTATTAATTTAAGATATTCTATCTACATCATAAAATGAAAATTTAAAAGTAATTTTTAATTTTAGTTAGTTAATTAAATGAGTAATTATGTACGGTATACATTGAAATAAAAATGGAAGTTTTAAAAATATTCATTATTAAATATATGTCTTTATGTATGAATGTGTAATAAAAATTTAATTTCATATATGCTATGGTCAATCACATTATGACGAAAACAAAAAATATTATTTGTAGAATTAATCCAAATAATGTAGTTCCATTTTATCAAAAAATAAATTAATACTATTTATCATTTAATATTTTTGTTCTATAAAAGAAAATAATTTAAATATCTAGTATTTTAAAAAAATTTAAATGTTATACATATTTTTTAAATTCAATAACAACTTATATTATTATTAAATTTTTATTAATACATAGTTATTAATATATTTATATTTTATTCGTAGTTCTTTGATTTTATTTATAATTATTGTTTTTTAAATACCTTTTAGAATCGAATATAATTCATAAATATAAGTAATACTATTATTATAACATTACATATTGATTTTATTTCATGATATTCTTGATAATGAACTTACTTATAAAATTAAATAATAAATTAATATAAATTTAAATAAGAAAATAAAGACTATTTTTTGTCAAGAATTGCATATTTTCTATTGTTTGTTTTTGAACATTAACAAGTTAAAGAAAAACCTTTTTCAATCAACTTTGTAGGTAAATTTTTTAGTTTTTATTAAAAATTCTTTTAAATAAAATACGTAGTATTCTTTCATCTTGCAAGTTCTACTAAAATTACTAATATGTCAATTCATTTAATTTTATATATGAGATATCACACAAAATTAAAAATAATTTTTATTTAATAATAGTTCAAATATATTTTTAATAATTAAATATTTTTGTATTCATTATTAAAATATTTAAAAAATATTTTAAAATATTTTAGTTAAAGCATTTCAATAAATAAAAATTTATCTGACTCACTCGCAAATTTCAAAGACAACTTGTTGTAAAAGATCTGGAAACTTTTGTACAATTGTTACTGGTTGCCCGCTTGTTAAACTTACGCCATACATTGGAGCTGTTGTATTATATCTCGTTTTGCATAAACGTGTTGGAGATCCACAAGTATTTTTCGTTGAAAATGATCGAGCTGCATTAAATAATGATCATTAGTTCACAATATTTAGTGGAAAATCAAATAAAAATAAAAAAAGATATATATTGGAAAAAATTATTGTTATTACTATTCAGATTTTCTGTATTTATTATAAGATTGTATTGAATTACATACCATATAGAAATATTTATTAAAGAATAATTTAATATTTAAAACACGTATGCTTATAGAAACTTTAGTATTTATAATTGAAAACAAAATATCTGCACTTTTTAAATTAAAAATAATACAATTCACTAGCCATATATGACAATTTTATTTACTTGTTAATGATTTTGCTATTTATTATAATTGAAAATTTTGTAATATGTGTTAAAAAGTATGTATCTTATAAATACAACACTATTTCAAAGATTAGCCTTATTGTAAAATAATTCTGAATAAATACATAATATTTAGAAATTAGACGTTAATAATTTAGTTTATTTACATAATTTATACATATTTTGTACATAATATATTTCTAAATGTCAAGTAGTAAGGAGATATAATTTTAAGATTAAACAATTCTATCAAGTATGTAATATTTAATAATTGTTATACTTTAATAATTTTTAATACAATTAACAATTTTTCTAACAAATATATTCTTTGACTATAACTTCTGGTGAGAGAACTAATAATATATTAATTTCTGTATGCCAGAAGCGATTTTCATTCTTTTTCACTATAAACGTGTACATATCGTGTTAGTGAGGTCGATGGTTTATAAACGTGCGCTATATCACATCTAACTATTTAATATAAAACTTACAAGAACGTCACAATATACATTTTTTAGGATGAAAAATTTGTAAAGATCATTTTTATAAGAAAGGTATTGTATTTCAATATTCCTAATAAGGGTATTAAAAAATTTTTATTGTCCAGAGAATTGATTAGAATATGCACTGTTTTTTTTATAAATCAACTGAGATAATAATCAAATTATTAAGAAAAGATTGAATCACACTTTTATATTACTACATTTTAATCTTCACAGAAACATCATAATTAATATATTATTAATTTTAAATAATCTTTTATGGGTGAAAGGCTAATAAGTAAAATAATTTATTTTTAAAAACATTGTTACTTATTTGCCATTGAAAATAACAATACTCATAATAGTAACGTAGAATATTCTGATTTGAAAGAGTCTTGAGTTAGATTTAAGTTGATTTATCAATTATTTTTTAATTTATTTTGGGAGAAAATATGAGAACATTGATTATTCATAATCGAACTGATCTAATTACTTGTACGATTTTAGCAATAAGAAATATAGAATATGTAAAATCTCGCTTGGCAAGCATAGCAGTTTAAACATAACAAGACGGGAATTACACTCGAAACTTGATTTTCCAATATCCCGTTATTACTTTATACGTTGTCATTTCGTAGTGTTGATAACTGTATTGATTTTGAGATGAGGAACCTACGTTTTAATCAATACTACATGATAGCTCTACTTTTTTCTTGAAACAAAATTGTTTTATATAGGTAAACACATTTCTTGTGAAATAAGTTTTATAGATTCTGTCTATTCGATTTATAATTGCTTTTATAGTAAAAAGCTTAAATTAATTTATTTTTCCTTCTTTATATGCTCGTGGTATAAGCAAATTACGAGTATTAGTTATATGAATTATTTCGTCGTATATGTAACTCATTCTACTCAAATTAAATAGTTGTTAATATTTTGTAATTCCGGTAATTCTAAATCATTTTTACGTTAATTTAAATTAAGAAACTATAGTTTCCTCTTTTAAATTATTAATATATTTTTAACTTTACAGTTTCACTTTGATTATAAACATTAAGTTAATAAAATCGTTCATTCAACGAATTTATCAGAATTAAATCTTTAACATGATTTTATTGAAACAAAATTAGAACAATATTAATTTTTAATCGGTAGAATAAAATGATATATTTTTATATATTAAATAATAGTTTTATATTATTTAACAATGCTATAATGTCAAAACAAATTAACATGTATAACCTACGGCAAAATTTAGAATTATATCTTATTAAAATTTTAAAGTATTATCTAAAAAAACAATTATTTATTTCTATTTTAAAATTTTTATCCAGTTAATTAAAAAAAACAGATCATTTATAAACATTATAACAAATCATTTATTAACAGATCACAATATAAAAACAAAAACTTTATAAGACCTATTGTAGTTCTAGTAAAATGTGCCATTTATATTTTAAATAAAAATAACGTAAAATGATGATTATATAGCTAATTATATATCTATAGAAACCTTATACAGCTAATTTATTAAATAATTTTATATAAAAAAAAGATAACAAATATTTACTTATAAAACGGCTTTGATTATTAAAACAGTGAACAAATTTAAAATAATCAAGCATAAAAATTGCTTATTTTTCATTAGAGTAATAATTGAACATTTTAAAATTAATTATAATAATGATTAAAATCATTATTTTTATTATATTAATAATAATTTAGATGTTTTTTTTAATGGTAATGTTATTTCTTCCACAAAAGACTATGTTTGTTTCATTATTCGTATATAAAGCTATTTCATATGTTATAAATAAATAAAATTATGTTTTTTTTATTATAATGAAATTATAGTTATTGATTTTAATTTGCGTTCAATTATAAAAATAACTCAATAATTTTTAATTTATAAATTATTATGTATTCTACATATTTAAAATAATATCGAAATTAAATTAATAAAACTAATTCAACTATTATTAGTTTGAAAATTATTTGAATGTGACGAAGAAATAAAATATTTATATTTTCCGTTTTTACAGATTGTTCTAAACTTTTTTTATTATATTTGAAATGCGTATGATAATTCTAACTATTATATAAATAATTTTTGTTTTATAAATAAAAATTTAATATTTATAGGATTCTCTGATAGACTAACAATTTCTTTGATTTTGTAAAGTAGTTTAATAAATCATGTTTTTATATTGATAGAGAGTGAATATAATGAAATTTTAAAAATAAAATACGTAAAACCAGAATTGCTCATATATAATTTTGCAATAAAAATTATTTACTGTATACATTAATGTCTCAAAATAGTCAAGTTAGATCTTTTTTACATAGGGCAATAACGTAAAAATTTAAACAAAATCAAAGATGTTTATTCACAGAAAATTGTTAGTATTTTATATCTGTATGATTTTTTTATGAGCTGTAACATGTTTAATTTGGAAAAAGATATATTAATAAAGTACACTTCATACATGTAATTATGAAAACACAATTTATTGAATAAGAGATAATAATCGGAACACCGAAATATAGTAAAGACTCTGTAGTGATTTTGTATATATTCGACGTCACTAAATTTCTGCGAGTGTTCATATGTATAAAAATTGTTTGCAGATTGAAAAGGAGCGAAACAGGTTTTCGTGTCACAAGGACAGAGAAGATTAATTATAATTATTCTGATAAAGTAAGTTTCATTTATTCAGGTCGTCGTCTTGAATTACATGACTCACTAGTCCCTTTGTCCCAAATAATATTAATTTTTAAGAAAAAAACGTGAACAGCAATTAGGCATAAGATTTTTATGTTAACTATCTACGGCATATCAATGTTTGAATAAAGTATCTTTTTTCTAAATAAAGTGTGAGCTTCAACTTAATTTTAGGCAATCTTCTTTCTTTATTCAAAAATACTGAAAAGTATACATTCATACAGTGGCGACTTCTTCACACAATATTTCTTTTTATTGTCTATCAGCACCAATGAACATACTTTTATTTGATAATTTTCTTTGTAGTTATCTTCAAATCTTGATTATTATAACTATTTAAATTATAATTCATAATTTTTATAAAAAATGAATAATTTATGTTTAATTTGAAAATTTTGTATTTAGTTGTTGTTTAATGCTAAATATATGTCAATATTATCAATTCAATATATGTACCACTATTTTATTCAACAAATACTTATATAGAATACTTAATTATGTGACCTAAATAATTTTATAAATTTAAGTATGTATATCCATTAGTATTTGATATGTAGCTATGCACTATTTCTGATACCTTAACTCAAGATAAACAATCTTCTAGCAAATTTAAAAAATTGAAATTGTACACACTAAACATTAATATTATGTGTTATAAATATGTAATGGCATAAATATCTTATAAATATCTTAAATAAATATAGGGAATTCGAATTTATATATAAAATTATTTAGAACATATATAATATATAAATATTTAATTTTATTTAATAAAATTGGATTTTCTTTGACTAAGAATGGAATAAAATTATAAATTCTTGTAACAATAATATTATTATTATAATTTAATATTAATTATAAATATTTGTATACTAACCAGATCGAGAATTGTTTCCAATACTGTATTCACCATGTGCCAATCTATACTTGTTTAAGAGCGCCTGCCTCGTTATTTCAGGATCTATTGTGCGCGTCTGATAGTGTCTAGCCGTCCTAGCGTTTCCTGACCACATATTTTTGAAGTTACGGGCAATTGAGGTGCTGCAAAATATCATATTGTAGTCGCATAATAATGTAAAATATAAAATATTAGTATATGTAGTGATATTAACTGAATTAATAATAATCCGAATAATCGTTTTTACTATTCATTCTTAGTAAACATGTAAAAACATTGTTTTAAAATGAATTATTTCTTTTTATTGAATTAAACAAAATGTTTAATAACAATATATCATAGAATGAACAGTCTTAAATTGATAGACTTATATGGAAGGGGTTTACAAGAAAAGGTTATATCAAAAGCTACATTGACAGCTTTTATAAATATAAATTTGAGATATTAAAATAAATGCTTAGTGAGAGTAGAAAAATACATTATTTTAATCTATCGTGGTTAATTTGTTTTAAAATGTTTCAGACCATTAAAAATGTTTAATCTTTTAGTATTTTATAAAATAATTCTATAATGATTCTATAAAATAAAATAAAAAATAATAAATACATATATGCTTCAGCATAAACCTCGATATAAATATTGTTGAAAAGATCTTGATTAAGTTTAAATAATTTGTTTAACATTTAATTTTTTAATAATTTAAAATTTTTTATTTTAATAAACAATAACAATAATAAAATCAATATAATAATAATTATATAAAAATTAATTTCTTGTTTTATCAATGTTCAGTGTAATTAAAAATGTTGTATTTAATTATTCGATTTATTTATCAATTTATTTGAATAAATTAATCGAAGATTATTTTAATTACATCACTATAACAAAAATTATACAATATGTGCATTGGTATAAATTACATAATTATTTAATTAATATTGTAATAAATGCATTAATTGGAGGCTTTCCACACTTATTGACGGTACACGAAATCTTCCTATTAGTAAGAAGAAGCTAACTAAATAGACACTTATTTCTATTAATAGAAAAAGAGCGTAGATGTAGTTTTAAAAAATAAAAAATTCTATACTTACGTTGGATACTGTAAATTGTTCGGTCCTAAGCAGTCAGTCGAATCGATGAGTGCGTCGCCCCAGATATACTTGAGTCCCAGGCCGGTTCCCTCGCACCTTTTGGCCGCATGAGTACTTTGACTTGCTGTCAGCATCAGTAACGTCAGTCGCAAATAGATAGACATCTGCAAACGTCTTTTTCTTTTTTTTCTACTTACACTATTTTATTTTTCAATATTATTTTTCAAAATAATATTACTGACAATTAATCGAATGAATTACTTAAGCGATTTAGATACTTTGAAGAAATAATAATGTGAAATTATGCGTATTGATGAAAAAAAGCTATCTTCCACAGTATTATACAATGTCATTAATGAAAATTTTTCAGTAATAATAATAGCTCGTATACTTATTTATTAATATTTATCTTATTGCCATTTTTCATTATTGAATATATTAATATAATTATAGGTAGTCATTACTCTCCAAAGTGAATAAAAAACAATTATAATTCACTAAGAATGAAATTTCCAGAAGTAGAATTAGTTTTAGTTTAGAAAAATTCCTTTTTTGCATTACAAATTATATAAAAGTTATATTTAAAGTAAGTTAAAAGGTAAGTTAAAAGAATTGTTTTATAATTATGTAAGAATTACATTTAAATTTTGAAATTGCTACCAAATAAGTAAATAAGTGAATGCTATAAAATAATTAATTTTTCAATTTTAGCAGATTTAATATACTAATATTTTTAAGTATTAATATTATAGGAAATGTTTTTTTTAGAAAATTTAATCTTTTGCGAGACCAATTAATTGCTGTATATAATCTAATGATTACATAATTTTCATATATGAAACAATAATTTTTTATAAAATTATCCAGATGATATGGATTAATATATTTTAATAAATTTTCTACTGAACAATTTTGCAATCTATAAATACCTCTATATAATGTAATAACTTAAAATTTGAATACATTTTAGTAATTACAGAATAATATATTATACATTTTTATAGAAATTACTATTAACACTTTTACCTCAATGCTCAATGTTAATAATAACATTACTTGCACGATTTTCGTTACCTTTCAAATATAAAATTTATGTAACGTTATTAGATATACTTATTAGTGTATACATATATTATTACTTATGTTTTTTATTATTCAATTTGAAAACAACGTGTAATATTGTTGTTTATTTTTAAATTTTGTAATCACAACTATTTTTTTAAATTTACGTTATGGAAGTATTTATATCGAGCGAATATTTTTGTTTGAAACTATTTCTGTATAGAAAACATTATACCGTAAGTGTAAAATTAATATATATTTTCCGTAGATATTTTCAGGTTTCTAGGCTATGATCCACATAAATTCCGTTAGGTTGCATGTTGAGTACGGAAATCTAAGGTGAAAAAAATGAGTGAAAGCATGTGCAATACAAGGAAGACATGATTGTTATTAACAGTATTAACATATACTTTATTTGAAATTTTAATCACTCTGAATTTGAATACATTTTATCCTTATATACATCAATTGTTTATATTTCTATAATTATTTGAAGTATTTTTTTAGAACAGTATATTATTATTAAATTATGCCGTACATTAATAATATTTTAATTTCTCTTAAACAATGCAATAGTTAATATAATTATTATATTATCTTTATATTATAATTCTATATTTTTTGGATTTTCTTGATCAAATTTTTTAACTTTAAAATTCTCATTCTTAAAAATTGTTATATTTATCTTATATTTTTTTTTAGTAAATAATTCTAATATCTCGTATGATTGTATCTTTAGTACCATTTTTACACAAAGTATTTCATATTCCGAACATTATTCAAATTTCCGAAACATTATTATTTTAAAAGTACATTAAATTTTAAATAATACTAATAAGATATTTAAGTTTAATGTTAAATATTGGTGTTATTAAATGTTGACGTTCAGTTTTGTTTTATTTCTTATGACGCTTCTTATAATATTAAATTAAAAACATTTTTTCAACTACCAGTTTTTACATACATATAAATTAAATATAAAATTTTAATAATAATTAATAATTGATATACATTCCTAGAAATGCAATTTTCTGAAAAATATGTTAACAAACAGCTATGATACCCTAGACTTGTGAATTAAAGCTGAACAATGACCATATAGGTAACATGAAATGCTATCACTGATAAGGGACACATATATTTAAGATTAAAGAATGCCAACAGTGCTTTGTCGGCATAAAGTCGCTATTTGAACCGAAAACATCTAACTCATCTTGATGATGTGTATATCTATTCTCAGTTATATTTTAACTTCAGTCCCTAACTGATGGCATAATAAAATTAAAAATTCACTTAAAGTCGATAGATTTTGTATGCACTTTGATCATATTTTTACACTTAGATGAATTTTACTTAATGAGAAAATAAGGCTTTAAAACTTTTACGATTATTACTTTTATGATTAAATAAACGTATAAAATTGTATATATATAATATATATATATATATATATATATATTGATTAAAGTTTAAATTACATAAGAAATATTTTTGAGTATAATAAATAAATAAATTTTCGGTGTATTCAATTTATGTTCGAATACAAAATCTACTAAACAGAATTATTTGAATTGATATAGATGTGTGCAATATTAAAAATGTAGCTTTATTAACGAAGGATACAAAAACCGACATATCAGACATATATTAATTTATGAAATAATGTAAATCAAACAATAGCAGCAGAAAATCTTGCGTACCCTTGTGCTCGATATTAAGAGTACAAATCTCAATCTATTTATCTCTCTGTATATTGTACATTTATATTTTTTGTATATATTTCCATTCTTACTATATTATATTACTAAATTATATTATATTAATTTATATCTGCTTTTATTTTGTATATTTTTTACAATTTTTTTTTATTTATATATTTATATATTTTCAATGATCAATATTTATACAAAAGTACACCTAGAAATTAAACTGTAAGTTGCTTTGTACCATAAATCATAACATAATAGGTGTGTTATTGTATAGTAGCTATATGGTTATATGCATATTTATATTCTTAATATGTTTAAAATTACGGATAATTTTACAAAATTATAATATTGATACCACTTACAAAAATTAGGTACCTATTAATTAATGTTATATTATTATAAAAATCTTGTTAAATATAAAATGTTAAATTTGTACGTTACTTAATTCTGCTTAAAAATATATATTTGAAATATTTCGACATTTGTCTAAGAAATTGTTTTAATATATAGACACCGTTTATTTGTGTAACGATATAAATTTTGTACCTTATGAACAAGTAATGCGGTAACGCGATATGAACACTTTTATTTAACTGTATAGCAATAAAAATTATATTGGAATGTTATAAACAAATAAAATACTAATTATTTATGATTAAAATATAAGAATTTAATATATACAACGAGCATTTTCATGTAACACATACAAATTTTCATACAGAAAACAAGTATTTTAATATAAATAACACGTTATATAAAAATGCTACTTAATAACAGTAAAAAATTGCTAACTTACAATTATTATTGTACCAAATTTTTATTATATTGATAGAATAAACTAGTTTATTAGAAAAAAAACTTTCTAATAGATTTATTTCGTTCTCCTTAAAAGATATAAGAAATAATATAAGTATATTTCTATACATTATATTAATATAAAGATGGAAATGCCAGTAATAAATCAGTATTATTAATAAATTTGAATGGGTATGAAATTAATTACTAATCGGATAAATTAAATTATGAAAATTAATTTATTCAGGTATTTGAACAATAACTTTCTTACATTCCGATAGCATTAACACATTAAAACATAATTTTCAATATATAAATAATTTAGTAGAAACATTTTTATGGATATATATTTAGTTTCTACAAATGAAATTAAATATTAAGTAATTGTAGTCCTTTGAATATTTCAAATGATGATAAATAAAAAGGTTTTACAATATCAGTTTTAAATATATAAATCATCTATCATATTAATAAATTTTTTATGAATTAAATATAACATTACTTATTTACATTAATTTATTTTTACAGAAATTTTTTCCTGCGTAATATTTGTTAAGGCTCATTTTTGTAATATTTACAATACGTATTAAATTATATTGAAAAATAATTTTAATATGTTTTGTTTTAATAACAATATTTAATAAGGCCATATATTTTTAATTATTAGTAATTCTAAAGTAGTGAGTATAACTAAAATATTCTAAGAATATTAAATTTAATTCATCTAACTTTATTTTCAAATATTATTTGTGTTTATTTTTAATATTTAATTAAAATATAATTTTTATATTTTGAAATAATCGTATTAGCAAATAGAATAACTTCTTATATATAATAGATTTTTAAACATTTTTATAAACATAAATGAAATATTTTTATTGATTTCTCATATGCATTGCACAATATATTAAATGAACATCAGCATTTAGAAAATAATGAAAAACAAAATGAGTATTTTTGATTAACAAATTTTTTTTATATTTACAAATTGTTGTATTATTTATATAAAATTATACATTGTATTAATAGAATGATAGGAAATAGTTTGTATTTAGTTATTATCGTATTACGGTATATTTTAATGTAAGGACTACAAAATAAAATCACAAAACAAAATTTTTATAAATTATAATATAGTATTTTATATCTAATTTATAAAAATAATTTTTGTAATGAATAAATAAAAATGTAAGAGGGAGAAAATTTATAGAGTAGAATATATATAAAAATTGTTTGAAAATTTCGTTCAGTAATTTTAAAAATCTATTGTATTATATTAGTTGCTTACAATTTAATCAATATAAATTAAGATAATATCAGGATCATTAAATTATAGTTCGTATTTAAAGAAATTATTATTAAGATTAGTTATTTATTTATAATTTAATTTTAATGTAAACGATATACAATATTTCAAAATTTTAAATATGAAAATAATATTAAAACAAAGTAGTAAAGCAATTTCTTTATTTACGATTTCACGACAAACTTATTGAATTAATAAAAATGTGTATTAAAATTTTTATTTTAATCTAACATGCATACTTTTTCTTACAACGATAATTAATTTAGTAACGTACTTAAATTCATAAAATTATTATATTTTTGTAATAATAAGTTAACCTGTAATTAGCAGTGACTTTTGAAAATTTCAGATATTGTTGCTAGACATAAATAATGAACTCGGTACTAATAAATGGCAATATCATATATCGTTTTTGATATTCATATATGTTTAACAATTATTAGTTCTATATACGTATAAAGTAAAATATAAATTTATACTAATTTTTTATTTATTTATCAACTTTACATTATGAAATAATATTTTTATGATTAATCATATAGGAAAATAATAGAGAAATTTTTTCATCTAGAAGATATTTCTGTATAAATTCTCTTTTATCAATTCTATTAAAATTATATATTTGAAAGTTCTTGTAATAGATTTTATATTATTAGATCCTTTTGATATAATTTTATACTATTTACTATTTGCATATAATTCAGTTCTTCATTTTGAAGTAAATTTTTGTTTAACATTTTGAATATTTTACTAAAAATAACTAATATTTCATATTAACTATTCTAAGTAATATTATTTTATTTATGTCATTAAATGAAAATTTTAGTATTGTTATTTAAAGAATTGGTATTTTTAATTTCAAACAGTTATTGCTATACTCGGGTGTTAGAAGTTTAACTGTTATTTAGTATTTTATTTTGAATTTGGCTGTTAATTTTATAAGAATTGTCATGTCAGGAGTATTAATCCGACATTAACAACTCTTATTTATATCAGAAATGCTGTTTTACCTGCATTATAACAATAAAAGATGAGTTAATGTAATAATGATTGGTGCTCACCTTTAAGAATCTTATCCTCAACATAGTACAGTTTTGATGATCCAACTTGTCAGCCTGCCGCTGAACTTGAATGTTTCTTTTTTCCATAAACTTTGGATTGAATCACGTGAAATAATAACGAGTCGTTAAAAACAAAAACGTAAACATGAAAACAAATAATTTCAGGAAATGAGAAAGAGAGAGAGAGAGAGAGAGAGAGAGAGAGAGAGATAAGTGTGTCATATAAGTATATCGTCAGTCTCACGCAAAGCTCGTATCACTGCACCAGTTTGCTTTTTATCAATGCGCATGAATGCGTAGGGGGTCCATTACCTCTGTGTTTCGATCCTCGCAGGTGGATGTCCAGAACTTGACTGGTAGGATGTGCATACAAGTGAGTAAAATAAGGAGTTGGAGTAGTTTAGAGAGGCACTCGCTCGCATTCTCTCTGAGCCGTGGAAGGTAAAGAACATTTACCGGGCACTCAATAGCAAGAGCGATATAAGTGAGAGAGTAGCTTATGAGGGGAGAGAGAGACATAAGAATAGGTGACAGAAGAAATTCCCGTTGGATCTTAAATACCTTTCTGTTACCTAAATGCTTCATTTTTTTTACTCTTAATACTTAACCATGTAAATATATACTTGTTCATAGTTGCTAACTCCGTATTCATTTGTTTTATAATAATTCGTTTATTTTGAAACATATTTAAGAAATATAGCAAAATTAAACTTATAGAATTTTTTTCATAATTATTTTATTACAGTGATTTCTGTTTGAAATAAATTTAATTAATAATTTTTTAAGATTATTTGAAACTTATATTATTACTATTATTAAAATTAGTAAAATAGGTATATGCTAATTGATTTAGATTAACTAGTAACAAAATCTAGAGTCCGAATAAAAATTCATTTAAAATATTATTTTATACATGAATATTAATAATATTTACTTAAAGTTAATAAGTTTGTAACCAATAATTTATTATAAAATATATAAATTTTATATTAAACATTTGCAACGATAAAAATATTCACATTATTAAAAGATCAATAGTTTTACTTTTAATTTGATTTAAACAATTAAATTTTATAGTTTTTATACTATAATATATGTTATTCCATTGATATGTATTATGATTGTATTCAAATGTGGAAATAATTACAAAATATTAATGAATTATTATTTAATATATATTAATATAAATTGTTAACAATAAATTTTAATATTAAAATTATATTATTAATATATGTGTAATAATAAATATTAACACATACATTATACCCTAGATTTAATAATTATTAATTCTAGTTATAAATTAATACAATATAAGTATTTTTTTAAAATATATATTTATATTATTTAATATTAGAAGAATACAATTAGAATTCATTTTAGCAATTAATAACATTTATTTATTATCAAAATGCACTCTACAATGTTTTTCTAAAATATATTCAGAATTTTTTATAAAAAAATTTATTTTTAATTTATTAGTAAAATACGAATGTTTATAGCTTTTTAAAAAATACAATACAAACTTTATGATCTTGTATTTAAATAAAAATATTAATTATTTAAAAATACCTTATATAACCTTTTCAATTAGTAGCATAAATAAACTATTTAAATTATTTTTATTTTATTTCAAATCATCTAAAAAGCCTTTAAATATTATTTTATATAAATGTTATTAAATTAATTCTTTAAATATATATTTAAAATTATTTAGCAAATTAATATATTCACAAAGTGAAGTAAATTTGTATTCATATTTTCTTTGTTTTAAATTTTTAGATGTATATTGATAAGGTATTAATAATTATTGTTGTAAATTGTATAGATATTTCTAGAATATATTTTTTAATTTTCCTGTGAAATAAAAAAACTTTTGAAAAAAGAATATATTTAAGCTGTTACAATTTAATTTCAAGTAACATTCTGTTAAAATTGTTATACCAATAATATAAAATTAATTTTATCTATGTTCCAATCTTAATTTAACTATTCTATACATTTTCAAAAAGCAAATATTTTTTATCAGTATTTGTAAACCAGACAATGTAAATAATATGTTTTACTAAATATTTCGTCATTATTGAATTATATATGTCAAAAATGAAAAAACTTTTTTTTTAATTATAAATAAATATTAATAGGAATATGAAAATGTTAAAATTAAAACAACAAAATTCATAAATATTAGAAATTTAGTTTTACAATAAACAGTATCATTTTGTTTAGTTTTAGTATCAAGTTAAAGGAACCTGTGTTTTCAATATTTTATATTCTATGAATTGATAATAGTGTACTTTTGAATATCATTGTTAACATTTTTAAAAATAAAATTATAATTCAAAGTTGTTATTTATGCCAATTTACAATATATATTATCTAATAAACATTAATTATGAAAATCATTTTCTAAAAATTACTATTCAAGTAATCTTTATTCCACTTTAAAGTAATGCATATTTAAAATAATATTACTTATTTCTATTGATAATTTCAAATAAATCTTTTCACATAAGATTTATATGTATTGACATTTGTTATATTTTAATTTTTTTAATTATTATAAAGCAATCTTATTTTATTTACATTTAATTTATACATATAAAAAAGATATTTCTGTTTTTATTGTTTAAATTTGTTAGTTTTAAAGTTAATGCAAGAAATTTTAATAATGAACAATTTAAGAATTTTTATATTTTATCATTTTTCTATAATTTTTACTTATCTCTTCAAAAAGTTCATTTATTTCAAACTAATTTGCATAGCACTAAATTATATAGGTAATAAAAAACCTCTTTGATGTAATTATCTCATACGAAAAATTTTATTAACAGCTTTATTACACACAATTACAATTTTTCTTGCATTTAATAGTATAACTAATTTAGCAAACTCTATTTTATATTTCTCTAATTTGAAATATTTTACATAAAAATAGTATGAAATAAAAAATATATATTACAATTAACACATCAAATGCAAGATTTTAGAAATGTTTATCTTATATAAATGGATTATGTATTATAAAAGTTGTATTAATAAATTTGTAAAGTACTATATAATATAAACTGATCTTTTTAATCTTTTTATAAAAATTCAAAGCATTTGAAAAATTCTTCAAATAAAGAATATTGAAAAATATATAATTTGTGATAAATAAAAATTGATTAGAAAAGAAAATACATATCATTTATATATAAATAAAGTTAATTGATATAAACTTTAGAAAGTAGTAGATTGATGAAATAAATGCCTTGCTTTAATTTTAACTAATTATACATTTTAATGAAAATGAATTATTCAATATATCTGTTATTAAACTAGTTCCAATTATTTTAAGAATAGTTTTGTATGAATATATATATATATATATATATATATATATATAGATTGTGTGTGTGTGTGTGTGTCTATAAATAAACTAATTGTATAATATATATTGTCTGCGTAAACATGTTGGAATTCTTAATTTGTTATATAATAATAGAACAAAAATAATAAAAAGTGTCTGTGGTGTAAAATATTTTTCTGTACAATATATGTAAATGTATTGAATGACAAATTAAATACTTCTAAAATTTTTTAACAAATTTGACATGAAATTAAATATCTATTAATATTCAAATTTTATTGAGTTAATACTCGTATCTATTTGTCCGCCTCGATAACTACCACGTTTTTTTTTAGTTTTTTCGTGGCGAAAAGATTTACCTCTCGTGAATTTCAAGTCCAAATTTGCTTTTTCGCCCCAAGATCCTCTTGCACCTTTCTATAATTAAAATACAATATTATAATTTATTACAAGTCTAAAGTTTCCTTTCTATTATTATATTTAAAATATTAAAAATGATCTGCTATTTTATGGGATTTTTTTTTTTATTTTACAATTCATATAAAAGTAAAATGCATATATTTCACAGTATAGTTTATTCATTAAGCATAAATTATAATATAGATGAAATTATAATTAAATTGTTTGCAATATAATATTTTTAATAAATTGGTTAAATAAATGTTAACAATTAAAGGATCAATAATAATAAAGTAATCATAAGTAAATGTGATTTTATATTTTATCACCTAAGGCTAATATTTAGTATTTCAATAATCAACTTTTAAATTATATAAAAAATTCAAATAGTATAAAATATATAGTCAATCAAATACATTGCAGTAGGTAATGTAATAACTCATTTTGAAACAATAAATTAGCAAACATACTAATTTAAACTTTCATACCTTCAATTTAGTGGAAATTAACTACTATAATATTGTGTAAATCTTTTTTAATTAGATTTTAAAAGTTATTTTTCATGATTTTTAAGAAGCGTTGAATTGCGGGCTAAAGAAAATTCTTATAGTTATTCAAACTATTTTTTAAAATTATTACAATTATATTTTTAATTATTTATATTATCAAATTATTTTATTTAATAATTTAATTATTTACACTTTCAAAATATACACTATAATTTTAAAATCATTCGAGTGTATAAAAATCAATCATAAATAATTAAAATATTAAAAGGATATGATAATTACAAATTAAAAACCACTGTAATGTGTAAGTTGAAATACAGAATTGTTAAATGCCCTCTCAAAAAAATATCGAGTTATTGTATTGAACAAAAAAAAATTTTTTTATACAAATTTAATGATTTTATCTAATAATGAAAAACAGGATAACTATATAATTATCGCAAATATTCACATTCTTACCCTAAAATAATATGTATTACTCTTTCTGTGTTCAATCATCAAAGGTAATTTTATTATTCTGTGGTTTTGCGTTATTGTTCTCAAAGCTTTTTCGATCGTTATTATCACCCCACGATTTTCTAAATCCATCACCCCTTGTTTTACTTCGGCTATCATTACCGCCCCAAGATCTTCTATTGTCAAAAGCACCTCCCCTGCCACCTCCACGATCACCTCTGAAGCCACTCCCACGACTCCCTCTACCACCTCTAAAACCACCTCCACGGCCACCACTGAAACCTCCTCCGCGACCGCCATTGAAGCCACCTCCACGAGAGTTACCACCACGATTACCGCCGAAACTACCACTCCCACGACCAGTACCAAAACCACTTCGATTACCCTCATTATGACGGAAATTATTTCCATTATATCTTTTAAAGCTTCCATTTTCATCTTCATCATCCTAGAAAAGAAAGACGAGAAACAGTAGGTCATGTGCCGCCTTATGCATGAAAGTTTTTGAAATAGTTTAAAAATATAATTCTTTTACAATCTTTTAAAGTCTGAAAATGAAAGTTTGTTATAAATTTATTAATAATTTTATAAATGATTATTTTTGTATATCCCTAACAATGGTGAATGCAAGGAAACTTAGTATATATTTTTGAATGTGTATATTATAAAAATATACACAGATATAAATATATTAATTTATAAAAAAATGTGATCTTTCAACAATGTTGGCAAATGACCTACGTCCCGCTCTTACTGTTTCCAAGCATTTACCTTTGCTTCAAACGAATTATTTTCCAACATAGGATTTATGTCCACTTCATCATCTTTAACCCTTCTAAAAGGTGTATTTTTCTGTAAAAGTGAAAAATTTAAAACTTAATAGTCTTTTTGAATATTTAAAATTTTTAATATATCATAAACATACTATGATTAGAATTTAATATATCATAAACATACTATGAAATTTAGAAAACCACAATTATTTAATGTTTAAAAGTTTTAAATAATTTATATTTATATAAATTTAGTTTGAAAATTTATAAGTTAAAATACCTTTTCTCCATTTTCTAGATTATTTGCATCATTACGATATTTTCGTTTACCAGGTTTAAATGGATTAGAATTGAAATTATTTTTTGTTGGTGAATTCATATGTTTTATCTCAATTGATTCTTCAAAATCATTATTTGAAGAATTTTTGGTTACTGTTTTTGACTGAAATAAAATTATATAATAATTAAGTATTTATTAAATGCATGTAGAATGACACTAACAATTTGAATTTAAATAAAATGGTTGATTTAAGTCTTATCATAAAGTAACTAAAGATAATTATTATGTTTTTTACATTGTTAGTAATTTTTGTTGGTGCTTTGACTGATTTAACATTTGCTACTTTTGGATTATCATTAGAGTCATCACTAGAATCATCACTTGAAGAATTTTGGTTCGTTTTTACTTTAGAAGATTTGGCAGATAATGCAATTTTTTTGATAGGTGGTTCATCACTACTACTGTCATCTGTAGATGATGTTTGTTTTTTAATAATTATTTTAGTGGCTAATTTTGCAGAAGTAGATTTAGATTTTGATATTTCATCACTATCTTTTTTATTGTAAGATTGTTTCTGTAGTATACTTTCAGAAGACTCTTCACTGTCAGAAGAGTTACTTTTATTATTAGATATGGATGTTTTTACATTACTTTTAGCAACTGATTTTACAGGTATTTTTGTTAACGAAGATTTAACCATACATTTTTCAACTTTTGAACAATCATAATTTGATGATTCTTTCTTTATTGATGCTTTAATGTCCTTTTTTGTATTTTTATCGCTATCTGAATCACTGTCTAAAGAATCTATCTTTCTATCAATAGATTTAATATGAGATAAAGATTTGTCTCCTTGTTTTTCATTCTCACTAGAAGATTCTTCTGACGATTGTTCTTTTTTGGCTAATGTCTTGACAGGTGTCTTTACTATTGATTTAATTGTTTTCTGAACAATAGATTTAGCATGTGAATTTTCAACTTCACTAGAAGAGTCTTCTGACGATGATTCTGCTTTTGTTGTTGGTATCTTACCAGGTAAATTTACTATGGACTTGACTGATACCTTTTGAGCGGTAGGTGTAATTGATGGTATTTCATTTTCACTAGAAGAATCTACTGATGAAGATTCTGTTTTATTCGGTGATATTTTAGAAATAGGTTTTACTGTAGTTTTGAGTGATGTCTTCTGAGTAATATGTTTAGAGGATGGAGTTTCTTCTTCACTTGAAGAATCCTCTGATGATGATTCTGTTTTTTTTAATGGAGCCTTAGTTATTACTTTTTGTGTAGGTCTATCAATTATAGTCTCATCTTGGCTTGACGTATCCTCTGATGAAGATTCTGTTTTAGTTGCTGATGCCTTAGAAATTAATTTTATTTCAGTTTTTACTGGTACCTTTGTAATAACAGGCTTAGAAACTATGGTTTCATTTTCACTGGAAGAATCATCTGTTGAAGATTCTACTTTATTTGATGATTTAATTGTTGCTTGGGTTTTCTGGTTATCAGATTTAGTAATCATTATTTTTTCTTGACCTGAAGATTCTGATGAAGATTCTTCATTTTTACCACTACCATTTGATTGTTTTGCTAAACTTCTACCATTAATGAAATTAGGCTGCTTAACCACTTCTTCTTCACTCTCTGAGCTTGAATCTGAACTATTAACTTGTTTTATATTTTTTACAGAAATTTTTTTACATGAAAATTTCTGAAAATACTGAAAAACTTCCATAATCGTAGGACATCCTTTTGTAAGTGTAGGCTGAAAAAATATACAAAAAATATATTTGAATTAATGGAGAGCACGTGGATTCGGAATTACCAACAAATATTATGCGTCAACACAAAATATTTCATATATAAAAGGCTGTCTTCCTATTTCAAATACATATTATGAAATATTTTTAAACTGAAATCGCAATTTATCGAAATTTAAATAATGTAGATTGTGCGTAATCCACGTGGTCTAGTATATAAATGGCCAGGCATTGGTTGTACATGAAACTGTCTTTTTCAGCACAACTAACTTATATAAAAATTAACTTACCGCATTTGTTTTTTTTTGAAAAACTTTCGCAAGTGATAAATCCTTCTTTAATAGATAATCATAAACGAGTGCAGAAATATGCAATTCCTCTTTGGTAGCCATAACGAAACCGTATCTATTTACGTTTAAAAACTACACAAGTGCACGGCGTGGACGTTAAATAAGTGTAGACTTAGATTACAGCAATGGCAATAGGAGAAGAATGAAGATTCGATAATTTGAAACCCAAAATACCAAATATATTATGGAATGTAACCAATCTAATCTTTTTAAACTTTTCTTCCACGTTGAGCCTGCGCAGAAAATTTGATATCTAATTGGATACTTATTCAGTAAAATTCTATATAAAAATGTAGTAGAATATTTATTTCTAATAGTGACAATCTATCTTTTTCTCTTTACTTTTTATTTGCTAATACTCAAATCAATATATTTTTCCTATATGTTGTAAATGGACAAAATTTTATTACAATATATTCTAATTTAACTTATTTGAAATAATTTGATATTATTTTACTTTGGTCTATAAAAATCCATGTTAATATTTTTAATATTGATTTCAATTTAGTATTGGTTAGTAACTAAAATTTAAGATAAAATATTTTATAAGAATGGATATTTAAAATAAAAAAAAATTAAAATTTTGTATTTGTATTTTATTTTCTGTCAATGATAGAGTACTTTATTAATACCGTTTCTCTATTATGTAAATAAAAGTATTACAATATTTAATTAAAAATAAATACTTTTGATATATTACAAATATAATATAAAATTATGTGTATTTGTAAAAGTTAGTACAGAATTAAAATTCTCCTAGAAAATAAAATTGATTAAAGTACAATTAATAATATAATAATTTTAAATTTTGTATTACAAATAATTATGTATTATATTCACTATTAAGTATATAATAAATATTGTTTTTTTTTAAGTTATTTGATTTATAAATTATTTGATAAAATATTAAATTTTGTAATTTAGAAATAAAATTTTGGATATGATAAATTAAAAATTAATTTTTTAGCAATTTGAATCCACCGCGGACATAATAACGAATGAAAATTTGATTTAGCTAATAAACCAGAAATGTAAAATAAATTATCAAAAGCAAGTACAGAATACTGTGAAAAATATTTAAATTTAATATGATTTGATATTTTCTATAATGTTATTTATTTTGTGTATATATTTTAAAAGCATCTTTTAAGTTAATAAAAATTCTTAATTTTGTAAATGCATAGAATGATAAATTATTTGATAAAATATTGTATAATTAAAATGTTAGATGTAAAATAATTGTTCTGTAGAATATAATGGTTAATTTTGATTAAATGTATGTATTTATTTATTACATTAAATATTTTCATTAAACATATTGTTAGCAAGATACATATACGAACAAACCTTACAAGTATGTTCAATAGTGTTTACTTATGATTTTTATTATAGTGATTACAAAAAATTTAATAAAATTTATATTTTTACAATGTTTTATGATATTTTTTAGTAATTTGACATGTATAAAAATAAATAGAAGCATTAGAAATATAGAGTAAGAAACAAATATAACACTGGATAATCGTAAAGAAATTGACAATATATATAATGACCGTCATATTTTGAAACAGAAATTGAATGGGAATACACTGTTAACGGGAGGAAAATAGACTGAGGGGATATAGCATTGAAATAGTCGCTAATGAGGACCGAGGATACATATTTCAATTATATAGGAACATTTATGAATGTGCATAACGTGTTTCGTTTAAGCGTAGACTTTTCTATCAATGCATACGCGAATGCGTACAAGCCCATACGTATGTACATTATCCTGGATAGTTGGTGTGTTTGTGGTAAATATCGTAAAGGGGCGCGGCGCGCTCGCGGACAGAACGTGTAAAAAAATTAAAAAATATTTGAGCCGAGGATGACGTTTGGACAATTTTAGATGGTGATAAGATACTCACTTTTATCTACGTAACAATTTTTCAAGTTGTCTGTGTGCTTTTGCATGTACACAATATTAAGGGAAGTTTGGATATTGTTTCTGAGAGCCCTGAATCCATACTCGAAAGAAAAAGAGAAAAGGATATCCTGGCGCGCGCGTGTTTCTTCATACTACGTACAAGGTGTGCAGAACAAGTAGCAATATTTATCTGCAGAGAGCTATAAATCTGTTTTCTGTGCTTTTACTATATCATTTTTCTCTTATCCCCGTCTCTATCCGTCATTGACTTTTTACTTCAATACTCACTTTTGAAACAAACTTGGCATACATACATATGCATGTGTAAACTTAATTTATCTTTAAATCAGAGAAAGACACGAAATTTGAATTAAAAAGACGAAATAGTTTTAACAATAATCATATTTTTTTATGTTTAAAAGTTCAATAGTCATATATATGCATGTAAGTACGCAAACGTTTTTTTTCGTGCATAGCGAATGTAGTGGGTATGTTTCGCCGACTGTCAAAGCGCCAGTCGATAAACTTGTTTTCGCTGTTGTGTGTGTACACGAATCTACGCTTTAGCATTTTGTGAGTGCTTTACATAGTTAGAGAAGATGATCACTTACGAGAAATATGTAATTAATGAAATTTACATTCATGCACAAGCGCTTAAATAACTTTTTTATTTATTTAATTTTTTTGCTCATTTCATAATGTAGGAAGATGATGTTACCTCATCGATAAAGTACGATGCCAAAATAATTTTAATCGATTAAAATAAAATATGCAGTGGAGATTTGCGATACTAATTATTTTGTCATTAAAGTTTATAGATATTACTTTGATACTCTAAATTTTCGGTACGTTTCATGTTGTCTTTGCTTAAAAAAAAATCGATACAGCACCATATCAAAAGCACGAGTTTTTATCACGCGAGTGCATATGAATGTGTATCAGTTAATTCCTTTTCTGTAGCTATTCTTTTCACCGGATGCTCGATAAAGAGGAAAAAAGAGAAAGCAAGAGAGAAATATGTATGTAACCAGTTTTGCCCTATTTGGATGATAAAAATAGCTACGTTGGAAAGGTTTACTATAAGCAATATCATTGTCTGGATATTGCTAATTAATTATACTTATTGTTTATTTCTTTATATAGTATGCATGTATTAAATGAATATATTACAAGCTGTAAATACTATTTACTTAAGATTGATTTAAAATTGAAAAAAGAGTTAAATTTTTTAACTTGTTTATTGTTTTTTTTTATTGCTTCTATCATTTATTCATATTATATTTATATCACATCAATGAGTATTATTAAATATTTAATATCATTTTTTATTTTTATTGTCCATTTCATCATAACTCATAATCAATGATTGGATTATTTATCGATTTACATTAAATAAGATTGAATTTAATGAGCTTTAAAATAATGTTTAATTGTACCATTAATATAGTTAATAAAATAATTAAAAATTGATATTGTTATGTGCTAATATAATTAAATTTTTAGATTTAAAAATATTAAATGTATTATATTTTAATAATGTATCAATTGACTTGTAAAATACTTGTTTAACAAAAAAAGAAAAAGCAATAATTAAAATATTATTTGCTAAATTAATTATAAGCCTTTTAACAAAGTAAATTATTTATTAATTTTATAAAATTATTATTATTTAATATTATTATTATTTAACATTATTATTTAATAAACACTATTATTAAATGATAATTGTAATATTTTAATATATGATGATTAAAGCAATATTTAATTAATAATTAACCATAATATATAAGTAAACTTAACATAACGAATTGAATAGGTAATTAATTCAAAACAAAGATTATTGCTATCAACAATTTGTTTATATAATTAATAGCTAAAAGTCTTTATTAAGTAAAAATACTGGGTTATTAAATATAAGCAACTTTTAACTAAATAATTTTTTTAACATTAATAAAAATCTTTTTAATTTTTATGTGTTTTTGATTCACAGCAAACTTAATTTTTCAATTTTTTTGTAGGATCCAAAGACATTTGTGAAGAACTTTCATAAAATATTAAAATAAAAATAATAGACATTAATAGACTGGTACAACTTGCATTTTTGGATTTGGTGTTTCTTGAATAGTTAATTTTGTAATAAGTTTAGTCATATGTCTTAATTATAAACATTGGAGAGTAAAAACGAAAGCCCAGCAAAGAGCTGCCAGGGCCAATATAGTTGTCAATGTTTTCAATGCAATGGACCGTATCGCGATTGATGAAAGACAAAAGATACACGGAATTTCGTGTGACCAACATATTAGCAGTGCAGATTTCGACTATTCATCTGATTGCCATTACTATCGACAGGTAATTAATTTGTTATATTTTTATTCTAACTACACTAAACAAAGATTCAATAATTTTGTGAATAGTATAATAATGAATGATAATCAATTTAATAATATATTTTTACATAGAATATTGTAATTATAATGATTACAATTATAATAAATTACAATAATGCATAATAAATAATTAAGATAAAATTATAATATTTTTTATGCTGATTATAATCATTATAAAATATTGCATATAATTTCCATGGTTGTTGTTTAAAAATTGGTTATTTGAAAAGTACAACCAAAGAGTAAATAAAAACTTAACAATTAATTGTTACTTATATTATAATTATATACAATTTTATAAAATATATACTGTACATAATATTTATTAAATACAATGTTAAAAATTGAAATAAATATCAGAATGTCTTCTTAAATTCAAAAGTAGCAGTTATATTATTAAAAATATTTATTTTAAATATATTTTTAAATACTAAAATTTTAATGTAATATTTATTACTACTAATAAATGTTTATTTAATCAAATTTTCCTATAATTTGGCACAATTTACATACACAAAAATCACTTGATAAAAGTAAAACTTTATTATTTCTAATAACCTTTAATAAAATTTTAATAGAATATATAAAGTGCTATACTTTATAAATTTATAACTTGTATTATTTGTGATGCGTCATCCTGTTTTGTAGCAGTTGCATCCAATGAATCTTGGTTATGATGTGACTTATGAACTGTTTACTTTGTATGATTGCTATTCTAAAAATTTTTATTATTTGGTTGATTTTTGTTTATATTTTATTTTTTGATAATACAGTTGAATTATACAACATTGAAATGTATTTTTCAATGTTTTTTTAAAGATAAAAGTAGAAATATTTTTAATTCATAATTATTAAATTTTTTATATGGAAAATATAGATATATTTCCATCTTCTTAAAGTATTGAAATAAATTGTTTGAGAATGATGAAATAAAAAAAATGTTAATTATTCTAATTTATTGAGTTAGTTGTATTTTTTATAATAATTACATAAAATTTACTTGTTATAATTTATAATTTTATTTATAATTTATACTTAATATATAATTTTTTCCTTATATAAATATTTTTACATTTCTGGATTATTATTTATTGTCAATAATAAGTTTTCGATAATTACTGAAAATAAACTAAAATTTTATGGTTCATAATATTAAGTCATTAGTATATATATGCGCAAAAAAAAATGTGTCCGATTAATGATGTTATTTATAAAGAATTATTTTAATTACATCAATATTTACACTCTAAAACAAATTGGATTCTTTATTAATATTTGAACAAAACTTTTTTATCTATAAATTTATTAAAAAATTCTTGGAATATATGTATATACTCAGATATGAAATATATTTTCATAATTCTAATTAAATAGATCAATTTATGATATCACTGGTTTAAATAAAATCGTATAATGGAATTAAGTACCTCTTGAAGGCAAGGCAATAACAGATGTTATAATAATTAAAAAAATTACATTGTATTAATCCTTTTTAGTATTAATTAGTATCTGTATTCCAATATATTTCATAATTATTAAGATTTAAGATAAAACATATCATTTTTAAATTGGTGTGGGTTATCATAGGTTTACAGTTTAATGTATTTTAAGGGAAAATAAATTAACAATTTTTTATCATCGTTATATTTTATTTATACATAATATTAATGCCAAATAAATCTAAAGACATTATAAAATAATAGTTTTTTCAACGTTTGTATTATTCGCATTTAGATAATAAGATAACATATTTATATTTTAATAAGAGTTGAATAAATCATTGACGTAGTGTTAAAACAAATTAGATCGTACTAAAGCATGATAATACAGACTTTAAAAATTTGTTAAATTTCCTTGAGTTAATTGATTTAAAATATTTTCGGAATCTATTGTCCAATTATTAATCTTGTATCATATAACTTTAATAGTATTTCTATACCAAGCATTTTTTATTTCATTCTTATAATCTGTAACTAAAGTAAATTTGTGAAAAAATCTTGAAAAATCTGAAAAAAGTGATCCTAATCTTTAAAATTTAAAACATTGAAACAATAAGATTTGATTTCTGTCTTCATTTATTTTATTTACATTAATGTACATCAAGTAATACGTTACATTATAGTAATAAAAATATCTTTATTTCATTTTCCTTGCAGCTGTAATAAAAATTATTACATTTCTTATCTTGAATATTTATGTAAACGAGTACATGAATTTGCAAATGTACTATACAAACATATTTACAAACATAACATTTGCTTATATTTTATTTATATATAGATAAGCACATGATTTTATTCAAACAATTTCTTCTTCCGTGTACAAGTAAGGGGTAATTTCATAGCGATTTATAAAACTGAAATGGTACTACATAATAAAATTGTGTTGAATAATGTTTATATGATGTGTTTATATGATATTGACCTCAAGGAATATGTACATATGAACTTGAAATTCATCGTGAGTCAACAACATTCTTTGTTATTTTATTCATTTATTCTATTTATATCAAATTTAACATATTTTGTAAGTTTTAACAAGAGACTGTCTAAGTACTGAAATATTATTAGTTATCAAATTGAATAAAACATTAAAATAATTAAAGTTATTTAATAAATTTTACATGTATAGTTAAAAAAATATTTAAAGAATTACAATAATATAATAAAATAAAAGAACTTAAAATGAATTTTATTCATTATTCAATGAAATTATGAAGATTATCAAATTCAATTATATATGTTCTATTTCTGATATAAATTATTTAAACGATTAAATTGTATGACATTATTATTTAAATAGAAATTCTTTGAATTTTTTGAATTTTAAAACTCATTATCGAAAAGGTGAAATTTAAAATAGAATACTAAATTCTTTTATTTTACATAGAAATAATAAAAAATATATAATTATAATTTTTGTTTTTCAAAACTATTAGTTTTAGATTATTATATAATAATTTTACCGTAAATAAAAAATTTAAATAAAAAACATTAGCTTTACAAATAATGTTTATTACTGCATAAAAGTAATAATTAATTCCATGATTAAAAAAAAAAAAAAAAAAATCCAATATATCTAGTTATAACTTTAAATCATTTTTTTACGATAAAGAAATATCCGTAAATATAAAATACTGAAAGGTCAAGATCAAATATAAGATTAACTTTGCTTCTGAATCTATTGTTACAAAAGTCTATCATAAAATTCTTATTCTCGTGTTGGCAAGGTCGGTAATTACAACTTGTAATGAATCGGTCGCGCCTTCATCACAAGAAGGAATACGACGCGCGCACCACTTCCATCGAAAAATGTACCCCAGGTGAGTGAAAGTACTATTTTAGTTCGTGTGGCTTGCTTGCATTATAACAACTTTTAAGATCGTACGCTTTTGCCTTTTTAAGAAAAATCCAATAGGCGCACGTGGGTGTTCACAAACGCGGGAGTGTAAGCGTTAGCATTATAAATGTATATGTTGCCTACCGACCAATTTATGCGATCAATGAGTCGGGTGATAGAAAATGATATGGTAGGTTTCTTCTTTATTCATAAAGAATTCTGTTTATTAAAAAAATTTTTTTCATTTTCATATTTTTTTTACTCTTGACATATTGGTATGTTAGAATATATACTTATTTAATTAAGGTAACTGGTCCACGCAGCTCAATTCCTCTTTGCTTTCTGCTTTTGTAATTTTCAATAAACGATAGTACATTTGTCTATTTATATAGTTTTGTTAACAATAAGAATATTTATACAAATCATAGTAACTTCAATTTTTAATACATGCAAATTTATACTTCTACTTTTCGAAGTATTTAAGTACTATCATTGCTTGCGTTTAATAAAAAAACAACGTAAACGCTTTTATCCGATTGAATACCTTATTCTAGGTTGTTAATTAAATCGTTAAATATAAAAATACAAAAGCGGTCAGAATTATTTAAAAATATGTTCAAATAATTTGTTGTTTATAAAATATAAGAATTTTAAAAAGTTGTTTGTCTTTCAGGAATTATTAAAAATCTTAAATTACGATTGAACAAAATTATGTTACCCCAGAATCAATTAAAACTAATTTATATATTTTTGTATTAACATCTCTGACTTTACGGGATTAAGGTATGATATTCGAAGTACGGTATGAATTAATGAAACTAATAAATAGTATATATTTGTTAATGTTTATTATTAATTTTTACTAAATTTCGTTGAAAGTTATGGTTTAAAATACAAAAATGATATTTTAGATATATTATTATCTAAGATTATATAAGGATATTTACTTTTATTAGTATATATGAGGTTATTTACATTATTACTAGTATGCTATAATTATAGAACTACTTACTATATATATTAGTTAATATACCGATTAAAGATGTGTTATATTTTCTTAATATTTTGAATGAATGTATTTGTGCATACTGCAACGATATTATTCATTCATGACTGATAAGCAATTTATTTTTTAATAACATTAGATTTTTTATTCTTTTTCATTAATAGTTTTTTTAGAAAGTCATTGTTTATAAAATATTTAAAAAATTTAATTGTACACAAATGCTTTAAAAGTTGATTTTTCAAATTCTTTAATCGTTGTACAGCTAATAATTTACTTTTCAATTTTTGTTATATATAATATTAAATTCTTTGCAGAATATTGCTAAAAGGAAAGTTATTAAAAGTATTATTAAACTTATTATTGAGGAAATGATTAAAATACTTAACTTTTCCACAAGTATTTCCTTATTTTTACTTTAAAATTTTTAATAAATGTCAAAGGCTAATAATGTTAATTTTTAATGATTCAATAACCCATCGTTGCACACGTTGAGATCTAAAAGATTTTTATAATGCAATACAAATCGAAATTGTAAAATCACAGAAGGATAACAGTTAGTGTTATAAAACGATATCCTTTGGGATCTACACATGCACGCGAATTTAATAATATTATCGTCAGTAGCTCGTGATTAGCCTATTAAAACAGATATAGATTTGACTGATTATTCCGTATTCTTTTGGGTAATTTGCATGTTAAAATATTGACAGTACTGATATTATATCGATGTTACTACGTTCATGGGTACATCATATAGTAATTTAAGCCCAATCGAATAGCATGTAACTACAGATTCTTCCGATTTCGTTTCTTTCTCCGTTTGTCTTCGTTTTCATTTAACTACGTCATTGGTGATAAGCAATTCACGATTAGATTTTTTTATTTAGGATTTATGCACTTAAGTAATTTAGTGAATTTAAATTTCAAATTGTTATATGTGCACATTTTTTCAAACTATATTTTATAAGATAATATATATAAAATCTGAATCGTAATCAGCTTATTAATTTGTCTTTATTTTAATTTAATAAGCAATTGTATTCCAGAAATTTAATAAGTATACATATATTATAATTAAATATATATATATATATATATTTTTTAATTCTTTAATTATTATTCCAATAATGAAATAGTGGAAAAATAGTTATATCATGTAAGGAGGAAATAAAATTTTTTATAAAGCGTTGACCACTGTCACGGTCTTTTTCAAAATAATTATGGAATTAACAGACATACAATTTAAGATGTATAATTGTCTTTTTTAATCAAACTGTGTCACGACAATGTTTAGCTAATAATATTGAATTTTCTTAGTGCTATAAAAATTTATACTTGTACAAATATATTTTAAAACTTCAATCGTTACTATTTGTATTTCATTTAAAAACATCATAAAATTTTACTTTATCATTAATGCATGCATAGATGTATAATTTTAGAATTAATAAAATTTAATAAAAAAGTTAATTGGGTAACAGTATAGTGTCAAAACATACATATATATATTTAATTTGTATGTTAAATAATTATTGATCTAGAATAAAAAAATTCTTATAATCAACTTAAGATTACTGACTGTTTTTTAAAGTTAATTTTTTTAAATAATTTGTTTATAAATGACGAAAGTAGAAAGTGAAAAGTATTTTACAATATATATATATATATATATATATTCATAACATCTATTAACAAGTTTATCAATTTAAATAAATTATATACATTATGCATTTTTTAAGTAATGAATAGAACAATGACAATTTTTATCTTAATAAACAATTTATCTTTTAACTATATATACTAAGATTTTATTATATATATTTATTAATTTAGATATTATTATTAATATTAATTTTAAGTACTATATATATTAAGATGTTTCTTTGTTTAAGTATCTTTTTTGATGCCTTAGTGTCGTTTTTTCAGAAAATTTAGACAACTTGTTTCTTGAGGTTTGAGGCTTGAGACATTTGTATGATTACTCGATTAGTTTTATTTACAATTGTCTATCTCTGCTGTCCTTTTAATAATAGGATCTTCATTGATATTCACATATCTTAATATCATTTAATTATTTTTAAAAATTATAATATTATTAACTATATCTAATGTAAGTTTACTTCTCGGCGAGGTATTTGATATTATATTTCAAAATATGAGATTATATTTTTTTGCTATTATTTTCCTCTTAAACATTATTTCTATATAATTTATTTTTTAATTGAAAGTAGAAGATAAGATCATAATATTAATAAATTATTAAGTAAAATTAGTTGGGAAATTATGTCGTATATTAAAAAATTAATGTAGAATAGAAAAGAAATTTCAAGTTAAGTTTTAAACAATCCACTGAATTTGAATGTATCAATCATTTTATCCGTTACTGAATAATTTCAATTTAATTATTTTTTTTAGCCAACCTAAAGATTAGTACTATATAATAACATATGTACAGAATACGTTAACTTATTTCGACTAAATCTATAAAAATGAGCTTTAAATATGAATTTATTATTAGATTGTCAGTAAAAGATTCTGCAATATTTGAGTGGAAATAATGTATTTGAAATATTTATATATATATCAAAGTACTATTTCATATTCAGACAAAAAACGACAAATGAAATTCTACTCGGAGCGTTCTTGGGAATTATTTTATTTTGTAAAAGGGGAAAACCGTTCATAGTATTAAGTGTTGCAAATAGCGCCTTCGCGTAATCTTGATAATTCAAATGTGAAATCTCTTGGAGTCTTGTCGACAGCAATTCCACTTATTCAGACTTGTGGCTCTTTTCCTCCTTATCTTGATAGCAGGGAGTGAAAGAGGCAACTGAGAAACGAGAAGGAGAAAGAAAGAAATAGAGTAGAGAGGGCTTGGTTGGTCATACGTCTTGTTTCATCATACTAGCAGCAGTTTATGATCTCTTGCAGCGTTCATATCGGCTCTTAGATTGTCAGACCGAGAATACGGGACAATGTGCGTGCAATGTCTTTTGTCTCCGGAAAGCCGAGATTTCTACCAGTTTATAGAGTGCGTCTGTGCAGTGCTGTTGATTATTGCAAATTCCAGCAGTTTGCAGTGCGTGATTTTAAAAACTGGAATCCACTTCATTGTTTATCTTCATTAGATCTTTTCTTATTATGCTGTGTCTTCTTTTTTTTATATTTTGTAAAATTAAATTTTATCTTTCAAATCAAGTGTCTTTACCAAAATTTACCAAAATCGAAATTATAATCCCTGAATATTATGTTTATTATTATTTGATTTATCAGATAACTTTTGAAGTTTATTTATTGGAAGTGGTGCAGAATTATATTATACGATATCTTCAGTATTTTATAATTATCAATTATAACATTTATAGTAATTGTGATTTGTATTATTTTATTAATAAATCAATATTGTACCTATTAAACATCTTATAATCAAAAATCATTATAAAATTTTAATTTGTTTAACATTCGTAAATTTAGTTTTTCTTTAAAAAATTTTATAATAGTACAAATACGGAAGTTCTTATTTCCTTATAATGAACTATGAAATTAAGATCGTTTTACGGTATTTATACCATATTATTTATATTATACGTATAATTTATACTAATATGTCTAATAAATATAGTATTAATAAAATAGTTTTACTAATAATTTTAAGTTAGAAACAACTGATAAATATTGAAATCATAAATTAAACAGGAATTAGAAATAAGAATTAGATTTCTATTATTACAAATTTTTATACAATACAATACAAAGAATTTGAGAAAAAATTGAAAAATTTATAAATTTAAAAATTGTCAGAAATAAACTGAGATTTGTATAGGTATATAAAAATAATGAAAAGTAAATCAAACCAAATTCATAATGTAGTATCTTAGATAATCATAATGATAATACGATAGAATTCCTATGAAAATTGTGCATACGTAATTAAATTAATATTTATAAAAATTAGGTAGTTGTATAAAAATCATGTAAACAGAACCTATTAAATTTAAATTATATATAAGAAAAATATATTTTTTAAAAACTTATGCGTATTAAGTAAATTTGAAAAATTCAAACATCCTCTACTGATAAACTATATTTTTCATAAAATATCTATATTTAGTATTATTTAAATTTATTTATTATTATTATTTAAATATAAATACTTTTTAAGCCACCAATAGACTTTTTTACATTTATTAATAACATATATTGACGGTTTTCTGATATTTACTTACTGCTTTAATCAAAATTTTCATCACGATAAAGTCCAGTAATATCTATATTATTATAAAACAGATATTGTATACTTATAAAAAGCGTCGTATGATAATAAAAATGCAGAAAGTAGTGTAAAAATAAATAAATAATATAGGGATCAATGAATAATATTGTAGTTCGCCGTTTAAAGTGAAGTGTTTGGCAACATTCTTAAATTTAAAAATGGGGCCGTATGCGTTTAAGGTGTAGGTTTTGAATGACATCACAATTGGAAGCAACATCAACGTCATGCTGGCATTAACGACAACGCATCAGCCTATTAGGCTTGAAACTGACGACGTCAGAAACATGATGAGAAACATCAAAGTCACTACCATATATGTGAGTTATTTCACGTGATTTGAGAAACAATCCATCGATTTTATCTATTATTACTTATTAATTACACAAACACATTATAAATCAAATTATTATAAGTCCTTGTATATATGTATATTTTTTCATTATTAATAATATAAATTTGCATAAAAGGCAATAAATTTGATAAATAATATAAACCATTGTATTATAGATGCTACATAAGATATTTATTCAATATGTATAGATAATTATTCTAAACAAACCGTAACTAATTATTTAATAATAAGAAAAAACTATGATTAATTAAAAAAAAGTTACTTTAATTTTAAAACTGTTAAAAGTATTTGCATATAATTTGCTTATATGTATAATATAATATAAAAAACTTTGTGAATGAGATAAAAAATCGGTTCTTACTTAAAAATTCCCATAATAAAATTATCAACAGTTAAGAGTGAAGCTATAAATATTATTATATCTTTGTTTTTATAAATTTTCAATTCTTTAAATATAAACAAAAAAGAAAAAACGGAAAGAATAATAAAAATATCTGATTCACACAATTCTCAATATAATATTTTACTTAAATAAGTTATGATACAATTTTTAATTTTTTAATATTTTACTTTTCTTTAAAGTATGGTATAGAATATCATTTTGAAAATAATACATACTTATTATAGTTAAAAAGCCAAAATACAAATTGAGAACAAATTTAGAAATACAAAATAGAAGAAATTTTGACGAGGTCTGGATTTTGTTAAATAAAATTTTAAAATATAATATAGAAGGAAGATCGTTTATTAAGTGATGTTTAAAATTTATATATTTCGTATTACAATATTTTTTGGAACTATTATTTAGATTTTGTTTAAATGTAAAATTTTATTAAAGTTTAAATATAAAATCTAAATACTTTAATCGCTATTTTTGAGACGAATAGTCCAAACAAATTCTTAATGATTACTAAGTATATTTAGATTTGCAATTAATTATACATACTTATCAATAATATAATTAATGAATAATGTATGTATTTATTATTATATTTTTAATGTAAAAATGTAAAAATGTATTTAATAACTTAGAAATAAGTTAATAATTAGTTTGATTAAATGAAGTAATATATTAAATTTATAATAAAATTATTTAAAACAATATTAGTATTATTTGCTTGATTTAGGTAATGTATAATAATTTTTATACAATTTTTATGTTTATAATTATTTATTTTATTATATATACATAAATGTTAAAATTATCAAGGAATTTTAAAGTATATAAAGATAATGCAATATCCGAATTTCTTATAGTTAATTATATTATATACCATATTTTTTACAATTACTTTCTCAAATTAAGGTATTATTTACTGTATGAATATAATTTGAATAAATCTTATAATTACATAATTTTACGTTGAAATTGTAATATTTATTATTTTTATAATGTATCAAAATTTTGTTGATTGATCGTATAAAATCTGAAAATTATATACGTACACAAAGTATGAGCTATAAGGTTACAATATTTTTTATATTTTTATTAAATATTCAAGCTATTAAACCATAGTACTAAAGTAAACTACTAAAGTACATTTTATATATAAAATCCAAGATGTTCGATACTTATTATTATTGCGTAAAAATTATAAAAAAACCTGAGATCATTTGAAATCGTCATTATCTTGTATCAACTAGTCAACTTAAAGTAAAACATGAATAATAAAATACTCGTAGGTGTATACGTTCGAATAAGATCGCAATTCCAATCCTACGCAATTTTGACCATTCCTTTGGCTACCTGTCACACATACATTTAGAAAATATTACGAATCAAAATGAAAGAACGTCGTTAATCGCACGATTGTCAATTCAAGCGGTCAATAATAGTGTTATATTGATTTTCATTATTAATTTATGATTCCTGAAAAAAATTGCATTCAATATACAATAGTATAGAATATAATTTTTCATGCATTTATTAAAAAAAATTTCAATTACAATTATGTGTATGCAAGCATATGTACGTACAGTTTTACGAAATAATATAATGATAATTTTACAGTTATTTTAGAATCGAGTTCCTTAATTAATATACATATACTTATACACAGGTTAAAATGGTTATGTAACCATGTGCTATAATTATAAATTCAGTCTATTTATATAGTTGTGAAAAAGTTTTCAAATAATTTCTGGTTTATATAAAAAAAAATTCAAATGCAAATTTATTATATTTTACTATTTATATATTATTACTTATTTAAAACAACTTCGAAAAATATTAATTAAAGAATACCATTATAGAAATAATTAAGTTATAATTATTTGATTTAATTCTAAATATTTCCAGTATTGAACACTTTGTAATGAAAATACTGATTAATAATAAAATGATTTTAGTTTTATTTTTTATTTTAAATTTATGTTTCAAATTATTGTATGTTACAAAAGTAAAATAGTCAATAAAATAATTAATTTTGATAATTCAACCTAATTAATTAGTACATGTAATCAAATGCTGTAATTATTTATATCTTTTGTTTACTTTCACAAAAACAATTTATGTAGCTCTATTATTATATAATTATTATAATATTATAATATTATATAATATTTATTATATAATTAATGACACATCGATTAAACAATATTTTAATATTATAAATATTTGTTTAATTATAAAGTACTAATATTCATTACAGTAATATCTCTTTTTATAGATTTAGTATATATATTCTTAGTATATATCTATGTTTGGCTGTGTGTATTTATTTTATAAAATTTAAACAAAATTTTATAATGCAATATAATTAAAACAATCTAGAAATATTCATATATGCTATTTATTAAGAAAATTATTTTCAAAAAATATCTTTTCATAATTTTGATTTTATATTTCCGTTGATGACAACACACACTTTTTCTTAAGATTAGTTTTAGATTGTTTTAGTAGTTATTTTTTTAGTGAAATTGAGAAATTACACTTTTCATTAACTAATAATTATTAAAATTTTAAAAATAAAGATATTAAAACTTAAGCAAACTTTATTATAGAAATAAAGTTAAATAATTTTACTAGAAGACTATCAATTGATAACAATTGTATTGTATACATACGATGAAAACTCGTATTGTAAAATACTAAAATAATTCCACAGATATTTAAACAATTAAATTTTTTCCACTTTTATAGAACAAATTTTTCTACTTGAATCTTTATTTTGTACCATGCTACTTCTGCATGTAAAACAGTTTATAAAATTATAATTTCATAAAAATACAGACAAATAAGTAGATATTTATAAAGCCATACACTATTTTCATTAATAATTTTTTTTAAATAATACTTATTATTTTATGATGTGTCATTTTTGTTTTAAAGAATTAACCTTAAGCCTGGATTATTCACTAATTCTTTCTATATAATTCAATTCAGATACATTAATATGATTTAAAATATATCCTCCTAGTTTCAATCAATGCTTAATATTATTAATTTTTACATAATATACGTATGTATTTTTTCGCTCGTTACATAATATATAGTGAATAATGTATATTATAACAAGTATATTGTATTAGATAAAATATAAAATATTAGATATATATTAAAAAATATGCTGTCCATTAATAGCTACAAAAATAGCATCACAATAAATAGAAAGAGATGAAAGAAAATCAGTATAACGTGGAATTGTGAATAATTGAATAGAATCTGACAGTTCATCATTATTCGTATATAAAAAATTATAAGCAATTGAATACAATTAATTCTGTAATATACATATAATAATAAGTTATAAAGAGAAGGAATTTATAAGAATATATAAGAAAAGGATAGCATTAAATATTAAGTTTTACTTTAAGATTTATAAGAATGAGTTACTTGTATGCGTCCGTAAATATATATATCATTTATTTAATTTTATTTTAAATACATTATTATATTGTAAAATCATCTTAAATCTTTCAGACGATTTACATTTTTTGAAATATATTTTTAAAAATTATAATAATTATTTATTAAATCCGGTTCAAATGAAAAAATAGTTAAAAAAATAAAGTATTTTTAACTATTAATTGATAGAAAATAAATTATTAATTATATTTGTTAGCAAAAAGGTATGTAATGAAATTCGATACGGAAAAATTTTGATTCCAAATAGAAAAAACTAAAAATTAAATAATAATGATTAAACAACAACAAAAAACGCATCATGCGCATATTTAATAATTAACGCAATTATCGATGCGTGTCTCGCGATCCACATACGAAATAGTGCAAATTCTAGTAGCCAAAGTTCCAATCACGGCACTATGTAGTATATTCTTTTGCGTTCAGCCACCAGTAATCGCGCTTATTTGACACCTTATTTATATAAGTATTGCACTTTTTGTCAGTTTAGCGTTTATCGTATTTTTTTGTTATTGCATTTTGCCGCCGTACCAGCCATACATTTTATTTCCATTTTCTAATTTGTTTAGTATATACGCTCCAAAAAAATTTATTTGAATGTGCTATATTTCTGTTGAGTTGAATTTTTTTATAGACTAATTTTATAATTAATTGTAAATACTGATTATTATTATATTTATTTATGTTTATATTTCGAAATCAATCGAATTTTGTGAATTTTATTTCAAAATAAGAAAGAATAGCAGCAAAATATGAAATTGGTTTAAGATTTAAAAAATAATAATAAAATAATATTAAAATAATAGAAATAAAATTAGATTTTAACGAATTTCGATTTTACATAAATTTTATTTTAATGATTATTAGTAATATAACATCATCCATATTTGAAGAATATAATACATCATAAAAAAAATTTTTTTTAATATAAATTAGGTATATTTAATAAGCTTTCATTTTTATAAATGTTTATACAATTATATAATTATATAACTTTATAATTATATGATTGTATAACAGAATAAGTATATTTAATCATAGGATACATTTTAATATTAGTTTTGATAGTAACAACTTCGATATTGAATCATTAAATAATACATAAATTACTATATTTTTACATAATTACAATATTTTAATATAATATGAAAATTAGAATATTCATAAAATTTAGAGATGGTTAAAGAGGAAGACAGCTCATATTTATAAAATTCTGAAATAATATAAATTTTATTTTGTATAATAGGAATTTTTGGTATATATATATATATATATATATATTAATTGATAAAAATATTAAACATTATTTAAATTACATTATTGTTAGTATGAAGGTTTTAATTTAATGTTTATTATTGAGCCCATAACTTATATTGTAATTGGCATTTTGAAGTAAACATACAATTAATTGTGTTTTTATTTCAACAATTAATTAAAATAAAAATTTTTACCAAATGAAATATAAATAACAAATAGTCTGAATGTATTTATTTTTAAATTGCACATTGAAAAAATTAAAGGTAATCAATTAAAAATGCGTCTTAAAACCAATTAAAAGATACTACTGTTTAATAACTAATTATTATTCCTATTAAAAAGAGATACAAACGAAATCTTCTTGTATTTTATTCTGATAGCAATTAAAAAAAATTTTGTTTAATCTCTATTTAAAAACAAATAATAAATGAACTGTTTTATCTATAAATTCCTTTAAATATATGTATTTTTATTCACTTGTTTACAAATTTGTAATTATTAATTTTTTGTATTTAAAGCTTTATCATATGTTGAACAATTTTTATTATTTTCAAACAATATTTGACATACTTTAATAATATATAGAGAGAAAGGTAAAACTTACAATTAGATACATTTCTATCTATCATTTAATTTTTATGTTATAATATCAGTGTTTTCTAAAATAGAAATTCTATATAACGTTGTTGATAATGTAGACACAAAAACCTAAGGAATTCCAAGAACATTGTACTAGGCTATTACAAAAGACTATAAGATAATTGAATTTGGAACAGACAAGAAACCAAAAAATATAAAAAATTAATTATTTTATTGCAATCTCGTATATTATTAAGCGGTCTTTTTTTTAGTAATATTTCTTTTTTAAATTTATAATTTAAGCTAATAATTTTATATATTATAATTTAATAAATAATATACATTTTCAATTTACTTCCATTAAAGAAAATTCGTTTAATAAACTGTTTCTTCGTATTATACCCATTTTTTTATTCATTCGGAATTTTATATTGTAAGTACAGATCTAATTTCGTATCTATTGCACTTTTATTGTACATGCTATCTATGTTATCAATTGAATTTTATGTATATGATCACTTTTAAAATATCCGATATAAAAGAGTCCAATTTAAATTTTTGTTTACGATTACATTTTATTTTTTATATAGTGCAACGTTCATCTTATTTTTTATTACTTTATGCGTATTTTATTATTAATATAGTACATTCGAATTTATTAAATTTGTTAATAAATATTAATAAATGTTAATAAATTTTAATGATTTTTTTTATTAAACACCTGAGTATGAATATATGCCTTTTTCATTACTTATACAATGTCTACTCGATTTGTAATAAAAACTGTCAGTATTTTCTGTAAAATATAACGTCTGAATAAAGCTTTATAATATAATAGATTTTTAAAGAAAAAAGATTGCAATAATTATTAAATTACTCTAATTTACTCTAAAGGAAAATACTTGGTGCAATGTTATATATTTCAAGAACAATTTTTAATCTTTCATTATACATTAAGATGATTTTATACATGTTTTTTTAAAATCATTGCTAAGTTATTCTTCATTATTTATTATGTAATTTATCAATCTCTTCAATTTATGAATTTAACAACCATACAATATTCTTCGTTATCCACTGAAGTTATAAAGCAAAAATATCTTTATTACATAAGTCTGTTTTCAGTGTTTTCTTTATTCAATATATTTATTTGCCATTACTAAATTGTTAAATTTTATATTTGCAACAATTTTTAATTTAATATTTAAAAATTCGTATGTTTCATTAATTACTATGTAATCTATTTAATTATGTTCTAAATATTTTATTTGTATTTGTATTTCAAATAATTTTTATAATTATTTAAGTTTAATGAACCCTATATTCATAGTATAATCTTTTAATTTTTATAATTACTATCTAAAATTGTAATCTTATTTTTCTATTAGTTTTATTTTATCATTGTAGACGTTTGCTTTTGGTAAATTTATTTGCTTTTGTGCCCAAGAAAAATCCAGGAATGGATGAAGGCCCGGAGAGAGAGAGAGAGAGAGAGAGAGAGAGAGAGAGAATTAGACCTAATCATCTTGCCGTTATAATGAAATGAGCGATATTAGATTAAGACTTCAGTTTTTCGAATTCATCTATATTAACTACATTAGATACTAATGGGATATTCATTCTATAATTCATTTTAAAAATTTTTATTACTTTCTAACATATTGCTGTTATAATAACGCCAGATGTATAGATATATTAAGTACATGGAATGTTTTGAAATTTTCATTTATTTTATTTTTTATAGATAGTTCGATACAATAAACACAATTTGGAAAATTCTTTAATAGCTTATTGTATTTTTTAATAAAATCATACAACTAATTTTTTAAATGAAATTTTTTTAATTTTAAATGAAATACATTTTTTAAAATTAAATTTACTTTAAAATTTATTTACCTTTTAACCCCAAAATTGTTTTATTTGAAAAGTATGAATCATTGTCGATATAATCTTTAGATATATCAATGTTTTTATAAAATAAAAAACTAAGGAAATTCTAAAATTTTATCTTTTGAATTATATTTTGATATAAAAAGTATTAATACCTAAAAAAAACCACATTAAGAAAAGCCTGAAACTATTAAAATTGATAAAATATATGATTTGTATTTTCACAAATAAAAAAAAATTTAATAAATATATTTATAATATTAATAAAATATAATTTCACGTTTAATGCTGTTATTAAGAAAAAGGCTATTAATTTTCTTACATGGTCCACCAGTCACTCCAGTAGTATCGTTTCATTATTATCGGATAGGGAATCAAACATTATCATATTTTTTTTTATTATATTTTACTTTTATTAAGTTATGTATCAATTTAGTGATTAATTCTGCAGACGGATGCAATTCGAACATTTACAAAATATTCTTTTTTTTCACTATTTTATATGATTATATAAAAATAATATTGTAGTATCCATATAGTGTATAATAAAATTTAATATAATGAATATAATATAATACAGTATATTGCTACATTTAAAATTCATTTTGAATTAAATAAACAATACTATGATATATTTTATAAATATTGATGATTAATATTTATTCTTACTTGTAACGTACTTTTTTTAAAACAATGATATACATATTATTAATATTCTAAATATCATTAATAGTTTAATAAATAATAATATAATACATAAATTCAAAAAATTGAAGGACTTTAATTATGATTAAATTATAATTTCTGAAACATATTGACGCTATAGATTTTTTAATTAAGTAATTATTTAATTAATAATTTAATTAATCTCTAAAACAACATAAATATATTATAAGAAGTCGTGACAAAAAAATTAAAATGCACTTCTCAAATTATAAAGAAAACTATTAGCAGTCAGGTTGAGTAAGAGCGTATATTATAAAAAACCGAAGCAAGAATAAGTTTAAGGAAAACTTAAAAAGTTCTAGCTATTTCAATACATTACAAAATAAAAATTCAAAATAATATTTCTATTTTAATTTGAAAATTAATAAAAGTATATTTATATCATACATATACCTGTAATAATATGATTTTAACTATAAAATTAAATCATCCCAATAAATTGCTAATACTTACTGAAATAATTGACAAGTTAATTTTTAAAATTATATTATTTATTTTAACTTTATTAATAAAAAATATTTACTCTTGTTTTAGGCCAAACAACGTGCCTCTGTAAAATGGCTTTTATCAAAAGCTTACAACAATCGTGTTCCCGAAAAACTAAGGGAGCCTTACTATCTTGATCATGGGGTAATGACAGTATTTTATAATTATATGTTTGATATATTTAATAATTTTTCATTGTTAACATTTTAAAGCGATAATGGTTACGATATAGTAGTTACTATGAAGAAATAATTTTATATGAATAAATAGTCATATATAAATATATTACGAGATGTATATGTGCACAAACAGTTACGGAATATATAATAATTGAATATATAAGTTAAATATAATATTAATATATATACACGTGTCTTCATATAGATTAAATACATTAAAATGTAAAACTTATTGAATTTAAAATTAAATTAGTTTGGTCTTAATTTTAAAATTGTAAAATTCATGTGTAAAAATAAGAGAAATGGTAAATATTTTCATTTAAAACTTTAATATCAATACTATTATCACTACTATTAAAAATAATAATTAATGTATAACTAATGTAGGTAATGGAATAATTGTCAATAATTAATACTAATGACTTGAACAGTAATTTACTCTAGATTTCAGCTAAATGATTGAATCTAAAAAAAATTTCATGCTACATACTTTAATTACAATTTAAAATTGTATATTTAAATTTATATTTCTATATTTTAAGGTAAATATTGAAGTTAAGTATAAAAGATATTTATAAAATAAGGAAACTACAAAAAGTTACAATATAATGTTGAATTATTAAATAATTAAATAATTGTTATTATCATTATTTAAATCGTTTCATGTAAAACAAAATATCGTATTTGACAGGATCAAGAACAATTAAAGCCACAAATCGTACATGCACTCTCTAATGCTGAGTTATACTGCTTGGCTTTGGCAAACATTTATTCAGATCCTAATTACCATAATCAGAATCATACTGGCATCCTTCAAGCTCTTGCGAGAAAAGGCGTATTCGTTACCGAATCAAATAGCACACCACTCACCGAAACGATTCTTATTCAAAATTCGCCAGTTAAAATGGTAATCTAGTCTTAATCTAGATTTTCTTTATAAATATTTGGATATTATTTACTTCTATAAATCTTTACTAACACTTATTTAGATGTTACTCTATGATTTTTACTAAATTATATTTAGTAAAAAATATGATTGCCTAAATATGCCTATTTTAATAGAAGTAATTCTTATTCAATTAAAAGTATTGATACAATAATTGAATAATATGTGTGTTTTAATTAAAATAAAATTAATATATTATTTATGGCTATTAATAATAAATTATCAGGAAATGAAAGTTTGGTTACACCATCTCTTTGTTACTTTTACAAAGTAAATAATTTTGATTAAAAATGATTAGAAAAAAAATTTTTTGTAAAACGTGCTTTAATTTATTTTATTTATGAAAATCTACTTACTGTTAATATTTATAAAAAAAATGTTAAACGTTTGTTAAATCAATTTGAATAATCATGTTTATTTTAATTACGTTTAGAATAGTTTAAACTATAATTGCGTTCTTTTAATTTGAACGTATTTAGTAATGATGTATTTTATAACTTTTATAATTTCTTTTGATTTTAAATATATTAAAAAATTTCCATTCTAAACATCTTAAATATCTTGCCATGAAACTAAATTAATGAAAGATCATTTAATGATTGCAGGCTGCGCATATGGCTGTGATAGAAGGCCTTATGGTCTTGTATGTGAAGGAGGTGGTGACAAGTGAGCGAGTGGTTGCAGCTATTCAGCGCTTTAATCCTCAGTTACATAACGTAGATGCACCTCAAGATCACGAAACGGGTCTTTTACTATGGATAAGTCAAGCGTGTTCAGCCCTTATTGTGAAGATCCAGGCAGAGGAGATTTTCAGTGAGAAGAACCTACTGCCCGAACTCCCGGCGGCCAAGGATCTACAGTCGCTGTGCGATGGTGTTGGATTAGCTGCAGTCGTAGCTTATTATTGTCCGAGCGAACTTAATTGGATGGATATAAGAGTGTCCAAAAGACCCTCTATTGGCGATGCCCGTCATAATTTGGCCCTTGTACATGCTTTCTGTCTTAAGTGTTTACCGTATCCAATCTTCCACATGCAACTGGAAGACGTTAGGATTATAAGAGGGTATGCTCGTGTTTATTAGTTTTTTGTCATTGTACGCTTATTAATTATATTATTAATTTTATTATTAGATGATCTAATAAAATGATAGTTCAGTATTTTCTAACCAAGATCTCTTGTTATGTGCTTATTATGTTTAGAATATTTATTCATAAACTATTTTTTTTAATCTTAATTGATATTTTCACACACCATGCGTGAGGGCATACGTGTAAAGAGCTGCTTTTGAGAGCCTTTATTATTAGATATTAGTTAAAATTGTAGGTTGTATTAATTTTGAATTTAAATTTTTACCAGCATATTTTTTATAGATTAAAATTCTTTTTTCTGCGTTTATTCATCAAATTTTTTTAATATATTACATTTCCTAATATAACATACATTTTACTATTTAATACTAAATATTATACTAATTTACGATTAAAATACATATTGTATTTTATTTTATTATGATTATTAATAATATATAATTTTATACTGTTGATTAATGTATTGACATTTTTTAGTATTAAAATTATACTATAACTTATTGTATATATATATTTGATAAAAATATAATTTAACATAGAAAATTTTATTATAGGAATATGAAGCAAAATTTCGTTGTTTTTTTGGCCGAAATGTACAACGTTTTGGAAATCCATCCCGCTAAATGTGTGTGCTACCCCGGTGAAAATAAGGCACAGCAATATTTGGATGGTGAGTAAAAAGAGTATACTTGAAAATATTACAAATATTCAATAGTCTTAGGATTAGCAACTATCGGAAAAAGGACGCCTTATTTTATACTCCACAAAAATCTGTTTTTTTTTTGGTGCTGGGATACAAACGAATGTATTTACAAAATGGTGAGGGTTAACCAGCTCGAGCGTTTGAAACCATATTTGCTCTATTTATTCCTTTATTCGAATTTATTATTTGTTTTGTATTCACACTGATCACAGATAGTTTGTCTATTTGTTGTAATTCTCGGATTTTTTTATTTTAATTGTTTAATTGTGAATTAAGGTGAATAAATTTATTTTTAGAGAAATATTAAAAATTTAATAAACTCTTACACATACTTTAAAAAGAAAATGGAAAATAGAAAATGAGTAAGTATATCAATTACAAAAATTATATTAAAATTAAATTATCTTTAATGGAACATTTTTTAATCATTACATTTCATTAAAAATTCTTATTTTATTTTTTATAATAATATAATTGAACATTACTATTATTAATTTCGTTTAATATTCATAATTATTCTTAATGATTTATTTAATTATGTAATCATTTAGTTCTAATAACATAATTTTCTAATCTATAATTTATTAAAATTAATATGAAATTTTTATCGATTGTCTGCAATTCAAAAGGGTATTACACGCCTCATTGACGTTGATGTATATAAAAAAGAAACATATGCATAAATACATAATATATATATATATATATATATATATATTTACTAAACATAATGCACGTATAATGTATAGGCTTGTATTTATTTCGGAACTTACTCATTTATATACATGCATGAATTCTAAACATATATAATTTCTACTATGATATCTTTCACCGAACTTAGTTTTTGGAAAAATCGTATTAATATAAATATAAAAAATAAATACGACGATGAATAATAGCAAGAAAAAAGTGACAAAATACAGCAGAAAGAAAACAAATGCAATATTTTGTAAGGAGTGTAATGGAATTGATTAAAAATGTGTAATATTTCCATATATCTTTTTATGGTGTGTCTACACTCTCACTATCGATGCTTGACTATGTGAACGATGTCCTTCCTCGCAATCTTCGTCTTGACGAACACATTAAGCAGCGTGCCCGCGCAATAGTTATGGGGTAGTTCATAAGCGCAGTCTACCACAGTCTGTAACTCCGATACCCGATTTGAGAAGCAACCTATCTGTATCTGCCCCGGGTTTCACAGGTATCCGTACGTTTTAAAATCAACAGAAAATTCATCGAACATCACTAAGTGGTCCTGTGTATTTCTCTATCTTCATTAAAAGCTACAAGAGTTCTTGGCTACGAAGCATTAAAGCAACTTAAATCTGTTATTAATTTCTTGAAATTTTTTTGTACGCTTTTTCATTAGAATATATATCAAGTCCTTCAATAGGCTTAAGAGGAGGTATTACAATAATAAGCAACTGATTAATAAAAAATATTAAATCGATGTACTTATTAAAATCACTTATTTTGTCAATTAGCAATGCATTATTGCTATTACAATATTTGATAAATAATTTCTAATAAAGTATTATTCAAATAGATTTTGATCCATTTTTCTATCAATAATTTTTATAAAATTTATTATTAGAAGAAAAACTATTAATTTAATTAATGATTACTTTTTAATTATTGATTTTTTAAAAATTAATTGGCTGGTAGTAAATTTACATGAATTTATTAAGAAAATTGACAGATATCTATAGTTAATTTTTATAATAAAACCTATAAAAATTAAATTTTATAAAATCTGTGAAACCGTGGTTTTATTTTATGAAGTAACCAGATAAAATATTTTAATTATGAAAATTAATAATGAATTATGATTACATAATAATAATAGTAAAAATGTGATTAATCATGAAACTATATTGATAAATTCGTCTATTTTTAAAGTTTATATGTAAAATCATTTTTATGCTTAAAGTTAAATAAAAAATTGAATATTTAAAATTATTGGAATATAGTTGCTCAGTAAAAAATCAGAGATAAAAATAATAAAGAGAAAAATTTTCAAAAATTAAATCTGTTTTTAGACATCTTCTTTGAGCACTGAAACGTCATTAATGCTTGCTTTATCAGTTTACATTATTTTTAATTTTGCATGTTTTTATATTTTGCACAAACTATTTCGTCATTGTTGAATTAGGAGTTTTTATTTTGTGTCATATTTTTATTTATTTTTCTACGGTGTATCGTAATCAAATGTAATATTTAACACACTGCAATGTTGTACATATAAATAATAATAATAAAAAAGTTTCTTATATTATTTTCATATTAATGCCCTCGAATTTTTATTTCATATGTTTACTAATCCTTTATAGAATTCGTAAATAATTAATAAACAAACTTTTTTACTAATTATACAATACTGTTTAAAATATAATTTAAGAAAGTAAAATTTATATAAAGATAGATTTAGTATTATTTCATGGGAAGAAATTTAAAAAAAATTATATTTTATTAATTTATTCAGCTATAATAGCTTACATTTATATGTATTTATATTTTCATTCAAGTTTTGCAATTAATCATTTTAATTATTTTGGTAAATATTAATAACAATAATTAAGAATTTTAATATAATTATGCAATATTTCAATGAAAATAATTATCTAAGATAATAAACGATACGAAATTGAAAAGCTTTATTGGTATTTTTATTGTGTTGTAATTTATTTAGAGAATGAGTTGGTAGTTAGCAGTTAAAAGCTATTAAATTAAATGAAATATTAAAATATACAATTTTTTTTAGTTATGAAGACAATTGTGCAGAATACAGTAAAAAAATCGCAATCAATGCAACAAACTGCAGAATCTCATCTAGGTGATGAAAGGTATTTCATATTTATTTATATTCGATATTTATGCTAAGTAGAATATAGTTGAAGTACTTATAATAATTAATCATAAAGTTAATGAAATTTATGAAAATCTATAACCTGATATTAATTATTATAAGTACCTAAGCGTAATAAGACAAAAATATTAAAATAAATTAATTCAATAAGAAATATATCATAAATATGATTCGAAGAATAAGACTTATATTATTATTTAGAACTACGTAGTTAATTAAGTATATACGTATAAATATATGTATAACTATATGGTATACGTAAAAGTAAATTAACTATTCATAAGAAACATTCATATATATATATTAACACATAAAATAATTGTATTTTTAATGCATTTTGAAAATAACCTTACCAATTGACTATTGTAATCATACACATTATTTTAATAGTTTTACTAAAATTCTTCAACATAAACAAAATATAATATTTTTTTCTATTATATGTTTGTAATTATTATATATTTCACATATATAACAATTTATTATTAATATATATATATATATATATATATATATATAGTATTACAATAACAAAAATATGGTTTTTTTTTCAGGAAAACAATCAGTGATGAATCATTCGTTTTACATCGAGGCAAAGGAGTGTCGACAATAAGTTCGGTTTGTGATGAAAAAATGTTAATAAGAGCGGAGGCTGCTGGTCGGCCAAGTAACTGGGAAGACCAAAGACGGAGTTCTTATGCCGGTCGAAGATCAAGACGGAACAGCATCACCACTGCAGAAGATTCGCAACTAACTATTGAAAACTTCGGAGGGTCCCAAGTGAGAAAAAATCTTGTTCACCAGACCTTATTAAAAAAAATTGAAATTATTAGAGTAAGACTAGGAATTATTTACTTATTATTATAGAGCTTTGGATTATTAGCATTCAGTTTTCTTCACTTTTTGTACTGTATAAATAAATGATAATATACATTATAATATTTTATATTTGCTGCCTTACTAATTAAAAAGTATCAGAAGTAATATTTACATCATAATATTTTTAAATATTTGTTTAAAGAACATAATTTTTTATTGTAAATTAATAAAATATTTTTTAAAATAACAGAAACTAATAATAAAAGTATTTCGTACACATGAAACTTATTTTCAAGTCATCTAATGTATGTTTGAAATTTGCGTATACTTAAAGGCAATAATTAATAAAAATAAATAATATTTAATAATTAAGTGTAAATAATTTAAAATATTGTAAAAATAAAATTTATTGAATATATATGGTAATATATGATATAAGTTACCTTTTTTTACCTTTTTATTATTATTTATTATTGAAAGTATTTATCGTTTTCCAAAAATCAAGTAAACTTCATTTTATATAAAAATTGCTGCTAAAAATTTGTATATTCCCCCTTAAATAATTTAAGTTTAAATATTTTAATAATTAATTATGTATCTGTACTATATAACAAATATAAGAATTATATAGAACATAAAAATAATAATTTAATCACAACATTTTACTTTATTACTCGAGAAAAAATTATAATTTTTTTAGTATATAAAATTTTTCTTTTCTGTGTTATAATATTCAAAATATAGGCAGTAAGTAATAAAATATATAATTGATTTCAAAATATCGTTTTATATATATAAGATTTATATGAACAAAATATATAACAGTATTTTTAGAGAAATAGTATTTTAAAATATATTAATTAGAAAAATGTTATCAAACATATAGTATAAAATATAGTTGCAATAAAATATAGTGCAAATAAAATAAAATATTTGATTCAATATGATGTCATTATAATAAAAATAAATTCACTTCTATTATCAATTATCTGTGATGTTTTATTTATAAATGTGTTTCAAGTAAAATATTTTATAAAATTATGAATAAACATATTTCTTTATATTAATTTATTCATTTCTTCATAGTTTATATTATCTTTTCATTAAAACTAAAAATAATCAAATGTTAATTTAGTCTTAAATCATAACAATATAAATGAGAAACAAGTAATTCGTTATATTTTTATAAAGGAATATAGTAAATTTTACTTTTTATGTTATAATAATTAAAAGTAATTTAATGATAATAGTAATTCATATTTAAATTCTAATTAATAACTAATTTATCAAATGATTACTTCAATGTTCAAATTAATAAAAATGTATAATAACATAAAATTACAGTAGTATTTATTCCATTTAAATTGTCTGTTCGTATATATAATTTTCAATAATTTAGAATTTCATAAAATTATATTATCAATCATCATTTGGAGATTTTATTAATAGACATAGCAGCGGGTAGCCGCTTAATAATAGTTAACATATGCGAGGTGTGTTTTTTTAATATAATTTTAGGATAACTTACACAACATCGGACGCAATCCCGTTAAAGTAGTAGGCAAACCCGTATCAAGGCATCCACGGCTTGTCGCAGAACCTGCACAACCTGCGCGATCAAGCATTCAAGATGCCTATAGCAGCGGCGTTCATCTCATTCTTGCCGACAATGGTCATATGAGTGAAGATATCTTTTCGCCTCCTTCGCGACTTAGGCGACAGAAATCCAATCCAAATTTAAGCCATCATGTTTCTCTTAAGAATATTCTACATTCCTCAGAGAATGACAATATAGATGGCGAAACTACATCACCTGGGAATATTGCTACCAAAATGGCAAGTTTTGCAAATCTTAGTAAAAGCTCAGAAAAAGGTATCAATCTCACATACACGGATCAAGAGAAAGAGAAGCAATATTCGAAGCATAGCGTAACAACCAGTAGCAATCGAAAGTATGGTCAAATTAATGGGAATGGATTCATGGAAAAGAAAACAACATTCCCAACACTGCCGAATATGACTACTTGGCAGCAACAGAGTAATCAACAGAATCTGCATATTGAGCGACATTCAGGAGGTTGATTTCATTTTTCATATTTATTGTTAGACAAAACTTTATTTTTATTTACAATATATTTATTTTTCATATTTTATTATTGTGTTCAAGAAAAAAAAAATTTAAATGGAAATGTAAAAAGAAATATTATTGTTTTAGTTTGTTTAAATTTTTTACTTTATAAATATATATTTATATTATATTCATAAAATATAATAGCTTGTATGCAGGTAAAAATTAAATTAATAGATTCATTTTATTAATTAAATATTTTTATTAGATGAAAATAGTGGTAATGCGGTTATGGCAACGCAATTGAATAATATTAGATTAAAATTGGAAGAAAGAAAACGACATATTGAAAACGAAAAAAGAAGAATGGAAATTGTTATGTCGAAAAGACGTCAAAAAGTAGGAAAAGCTGCATTTTTACAAGCTGTTACAAAGGTTAGTTATATTTTGCAAAGTTTGAAGTTATCAAAGTTTATCAGAGTATCAATTGGTTAATAAATCTATATATATAAATTTTTCATTTTTGATATACGTTATTTTTGTTGTTGTTGATGTTATTATTTTTTTTACAAGCCTTTTCTTAGTTCATAAGCACTTCAATTTTATTTTTATAATCGATTTATTATTGTAGAAATTTTTTATTTGCTAATATTTAATACTTAATATTTTATTTCATTGCATGGAGCATATTCTATTTATGAATAAATATACTATTGATTTTTTATTTATTCAGGTTCTTTAAATTTTGCATGCATTTTTAATAAACCCGATTTCATAACATCATCTATTTGTGTTTATACAAATTATGTTTTCGTTTAATTAATTTCACTGTATCTAAACTTTATTTAATTCTAAGAAATGCTATAATTATTAAAATTAAATATACTTTTCAATAAAAATTTTAGAATAAAATGTAAGTTAATACATTTATATTAAAATTAATTGGCTAATATTATTTATATATTTATTTATTTGGAATTGGTTCAAATTTAAAATACAAGTATAAAGAGTACAAAGTAAAAAAAAAATGTAATATAAATAAATAATATTTTTCAGTATATATAAAAATTAATTTTAATTAAATTGAATTTATTATAATTTTGCTTTATTTCTGTTAACTAAAATCTATAAATTTATAAATATTTGAGTAAAAATTTGAAGTAGAAAAATGCTCACAGACAGCAAAAACATATTCAATATTTAAACTTGTGTTGTGAGTTCTCACAAATAAATTAATTATTGAGAGTTATTCATAAATTTTGTAATTTATGCTAATTTGATTTATACATTGTAAAGATTAAAAATCAAAAAGCCAGCTATACCAAAAAACAAAATTGCCCAATGGGTGTTATGGATTAATGGTGGTGGATTGTGAATACTTAACATGGCACGCCTGTGGTTGGGATCATTGCAGGGTAAAGTTAAGTCCCCCTCTTCATCGACATCTGGTGGAGACAGTCCTGTGGAGTTGGGCCCCCCTACCCCGATAAATTCAGAACAGGCTGGGGAAGTGAGCATTGCCGACGAGTGCTCTCCCTCATCTATAGTAGACACCCACCAATTGCCTCAAGAAAAACCGCAACGACCTTTCTCTTTAAAGGTATGGATCAAAGCATATGTCACATGGTGATAAATTTAATGCCATCTATTTATAGGGCATGACCCGAATTTTATATAAAGCTTAACATATAAATATATTTAGATGATAATTACAAATTAGAAAATAAATTAAAATTGTTTTTCAGAAATCATTATCCTATAAGAACTTATATATTCTTATATATGAGCAGTAGATGTAATATAAAAGTCTTGATATAAAATGTAATATTTCATTGTTATAGATAAATTAATTTTAAACATTTTTTTTATTTAATTTATAAAATATATAAAGATATAAAAATATTACATACCTGTTGTGAATGTTAGATAATTATTTTTTATGTTAAAATTCATTTTCATTACTTCTTCCATAATAAATGTTGCACATATTTATTATTTATCTTACAATAGGAAATTTTACGATATTATTTCAGAATAGAAGTTATTTTATTTAATGGATAATAAATAGCTTAGTTTTTTTTGTAATTTTCATTATTTTAAATTTCATAAATTATAAAAGACTATATTTCAGATGTTATTGTTAATATTTGTTGTAAAAATTAAGTTCTAAATAAATTTAGTAAATTTCAAATAATAAAATTATTGAAACAATTTTTTTTAATATATGCTATTAAATCTTATTAATCTAACTATCTGTTATTTCATATTATATTTTTGATATAAAACAATAATGAATATTAAATATATTTTTTATAAAAAAAGTTAATGCAATACCTATATATATATTTTGTTTATTTATTTATTACAATTTATTGAATTACAGTTTCTAATTTGCCGCTTAAGATAATAAAATTTCTATGAAAGTTATTAAAATTATTAATATTATTAAATCCTTATTAATAACTTACTAAATTATTTTTATTACATATTAGTATTAAGCATATCAAAAATTCATTCAAAATGTATATATTTATACTTTGTTTTTGCATAATAATTTAATGTGTAATTATATATTTGAATGATTATTGATTTGCTTTCATTATATTACATAGCATGTTTTATTCATAAATATTTCGCACTTGTGAATTAAAACTAATTTCTTGATAATAATTATTTATTATGGTGATGGTATTAATTATTTAAAATAAACTTAGATTAGGTTATTTTGTGGTTATATATATTCTACAAGTGGTATAATTTTTACTATTAAATATTTTTACTAACTCTATATTTTGCCATATCAATTGACAAATTCGTTAAAATAATAAATAGATATAGTTAATAACTGTCACAAATATAATTCATGAATATACAGACATATGCTGTAACAATACAATAAAAGGGAATTCTCGGCATTTCATGTAATTGCATAAAATATTCTATTGATCAAACAAAAATCGAGACAGAAACAACAGAAGAAAGATTTTTACTCTTTCTGGTTTAATTATATTAATTATATTCTTATCTCAATATTTAAGTGTAATTCCTTTTGGATGTTAAGATTTTTATTAATCACTAAGTGATACAAGTGTTAGTTTTAATCTAGTATATCTAGTAGAATGTTACAAATATAATAATATAATATATTATACAGAAATAGTTTGAAAAAATTTATAAATAATTGTTTATCATAGTTTCAAATGATTTTCTTAGTCTTATTTTTTTTATTTATACATTCATAGTTATATAAACTGAATATAATTGAAAAGAAATTATTGAAAAGCTTCTAAATATTTATTTTTTAAAAAAATAATCATAAAATTAATATTATTTTAGTTTTTAGGAAAATTAATTTTAATATTAAAAAAAATTTAAGTAAAATTAAAATTAATATTGTAATTACACAACATCGTACAGGAAATCAGCGAAGATGTACGGGATGTGGAACACAAATGGTTGGATCAGGAGAGTGCACCTTTTGTTGAAACTCGACGAACGCCAGATATTGAAAATATGGATTATGATCAATATCATCAATCGATATCACAGTAAGTACATTGTTATTTTTGAAATTATATATATGTATAATTTTATTAAATAATTCTTAGTATCTAAGGTAATGTATACATTCTTGTTTTTATATAAAAGTATTTGTATGATTAATTTCTGTTTTTCTAGAATGAATAATAGCTTGAGCGAAATTCAGCAAGATATTCAACGCTTAGCAAATCAACAAAATCAAATACAACAGCAACATTTAATGACACAGCATCAACAACAAATGCAACAACAGTTACAACAGCTTCAAAGCCTCAGTCATCAACATTTACATGTAAGCTTTAAAAAAATAATATTTACAATATATTACAATTACAAATATTTTTTATATATATAAATATATATATTTATGTAATATATTTTATTTATTATTTAAATATAATTTGTTTGCTTTGATAATTATTAGTTTAATAAAATTTAATATTAATTTAAAATTACTTTCTTTAATTTTTACTTTATATAATTAAAGACATATGGTCTGCCACTACAAAATCAAATAATTTCGAGAGTACATGAATCTCAGCAATCACAGTTTTATCTTCATGATCAACCACAAGTGCCAAGACGTACATGGGGTCAACCGCAGCCAATACAATTAGGAAATGAAATCCCTGCTGTTCCACATAACCAGTCGATGAATAGTCATTATGTTCCTCCTTCAGGTAAAATGTGATTATAATTCTGAATTAATTATTTTTATAATATTTTATGTTAGATGAAGCATATATTTCGTGATAAAGTCTTAAAAAGAAAGATTAATTTATTTTTATCTTTTATAAAATTTTTATAATTGGGATTGTTAATAGTTTTTATTTTTTGTTATTTATAAGTAGAATTTACAAAATGTGGTAAATATTATGACTTAATAATATGATCTTGAAGTCTCCAGTTTTCGCAGTTTTTTAAGCTTTTCATAACTTTCCAAAATGGTTACAGTATTAAATAACATAATTATTACAATTGAGAACATACATAACCATAAGTAATAACTATTTCCAATATAATATAAAACTTAATAAATTATAATATTTTAAAGATTGATATATTAAATTTTCTATAGGAATTGATTCTATAGGATTAATAACATTTTTAATCACTTTAATAGTTTAAATCTTGTATAATTTGAATTGCTTACAGTGTATCAACAAGATCCATCTTTGTATCAAGAAACTCGATCATGGGGAATGCCCATCTCTCAACAGAAGGGATTTGTTTTACATGACATATCAAAAGAGCAGAGATATCTTAATGGTGGAGAATACAACCTCTCTAGCAATCAACATCATATGTCTTCATACCCAGTTGCTCAATCACTGTTTAATCAAACTTCATCTTCTTCAGCTAGTCCGCAGCATCATAACGCTGTATGTTTTTATTACAATAACATAAATTAAATTTAATTCTACAAGGGACAGTGATATTTAGATTATTTTATACGGATAAATTCTACAAAACAGAATTCCAATTTTAAATAATAAGGTTTTATTAAGTTTGAGATTTTAATGGTAAATGACATAAAACAAGTCAAAAACTTTATATTAAATTAATAATATTTAAAAATATAAGTTCATATTATTTCTTTATAGATTTTTGTGTAAATTTCAAATAATATTATTGTATATTGTATATTACCAATTAAGGTAATTTTCTATTTTAATTACGTGTATGTAAACATATATATATATATATATATATATATATATATATATATAGTTATGTATTGTTGTGTACATTGTGTATATATCATGTTATCTACAATTCGTTTAATTTCAGAGTTATTTACTAATATTTATAATGACAAATGTATTTAGTATTTCATAACTATGTACTACATATATCTATTATCTTAATGTGATCTATTACAGATATAATTTATCTCTTATATGATGTATTATATACAATATATATTCTATTTAAATATCATCCATTACACATATGATTTATCACTGCTATGCATAATTTCAATTTAAAGCATCTCAAATAGTAGTCTAATTATTGAGTGGATGAGAAATCAAGAAAAACTCCGTAACTATATAATTAACACCTGATCAGAGCATGAATTTTAGTCAAATGTAAAATATATGTTTTATTTATTTATAATCAATATTGAAATTAAGATAAACAGTTTAATATAATAATCATACAAATTTAAATGTTAATAAAATCATGAATTGATGTCATAATATGATGTAGGCACACATATGTTAATAAAAAATTTAAGTTACATACTTATTACTGATTTTTAGTTTTAATTACAAAACAAACATGTAAAAATTATATTTTTAAATAACAGAAATTGTTATATAAAATCAGAATTAATTAAAATTAATTTTATGACTTATATGACAGGTTCATCGAATAAGTCAGTTAATGAGTGATGGTTCAGATACAAAAAGGCAAAATGTGCATCATATGCCATTAGCATGTGAAAGTATATTAGAAAAAAGACTAAGCTCTATGCCTTTAGAAGAATTGGGACCTCAAAATATATCTTATTCAGGTAATTACCAATTACTTGTTAATAATTGACTGTTAAATATTTTCTTTATTGTCCATAAAATCAAATTTTACATTTCAGTTAATGAAGAAGATTTCAGTCAAGGAATTCGAAATTTAAATATCATATCTGGTAGTCGAACATATAGGATACCTTCACCAACAAGACCGTCAATATCGAGGAATTCATTTCAGCCTCATGTATCATTGCACGAAACGACGCCATCGCCATCTGATAATACATTAGAAATTGTGCCATTAGATACAAACGATGGAGAAAAGGGATTTTATATTTCATTTGATGATGCACCTAAAAAACCTAAACCATCATTAAGACTTAAAAAAGCTTCTCCTAAAAAGGTAAACTCAATTTTATTATTAATTAATGCATTATAAATTAATTTATATATCGAATAATAAAGAAAATAATTTATACACAATTACACATTTAATGAAACTAATAATTTTATGTAGTAATATTACGTAATTCAATGATTGTTTAAAATAATTATTGATCTAATTAATGATTATTTATATCTATTACGTGTGAAGAACTAGGATTATGTAATTCATTTTTGTTTTTTAATATATGTGATTGAAAGTGTACATACAGTTAAAATATTTTTAATTAATAATTTATAGGGTTAATAATATCAAATTTATATCATTTAACATTATAGAATAATTTTGTAAATTCTGTATCAAATATACTTTAATTATTTTGTAATAATAATTATATAAATACACATTTATATCCACAATATAATTATGAATTTGTTATAGGAAAAAAATATTTCTACATATTTAAACGAAGATAATTTTTCGTCGCAATACGAAGCATCATCTACTACTATAATCGATCGTCAACGCCAAATTAGAGTACAAAGAGAAAAACAAAAAGAAAATGAAGAACAGGAACAACAGTTGCAGGAATTAAAGAATAGAGAGTTACAACAAGAAATTGTTATGGAACGACAAAAAGAAAGACAAAAAAATGAAGGACTTGATGATCGTCAAGCAAATAGTGTTGGTTTAATCATAGGAAACCAACTATCAAATCCAGATCCAGTAAGTAAATGATTAAGTTAGAAGTTCAATTTTATTACTTTACAAATTGTTGTTAAGATACTGCATCAATATTTAATGATAATAATAAAATAAATCTTTTAGAATTCCATTGATGAAATGGAACGAAAGAAAGAGAAAATAATGCTTTTGTCTTTGCAACGAAGGCAACAGCAAGAGGAATTAAAAGAGCAAAAGGAAGCGGAAGCACAAGTTCGTCGAGAGGAAGAAAAAATAAAAGAGGAAGAAAGAACAAGAAAAAAAGATGAAGAAAAACAACGAAGAGCAGCTATTTTAGAGCAATATAAATTAAAAAAAGCTATAGAAGAAGCAGAGAGAGAAGTATGCTTTATTTTACAATCGAACAAAAATAATCTTACAAATAATATTCATAATTGGCATTGCTATTATTCTTAAAGTTTAATTTATAAAATGTTTAATAAATCTAAATTAAAAAATTCAAATATGTATTTTTAAAATCAGTCTATTAAATTATTTCTATATATCTAGTTAATATCTATATTATTATTATAATATATATATATATATATATATATATATAATTATAATATCTATAATATCTGATCTAGTTTAAATGATATAATATATAATTTTGTATCTGTCAAAACAATTACACAATCAAAATCTAATTATTTACTATTAAAAAAGAATACTATAAATTTATTTGCAAATTGTTTATTATATAAATTATTATATTATAAAAATAAAAAATTATGTTTGTTGATACAGGGTAAAGTTATCGATAAAGAATTATTGAATGCTTTAAAACCAACTAAGCTTCGAAATAAATTTACACCTGGTCGACCGCGACCGAAAACAATTCATGTGGATGTTGGCACGGAACTAGATTCGGGCGTTATGACGCCTAGTAGAGGGAAAAAGGGTTCATCATCTAATCTCAGTACAGGTAAATTCTACAGATAAATAATGGGAAGATTCATTAATATTTCTCGAAAATATTTTACGAAATTTTAAAAAATGTATGGATAGTATTGATTAAATAATTTCGAGAAATAACTTTTAATTTTTATGATTAATTAAATTGTCTTTACTTATAAATGTAAATAAAAGTATTATTTTTAATGTTGTTAATGCTTGCTGCATGGCACAAAGTTTGTAATTGACATAAATTTTTTTAATATTACATTGCATTTTCAATGAATTTTCTTGATATCTGTTTCGTGAATTTTTATTCACTCTCAACACAAACAAAATATGCTCAGAAAGTTCTGTCCAGTGTCTAATTTAAATTATTGTTTAATTTATAGAATTAATTTCTTATAAATATTGATTATTATATTATTTCAAATTTTAATGAGACATAAAATTTAACTGTATAATTATTAACGTAGATTTGTTATAGCATCAAATTATATATTAACGAGTTTATATTCGATTATAACTAACACGTTAAAATATATTTTAATAAAATTATATGAAGTAATAAAATGAAATAGTATATCGCTAAACTTTTAATAAAATAGAATATTTCATAAAATTTTTGTAAGTTAAAAAATTAAACAATAAAATATAAATGAAACTGTAATTATTGTCTTTTCAAGTATTAAGCGTGTATCAAGTATGATATAAACCCATAAATAGTTATGGGTTGTATATAAAAAGAAATATATATACAGATATATAAGATAGAAATTTTGAGTTGATTAACATTTTTTGGCACTTGAAACTATTGAAACAATTGAAACACTATACAGCGTCGCTGACATCGCCAACAATGAGGAGAGATTACTACCGAGGTTCTCAGGATAGCCTTACTACGGCGCATCTAGATGACAGACGTTCCAATTCCCTTTATCGAGGTGGCAGCCTCAGGGGTATGCGCACACTCACACATACGCAAACACTAACATTTTCTAAGATTATGCATACAGAAATAAAACATTTTCAAACAGTTTTAAAATTTCTGATTTATACTTTTACCTATATATTATTTTTATCGAGAGTGTTTATTTTAAACTTTATTAAAAATGTAGTGATAGATGCTTAAATGTAGTATACAGTAAGTAATAAGAAAATTAACATACTCTAAAATTTATATAATAAAAGTTTAAATTACTATAAACAATAAAAAAATTATTACAGTATATAAATAATAATAATTAATTTATAAATAATGCACTAGTGATTCAATGTATGAGTAGCAGTTAAATATTTAAATTAATAAAGTCTTAAAAGAATGAAAATCTAATATAGCAACATAATGCTTGTTATAAAATTTAATTTATACATTTGACTCAGCACAGCACGTTTATCATCTGCAGTACTGCTACATTAGTAGTAATAATTATTGATCACATATGCATCAATTACGTCTTCTATCATAATATAGTTATAAGGCTTTACTAATGTACTATAATAGTTTGTTACCCTATTTTAGTATCTTCCATAGATTCACCCGATGATGGTAGAGGGTCATCGCCATCCAGAAGTGGTCACCAATTAGGACGACGTAGCTCTTATAAAACGTCACGGGGTGAGTTTCTTATGTAACGGAGGTTTAAATGTATTCCGTACTAAAATTTTAATTTTAATTTTATCTTTATATACTGAATTTAATGTATAGAATTATTAATTTCTTGCAGGAGTACGTACACATGATGGTATGCGTATTTTATTATACATGTAAAACAATTCATTTACTTTAACAACAGTTGTTAACAACAAAAATTAACAAAATTGTCTTTTCATTATACTATTGCTATTGTTATCACCATCCTCTTTCTCATCATTATTAGCACCACCACTATCATCGTCGTTATTATCATTACTGTTATTACTATTATTATTACTCTAAATAATCTAACATAATTATATAGTAATAATAATAGTTTATATTGTGTATTTTATAGTTAACATAAATCGGAACGCAAGGTTTTGCTGCATTAAAACCGGCATTAGTTATGTGTATCTTATGAATAACTTGAGCTCCAATACGGGGCTCGTAACTGAAATTGACTTATTATACAAATTGAGAAGCATCTTCCATTATCTTTTATATAAAAATTTTTATTCGTGACACCTTGTACGAGAGAATATAATCCAACGAAAACGTTGCATATTATTGCAGATGCACAGGAACCTCAGCTACAGGTTAGAGGCAGACCTAAATACCCAAGTTATCAAAACTTTAAGGGAAGAAAGTCTAGTTCGTTGATGAATTTGTGCGGTAAGGAGCGCTACAGTGACTTGGAAACATAATTTAATCCCTTGAATATATTTCTCCTATTTGTGTCTTGTGCAAACTTTACAAATTTTTATATTTTTATACATTTTTATATATTTCTAGGCCTTAGTATTACACATACAAACACGTAGTCTCGCATGGTGGCAGGTTGCAGGAAAACTAGTTAAAGGTGGCAGTCTAAAAACATATTTTACACATATGATACTTGCATTCATAACAATACATCAAAATTTCATCAAAGTTTTTCTAACTAAATAGATACGAATATTTTATAAATACTTTTTGCTATGAAAAGATTATATATTTGCAAAATATTATTGTAAAAATAAGATAGTTTTTAATCTAATTCAAACTTAAAAAATTATGTCCTTATATAATTGTGTATACATATAGTTTTATATATCGTAATTAGTAAAACTTTGAACAAAGGCATAAATAAGTAAAGTACTGAAATTACCATTTTAGATTAATATCGAAGCTTATTCAGCTTATTGTATAGCACTGGTTATGGGTCCTGATATTCTCAGTGTCTTTCAGATTGCCTGATCGAATGGTTCCAGTGATTCATTTATTATTGCTCATTTGCTACATAACTCAATCTTAGACTTCTATTTGTTAATTTTACTATTATTGTCAGAAATTGTTATTGATTAATTTTCAGATACATAGATGTAATGTTGAAAGGTATAGATGATATTTTTTATAATAAATATTAGTATTTTATCACGTGTGCATAAAAGAAATTAAAAAATCAAAAAAAATTCTCATTTAATAAGATTAGTTTTTAAGAAATAAAATAACACATTTTTCATAACATTCGCCAGAAATTGCATAATCGTTTTAAATATAATATACAAAATACCGAAAATATAAAATAGAATCAATTTAAAGTAAAAGTGACTAATGACTTCTATAAATAATTTAAAATGGTTAAATACTGCATTGGAAATAACTTTAGTGGTAATGGTTCCTATTAACTTTGGTTACATTGATTTTAAGAATCCAAATAATACATAAGGCATTTTGTGGATTGCTTTTTTCAGTTAATATTTTTTAAATATTCAGTCATAGTTCAATGTATAATAAAATTTCATAACCTTTAAATTGTTATATGTTTACATATAGATACAGATAGTGGATTGGGAAGAGCAACGCCCCCTAGAAGAGCACCAAGTCCAGGTGTGGGAAGCATGAGACATCTTCCTTCACCATCCGGACCTGGATCCTTACCACCAGGTCTCATGACGAAGCGAAGAGTTTTTGATGATGGTAGCAGTGACATCAGCACTACAGCCAGTTCAATGATGGAATATAATGGTAATGATTATACAGAAATAATATTCAATTAATGTACAATTTAATAAAGCATATTAAATTGTTTAAAAAAATTTTAATTATTGTATAGGGTTCATAGTGAATGATAACTAATAATATATTTTTTATTGATAACTTTAATAATAACTTATAATATTTTTTATTCCATGTTTTATAAATTGATAATTTGTTTCTTAAAGTAATATTTTTTAAACTTTATACAATTGTATTTTTTATTAAACTGTTTTTCAGTGCAATTTGTAGTATGATTTTTTTTATTTACTATATAATTAAAAGTGTATGAATATATTTAAGATGAGTATCATTTATTTATATTATTAAAATACTTTACCAGCTTAGATATAGATTAATATTTTTTCGTGAAAAAAAAAATTTATAAATATTAAAAATGAAAATTTTAAGTGCAAAGGGAATCATAAAAAAAGTCCATGTATAGTACAATTTATTTAATATTATAGGTCCAAGATTATACAAGCAGCCAGCAACAAAGTCAAATCGAGGTATTATGTTGAATGCTGTGGAATACTGTGTATTTCCTGGTACAGTTAATAAGGAAGCGAAGCATAGAGTATTAGATGAAATTTCAAGGTCGGAAAGTAAACATTTCCTCATTCTTTTTCGTGACGCGGGTTGTCAATTTCGAGCTCTCTATTCATATTGCCCAGATCGAGACGAAGTCAACAAATTATATGGAACTGGACCTAAACAGGTCATAGATAAAATGTTTGACAAGTTTTTCAAGTAAGTGTTATTTTAATGATAGGTTTCATATTTAGTATTTAAACAAATTGAAATATTAATTTTTTTTGCAAATTAATACATTATTTGATATTATTGATATATTATTGACACTTATTTAATAAATAAAATTATTTTTAATTGTATAACTATACTGATTAAATAACTTTCATGATGAAAAAAAATATAATTTCTTTGTACAATTTGCAGATATAATTCTGGTGGAAAATGCTTTTCTCAAGTTCATACAAAACATTTGACTGTAACCATAGACGCCTTTACGATACATAATAGCCTCTGGCAAGGTAAAAAGGTGAATCTACCGAACAAAAAGGATATGGCTCTTGTCATATAGTTTCACGTTAAAAACAAGTTATTATGCTATTGTGCCCTTTGTTGTTCATAGTTACTATTTTAATACAAGCCCATATTAAATTATAACACAGCGTTGCATTCTTAGTCAGTTTTATATTGAAAAATATGTAGGCAAAGAAACTGAAAAATAATACTTGTCATTGGTCGATGCTGACATCCAGGTATGAATGAATAATTATTAGAATGTGTATACATTTTCGTATGCTAATTTTTTAAGAATATGTTATTGACACTTTTTAATTTTTCACGATGTGATATCAGCATCGACTTTATTTCTATAAAATTATCGATATTTATAATAGGAAATGTTTATTATCAGCTAATGTGCTAGCGACTAACTCATAAATGCGACATTTCATATTGTTATTACGCATAAGATTATATATAGTTAGTTTATTCTATCTGTACAGTGCATAAAATTTTTACATTTTCTCCTGATTATATTGACGTCCTTCATAGCAATTAAAGTTAATTTAATTTACTATATCGTAGTACAATATAGTATTTATTTCTAATAGCCTGTTCGAAATATAATTATTTCTTATTAAAATTCACATAAATATATTGCTTTTATAAACATTTAATTTTTTCTTTACCTATATTTGTCATCAATTTAATTTTGTTTAAGTTAAAAATGTTCTCATTCGGTTATATCTTCAATGAAATTCCTTTATAATTTGGTGATTTCATTGATTTTTAAAGATTTTATGTTAACTAAAAAATTTATTTGATTTTCATACATTTATTTTAATTTAAAAATTTTACTATGTTAATTTATATTTTTATACTTGACATTAAAATTATGTACTTAAAGTTTCGCTTTAATAGAGATATACTGTACTATGGCATTGTTTTTAAATCTTGTTTGTATAATTTCAGGTTTCTATATAATATTTTACTGTAAATAAAAAAAATTAATTTAATTTTGTTTGATAATTTCATATATGATAATTGCATAACATTTACCTTTATATATCTCGTATGGTGAAAAATTACTTGTATTCTATCATTGTTATTATTTTATATAATTGGCATAAAATATAATGTTCCTGTTATGAACAAAGAAATTGTAATTAGAAATAATATAAATGATTTTTTATATAGATTTAGTTTAATTTTAAATTATGTGACCATTGTTCAGATGTTAACATCGCTTTAAATATAAAACGTTTAATGTGTTATAATGAATAATTTTTATAATTAATAAAATATTCACATAATTAATAATTTAAAAAATAAGATATTGTATTGTAATAATTGAAAAAGTTAGAGGTATGTTTCAAAAATAACTACAAGTATCAATTTTCGATCATCATAATTTATACAAAATTATAATGATTATTTTTTATTCTTAAATATTGAATGCAACAACAATATTTATACAGTAAATTAACTAATATCTTCATGAAATACCTTATTTTTCTTTAAAACTTTAAATGGTATTCTATTTTTAAATTATTTTTATTTTAGTTTTTTTTTATGGAATAATGTAAAAGAAACGTATTCTGAGTTTAATCTATTATAACTACTTCTGATAAAAATTGTATATTTAAAAGATTTTTTTAATAAATAAAAAATATACCTTTTCAGAACAATTATAAACAGTATTTTTACTAAATTAAAATGTTCTGTATTAAATTTTCTGTGTTTCTGATATACCATTGGATTTCATTTTTCATTTGTAAAAAAGTTAATTATATTGGTATTTTACATTACTATATTGACATTCACTATATAAGCAAAAACTAAACGAATATCTAAAACACAATTGTAATTATTGATGTAATTAAAAGTATTATAAAAACGTTTTTCTAAGAAAAAATTTTAAAAAATAATATATAATTTGTATATTTTTTTGAAATTTTATACAAGTTTTCTATAGTTACTGCAAGATTTTCTTATATTCTAATTTATTATATTTATTAAAAGCATTCAGGAAGTTGTTGAGGAAGAAATTAATAAAATAGCAATTTTTCATGCCTTAAGTAAGAAGGCTAATCAGTTGTGCCTAACAGAAATCTGATTTTAAACGCTAAAAATTTACTATAAGAACTTAAAAACCATTTCATAAAAATTTTATGAATAACAATTTTAACAAAAATTTATTGGGATAAAAATGAAATATCTTATGTTTGAATTGCATTCGTGTTATATAAAGTTGTAATAATCACTATAAAGGATTCATTTGTAATATTATCAATAATAATAGCATTTTAGAATTAAATGAAACATATTGATATATCAAGATATTTGTATTTTGAATGAAGCAACAGTTACAGAACGCTGTGATAAAGAATAAATATTAATGAAAAATAAAATTTAATTTAGGTATTAATTATTAAGATCAGTAATTCATAACATTTTAAACATACAAACTGTTTTTTTTTGCATTTAATATTTATATTATTAATGAAATTAAAAAATAGTTCTAGTATTGTGAACTATTCAGTTAATAAATAGTTACTTTCTAAATAAAAGTCTGAAATAATCATGAATATTTTGAAGAAAACATGAGATATTTGTTTATATTGATTTATTAAAAAATAAATCACCATTATTAATTAAATGTTTATTTAAACATAAGATACTTATAATTTCAATCAAAACGTAAAATGTAAAATTTCTCTGTGATTTATATTATAAATATTTGTTTTTGTATAATGCATATAAGTAGAAAATTTGTAGTTAAATATGTATATATACATTAATTTTTATTAGCATGATGTAATAGATTTTAATAATAAAGATATATAATAAAGAAATCATAATATAGAACAATAAAATATAAAGTTAAAAAAATATTTTTACGAATATAATTTAATCATTAAAAATTAATATAGAATTATATTCAAAATTTTAAAACTAACGAAGGTTTCCATATTGTTTTATGTAAATTAATTACAGTAATTATTAGTTCTTGGGAAATGAAATTTTTAAGTAAAAAATAATTCAGTATATCGTATTTTTAGACGTATTTACGTAAGATTTAGGGACTGTTTCAATACAAGTTGATTTGAACACTGAGAACATTTATTACTTAAAAATTAAATTGCTTTAAATTTATTCTTGCAGTTTTATTTTCTCAGAAAAATCTATTATTTGGTCCATCGAAGTCTTATTCCATAATTTCAAGAGTACAATATAAAAAAATATTTTTTAGGAATTAAAAATTTATCAGTTTCTAACAATAATGTTATAAGGTTTGTATATTGCTTATAAAACTTGCCGCTAATAAAAAAGAGATTATTATTTTTATAAGTTATTTTTATTTATATTGATTAGAAATTATTATTTTTAGATAATGATATAGAAAAAATATACATAGATATTGTGGGCAACTATTTACTTTATGTTTAGTTTATATTCTTGTTTTTCAATATTTGTATTGAATATTTTATCTATCATAGCTTCTTATAATATCAAAAAGACCATATTGTATATTCTTTTTAAATAATAGTCAGCAATATGTTCAGAGTTGAATTTAATTTTAATTAAATCTCATATTAGAAAATAAGATTTCATGTATATTGTTATAAATTTGACTAAAAGTAGTTTAATTTGAGTACGAATTAGGTAAAAAAAGATATGTTACAATGCATCGCAATAGAGTAAGCGACATAGTACCACACTTTTTGTAATAACTATTATTTTGCTAAATTGTTATATTAAAATATTATAATTAATTAAAATATAATAATATAATAATTATATTAAAAATATACAAGCGCTATACAAAATTTAAATTGATATAATAATATGAAATTTACAATTATCTTGAATGTTTGTATTACAGTAAATTTATAAAATAAATAATTAATATTTTTATTAATCTAAAAATAATAAATCCAAAATATTAACAAACACAAATAAAAATAAAAATAAAATTGATTTCAAGTGAAATAATAAATATTGTAAAAAAATCTTTAATTATTAATATTTATAATTAGATAAAATATTAATTATAGATGATATATGAGTAATAATGATTTTATTTAACAATTATAATATATTTTTTTCTTAATATGAAACTTGAAATAGATAATTTAAACGAAATTTATGAAGTTTTTTTTTTTGTTAATAATATATATTAAAAAAATGAATTTATAATGATTTTATAAATATTATGTAAAAATGATTAACTGATTTTAAGCTTAAACAATATTTAATAGAGTATATTTATACAATAGATTTTTATTTTACATAGGTCACTCTACAAGTAGGAACTTCTTTATAATTTAAAATTAAATTTAAAAATTGCAATCTTCTCTTGGCATTAAATATCAAATTATAGATAAAAAGTACTTTAAAAATACAGATATTGTATTATAGTACCTCACATTTCGTTAGACATATTAGGAATGTTTTATCGATGTCCTTTGATGTACAAATGCTTTTTTGGAAGATATACAAGTGCTTCGGTTATCAAAAAAATTATATCATATTAATAGATTTTTGACACAAAAATATATTTTTTTAAAAAATATTTTACAAGACCTAAAGGAAAAAGCTGATCCGAATTCTGAAATTTACTAGATTATAATTTTGAATACTTATAATTATCACATATATATTGTAAAATTTTCTAATATTTCAGATAAAACTTTGAGGAAGGTACAAAAATAAAGACTGATGAAATCCATAAATTAAAAAAATATGACTTATCTTCTACTATATAGCCTATTACCCATTTTATCAATAGTACATTATTCTTCTAATTTTATATTTCAAATAAGAAAAATTCTAAAAATTTTATAAAAATATAAATAAAATTTTTGAACAATGTAACACTTGCATTCTTATCTAGTATTTTTAAACTATTTACGCAAAATGAAGACATTTCTAAATTAATTGAAATCCACTAATAAGAATAAGTAATAATCATTATAAATAACATATATCATCATTTCTTAAGATTATATAAACCAATTAGTAATATTATAAAATAATTTTTAAAGAGCTGTTTTTATTAATTGTATTAATAATAGATATTAATACTTTTGGAATAAAAATATTAGATGTAAATATATTTTATGCATATTTCTATACATCATTTCAAACTATAAATTGTTATTATTTCTTCTTTGACATTAAGTTTAATAAAATGTTTTAAATTTATAAAAGTACTTAATAGTATCTTTACACAAATTTTTGTCTACCTCAATGAGATTAATCTGAACATGACCTTTATCTTATTTTACTTTACACCTATACTCTATAATAAGAACCAAATGTTGTTATTAAACCTTCAAATACGTTTAATAGTTTAATTATAATACAGATTATTCTTATGAGTACTTATGGGTAACTGTTTTTAAGTACTTATATAATGCTTAAGATACATTATTAAAGCTGATTTTTTCACTTCAACATTCAAATCTTCAATTTAATTCATTTAAAAGATTTAAAGAAGATTTGATTTATTAAATGATAAGAAACTTAATGAAAAATTCAATAATATATTAATTTATTCAATCTATATATTAAAAAATTAAATATTTAAAAATAATTATTTTTTAGTCTATTTTTGGGATGTAACTTTATTAACATTATACAAAGTATAATTATCTCTTTTTTTAAATAGCGGATATTAAATTATTAATATATAAATATATTCATATTTTTAATTTTTTATATATTATTTTAAGATTTCGTATTTATTGAGATATTTCAGCTTTTTTAATTTTTTAAAATTGAATTATGTTAAAATAACTAAGCATTTACTTATTTAAGATACGTTTAATGTTAATTATTAAAACATTATTAGGTAAATTATTACTGGATTTATTTTATAACTATGAAATCAAGCGTTTGAAAACAACTCCACCAAAACTAAATTTGATTTACTGGAATTTATTTATTAATTTTGTTATTAATTACTTATTGATTTTTAAAAATATAAAAGAAAGCTACATAAAATAAAAAAATTTTATCGCTATATTACTGAACGAGTAGTTAGTGTTCGACTTCTATGTAATAAGATTTCTCTTTTAAAAATAATAGCCGTATGGAATAATCTAGTGAGTAATTGTACATATAAAATAGTTAATTATTGTTTAATCTTACAATTAATATAAATTAACTTTGCCAATAAAGAACACAATCCCCATATTAAAAATTAATAAACTAATTTGAGTAGAATCATTTGTTTCGCAATTGAATAAATTAAAACTATCGAAATTGATTTCTACTTATTACACTTAAATATAAGTCCTAGTAAATAAGACGTTTTTTTCTCGGATAATTTGGACAATTAAAGGATATTTTATCTATTAGTGATTAATTTTAATTAGTATTAAAATTAATAAATAAACTATATTTTATATACTTAATTAGTTATATTTTAATCAAAATTTATCAGAAAATTATAGCATTAACTTAAGCTGTGGAAAAAATGATCTTGGTTATATAATAGTATTTGAAATTTTTATTTTAAATGTAAAATCACGTAAAATTAATATATCTAAATATAAGCAAGATTAGAATTTTAAGAATCCATTTAAACTATGTCGCTTTAAAATAAAAAAATATAAATATATTACATAATTAATATACATAAAAACAAAAAATCATAATGTAAAGTAAAATATTCTTTAAGAAAGTTTTGAATATTAAATAACCATATTTAATAATAAAAAAATATGTCATTCATAATATTTAAAGTAAATATTGTAACCATATTTTTGTATCAATGTATTACTTTAAAATAGATATTTCATATTACTTTTCTAACGTTTAAACAATTTTATCATCGTAATAGTACATAGTAATTTAGACCTTTGATAATTATTAAATAATACATACATAAGATATATTTAAATAAGTTAAAGATATATATTAAACAAAATTATTATAAAATAAATTTTAACCTCCTACTTTTCACAAATAATAATATATACAATAAATAAAAAATAGTAGAAATAATAATTGAAATAAAAATATATTTATAATTTAAAAAATAGAAATGTTTTCATAAGGAAATTATTGTAGTATTGAGAATATATTAAGTAAAAATAATAATACCACTTCTCATATTACTTAAAGGTAACGAATAATAACATAATATGAAACTATTTATTAGTTGAATAATTAATATACATTACTTATTAATGAAGAAGGTAAAATTAAAAAAGTAAAGAAATGATATACAGTAATTTATTCTTTCTTTCATCTTATTCTAATCTTCAAATAAAATCTAAATTAAATCTTTAAATTAATTTATATTCGTTCAAATTCAATTCTTAATTAATTCTAAATTTTATAAAATCAATTATAATAAAATATGATTAACTCTTGATATGTAGTTATTATTAAGGTAAAGATTTATAATATTTCAAATTTAAATATTTAAAATATTTTTAATTTCGTTTAATAGTTAAATCATATTAACAAAATTTGAAATACTCTTTTATAATATATTATTTATTTAATTATTGGTAAATAATAATTTAAATAAATTATTATATAAAATGCGTATCTAAAGTAGAAATTTTTAGTTTAATTTACTGTAATGTATTATTTTATTAAAAATTAGAGTATACATTTTTAAAATCTTAATTATATACCTGTATTACATATATTTAAGTTACATAATAACATAAAACTTAAAGTATATTTAAAATTTGTAAATTTATTTTCAAAATTAAGATTGTATTAATACGATAATACAGTACAATTTTAAGTTAAAATTTTTCTATTGTACTGAATAATTGGTTTTTATAATTAAAATAAATAGAATATATAAAATTTAAAAATATTCGTTAGAATTATATGCATATAAGATAATCAAAAGTTGAATTTAGTTTTTTAGTTTAGAAATACTTCGGGTGTCCATTTTTAAAAATATTTTGCGGTTTTTAATTTATTCTATTATAGTATTGAAGTAGGATAAATTTTGCTTTTTTAGAACATATATTTTAAGATAGAATCCATATAATTATTATTTTTATTAACATTAAGTATAAAACATATTTCTTCGTTATTACATTAAATTTTATTTTGTGACATAAATTAAGTTATGAAGAATAAATAATATTAAATACCGATATAATGTATGCTTTACTAGTTTACTCATTACATGGTTGTTATAATATAAAATGGCAGTGTTGTTGCTACTTACACGGAAATATTTTATTTTAACATTTTTGTTCTATATGGTTGTATTATATTCTGCATTTATTTTATCGACTTAAATTTATTGATTTAAATTTCGATATTAAGAAAATTCAACTAATATAAGATTATCATTTAGTATCATTCGATAATAGATAGTTTTCTTAAGTGCCAAAATAAAAAAAAAAGTTTTTTTCAACAGTATTATAATATTTGAGTTTCTTAAAAGTATAACAAAATGATATTTCCTACTTTTTACAAATCAACGATTCGATGCATTCAGTAAAAATGTTAATTACACTCTTCGGACACAGTCTTGACTCACAGTCTTTGGATCTGATCAAGGAAATATATCATCCTTAGTATTTAATAATCTTTTGTTATTGTACAGGACAAGAGTTCAAATGTATATTGTGAAGTTCAGACATATCCGTCCAATCTCGTCGCTCTCCTCCAATCATAACATTACGTATGCAACCGATGAAATGATCTCGTGTTAGTAAAGTTCCTTTATGAGCCGTAACTAAAAATAAAAATAAAAATTATGGATTTCGCAAATTATATAGAACTTTGTATCTAACTTTTGTAGTGAATTACAAATATACACAAATATGTATAAAAAATATAATAAGGTAAATATAAAAAACTAGTATAAATTATTATTTATTTAGGTTCAAATTTGAATAATTTCTCTAAATTTTGAAACTTCATAGCAAAAATATTACAGAGATGAAATCTTACAAATAAAATATCTCAGGGATAAATAAAATAACTTGCATTACTACGATATTATGTATAACTAAATAAAAATTGAATAATATTAAAAATTGGTATTACAAGGTTTATACATTATTCATTTTACAGATATTTAATGAAAACAAAAAATTAATTTACTTTTAAATTAAATCATATTTTGAAATTTAATACTATTATAAACATTTAATTATTAAATATAAGATAAATTAAATTAAACATAATAACATTTTATTTAAAAATTTCAAAAATAATTTTGTTTATAATCAGTATTTATAGCTAATTAATTATATCTATTACCTGGTATTCCACCAATGTAAAGAGCATTAGTAATTATAGATCCTATAAAATGTTTATTGATGTTTGCTGGTAGTCCATATTTCTGATCCATTTCATCAACTTTTAGAGCAAGCTCTTCATTATTGTATATTGCTTGAATTCTATGCCATTTATTATCACAGATTGTGTAAGGATTACTGAATTCTTGTTCTACATAAAGGGCTTGATTATAACCAAAATCACTAGACATAATGATTCTGCCGTTATGTAATTCTAATGATAACGATTGTGAGCCTTCAGGTGTTGTTATGGATAAAAGTATACCTGTTAATTCTGATGTACGGAATTCCAATTGTAATTCTAGAATTGGACCAAGTTCAAAGTTCTTTTCTATAAATTAATTAAATATGTCCATTCAAAATTCTTTTCCATATATTATTTGCAAAGAAATAATATTAAGGAGTGATAGATAATAAGTATCACAATTAATTTACTTCTTTAAACATAAAAATTTCGATTAAATTTCAACACAAATAATTAAAGAAAAATAGTTACTGTAGATTGCATATGCTTCATCTTGAAAATATGCTCCACCTTCTATATTAGGAAAGCATTGGCCAACATTATAAGGACGACTAGTGGAACCAACCATATCATAAACGTTTCCATTGACTTTTAAACTTCTAATACAACCTTTGAGAGTTTCAACTTTAGTAACAACTTGTTCTGGAAGAGGTGTTCCACTTTCAGGTATACCACCAATATACATGACATTTGTTAATCCGATTTTTTTTGGCACTTTAATGGTTATAGGAGTTTGCGTATCAACAATCATTGTAAGCTTCCTGCCTCCGTGCCCAATTGTAACATGGTGCCAGTTACCATCATTGAAAGGTGTTCTAAATAAAATTTCCTTTTTTTGTTTACTTTTTATTAGAAGCAATAGTTGTCCGTCTCGAATTATAACTGCTAGGTAGTTTTTTATACGAATACCCTGAAAAAGCCATAAATTAAAAATGAAAGATTCTAATAAAATTTTTATTCTATTTAATTAGTTGTAATAAAACATACGTTCAGAATAAAATATTTATATTATTGTTAAAATCAATTTTCTTACCGGTGTTATAAATAATAAACCATTAGGGTAATATGTTCGAAAATCAAATTCGATGATTTTTTTTTGAAACCAAAAATTTTCAAAATTTAAGTACAGTTGAGTATGGCTTTGTGGTTTATCACCAAACTTGAGTGCACCGGGTTCCAATGAATAATAGGGAATTTTTTGACATCCTTCTGGTTGAATGGAGAGTCTTCTAGATGAAGCTGATAATAAGTAAGTAAGAGAATCCTTACCCATATGAGGACCCCTTCGACCAATAAATGCATGCTCAAACGTTATAGCATTTTCAAATCTTAGGATTGTGCTGTAACAGAAATTATTAAAACAAATAAAATTTAATGATAGAAATTAAAAAAATTATAATTATTGATATTACAAATCAAAATAATAATTAAATAAAAAAAGAAAATTTATTTGACAAAAATTAAAAGCAAATAATCTATTTATTTATATTAATAAAACCTACTCTTCATCAAATATAACATCTTTAATAGTTCCTTTCAAAGGTATATTAGTAGATACTAATTTTGTATTGTTGATTAAAGAAGGAAGTCCACCAAAATAAAGTCCACTCGATTCTGGTGCTTTAATTGCTGCACCTGTTGCAAGTTTTTTGCTTGTTTGATAAGCATCGTCAATTCTTAGTTCTACATCTTTTCTCTTTTTAGAGATTATAATTATATGGTATTTTCCGTCATTAAAAGTACTATTCGATTCAAGAATAATTTCTCCTTTACCATTGTTGAGACGAACTTGTATGCGTCCTTCTATTACAGCTATAGAATAATAATTGTCTTTCTGGAAATATTATACATATAAATTTTTATTCTATTAAACAAATTTAATTTTTAGTTATTAATATTATGTTTTTGCAAAATACTTATGTATATGTATTTTTATATTTCAATGAATTATTAAGAATACTAACAATTAATTGAAAATGACAGTAATAGCATAGAATTATTTTGTAATGTTCTAAAAGAAAAGCTGATGGAAGATGATATTTTACGAAGTTGAAAGCCTGCATGTTCTATATATCCATTTCCATAAAAGCCAACTATATGCATAGGCTATAATCAATAAAGAAAATACAATTAATAAATACAAAAAAAAACAACTAAAATAATAAAAAAAATTAGAATAAATATGTTACTTTATATTTTGCCTATGCTTTTAAAATAAATGTGAAAATGATATAACTATACTTACTTTATTTCTACAACCTAGCTCAACACCATAATATTGCTCAGCCATTGGATCATAGCCCTCTTGTACAACGATATTGGACATACATCCCAGAAATGATATCTCCGTTGGAAGAACAAAACCGTCTATTCGAAAAGTTGGAGGCACACCCCCTATGAAGTATTTGGCGTTCGATAGATCAGGTATGTCTTCTTTTAGAGGCTGAGGTGTAGGAGCACCAATCTTTTTGTCGTTTTCTCCATTAACACTGAAACTGCACTTTTCAGTATTTTTGCGATCTTGATACTGTCGAAATGCATCGATCTTTGTCCAATTACCAGTATTATAACGAAATGATGAGGACATCTCCATACTGATATTATTACCATAAACAATGTGTAAAATTACATGACCTTCTCGTAGAAAAATAATGATATAACTGTTTGGCTAAAGCATACAATGAAAATTTTTTTTTAATATTTTTAGTATGAAAATATTTTTAAAGCTATAGATTAACTTACATTGTCAGGATCAATAGCAAGAAAAAGTATCGCATTTTCATCAAAAGTTTTGAAATTAATTGATACTCCAAAAATATATTTATTATACGGACCCGACATTACACGAGTTCTTACTGCATAACCATCACCATTAAAACTATAAGCAACATCGTTATTCAGACTTTCCACTCTACAAAAAATGTAATATGATGTGTTCATCAAATAATTTAATAATTACATGTAAATAAATTTACACACGTGCGTATCACACACGCAGAGTTCCATACAATAACATGAATTATAAGTCACAATTAATAATATTACCCTTCTACGCAGGGCTCGCAAGCATTATCAGGAGCATTACTTATAAAATTCCAGAGTCCCAACGGCTTATCATTTAATATAACTTGATGTATACAACTTGGTAGGCCATTAGAAGCAATTAACTCAGGTGGTCTCATTTTTAATTCTGCTAAGCCTCCGAGCCATACGTGATCCACTGAAGATATATCGAAACGTCCAAATTCAGAACTAGTTTTATTACTCACTGGCGAGTACTCATTGGATTTTGTTAACTGCTTGCTTACACTGAGTTTTCCTATATGTTTAATTCTAAACAATAATTATTAATAATTTAATATATAAAATTTTTAAGAAGAATCGTTAAAAATAGTAAAAATATATAATACAATTTTAATTCACATTTTATGACATACCTTTCTGCATTGATTCGATACCATAATGTGTCGTCTTCAGGATTTCCACCTTTGAGGATCTCAGGATGCGTTATTATACCAGTACCACCACCAATGTTCCAAATGAATCTTATTTTACGTTCAAACATTTCCAGTGCAACATAGTCATCCTAATTAAAATAAATATTATAAAATATATTCATAAAATAGACACATAAATAATCATTGCCATTATATTAAATGTTTAAAATATCTTGGACATTGTTTTGCAATATATTAGTTATATTCAAAATATTGCATAATATTTTAAACGCTAATGAATTATCTATAAGCAAACAATGTTGATGAAATTTTGAAATAATGAAATTTATTTTTATATAAACATTTCAATTTTAATTACAAAAATGTTAAATTGTTACGTACATTTATAATACTAGCAAGGTAAAATAATATGCCTTCTTTTTCATTATGAGGAATAGAAATAGTCATCATTAATGTTGTAATTGAAGATGGTTGTATATCTTTTATTCTATAAGATCTTATACATTTTTTTCCTTCTGCAGATTTTACGGAAATACGAATCTAAAAAAGATAACATAATTTAGTTAAATACATTCAAATAGTTATAATTTATAGATTTAATGAATTCTTAAATACGCCATCTGCTGTATTTCTTGCTTCATTGATTTTATCTTTTAAAATTTGTAATTTAGAAGCTAAAGTTCCATTCCACTTATCAAATTCTGTTTGACGCTTTATCGATGCAAGTGCCAAACTTGTCAGTTTTGCATCTGCCCATTTAATGTTGCTTTGGGCTTCTGCAACTGAATCAAAGCAAATAAAATAAATTTAATATTACATTATTTTATTTTACAAGATTCTAATCAACTTTGCTTTCCCTTACGTTTTTCACTAGCAAGACTTATTTTTGAATCACCTTCACGTTTCAATTCTAGAAATTTTGGATTTAAAATCTCTTTAATACCTTGCTGGTACCTTTCAATGAGTTGTTTTGTTTCGAAAATAGAACTGTCAGTTTCTATATTTTCATTTAAAATGTCATTTAATCTTGTTTGTACTATAAATGTATAGAAAATTATTTATTATTATTTTATTAAATAGCCCTATTTGGTACAACTAAAATGTATGTTAATAGATTAAAAATGATTTTATTAAATTTATAAATGAAACTGCTATATATAAGTTTTAATTTTTTAACTTACAGTTACGACTGCCACTTTGCAGTTCTCGTAATTTTACATTAATTTGATTGTCCTTGTTTCCTGTAGTGTTTAAAGAATATTTTAACTCCGAGACTGATTGCTTTTGATTTTCTAATTGATTTTTTGCTTGTGTGATTGGTCGATCATAATTTTTTGTCATTTCTAATTGTTCAGATGATCTTATTTCAACACCAAAAGCAATATCTGGTAATAAATTTGAATTAGGACCATTGGAATATACCTTTAAATAGTAAAATAAATTCTCATAGTTAATTAAATAAATCTAATTTCAATGAAAAAAATAACGATCTATTATTATATTTTACGAATTATCTTGATTATCTAGAATCTTAGAATCTAGAATTATCTAGAAAAATGTTTTCTAGTTAATAAATCGTAAGTTTCGATAAATTAAAAATATTGTATTACTATTTAAAATGATTTACTAATATAATAAAATTTAACAATATTTATATCAAAATTCACTAATCGATTATTTAAAAAAAAAATTTATTCAATTATTTCCGCAAATTCTACAAATATTATTCGATTATTTCCGCGAACTCGAAAAATATAATTTTATTAATTATTTACATTGATTTTAACAAAAACTGATAATTAAATGTAAATTCAATAAAAATGATACCATTTTAGTTACATCATCAATAATTTTGTTTGCACTGTTAGCAGTTTGTTTTGCTTCTATTAATCCTTGGACAATATTTTTATATGCTTGACTTGCTTTAAGAGGATTAGCTGCTTGAGCTCTAGTTTCCGAAAATAATCTAAACAAATAGAAGTTTTTTCTTTTAATTAAATTATTTACAATAATTTTCATTATAAAGTACATACCCAACGTATTGATCTACATAATCAGAGAGACTTTGTGCATGAATTATAGCTTGAATAACATATTTGTTTTTATATTCATAATTTAATCGGTATAAAATTTCTTCTTTTGTCGAAAGATTATTCGTTGATTGTAAAAGCTTCTCTTTGACTTTCGGAATGCTCTAAATTTAAATAAAATATTATACTTTATGTTATAGAATAATTTTATAATATTAAATTATATAATCTTATAAATATTAGATAAATTTCATAATTAATTAATAATATGATTCATGTTAATTTTTATTGTTGTTAATGAAATTAAAATGTACCTTTAAATTATTTTCATTATTAATAATACAACTTCTTGCTTCATCAATAAGAATTGTTTCTTTATTAATCGATTCCATAATTGTAGTGTTTATTTCGGTAATTTCCTCTCGTTGATATGACAAAATATCATAAGTCATATTTATTTCATTATATAAGGTATCGTAGGAAAACATCGTTTCCATTGTGTTTTCTATATTGTTCATCGTATCTTTTAATTTAAGCGAATATTTTTTACCTTCTTCTTTGACTTTTGTAATGGGTTCCATTGATATAAGTAGTTCATTAAACCAATCCAAAAATTTTGAGCATTCTCTGTTATAAAATAATATATCTTTTGAATAGTAAAATAAATTTTAACAATTATACGAAAAAGATTATTTAACTATGTACTTATTAAAATTTTGAGCAACCTCCGTTCTTTTTGGTAAATCAAGAAATTTCATATTATTTAAAATCTGCTTCGTTTCTTTAAAAGTCTTTGTAATTTCAACTTTTTTATCGTCGTTTTCATAGTATATGAGTCCAGAAACAGTATCTATTAACGCAAAGTTTAATTCATAGTTTATAATTTTAAAAAGGATACATAATAGCTTTTAATGAAAGATCTATAATTTTACCATTTAACGCTTTTTGTAATGATTCAATTTCCATTTTCAAACTATATTCATTATTTTCTATATCACCGCTTTGCCACTCTATAATTCGTGCCTCATTTGTCATCTCGATTGTCTATAAATATTAAAAATAAAAATGTTGAATAATTATTAAAAAGAGAAATTATTAAGAAGAGTTAACAAATAATTACATTAGTTAATAAAGTTCCAACACTTTTGGAAAGAAAATCATAATTTTCCCAAGGCATATTTTTTAATTTTTTCTCAATTTGAATTTTCATTTCGACTTCTTTAAATAAAATTGTAATATTATCGTCGTAGTAAGCCAGTTCTTCCCAAGGAGGTGCAATGTAACCATTGAAAACATGTGTTGTTGCATTAATCAATTTATATTTCAGCTCTTTTATATCATCCAAAAGTAGTCCAGTGCAATTGTCGTTGCATGCTATATATTGAAAAAATAATTATAATGAAAAAGCTAATGTCAATGATAATAATTTTTAGCATTAATTTGTATACCATAATATAATTTTAATATTTATAACAATAAAATTTCAATATATATAATATAATTTAAATATATAATAAATGATTAACTTTGCTTAACATAATTATAATATATTATATATTAAGTTAAGAATTTCCAAGTTTGCTTTTTGAAAATTTTTTTTGTTTGAAAGCAATTTAAAGTAATGTTGTAATTAAAACTTGTTTTAATATAACACTTATTTTTTATACTTCGTAATAAGAAATAAGAATTTTTATTCCATACACATGCAGTTAATGCCGATAAAAACGTGTCGCTTTTGAGTACATTGGGAACAATCCCGACCCGTTGATCCGGGCTTGCAATTACACTGCCCGGTCTCGATATCGCATTCGTCGCTCGCACTACCTGCGGTGTTGCAACGACAAGGCGTGCAAGTACCTCCAGGTATTGTTGGAAAGCCGTAGTGACCGTAAGCGCAACGCTCACAACGTGTCCCGGTATAGCCTATAATGAATGTAAGGAAAGCATCGTATGAGTAAGAAAATAATCGTAAAACTGATAGACATCCTTTTTCTCTCTTATATTAAATAATATTATTAGTTTTTGCATCTTGATGGTAATGGTAGCCAATCGGCCTTATATGACTTCAGAGCGCTTTAAAACTTGTAGACCACATTGTATTGACGCTCGAATACTTAATGTACGTATAAGATTGCTAGTATTTTATAGTATTATGAATATTAAAAAAAAAATTGTAGCTGTAGTAAAGGGCACTGTTTCATTTTGAAAATATATTAATTTATATAATCATATATATAATTATAAATAATTAAAAATTTACTAGTTTTATGCAAATTATTTAAATATTTTTATAATTGAATTAGGTATTAAAATATTTTTAATATTTTCTAATTTATAATGCTGGAAACAAAGATTTATACTAACCTAATTTACATATACAAGTGATTTCATTATCTGATTCTACAATACAACTATTTGAAAATTTTTTATCAGTTTGCGGGCATGGGCATTCCTTGCAACTACTAAAATTTGGATCGCCATAGAAACTTTCTGCACATATGTCACAGCCAAAGCCAGCTGTATTTTCTCTGCAGTTCTAAAAACATTATCTTTATTTGTTTATTTACTAGGTTTATTTAATGATAATTGTTTACACTATTGTATATTTCGTATTGTATATACACAATAATCATGTTATGTTTATATAAAAGCATAATATTTATAATTATGCTAAAATAAAGTCATTTAAAAATAAGTAAAAATACTTATACAGTTGTTAAGTATTTAAAAGTAACATTATTAAGAACAACGATCATTTATAAATGTAGATATATTGAATACGCGTACATACATATGAGTATTTGTACGTATTTAGTTGCACACATTTTTTATTTGTATGCATATATATTTATAAGTAATTTTATTAAATTGAATTCTTACTTTTTAAATATTTTTATAAATAATATAATTTATATTTAAACATTAGCTTAGAAAATTTAATAAATAACTATAGTTTATAATTGATCTCAATAGAAATAAATTAATATTTAATATAAATAAACTTGTATTCTAGATACAGTTAGTAAAATTTATTCTATAAACGTCATAAATTTGGAATAAATTAATTTTATTACATTTTTGTATAACGTATGATATAGACATTAAATATACAATAACATACAATTTATTTATAATAATTAGCATACAATATATGAAAAAGAAGTTATTTCTAAGAAGAAAATAATGGCTTTTAAAATAACAAGTAAATCAATTGTTACTTTACTATAAACAATTACCAGGCAATGTCCCGTTTCGAGATCACAGATTTCAGTTCTTCCATTACATTGACAGGGCTTCGCGAGGCCTACAAGCTCAATGTAGTTATTTGTATTTGTGTTGTTATTATTGTGCCATCTATAGTATCCCCAACTAGGGTTCTGACATGATGTACCATTATATTCTTCAGGACAGTCACATTGTTCGATACCGATGGCGAGTGGAGGCGAATGAATAGCTGTTGGAACAGCAGCGTCCATTGACGCTTCTAATAAACTAAAGGGATTACGAAATTATCTACTTCAGTTTTTTAACTAATTAATAATTATTTTTCATTATCCATGATCGTTTATTTATGATTTTTAATTATTTAACTTTTTTAAAATACTCATTAATATTGAGATTAATGATATAATCCAATCATATTTCTTAGATTGATAGGTACAATTATTGAATTAACCAATTTTTAAATCTTACTAATGTTTATAAAAATGTTGAAGTATACTTTCTAAATATAGTTTATAAAGGTTCAATCTTTTCTTGTAATACAATGTTTCTTGCACTTATATTTTTTTGATAAATATTTTTACTTATGAGTAATGTTTCATAAAGTCTAATTAATAAATTGTATTACATTAATTGCCCAAAAGATTGTTATTATCATTTAATGTGCATAAATTCATTTCCTTTATATTTAATCAAGTTTCCTTTTCAAGTTTATTCTCTTTATAAATTATAATTAATTTAAAATGTTTTTGCTACGAGTATTATATATAATATTATTTATGCCACAATAAAGTACTATAAAAAGAATACAAACTATATTACACATAACTACTTTTACTTCTATATTCGCTATACATATTCATTTAGTTAATAGACGTGATTCTTAATAATATTTCATGTATATGTAGGAGATGGATATAATATGAATTTCTTTGATACTTACATTGCTTTTGTAAAGTTTGTAAAGTCAGATACTTTCACAAAAATATGTTGTATTTGTTGCAAAACTATCATTAAAATTTCTCTGGTAATTTTAAAATCTGGTTTGTTTTTCAAATGCCACAACGATTCATGAAACCTTTTAGAATATCGTGTAAAAAATTATAAAATTCAGAATAAATATTGAACTTCACTTTATATGAAATTTTATGATACATAACGAACTAATTACCTTGCAATGTAGTAACTATCATTATTTGCTTTAAGTGGAAAATATTCTAAAATAATTCCATTACCCTGTAACTGAACTTGAGGAAATTTGAGTCCCGATCGTAATATATATCCACCTTCGGTTATCGTTGTAAATCGAAGGAATCCATTATATGATATAATCTTCAAAAAAATGCACATACTTATATCTCTTTATTTTTAATTTAATATTATATAATAGTTCATCCTTACTTTGTCTTTAAAAAAGGATTCAGGTAGTTCCCAATAAATAGGAAACTCACGATTAAAAATTATGGGTAAAGTTACATTTCCATCTGTTCCAGGAATAACAGAAAGTGTATTTATTTTATTTAATTTGCTGATAATGGATGGTAAATTTGCTGAAGATCCATAATTGGTAATCTATAACAAATTTTACAAACCTGTTTTAAGCTATGTGTACTGTAGTTTCTATTATATATATTAGAGTGATTGTAAACCATGTGTATTATTAATATTACATATTAATATTATAAATAGGATTTTATAACATTTTCGTCAAATGATAAATTAAAAAAAAAATAGTAATAATAATAATAATACTTATTCTTCATTGAATTAGTAAGTATTTTCTTATTTATATATTTTAATGAGTATTTAAATATACTAGTATCTAATTTTAAAAAGTAATATCAAGTAATATTTTAATTTCAACTTTTATAAAAATATTTTTTATTCTATAAATGTAGAAAAGATATTGTTTAATCTATAACTTATTTTTATTTTAAGTGTTGTATATTGAATGTCATGTTTTTTATTTAGAGAAAAAAACTCCATAATCAAATTTTTAAGATTCATCTATATGAATAAATAACTTAAAGATAAATATGATAATGAAAGCTAAACATATTGCTATTTTAAATACAATTTTTTGAATTTTAAATAAACGAAAGATCATGCACTGACTTACAACAGCATCGGTAATAGTATCATTCATGTAAATAACACGAGGTCTTAGTAGTCTTCGTTGTCCCCAACTGAGATTAGCTTGTTGACATATACTAGTTCTGCCGAAGCAAAAGCATTCGGTGCATCCTTTTGAATTATTGGCTGAGAGTCCAAATGTTCCCATCTTGCATTGATTGCAGCGTTGTCCAATTACGTTAAACTTAGGAAAAATAAAATATTATTTTTAATTAAAGATTATGAAATTAATATAAATATTTAATTATTGGATAGTATATATTTCGTGTTCTGTATTAAAGATCATGTTTTATATTTTTAATGAAAAAATTATTTTGTGAATAATAAACTTATCAAATTATTTATATATTATTTGCATATAGTTTATGTATAATAACAAATATTTTTATTTAAGTAAGTAAACTTAAATAAATTTTACGTTTATAATATCCTCAAATTTACCTTGCAAGGACATTGACCCTTATCATTACACTCGCCGAGTGAGCCCCGAGGATCACAATTGCAGGGCTTGCAGCGAGGGTAATCATAGTGTCCAGGTGCACAGCGATCGCATCTTCGACCATTAAAGCCCTCATGGCAGGGACACTGACCATCGAGTTGGAAACACTGTTGCTTTTTCGAGCCCAAAGTACTACAGTTACAAGCTCGACAGCCTAGGCCCGGGCGCAGATCGTAGGTACCTGGTCGACATCGATCGCAGCGCTCGCCCAAGGTCAGGCTCGGGCAAGAGCAACGTCCGTTCTTTGGATTGCATACATGCCCTGGTCGATCGCATGGCTCACATCCTGCAATTCATGTTAGTTCATGTAAATTTAAAAAATTCTGAAAATGATTGAGAAATATCTCCGGTTTGCCACTTGTCTTATAACCGCTTAAATATTATTATTAAAGTAAAAGAAAATTTATTTTAAAAGTTATAAAATATTCAATTAAATTGTAAAATACATAAAATATCTGATTTTTATATCCTATTTATGTTGATTATATTCAATCAAAGATAACGTAGTTTCAATAATGAAGCCATGTATTAGAAGTTATAGAATATATGTAGTGACAAGCAATAATTCTATTTTTAACTATTGAGTATAAATGAGTTAATAGTAGCTTTTTTGTTTTAATTAATTGTCTTATTTTATTTGTTATTACTCAAATTTTCTCACTCACGTAGAATATTTTTAATCTATAAATTGTATTTCTACAACCCAAAATCAATCAATATATCGTAAGCTTTTATAAGAGATAAAGTAAGGTATTGAAAGATTGAACAAAATAAAGGGCTTTGAAAATTATATAATTTACGTAAAAGAAATTTGCTTCAATATAATACAGATAATTTATCGTAAAATAATTTTAAGTCACTCGAAATATTTTTTCGTTTTTATTACTCTTAACTTTCGACTAATAAAATTTGTACTTTAAAAATAATTTAAATATAGTGTAGGCATCTCACTATACTAATGCATTTTTATTATATTAGAATATATTTAAAAATGTTATTAAAATAAATAAATTATTATGATAAATAATCAGAATAATACAAAGTATTTACAAATTTACATATAATAAAAATCTATTTAATATTATTCATACCGATAAAATTATTTTTATTATATTAATGTTATTTATTATTCAAATTTTTATTATATACGCACACCTTTAGGTATTATATATATTCACAACCATTTCAATGTGTAAATGTGTAAAAACGCAGCTTCTACGTATGCAAGTTATTCATTATCTTACGAATTTTTTCTTGTACATTTTACACCTTATTTTTAATATAAAAACAAATTTATGTACAAATATATTATTACAATATATATATTTTTTAATAATATATAAACTATCATATAATTTTAGTAATAAAATTACTATGTAAATAAAAAACATTTGCAACGGAATAGTCATTATAATTTTATAATTCTAATAATAATATTATGCACTACAACCATTTCATATATGATGAATTAATAATTATACTAGAATATTAAATTATACAATATCCAAAAAATAATTCGATTAAGCAGTTACAATGCAATATAAATGATGTTCCACTAAGTAATAAGTGTAAGGATAAGAATAAAATGATATTTGTGTTAAAGCTTACGTTGACAGCCATTATGAGAAAATCCAAAATATCCTGAAAGACAGGAATCACAATGTAGACCACCAATCCCAGGTTTACAATTGCATTGCCCCGTGAGATCATAACAAGACTTGCCGTATGAACCCAAAGAGTCACACTCGCAAGGAGTACATCCAGCTCCAGTGGTCAAACCCCAATAATCCGGCTGCAAAAATCAGTAAAACTAATTCAAATGATGCTATTGAGTAACTTAAGAATTTATACTTGGAAATCATTTAAACAAATTTTAGAGATGTTTTTATAAAAAATAAATAACTATATATATATATATATATTATAGTGTGCATTATACTATATTATTTAATAATATTTTTAGAATTTTTTTATACAATTAACTGAGTATGAAGTGAGCATACTGTAATAGTAATTAGTAAATCAAAACAATTACTTACTAAGCATTTGTCACATTGTTTACCGATAACATTTACTTTGCATAAACAGTTTCCGGTAATAATATCACAGGAAGAAGACGTTGCTCCTAAAACATTGCATCCGCAGACTGTAATAAATGATTAAAAACAAATGAAATAATAAATTTAATTATTTATTGCTGTGAAGTAAAATTAGATAATTACAATTCTTAATTCAATTTAGGATTATATACAGTTCTTAAATCGTATATAACGATAATAAATCAATTTGTAAAATTCAGATATCAGTAATATCTAACAAAGAATAACCTTTTAACTTCTATTTACTAATACTATTAAAGACTAATAAGTAAGGGTTGACTAATATTTTAGTAATTTATAAAAGGATTATTTAGAATATTTTGAAAATATAAAATAATATTTAGTAAGTTTTCAATTTATAAAAGAATACGTTATTATAATTAAATATCGTAAATAATATGCGTAAAGAATACCATGTTATATTAATTGTTTTATTTAATCTCATTGATTAGTAGTAATTAATAAGTTTTGTAAAGTTAATTATACTTTGTTAATTATTTAAAAATTTGGATTATATTCACGAGAATCCAGAAAATTTGTTTTAAGTGGATATATGTATAAAGTTCGCAATTTCGAAAATGTTTATATTATAAATGAAGAAGATCAGCAAGAATATGGACTCATACAGAAAATTGTAAAAGAGAAACTGGGCAGGCGGTAAAACGAATCTCAGTATCGTTAAGAAACCTTAAGTCGTTAAACAATGGCAACATAATGCTTATTCAAAAAGTTGTTTAGGCAATCGGTAGAACTAAACTTAGTATGGTATCACAATGTAAAGGGAATGCTTGCAAAACTTTATATTTGAAATAACATATGATATTGAAAAAATACTCAATGACAATTATTGAAAACCGACTCATTAAATCTCAATTTTTACGGTAGAATCACAATTTCTATATGTATTTCCTTATTAAGGACTCTCTTAATCAATTATTCTATTATGTTTCAATATTAAGACGTGACTACACTAATTAATATATAAGTACGATCAGTTTTACCGATCAGTAGCGGTCGGTTTTATCTAGATCAAAAATAATTTCTCTGAATCGGCATACCAATTAACTTTTATCTCTGCAATATATCTATTGGTACTTTTGGTTCTAATATATTTTCAGCGTGTTAATTGAAACGAAATATAATTCATGAATAATAAACTTCATGGTCAAACGATGCTTGGTACAGTATTTCCAAATTACTTTGTTAAATTATTTTTGTAAATAAATTATACTTTGTAAATTATTATTAAAGATCAAATTATCTTTATTTTGGTAAAAAAAATACATTGTTTAGTTTGATATACAATTATTTTAAATATATCTTTATATTAAATTTCATTTTATTCATTAAAAGCTTTTTTTAAATTTTTTAATTATTATCATGAAATAAAGTTGATATAAAGTAAGGGTTTGTTTTATGGGTCGAACTGCCAATTCAATAGGTCAGTGGATTAGTCTCTCGTCATGATAACTTAAAAGGAAATAATAAGTGGAAGGGCTGAAAAATATTATGTATTATGTATTTTAGTAAAACAATGTTTATTATTTTATTAAATATTATAATAATATTGCACTGTTATTAAGAGAGAAGATTATTCTATTGTAGTAATGAGGGTGTTTCCTTGTGTTCTTGATTATCGTAGATTCTATGGATATGACTGTGTATCTTGAAAGTTGAGGTTATGCTGATGTGAACATTAGCTGTGTAGTCAATCAAACTCACGAAGTAGCATGAGAAGATGATGTTTGAAATGAAGTATGCTTGGTGAAAAGAATGATCATACTTGATTGAGTGTAAAGTCTTGATTGAAATTGGTGCGTAATCAATTAAGTCTTTAGTTATTTATGGGAGCAGTAGAATGGTTAGTCATACTGACGAGTCATGATTACAAGCCTTTGAGCATTGAAGACTTGATGAAAATGTATTTATAGTCGATTATTCGAGAAATTGTTGTCTGTCCTTGACAACGTTATTGACGTATTGCGTCACTTCTCTCGACTATTTGAGCGGCTGTACGGTGTTCGAAGTGTTAGTTCGAGATAGCGTAAGTTTACCCGTGTGACTAGCTTTATATTATTTAATAATATAAAGAAATGTACCTTTTCAATTGCCGACAAGGTATGTTGAATTACTGCGTGGCTGATGTCCCTTTTTATTACGATTCCAATTGGTTTCACTGTAAAATCACTACCTAATCCTTTCCTTTTTCCTTTCCTTTTAGTAATGCACGTGTAATTTTAGTAGGCTGCCGAATATGTGGCCACGTGTCATTGTCACAGTATATACTAAAACACTGAGGGGTAATAATAGTTAAGTGAGCGCGAGGTAGAATTACAATGAGCTTTTATGACTTTTGAATACGCGCACGAAGGCTTGATCGTTCCGTGGCGGCTCTGCTGAAAATACCGACCGTTCCATGGCTGTCCTGCTGAGGGCAGAGCGAGACCAGTGCTATGGCTTCTACTGATAGAGGGTTAGATCGACTCACTGCGACCGGGTTACGGCAAGATGTTAGCAGCAAGCGCAGTTCAGTAAGTGGTAGCTTCAGCAAGGGTGGTTCGGCAAGAGATGTTTAGCAAGAGAGCAGGGTACGCCGCGTGCTTGCCTTATATATCCACGCGGCGGCTCACTTAGCTGGCAACAAGGTATCGTAGTTGCTGCACTGGAATCTTATATGAGGCGTAGAAAGAAAAATCTAGAAGTTTCGAGAATTTGACGAAAGAAAAAGTAGGGCGTAATACATTGACACCTCAATGTGTCATTGGTACCTAATCAAGTATCTTCTTAAAAATTAATGTAATGTAAGTGTATAAAAAATATTTTCTGCTACTATACATAATAGAGCATTTCAGTTATTTTACTGGTTAAAGTCATCGAGATAAATCGATTGCGTGATTCAGTAACTGTACAGGGGACAGTTTTCGGAAAGTGAAATGATAATGCGCAAATTTGAGAAAATAATTAATAGACAATCTTTATTACTCTTTATTACAAACTTTATTCATTAATATTTGTATTTATAAATGAACTATTACATTAATTTGAAATCAAGACTACATTTTATAAAATAATTATTTCAATTCCACATATGCTTAGCTCAATTTTTCGAAGTAGGTATTCAACTATGCTGAATTTAGATCAGATTTTTATATTATATTAGTAACAGATATTGTCTGAAAAAATTATTAAATGTATTTTAAAATTAAGTAATTTTAATAAAAATAATAATTAAACGATAAAATAATTTTTATATAAGATATAAAAAAAGCTATGCAGAATAATGCAATTTTAAAGAAAATTATTAATACAAATTATAATTCCAATATAATTTTGAAAAAGGTGAAAATCTTTTTATAAATCGCTTGTCAAAACCGTTTATTAGTACTTCCAACACATAGCAAAGTAATGTCTTGCGTGAGACTTTCAATGTACTTAAAAAATAACAAAACAAAAATAAAATATGAGTAAAGTAGATAAATATTCAATATATTAAATTCTTTTGGAATTATATTACAATCTTTCTTATGATGTTTTAAATTTAAAATACAAAATAAAATGTAAAATATTTTTTAATATAAAGAGATATAAAACGAAGATAACTTAAACACTAATGATATTTAATATTTATACGATAAGAATATTAAATTCATATTTCTACAATAACAAAGTGACATATTTTTCAATTTTAAATATGAAGAAACTTCATTATATAAAATCTTGTTCTAATAAATTCTTATAAAAAATGAATATATCAATGATAAGTGTCAAAGGATCATATGTATAAACACTTCCTTAAGCACTTTATTTGATAAATATTCAATTACCGATTTTGAAAAAAACATTTTTTATATACAATACATTTATAATTAAAAAAAAAATTATTCATTAAAAGAAAAAAAATGTTTCGTTATACTTGAATCTATTGTTGTTTATTTATTGTAATAGTCTGATATTAAATCAACGATCTAGTTGCAAATGGAATACATTTATTGTATACACGTATTAGTAACTGATATATGTAGAATGTACATATAAATCATAGATTTTTTTTATTTTATCAAATATTTGGATGCTCATCGTTATAGAAATTAAATGAAAATATGATACCAATAAGATTTTATTTTAAAGTTTATTGTAAATTAATAAATGAATTATTAGATTAATTTGGAGTGAATCACATTAATAACCTATTATTAAAGCCAAACTAACTCATATATAGTGTAAAATGTTGATTACTTAAAAAAATTTCCCCAGAACCTTGAGAATTTGAACTGTATTTATTTAAATCTGATCGTTATAAGATTTTATAATAACGCATTCTTTATTAAATAAAAATTATTTTTTGAAAAAGTTTTTTAAGAACTATATTTTAGATATTTTATAAATAAAAAAATCATAAAATTCCAATTAAATATAATTATATAAGGTTTTTAATTAAAGTGGAAGAGTTTATAACAATTTTTCATTTTTCGTTCTTTCTAATTATATAATCAATTTTAATGTATACCGTACACACACACATATACAAAAATTTGTAACTTGAATAATAAATTAAATAATATTCATTTTTTCGTTGTTTTTTATTATTAATTATAAAACTATAATTTTTTGAAAATCGTAAACTAGTATATTAATGTATAATATACATATACAAAAATAGAGTCAATTTCAATAAAAAATGTTCTTGAATTAAATAATAGACAGAAAAGATAAAGTTTATTTATTATAAAAAGATATTCATATAAACTAATGTAATAAAAATAATTATATATTCTAAAAAAATTATACGAACAAAATTATTTCTCAACACTGTAGAAAATATGAAATATTTTATGGGTTTCAATAGATTTTTATTTTAATGCGCACGGATTAGAATATTTTTGGTTATGATTACATGAAGTATTAAATGACATTATTGTCTGCAGTTTGTCATATTAACTGAAATATGTAATTAGCTAAGACGTGACAAACTAAAATTAAAACATATTAGTAAAATGAAAGTGCATATTCTGAATAGTTATCATTTATTGAAAAATACATATTTTCTTTAACTTTGTTATAAATTGATAAAATGAATAGAAATAAATTAAATAACATGGAATAATCATATTTCTATTTAATTTATAATTCAATTACATATATTTCTAACTATATCATTTACACGAAGTATAAGAAGAATGTATAAGTTAGTAAAAAATAATTTAATAATAAATCAAATTTAGCATAGTATGTACTGTTATAAAAACAATTAATAAATGCAATTGATAAGTATACTACACTGAAATAAATTATAGGAAAATATCAATGTATAAGTTATATGAATCATTTTTAAATAGAATAACAAATTTAAGCATAATTAGCATTCATAAATTGTATTATAAAAAAGTATACACATTACATTTATTCAAAATTAAACTTTTTAAAATTGTAACTAATTGCGTGATTTTTAATAACTTAGAGAAATTTTAATGAAAAAATAATGGAACTCGAAACAACTAACTTTAATTAGAGATTTAATGGAATAATCATTAAAAAATAATAATCCTAAAATTATGAATTAATAGGAATTGTTTTTTAATTATAATTTAATTGCATATAAATACAATTAAGACTTTATTGTTTGAATTTACTACAGTAATTATTGAATTATATGTAAGTTTATGTTATTCATTCTCCAATTATGCTTTATCACAACTATTTTCAATTTGATCGTTGAAATACTACTCAAGTATTTATGGTTAGTAAGACGTTTAAATTCATTTTTATAATTAAAAACGTGAGCTTTTAACATCGAAACATGTGGTGTATTTTATTGAGAAATTATAAAATACTATTAAAGATATAAATATATGTATTTATAATTTTGTAGAATTTGTAATTATATTTTTGATACTTTGAGTTAAAGCAAACGTTTAAGTTGATGAGTACTTTAGAGTAAAGATTAGATGAACTTGCGGATGATTGAATCTTATAATTGATTCGATCATCATACACCCAAATACAGCGTAACTCACATTTCTGATGGACCCCGATCTGCATCTTTAGTTGAGGTTTTAAGTAGATGTAAGCCTTTGGCTTTATAGAAGCGGTATCATATTCCTTTTGAGTTTCGCCCCTAAGGGATAGGACACGATTAACTTGATTCAGGTCTGATCGTCAACGCAGAAAGACGTTATTACCTTTGGCATAGCGTAGAAACCCCCAATATGAGTCGACATTTAGAAGGCTCAAAAGGAAAAGCGCGAGGTTGAACGCAGTACGGCTTAATACTGATTTTTGATGCAGCATAGTGAATTTTCCACATACTCAGTCGATTTGCGCTATTTTTAACGCATTTGTCTTTAAAAGTCGTTACCTTATTTCCATTGGCTTTGCTCATTTCTTTCTCGATTTCATATATTTGAATTTTATAGAATTAGGATTCACTTCATCTTAAATCCGAAATTTAACTATTTTGAATTTCGCATGTATTTATGAATACACTATTATCAGAGGATCATACCGTTAAATTTACGCACCATAATAATACCTGTGTATTTTAATTAAAGCATTAATGCAAAAACATTCTCATCATTTTACCTTGTTACATTTTACATTATTAGTTACTAGAAATGTAGACGCAACAAAGTTAATAAAAAATTAATGAGACATTATTTTGTTCACCTTTTTGGATGCCAGATATATCAATCAAGAGGATTAATTCTTATGTAATTGCTGCACATAATAATTTACATATCATTTACTTTTGTATTTTATTTTTTCGTTTCTGCATATGTAAATTATTATCTATTGTTAGAATTTATAATTTAATATTAATAAACCTTACGTTTATTATATATAGTTTTAAAATATTACATTATCCGTAAATTTTAAGGTTTTTAATTTTGTACTAAAGTAAACAAATTATTTCTTGTAGAGTATCACAAAAGTGAGGTAAAGTAAAGTACTAAAAGATCATCAGAAATATAACTATAAATCTAACGTAATCTAAATTAATATAATTATTACTGTATAAACTAATTTTTTATAATTGTATAATGTTTTAACTACAAATATTTATAACTGTATAAATAATTCATTGTTAAGCAGTAACAAAATAATATTTGTTCACATATTTACTTAAATGTTATTTTAAAAAGAAATATTATAGAATTAAATATTTATTTATCAGTTAATATTATATTATTTTGTTAATTTTAAGGTTATATCTAATTCTACAATAATGTATATACATAATCTGCAAGTTGTATTATATTTTATTTATCTTTCAATCGCGTTACTTATGGAAACTTTAGAAACAATTTATTGGATCGCATTAAAAATATTAAATAATTATTATAACATATAAAATATATATGTATTTTAATACTTAAATTTTTTTTTTCATAATTGAATTGTGATTGAATTACATCATCACGAGTTTTAAAAGTCATAATATCGTGTACTTTTGTATAAAAACGATTTAGGTAAAGTTTATCAGTAACTCAAGATTATTTAATTTATAATTTGAATATTAACTATTGTTTTGAAAATTTGATTTTAATTTTTTTACAAATTACACTTTTCTTTAGGTCTTTACCAAAAATATTATTTTATTATGATCTATCTTTAATAATTTATTAATATCTATATTGAATAATTTAAAATATATTACAAAGAGTTATTTCTAATTATTTATAGTTTAAATATAAAAAATTTAAAGATTTAAGCTTTAATTCAACAAATTATTAAAATAAATAGTATTAGTAGTTATTAGGTAATATATTTTACTGATTCATTATTAGAATAATGTACAAAATCTAATTACACCACTTAGTTCACATGGACATTATATTTAAGTGTAAAATTAAGTAATATATAAGTAAATAATATAATATTTTCTAAATATACGGTTATAAAAATATTTAATTATTTGACTATATTGTAATTGATAAGAAAAAAGTAGTTAATATCAACAATAGAAAGTCTTATTAAAATTTATATAATAAGTAATTTTTTCTATGATTTTTAATTATTTATCTTATATAATAATGTTAAAATATCAATAAAATTATAATACAAAATGCAAAGAAACACACAGGCAAAAATTTTTTTTAAAATAAATTAAAAGTAATAATATCAAAGTAATTAATTTGAAATAAGAAAATACAACTATTAAAACAGTTAATGGATATAAATTTTATATAAATAATAATGTATATTAATAACAAGGGCATGTATAATTTTTCAGTTATATTTTTCCTTTCATTCACTCTTTTTATAATGTACGTTTTGTGATAAAGTTAGATAGTTTTGTAAATCATGAAAATTCTAAACTTTTACGTTAGTACGACCATCGTTTATACTTCGTGATATGAAAACTGTCAAAGATTCCTGCATAAAAATCCTTACTACGTTTTATTCCTTTCTGGATATTATGTCATTGTATTTCGAAGATATACATATACAGATAATTAAACATACAATAATTATTATTAATATACAGCAAAATATGGTAAGATGCGCCAGTAAAATATTAATTAATAACGTACAATTAATATTACTAGATTGAAAATGAATTTTTGTAAATCTATTATTATTGTTCTGAAATTTTAAAAAATAATATCGTTTTTCATTGACTTTCATAAATAAGAACTGACTACATTAAATATAAGAATTTTATAAATTCAAAAATAGTAAAAAAGATTATATAATTAATAAATTCTTCATTTCATAATGTATAAGTTCAATAATCGGTACCGAAGCATAAGCGACAATGTCAAATGGTCAATTATCTAATAATTAGTCAATTATCTAATCTTGTACAATATTGATTTTATTTTTGATATATATATTAAAATTATAAATTAAAACCTTTAAACTTTAAATTTAGCAATTAATATTAAAATATTCATTTCTTTCAAGCGAAAAACAAACTTGTTTATCCTGTAATTCATATTAAAGTAAATAAAATTAATTTTGATATCCAAATTTATTTTTTATATTTACTTCTGTACATTCATTAGTCTATTCAATATTGTAAAATAGTTAAATATATATTGTATAACAATTTTGGATATCTGTTTTAAAGGTTAGCTGTTTTAAAAATAATAGTTAAAAATAAAATTAATGTATTTATTTCATATTTTTACTTCATAATTATAATTGTATATATTTAAAATTTCTTATAAAAAATTTTGTGTAAAGTATACACATTATATAAATATTTTTGTAATTATAATACAGAATTATTGTTAAGAAATATTTGTTTGAAGATAGTAATTATATGCATTAAACTTTTCAGATAATTTGGTTTACATAATATCATAACGGTTGATCCTGGAGGTCCTACTAAAAAGTTATAGACATATTCAGTTAGTTAAATTAATTCATAAAATTTTCAAAATTTGAAAATTTTTCAATAAACACTATCATGTTTATGTTTTAGAACATTCGGTTAACTGTAAGAGTTTTATCGATTCGCATAAATTAACAGACGTATTAATGTGTTTTATTTTCGAGGTTCTGTATTTGTGAGACGGATAAGCTACTATCAATTCATTTTATTTCTTCCTTTTTCCTACTCATTATAATTATTAATTTTTATCAGACTTCTTTTAGGTATTAATTATAATAAAGTATGATTAAAAGGTTTCCAGAAAAAGATGGACTTATCTCATTTGGCTTTTGAGTATGAAAAAGATTAATCTAGCTTTACATGTGCCATTATACTTTAAAAAAATTAAATAAAATTCGTTTCTGTTTCTTTTTTTTTCAAAAGTTCTTAAGAGTCTAAATTGTCATTGTGTAAACAAATAATCAATACATATTATTTCTGGAAATATTTATTTAATATTTACTTCAAATATATTTAATCATTGTATCTTTATAATAATAATAAATTTATTTATAATAATTTATAGCAATATTATATACAAATATTCACATTCGCCGCTATAGGTAAACCAACAACCAGATTTGTTATGTAAAGATTACTAATTAGTTTTTCGTACGACATTGATTGATCTTGATTAACTTGACTAATAGTTCAGATGTTTGAAAAATATCATTTGTTGAATACATAGTCTTATATCATAGAGCATATTGTGTTTCAAAATCAAAACGTTTTTCTAACATAAAAATATAAATTAAGAAATCATATCCGATATACAGAATATCGAGGATTTTATATAAAACTTAATATACTAGTAAAAAAAATCAAATTCGTTCCAAATCAAATAAATTCATATTATATATTGTATATATTATATTTTTATTATATAATTACAATACACTAAAAATATACATAATGGAAACAATCGAGTGTTATATTGGTGTAATCATTTTAAAACTAAAATAAGAATTAGTAGCAGATTTATCTGATATATAAATAAATATTTAGAGCAATTAAAGTTAGAATTTTTAAGCATTTCACAATCTATACAAGCATTTTAACTCTCAACATTTCTTTTATCTAGCTCCAGTTATGTTTTATACATTTTTAGTATTTATTGGTTTTCATACAATTGTAAATAAAAGAATGAAATATATAAAATGGAAATTTTTAATTAACTTTAAGATAGTGTGTAATAATTAATAATTAACAATGTAAAAAATTTATAATTAATGTAATTATTCTATAAGAGTATTCTAATAATCTATATCTATAAGAGTAGTTAAACAGTGATTCTTTTTAATGTATTTATATATTATTATTAGTATTTTTTTTTTATTTTTTCATTATGAAACAAATCCGATTTATGATTATACAATAAAATATATGTGTAATGCAACGACTTGTTAATAAGAGAAGTTAAAAAGTTATGAAAAAAGGAAAAAGAATAATTTATATACTTTTAGATATTTCTATGAATTTATTTAATTGCATAGTTTGTAATTAGATTTGAATATAAATAATAAATAAATATTATTTGATTTATATGGCTTATGAGAATAATAAATATAAAAAATAGAAAATAATTTGTTAAAAGTATTGCAATAAATATATCACATATAGATATGCATAGTCAACGACCATGTACGATTATTTATACATGTATTTAATTCCATATGTAAATAGTACATTGATTACATATTTTAATTACATATATTAGAAAGGTATTTATAATTATATTTATATTAATTTTATTTATATTACGTTCTAGACTTA